GCGGAGTACGTGTCGGCACTCGCCACAACCGCTAGTGGGTCCGAATCGCCGGGTTCCTAAAACTACTTTTTGGAGGCTTCCGGCCCTCAACTTCCAACTGTTCTTTGGAACCGGCCGAAGAGATACTGACGCCGAAAGTTGTTTACCGTGCCAACGCATTGCATTTGCCTCGTGTTATGCGCATTTTAGCTCATATTGTCAGGTAAATAGACCTATATTCGAGTTACATAGATGATGAATGAGGCTTTCAACTACATGTAGGTAGATGCTATTGCCGATAAGCAGGCACATGACATCTTTAGTGGAAAAGGAACTCGCTCACCCGTTCTGGATGCATTATGACTGATGAATTAGCTGAGCGGTTAACTTGATTAACAAAGCCCACATAGGCGAAAACTAACAGATTAAGTGACGTTAGTGTTGTTCTATAATATATTATAAGAGTCTTGCAATCGCATCAAGCGTTATTAGAAATCTATATTTGAATCCGGTTGCTTATTAAGGAATAACGGTGGTACTAGTAGAGCCCCAGAGGAAGTTGAATACACTAGGGGAAGTGATCCCTTGCCTTCTGATGGGTCCCTACCTGTATCCTACCTGTATCCTACCTACCTAAGTAGGTAAGCATATTGGATATCAATTTGCTAATAAAAGATTCATATTCGATACACATACGATACGCATACGAAGTAGGTACTCGGAATTGACTCCAATAAGAGCGAGCTGCGACTGAAGGAATGTGAGGTACGACTCCTTATGCCCTTTCGTATGGAGTCATCATGGACGATCTGCGACCAATTTGTATACCTAATGTTAGGTATACAACAAGCTTGACCGAGCGATCCCAATGGGGGGGACCTAGTCCGGATAAGCTGCAATAAGAAATCCCCACGGATAGGGAGAGACATGCAGATACCTAAAACCCTCACTTCGTTTAAGGTTCACTGGTCGAAGGCCTCCATGAGAGATTCTATTGGTTAGAAAATAAATACTCGCGAGCCAATCAGAAAATTCATCTACGAATTATACTAATGAATCCTTGGCCGCTAAGACCCCCTGTTAACTCCACATATCGATATCGAGGCTTGCAGGACTTGTTACCTAGCAACTTAGGCTAGATCACATTCAAATCCATTACATGTAAGGTATTTATATATTCCCGTAGTAGCCAGGTAGTTCACATAGAACCTCCTGGGTTGGTGTAATTGTCATGTACCTAGTTAGATTTATATTCGGCTCTTATCATATTTGGCCCATTTAATCAATGTAATGAATGAACTCAATGAAGTATATAGTACGAGTTCATGTAATAAAGTCACAATTTATTATTGTCTGTTGATTCCATAGGTACCTACCTGGTAGCGATCTTATATGTTCGGTACTTACGATAAGACCAGTGAAATATTCTGGTGCAAATTGCGATGAAGCGATGAGAGAATATACTCTTCAAAATACTACAATAAAGACCTAGTATAGGAGGTACAAGGATACCTCTAAACTTGTTAGCGCACAGACTCGGTTGAACTAAGATCGCTGGTGCTGGCGCACGATTTTAGGCGTCCTCGGATATCAGCAGAAGTGAGACATGCAGTAGTCGTCAACGATGTGATGGGACCACGGGGAGTTCTGCAAATGAAATAGCGAAGCTAGCCGTCCGAGACATAAGCAGAAAATTTTGATGTCTCTCAAGCGATGGAACAAAGGAACACGACAATAACAGTTTGGCTTTTTAGCCTTTAGGTAGAAAAAATTGATATGCTAAAAAGTTGAGTGAGAACTTTTAAAAATCAATCGGAACATTGAAGTGAAAAAAAAAAGTTCAACCAAAAGTCCCGGCGCTTAGAAAAGTGGGCACTACTCCTCTGAGATGGAAGTACCTGACTTCCATTACTTCGCTACGTACTATGTGAGGTACCTAATGTAGTACATCCAACTAGAGTTATTTTATAGTGCATTTCCACCATGGTATTGACAGATTTCAGAGGCAGCTCAACCTCAAGTCAGGGATACCTAGCTGTTGGTAGTTCCAAGTTGCTGGCGACCCCAGAAAGCCCTGACGGCCCGCGCCTTTGGTTCAATGTTTTTTATCAAATATATTTCTACCTAGGTAGGTTAGGTAGGTACATACATACTTCCCGCTAACTACGGTTGAGCATAGCTGCCACTCGGCAAATGCCCTAAAATTGGTCAAAATTTATAGGGTCACGCTTCAAAATGGTGGGGTACATTTAAATTGCAGGGATGCTTTACTATGCTTTAAGACATGTTTGCGCTTAAAATAGTACACTATGCACTAAAAATGAGTATCCGGGGGTACGGGGGATTTGCTTTTAGCTTGGGTGTATTAGCTAAGGAGGTAAGTAGGTACTGTATTTCTAGGACTGATAGTGGCTAACTCCCCTGTAATTATAGTGGCAAGCTACCTAAATCTTAGCGTATTAGCCACTATTAGCCACTATCCACCCTTATGATTAGTGTCAGCCTAATACAGTGCTAATATTATTAGGAACGCTAAGACTAGAGACTTGGCAACTTACATCGAATGCGCTTGATTGAATTGATTGAATTGCAGAGATTGAGGCTATTAAGGCTATTTACCTAAGGTACGAAGGCATATTCTTTTGCAGGTGGGAGGTATGCTGTAAGCGCTGTAAAGTTTAACCAATAGGAGGGTGCGCATCTTGGAGGCTCAAAAAAGTCAACCCTTTTTCATGCATAATGTACCATAAATCCATATTTTGTTTTATTCTTTTCCTTTATTAGCCTTGGGGTGTCTGTATCTCAACTTTACGTCATTTGCCGAGTGGCAGCTATGCTCAACCGTAGCTAACAGAATTGACAGCTCAGTGAATCTTCATCGCCACTGCCATGTTGTCCCTCATAAAGCATCGATAGCTTCGTTTATTCAAGTTTTTTGCAGTGGCAGAAGTGGGAAGGACCTGGCTGGCTGCCTCTCGCCCGCAGGTACCCGATGCGTCCTAGCACTAGCCACATGCAACGTCCAATGTACATCAGGTACAATACAAGGGCTGTAATATGCCGGTACCTAGGTACGTAGGTAGGTACCTAAAAGTATCCTTTTTTTTTCGGATGCCCATAGGAGAGAATCTTGTTTGTTCCCTCAACATCAATTTCCTATTGCTCCGTACTAAATCCATCTGTGGATTGCTATTCGGCAATTATCGACTGCAATTATCGCACCACAATTCTTTATTCCTACGTACATCCCTTTCCTCTTTGTAATAGGTGTAAAAGTACCGACTTGGTCTTTGGGAAGCCGTAGAGACCGGTCGAGCATTTTGCTGATGCTGGATACTGGATACTGGATATTGGTAGCGTCGTATGACCCCATCTATATGTTGGGTAGGGCCACTTACTGTACTATGTAGGTGGGCTCTGGAAGCACTTGATTTTACCTGTGTCCGACCCAACCAGGGAAAGGCTCTCCAAGCGTCAAGGATTCCATTTGGCGAATGATGTCCTCAAGAACCTGCAGCACTCTTCTCATAGGACATCGGAATATGCACAATCCGAGACCAGATTACCAGCATGACTCGGGCGGTTCCTCTGCCTCTGCTCACGCGCATATTGTTTACACTTAGGATAGTGGACAAGATGCGATGCGAGAAATAGAGCAAAACAATGGTCAATTCGCTTTGGCTGGTTCGGCGATAAACTGGGATATAACCTAAGTACTATCTATGCTGATGTGGTCGATCTACCTTTGACGTCTCGTCTCATGGGAGCTTCGGTGACTCAATACAGTTTTTCTTTCTTCAACGTAGCTAACGTTCGAAAGCATAGCGTGGTGTCTGGGGGTCTGGCACCCTTGTTGGCTGGCTATCGGCTTAAGCCTCGCTTTTAGAGGTTGGAACTCGAGTTGTTCTAACCCGCAATGGTCGCTGCCAACCAGACCGCCCACTCGGCGATTCCATGCTGAACATTCCCTAAAAATGGTCGCATCTTGGCTAGTGACAGGGAATCGTTGCGCCACACCTATCTAGAAGGCCTATTCGCTTATGTACCGCGACCCTTGTCTAGACCCTTGGGTACATCATCATCTTGCGAATATGCAAGGTGGAAAGGCGATGCGAGCTAACATTACAAGTATCTTCTTATATACAAGTCATACATCTCTTTCGCCTCCTCGATACCTCACCTCTCCTGATATTGTCTCTTCTTACCTCTGATTTTAGAGCCTACGCTTTATTTTTATATTCCTACTAATTTCCCGAGTCGAGACGAGTACTTCCTCAGGGGACTTTTAATTCAGATGTATTAGCTGTATGAATTGCTTACCCCAAACGCCCATTCTAAAACACCAGATACTGTCATCTCCTCTCCGACAGCGGAACCGCTTTACAATACTGTCGAAAAAAGAAAAAAATTACGACGTCGCTAACACTTGTTAAACGCTCGTACGTCCCCCACAGCTTTGTACTACCACACCATTCCCCAGCGTATCTAAGTTAGTCAAGTCGACATCTACACGCCAAGGTGGTCCCCCACCCGTCACTAAGGAACTTCACCAGATCCTCCACAATATTCCCTACCAATTTTCTTTTGAGAACTTATACGCCTTCCTTAATTTATACTGCTGTATTATTTCTGCTTGTTAGTTCCCACGCTGTCAGGTAGCACTTCATATTCATTCTAGCTAGTGTTTAGTGACCATCAAAACTTATGACCTCGATATATCTAGAGATCTAATATTGTAGCTAGGGATTTGTGGAATATTGGTAGCCTTTGTTTATTTATAACTGGCTTAGATTCGCCAGTTCCCTCGTGCCCTGCTGCCACCTTGGCAAGGTTGTGTAATAACGGAAGACCTCTTGTAACGGTATTACCAGGAGATTGTTCATTGATGTCTACAATTGGGCTTTGCCGCTAACCACTAACCTAGGAAATCTACGATTCTGGCATCAACTAGCCAATATGGACTGCTAACTTTTAACGTGGTTGAGCATCAAATCTCGCCCCCTGGATATTGAAAGGGAGATATGGCGTCGATCCGCCCGCGGTTAGATTCTCGGAATAGGTCGGGAGACGAAGCAAGGACAAAGCGAAGGGGAGAAGTAACGGAGACATTAACCCAAAATTCATCATCCATTTTGGGTCGGACCATCCACAAGAGAGCTGAGCACACTCAGGCTGGACCTTCCCCTGGCCCACAGGTTATGGCACAACAGAGTCGGAGTCCCCAAAATGCTTCTACACGAAAGCCTTGCGGTTCTAAGTCGAAGCCACCCTTGACTCACGAGACACTCTCTTGGTCGAAGAATTCCACGCAGCAAGCATCAAATATCCCAGCATTGAGCACTCGTGGGCGTAGTGGTCTGGTGGAGTCTCCCCGGGTTGCATTGCGTAGAAAGCAACCAAGCTTATCACGGGAACAGCCGGGCGTCCAAACTCAGCCTCGTTCAAGTTCAAGAAGAACCGATTCATCGTCTTCGATACCAATATCACAAGCATTCCTTGACCCTAGCATGTCCTATTTGGATCGGAACATCACTACTAGCCCCGTTGAGATTCGCACTGCGCAAAAGCTGGATTCCCCTCAGAAAGCCACCCAGCCCTTGGGGATATATCCGGAGTTGGATCGTTATCGGAATGTCGAGCTCCCGGTGAGAGGCGGACCGGCTATAGAAGTTCCATTCAAGCTTTCGACCGAGAACCTCCCTCCTCCAACACCACTCTTCTCGGGTGGAAGCAGCCACAGCCAACTAAGTACATTTAGTGTGAGCCCTTCTACAAGATTTTCCGAATCACCTGGACCTGGACCTTACAGCCGAGATACGACCCCAACCTCGATATCATCGCAGTCGCCTGGGCTCTTTGTACCGCACCGTCTTCCTATTTTCAAGGCAAGGCAAGCAAGCCCAGCTGAGACTCGCCCCCCCGTAACTCGGAGAAGGGCCGGTAGCATACCAAATGAATGTGATACTTTTGGCACAGATCCTAATGGCCTTGCAGCCGTTCGGGAGGCCTTGACCTCATCGTCATCGAGCTCTACAGTACGCCCCGAAGAGAAGGAGAAGAAGACACGCCGAGGACCATTACCCACTGTACCGAACCCTCCTCCGAGAAAATCATCTCAAAAGTTCAAGAAAAGTGGAGGAGGAAGTGAGTCGTCAATCAAAGCCCCTCACGCCACTACTAGACCATCGATAAGGTCTCCACCGCAGGCTGAAGTTGGTGAATCATCTCATGAGAAATCTCAGGAAGCTGCGATATCACCCAAGACTCGCCTCGTACCACCCTCGCGACCTAGCAGAGACGGGACACCTGACCTTTATTCCCAATTCGGCGGTCCAGTTCCTGTAATACACAGCAATATATCCTCAACCAGCCTTTCCGATAAGCGTCAAAGCAGGCAGCTAGCACCCAGTTCCTTGCCAAGGTCAATGACTCCTTCTGTTCAAGACCGCGTGGTCTCGTCTAAAGGGTCTGTACCTCGAGAGCCTACGCCAGCACCACGATTAATCACCACGAAATCCACCCAGCAGACCCAGGAGAAAGGGAAGAGGGTGAGAACACCTAGCCCAGCTACTACATTTAGATCAAGGTTCCCGCTATTTGGGAGGCGAACTAAGACAGCCCCTGAAATACCACAAGTTGAAAAGAAAGATAAGTCTACTAGAAAAGGCCCGGCTGCCGGAACTGGCCACGAAGGATATGGTAGGATTGGCTCTGTTAGAAGGCGCAGCAGCAGCACTGCGAACCCCCCGCGTGGTCCACCAGGCCCAGTTCCTTCATCTGACAGCCTCGCAAGTCTTCAGTCAACAGACCCCTTCTTCCTGGAACGCATGAACCCTGTGATAATTGCCGGTGGTGAAATTGTGGAAAACCGGAACACAAGCTTTGAACAAACCAGAACTGAAAGTCGTCAGAGTATGATTTCTGGTCGTCCGGGTCTTAACTCCCGCAACAACTCGTCCGTATCCGAGTCCTCGAAGGAAGAATTGCGACAAACGTTGTGGCCTTCACCACTCCCTCGGGACTCCATCTTGTCTCGTCCTTCAGATGGTAGTGACTCGGAGGCAGTTCCTATAAAACCTACGATTGCGTTGAGGAGGTCAATTCAACGACTGCGATCGCCGAATAATTCTCCTTTGAATCTTCCAAAACCAATTATCACCAGAGGAATGGCCTCTCCATCGGTTGGAAGCATAGAGACAACGATCTTAACGGATGACTCCTTAGCGGAACCTCAGCCAAGACTTATCGATGAACAGGTCGAGCCAAAACCTGGGCCTCGAAAGCTCACTAAGCGAGCTAAGTCTCCCCGTAAATGGAACCTATTTGGGAGATCTCAAAGCCAGCCCCCTAAAGACCGTAGCAAGAAAGTCGAGGCAAGTGTGTCTGCAGCAGTAAAGCACATCCCAACCAAGCCAGTCGCGTTTTATACTATGATGGACTCTTCTGAGCAAGATGAAACCGAGGAGCAAGATGTTTGCGAGATTTTGAGAGAAGCGGAGGTCCTAATCCCATTTATGGATACCAAAGATCACGGTCGACGTCCGTCTGAAAGCAGCATTAGATCCTTGGATCCGCCTCGTGCCAATCAACATCGGCCCCAAGAGTTCGTATCAAGCTCGACCCGAGATGATCCTCTCCAGATAACTCCACCAAAACCAGTGGTATCGAAGCAGCAACATGCTACTAGCGCCTCTATTTCAAGCAATCCTATAGTACGCCCAAGCAGACTCCCTCAAGTTGGTAGGATACCCAAGGTCATCAATACCCGCCCAGAACAGACGTCTCCGAAAAGCTTCTCCCGCCCTTTCCACCGAGTCAGTCTCCAAATGCCGCCCCCTGACCTAAGTAAAATTGATCGAAACTCCGTTGCGAAGGGACCAAGTCCAACAAGGTCTTTCTCCCCTGAACGTGATCAAAAGGAATCACCAGTAGCAGCTGCTAGTTATAATATCCCAATCAAACCGGAACCGCCTTCTAAGGATTCGCCCCTGAAGCTCGGGGAATCTGGAAAGGAATTTCTTTCGTTTTCACCTCCGAAGGGTTCCGAAAGCACAAGCTCGGGATCCGGCAGTTCGGAACTGGTGCATGTGTTCAGTCGTACTGCGCTGCCTCCCACCCCGAATGCCCCGCTTACAGAGGACGAAATCTGGGATGAATATAACGACTTCTTAAGCGAAGCGCCACCATCAGCAACCTCTTCTCGAGCCGGGCCGTTCCACCTAGAAATATATGGCTCTAGGTTGGCGAAGGAACCAATCAAGGCGCTCGAATCACCTACCATTGATAATCATCGCGCCAAATATATTCGTACTTCTATTGAAACTAGACAAAGCGCCACATCGTCAAGCCGCTTCAGCGCCGACATGACAGCTAGGATTAACGCTGCTTTCAGATTTGACACCGAACCACCGACAGCATCGTTCTCAGTTCCTGAATTCGCATCCGGAAGTAGCGACAATCCTAACAATAAGCAACTAGACAAGGCACCTATTTCTCAACGAGACAGCTCATCTTCAAACAAAAGCAGTAAGACTAAAAGAAGCTCAACTAGTAGTCGTACTAGCGAAGATACACCTCTTTCCCAGGTCAATCTCCGCGTAGGCTCAATGACGGTGAGCAAATGGCTTACATTTGGCCATGTGCTATTCAGTCCGGTCCGCGAAGACCTCATTAATGACGCTGGCTCATCTGGGCGCCATTCAATCCTTGTAATTGATGGTCTTGGAAATGATGACTGGTCTTTCTATGCAGCAGAAACTTACCCTGACGCCACGTTCTTTAACTTGTCTCCTCGCGCACCTCTATCACCAGAGCAAAAGTCAACGCCTACATTTCCTCTCTCGCCACCTAATCATCACCAAGTCCAATTCTTATCCCACATGGATAAACTCCCTTTTGGGCCAGACAGCTTTACCGCCGTCGTGTTCCGGTTTCCATCCGCGGCCCCTGAATCTCACTATCGCAATATAATCTCGGAGGCACACCGTGTTCTCAAGCCAGGAGGATATATCGAGTTATCTATCCTCGATGTAGACTTGAATAATATGGGTAACCGCACTCGACGCTCAGTACGACATCTAAAAGAGCGAATTAGCGCACGCAATCCCGAGTACAACCTCAGCAGCACGGCAGATCTCATTCTCCGCCTTCTTGGTAAGAAAGGGTTTATTGACGTAAAGACTTGTCGTGTTGGGGTGCCTGTGGCAAGTGCGATTACAAGCTCCTCCAGAGTCAAGGGCAAGAAGGACGAGCGCAGCCTAGCAGAAATGATGAACGACAAGACCGAAATGGGTGACGAGAATATCACAAAGATGGTTTCAAAAGTCGGACGCTGGTGGTATAACCGATGCTATGAGACCTCAACTGGAATGACCACCAGTATCTGGAAGGATAAGGTTCTGCTGGCCGAATGCGAGGAGTGGGGAACAAGCCTCAAGCTTATGGTATGCCACGCCAGGATGCCGGAAGCAAGAGGAAGGGTTGCAAGTATATGATACGCGTTCAGCGTATCATATGTCGACACTACATAAGTTTGCACTTTCTTCGACAGTTCCGCTTCTGGAAGTCGGTCCGCCCGAGCTTCTTCCTCCTGGCCGAACCAACTTTTCCACTCTTGGACGGATTATTTCATATCTATCGACATGTACAAAACTCATACCTTCCTGGACTTACTTCCTCACAATATGTTTGCTCTTGTAATTTTTGCACAGGAAAAAGAAAATTGCCTACAATAAGCATCGCAAGAAATCATTCAAGATCTAAAGAGGGCGCAAGCCTATCACGAAAATCTAATTTCATATTTTTCTGAACGTAAGAGATGGGCAGGAACCAGAAGACTCGAAGTCATTACATTTACATATCTACCTAGGGAGACCGGTAAAACAGTACGGCTCCAACAAACTAACTCGCTTTTCTCTTGATCGGGATACCGGCGGACACTTCATTTCTGGATATACAAAAATTTCTCCATTTTTATTCACGTTCCTTCTCTAACCAGATACCTTAACTTAAGGCTGAGAACATACATCCTAATATTTTTACTGCTCATTGTCGCGGGACCAGCCTCCGGGAGAGCTCCACTGCATCTGAACAAGAGCATTTGGGAGTTGGATTTTATTGATATTTATTATGAGAGGAGGCTTGGTTCTTCTTTTTCTTACTTGACTATCCCGCGGCAATGGCTGGCCCTTGTATCTTTACGATAGTATCACCCGGGGATGGACTTATATCTGAGTGCGCGGAGGGCTCTAGAAGCGAGAACGGTACTTAGGGGAAATTGCTGGAGGGCGACGTGCTTTGTGGTGGCAAGCGGGATGGTCTACCGGGAAGGACTTTGACGAACTTATGATACCTAATGACGACGAGGAAGTGCGGAAAGCCTTGAAATTGCGGCCAATGAGACGGAGATTATATACCAGGCACCTTATATGGATGTTCAGAGCAAGCGCAGCGAGTCTAGAGATACCCCCCGTTCTTTTCTGATAATGAAATACATACCTAACTTATCATCTTAAGCCAAGTCTCGATCTTTTTCTCACGAGTGAATTTATATTTTCAATGAATACGCTAATTACCTACCTAGGGTAGGTAGCGTTGATGTTTTGATTTTCATGTCTATTCGATGAGTACCTCCTCTATATAAACCCCCCTAAACGCCTATGACGATGCAATCCTGAAGCCCATAGGTATCTTGCCTATGGCTAAGACACGGCGTTTGGGGTATATAGTATTGATACGCCGTGTATAATTGGGAATAATGATATGTATGCGAGCCCCATCCCTCCCTTTTTTTTTTTTTTACATGTTCTAAACCATCCGTTCACAACTACCTTCGTTTAATCTTTGCATATATCCGGACTCATTAGCGATCCTGACGGCTCCTGGCCGCGGGACACGTCCGTTTCCCTTTAATCCCAGCAAAATTCGTCAAGAATCAAACAGCCGATCTCCTCCTAAACAGGACCTCGGCGGTCATACTGGGGCCCTTAGTCATCATAAACATGTTCGGCGGGGGCCGGCCGTCGCCGTCGCGCAGCTTGATGTCGTAGCGCAGCAGGAGGTACGCGAGGACCATCTTGATCTCGCAGCCGGCGAAGAAGCGGCCGGGGCAGGCGTGCTTGCCCAGGCCGAAGTTCATCGCCGTGTCGCCGATGCTGGTGAACTGCCATCGGCCGTTCGCGTTCGGGGTGTGTTCGTCTGCTGCGGTGAAGGCTGCGGGTGAGGGGGAAGGGGAAGGGGATGAAGATGGCGATGGTGAATGCTGGTGTTGTCGGAGTTTCCAGAATCGTAACCCGTCGAAGACTTCCGGGTTTGGATAATACCGTGGGTCGACAGCGATACCGGCCATAGGTGCGAGAAGATTGGTGCCTGCTGGTAAATGTGTTCCATCCGATAGGTCGATCGGCTTTATGACTTTGCGGATGAAGGATGCTGGGTAGGTTAGAGGATGCAATATCAAATTGATTGATTTAAGGTGATACTTACTGACGTTTCCAGATAGTCGCTGAGACTCCTTGATGAAACTATCGAGTTTCTTCAGCTTGCCCATGCTATCCTTCCTCTCCCATGCTTCGTCGTCAAAGAATACCTCGCGCGCTTCTTCGCGAAGTATTTCCTGCATGTCCTGATGCACGGCCAGGTCATAGATGCAATCCGTCGTCAGGTTACTCGTCGTGTGGATTGATGCCGCACCTAAGAGTAGCTGTATCTTGCCCTGAATGTAGAAGTCGGTCTTCTGCTCTTCCGGTAAGGCATCCTGCAACCACTGGACAAAGTCATCGGGCTTATCGTACCCCGGCGTTTCTGCATCGCGGATACGTTCCTCGATAATAGGCGTAAGCATAGCCTGTGCCTTCTCCAAGTCTCTCCGTATCGTGCGCAGTTCGGATACCAGGTATTGCGCTATAGGTCGCATCCACGGTGGGAAGAACTGCAGCTTGGTGACGGCGATAAAGGCGATGATGGCAAAGTTGATGCTCACGTTCATCCATTCCTCTGTCCGGTTCAATCGAGGTCCGACGAAGACACGCCCACTTAGGCGGGCAATCGTTCGGACCATGAAAGGCTGTATCTTGAAGGGGGTCCATTCTATTATCTATCAGTTGACTAGTTGTTTCAAAGAGTGTCATCTGCGTGATCTACCTTGACACTCAGGGAATTCAGTGGCGACGATGTGTTCAAGCTCCTCCTTTAGCTGTGGTGCCATTCTAGCCAGCTGTCCTGTCATCTTGCACTTTAAGAGCAGAGATAACGTGTCAGCGTGCGAGCCCGCACAAAGATTGGTATACTCGCTTAGCATGGCCTACACATATACAGTCAACACTTCGATTTCCGTAAGACAGGTGTCCTTTGAAACTAACCTCCTCAACAGCCGTCCTCGCGCTCAAGGTATCCTCGGGGAGGCCCTTGAGCTCTCCAACCAGCGACGACGGGATGATAGTTCTCACACCCTCTGTCGACTTGATCTGGTACACAGTATCACGAAACTAGGTAGAAAGAATTTTAGGATTATGTAGAAATTGGTGACGATGGGAAGTTTTCATACCTTAAAATAGCTGTCCCTGATTAGAGTATCTGCACTAAACATCCATTTTAATCGGGATGTCTTGTAGAAAGGTGCCGAGACGCTGCATTTCTGCTTATCGGACTGAAATAACCAGATACAGAAGAGTACCGCGCTGATGGCTACATAGTAGCTTAAGCGACTCCCAGCTAAGGCTTGACTGGGGAATACATCTGCAACGGTAGTGAAATTGGTACGAGGAGTGGCATCCTCTATTATAGAAGGCATGCCTAAGAATGAGAAGGAAGAGGAGAGGTTGACGGGAGAAAGGAGGGGGGGTTAGGAAAAGGGGGAAAGGAACGATGTTATTATCCTTCTCAATTCGACCATGAGTGGTGTTGTCACGTTCGATGAAGTAGTCGTAGATGTAGTCGTAGAAGCCCAGCTTCAGTTGTGATATTATATGAACAGCAAGTAAATCATCAATTCGTAAACATGTATGTGTCGTGTGGGTTGGATAGTCGCTGTCCTTGCGCCGAATTAGATGTAAGTCGAATTTAAAGACCATAAATACTCGAAGTATACCGATGCGAACGAGGACTGGATTAAGATAAAAAAAAAGACAATAGAAAAAAAGAAGTTAATGGAATGAACGGAGGTATTATTCGGTCAACGAGCTACCTATATGAATGTTAGAACATGTCGACTGTGTGAACGAATGAATATATGAATGAAGAAAAAGAGAAGAAAAGCTAAGGGCTCATGACGCCAAAGGGGTCAACCTTGTTGCTGTTCTCGGTTTCCGAACCGGGACCCTGAAACGGGAGCTATAGTGAGGTATTGTACCAGGTAGGTAGGTGCTAAATTGAAGCAGGTCATGACCCCCGGAAGGTTCCATCTCCGGGGCCCTGGTCGACTCCAGTTCGCCGGGCTGGAGCACCTTTACCTTTAAGGTGTTTTACAGTTGGCTCCAGTTACGGCTTTTTACAAACGCCGGTAAATAGATTTACCTATCGTCCAAGATGAGTCTTAGGTAACAAGATCAAACTTTAAATACTTACTATACTTTAGGTACCTAAGGTATGTACCTCTCAACACCTTCTACTATGTAATTGAACTTGATTGACGCTAATAACATCTTTTCTTTCAACACCTCATTATATTAGTTACATGTTAAGCACTTACCTACCTCTGGAAAGGTTGTATTCGCTCGCAAGCTTTTCAATTCTAGTCTAGCCACCTGTTTCTTCAAGCAGGCTCCGTAACTTCTTGGCACGCGTCTCAGCGAGCAGATCCCCGACGAGGCCTTCTATCTGCCCGACTCGACGAGTCTGATCTTCATCCGTAAAACTCGGTCGTTTTGACTACCTATCCTTACCTATCCTACCTTTTGACTGGGCTACCCCTGTGAAGTCCGAGCGGCTGGTAGATCTGGGATCCGGCAAGCAATTCGGGTCAATTTATTCTAAAGTTAGGATTTGAATTTCTGGCAAGTATTCGCGACAGCTCGGTTCCCTACCATCTTATAAGGCAACTTCAACCATATGGATCTACTATGCTATGCGCCGAGACGGCCCCGTAGCCTCGGCATGTCTTCTTTAAAGCTTCGACGAGGCTTAATTTTTTTTAATCCACTTTTCCTAGGATGACATTGTCTCTTCAGTTAATCCTCAGTGATTTATTCATACCTTAGGTAAGAAGTAGTACGAGGCTATTCCCGAATACATCGACACTTACAATGATGGAGAACGCGTGCATATATAACGATTCTACTCACTCTGGATTGAACATATTCACAGAGGCTTTGGGCTAGGCTTACTATTACGCCACCGTGAGGCAATGCATCGGGTACACATGACTGGCTCTAGGCAGGCTACGAGAAATATATATGTTCTTATTCCCTTATCTTTTTTTTCTTCTTTTTTTCCTTTCTAGCGGTTTTACAATCGTCATCTTATCCCGAGTCTTGTTACTTTCAAGAACGTCATACGGCAAAGAATGGAAGCCCTCGTTGCCGTCGGACTCGCATCCAACGTCTTGCAATTCGTTGACTTCTCCGCTAAACTTATTTGCGTTTCGAATGAACTCCGAAACAACGCAGCCTCATCGGAAAATACAGACCATCAAGTAATTACGACACATCTGAAGATACTGGCTCAGAATATCAGCGATTCAGCCAAGGCAATTTCTCAATCTTCTACAACTGCAACACCTGAAGAAAAGGTACGAAACCTTTACGTGGCTATCATCAATTCCATCTTTCTGGGCTCAAGATTCTAACGATGAATAAACAATAAGGCTCTCCAACCGGTCGCTGATGAATGCTGCAAACTTGCCAACAGCCTCCTCCACCGCCTCGCGAAATGCAGCATTCAACAAGACCAGAACAAGAGCTGACCTCACCGTGCCAAGATATCTTTCAAAGCCATACGGAATAAGAAAGAGATAGAGGAGATATCTAACAGACTAGAGTTCTTCAGAAGTGCACTGACTCTCCATTATACCTTCCAGAGTAGACAAACACAACTACGCCAACTGGCACGACAGTCAACCACAGATGACGTCCAAACGATACTGGGAAGACTTGACAATCTTAAGGGGTCAATTGAAGGCTTAAAGTCTGACCTTGGAAGGACCGCGAATGGCCAACATTTGGAAGCATTAAACTCGATTAGAGAGACTCGAGATGAAAATATACTATTTCATACACAAGCAGCACAGCGGGCTACTGAGAATCATTCCTTGGTCTACGGAGAACTGGGGAGCCTACAATCGTCAATGAATGCTATGACCACAAACCTTCAGCACATCCAAATCCAACAATCGCAGACTTTGGAATCCCTTGCCCATGCTAAAGTAGAGAACTCGACGTTTTTTGCGACAGTAACCCAGCAACTTCCTTTAGAAAACGACTCCAGTACCCTAGCCAACGCATTCCAGCCCCTATTGGAGCAATACAAGGACGAATTTCTAGCAGGAGTTAAGAAGGAGTTCCGATCAGCGGCCCGGTCTGCGTGGGATGACATTCTTCGAGAAGCACCCGCCGCGATCGACAAAATGCAGCATCGCGGCAAGACGGCTCAACGAGTTTCCGAGCGTGTAGCGAACGAGGATGAAGAGACGACCGAAAGAGACCTACATACCCCCGATCGGTATAAGGCTACCTTAGCAGAACCGAGCCCATTGTCCCTTGAGAGGCCGATTCTTGGCCGGCTAGATAGGAAAAACGCAATGATGCTTTACGAGAATGAGTCGAAGTGGAAAACAAGACTGGGATCCCTGACGATTACCATACGAAATAGAGTCTATTTCAACGAAGTCGGGCCCCCGATAAAAAGTTACGAATTTGCAGCGAGATTTAACCTGTCATCAAGTTGGATGTCTACAGGCTTCTCGATGACGTACGAAAATAAAACCGATGCGAGGGGAAGCCCAGAATTCGGTCTTAAGTGGAAGACATACCGCGTTATTCCAAAAGACCACGAGGTATTCGAGGCGATAGGAGCCCACGACATCCGTACTGTTCAGAACATATTGGCGCAAAAGCTTGTTACACCTTCAGATAGAGGTTCGGATGGATGGCCGTTACTCATGGTAAGTTTAAATGTTCTAAACAGCTACGATATTTGAATGTGTACTTAACAAAGTTAGTGGGCCGTATTAGCAGGCAGTTTGGATATTTGTAAAGCACTGGTACAGAGTGGTGCAGATATCAACGCATGTAATAATGAGTAAGTGATATATTATAACTGATTGTCATTTTATTGCTCTAACATCCCTCACCCGTATCAGCAACGCGAATGCTCTAAGCATAGCATCTTCAATGGTTTTTTCAACCAAGAATACCCAAGGACAGGCGTTATTTCACTACTTGCTAGGCCTCTCTGGTATTGAAGATGAAGGCTTTCAGCTAGAGAAAAATATAATACTTTGGGCGCTACTTACCATGATGGTTAAAAGTAAAAGCTATGATAATGAAACATTCAAGAAGTGTCTTGAAGCCTGGCTGTCTTCCTTGCAGCTCTTAGATGTCGGCCATGATGCTCTTCCTGTGCCTTTCCTATTGCAGGTCGTATGGGTATTTTCTCTCGAAAATAGCTTTGGGCACAACACGGTGAATCGCATCATGTTATTTGATGTGATTTCCCAACAACGGATTGGTTTCACGTCCTCGATAGATCCTATGGATACGCTGAGTATGAGCTACATTTCGTGGCTAATGAAGTATAAAGTCTACGGAGTTCGAAAGCGCTCGCTTATAGCACAAGAGCCTTCGCAAAAAACATCAGTTCCTTATAGAGGCTTTTTTCTAAACGAAGACGTGGCCCCCAGCATTAAATTCGTTGACCACGTCATGTCAAAGAAAATCGCTCATTGCGCCGATTGTATTTTCGACATTAATGGTGACGGCGTTACGATATCAGACCGGTTCTATTCCAGAGAGTATCTACAAGATATATGGGAAGGGATACTAAAAGACTGTGGATTTGATGTTAGATGGGTATATCAAGAAGATGATAAACGAAAATTTGAACGTTTCGGAGAGAGCTCAACTCACGACATAAGTACCCAGCCGGATACTTCAGGCGTACTGCAGATGAGACGCCGACAAGGCTACGAGAGGACTGATGAGTGAGCGGGCTATGCCACGGGTATTTGGTCATGACTTTACGATATTCAGTTTCATATAATTTGCTAAATTGCGTATTGGCGACTATTCAGTATGTAGAATCATCCATTTCTCATCCTCTAAAATCGCGAAACACCAATATACATATAACACTCATCCTAGAAACCGCCAATGCTACAGGTAGCTGAGGTCAAGTCTCAGGAGCAAATAAGAGGTGAACCATAAAGTCCAAATTCCCACCACACCTAAACCAGTACCTATTTCTCAACAACGCAGATATGCCATGAACTCATTAACTCTTGTCAGATGTCTTATGAAGCTACCTTAGGTAGTTTTACACAATATAGCCTCCCTCGCTGTAATGATGCTCTCTTAAATAAAACGCCGTAATCTGAATCCCACCAACACTTCCTCTAAGCGGTTCCAAGTCTACCAACCTCAACCCCATTGCCCCCTTCTTTTCTGTTTTCTCCTGGCTCCGACCTTTCCCGCTTTACCGATGGAATAAGCAAGTACAAATGTATTTTCAGATATAACCTAACGCCCAATCCTCAATGTCAATCAACCGCGCTATACAATATTTGCACCAGCATTTCGCCCCGCCACGTCGTCCCCCGTCGGGCGGGGTTCGATAACGTCCGCCATCCGCGGCTCCTGCTCCTCGGCCGCCTCGGTGTCCGGCTTGACCTCGCCGTCGTCCACGACCACCCGGCCCATACCCACGATGTCGATCCAGCACCAGGCGTCCACGGTCTCGTTGCCGCTGCGATCCAAGATGGCCTTGTCGTCTTCGTCTTCGTCTTCATCGTCGTATTCGTCTTCGTCTTCTTCGGGACTTCTATCCCCCCCGACTTCCGCTCCGGGACTTCCATCTCCACTTTCGACTTCGGGCTCGTTTAAATCCAGACTATCCGTCGCATCACCATCACTATTACTATTGCTATTGCTATCAACAGCAGCCGCACTTCTTCTTCTTCTTCTTCTTCTCCTCCTCCTCCTCCTCCTACTCTCGCCTAATCCCCCTCTTAGATCCTTCCCCCCCTCCGCCCCGTCAACCAGATCCCCCACCCACGTGCGCGCGACGGGAACGCCGTTGGCCCGGAGGACCTGGAGGGCGGCGCGGCGGTTGAGCCGGAGGGCGCGCTCGGGGTTCTCGGAGCCGAAGACGCGGCGGGTCAGGCGCGGGAACAGGATGCCGAAGTCCGACTGCGAGAGGTGCGCCGAGCGCCGGACGAAGAAGAAGTAAGGCTCCGCGAGCTTGACGCCCGATGATCCCGACCCCGACGACGCACACGCGGTGACCTGGTTCTCGTAGAACGCCGTCGCTTGCACGGTGGGGGCCCCCGGGTCGGGAGATAGCACGCGCGCCGTCACGTGCAGGTGCTCCTTCCACTTGCAGAAGTCCTCTGATTCGATGGCGAGGATGGCGTTGCCGCCTGGAGGTGGCGAGGAAGAGGAGGGGTTTTTGGTGTCTGCGGCGTAGGCGGGAAGCGGGAGGTTGAAGAGGGGTTTTGTGGCGTTAGAAAGGAGGGGGAAACACCACATATCGAGGAGGATAGTAACGTTGCGCGGGGTGATCTGCTTGTAGATCGAAGACTCTCGGGACGGCACGTACAGAGGCTCCGACATGGCCTCGAGCTCGGGCCTACCGGCGTAAAAGACGGATTTGAGGAACTGCACGGTGGTCGAGGAGCCGAAGCTATGGCCCGCGAAGATGATGCTCCCGGGCTCGTGGACGTGCAATTTGTCGACGAACGGGGAAAGAGAAGGGGTACTCTTATTTAGGTTCGTCAGGGCCACGCCCTTGTCGATACCCAGTATGGCCTCGTGGATCAGTCCCATCTCCCACAGCCGGATCCGGAGCTGATCGTTACGCAGGGCATGGACCTCGTCCGTGGCGTCGTGCGCTATGCGGTTGTAGGGAACCGCGCGGTGCGTGTTGCGCACGAAGTACCGGTCTTGCTGCGAGGGGATGCGGATGTACGTCGCGACGGCGCTGCCGTCCCGGTGCTCGGGACATATCACCACAATGCCATGCGAAGCTAGCGAGCCTACTATCTGCGAATATGCGTTCCTAGTACCGCCTAGGCCGTGGGAAAAGATGGCCGTCGGCCACCGTTTGTTCGGAGTGTTGGGCTCGAGTACCGGCGCATTTTTAACGACAGGGATCGAAGTGTAGTGTAGATGTCTTGGGAAGAAGCTAGGTATTGGAGGGTTCTATATAAGCCTTTTGCCCGACAATTATTACAGTGTCATAGGTAGTCCCTTAGACTTACGAGATAGCTTCTGCTAGTAATGGATTTATCCCCAAGAATTGGATGTAAGCAGAAAGATGTTCGCGCTGTGGAGCCGGTAGCCAGGTTATACGCTTGCCCTGAGAGTCCGGATGCGCCGGATAGAATATTCTGAACTGTACCGTCTCTATATCGGCGGCATTACTCGGTGCCGGCGCCGGCGATTCAAGGTCTGAGACAGGGATCTCCACGTCGACTGTGCCGACCTTGTAGGGTCCGGTATACTCCGAGAAGCCCGGGATTGGATTCAATCGCCACAGGAGCGAGCTCCATTTGTCGGCTCTCGACGGATAGGCAGGCTGTGCCATGGATCGTCGCTAATGGCTCTCGGCCTAGGAAGTGAAAATAATATGTTAAAGTTACAAAATGTTAAGTACCGAGTTTGTAGGTGATAATGATATTTAATATGAATAAGCTATAATAGTGTAAATGACTGCTCCCGGCTCAAACACCCACAACAGAGGACTCGTAAGATAAAGCTACAATTCTCGAAATTTCGTCTGTCGAAGAGGCAACTTTGAAGATGGAAGGTTCGCCGGCGCTAGAGGTAAACTTGTATTAGTTGACCGGACAAAGCCTCGGCATTTCTATCCCAAGGTTACCACGCTTTAAGTACTTTGGAAACTTGTATAAGGAGAATGTATTTATTTACAGAAGTATATCATGAGAAAAAAACGTATGGTAAGATATATCAAGACAACTTCAAAAGATATATACAGGCAGAGGTAGTTAAGAGAGAAAAGAGTTGAGTACAGGAATTAAAAAGTTAAGATGTGTACCAAGTATAGGAGGTACCCATCATGAGTCAGCCAACGGCAGTCCACAATTCCTTAGCCTTTTCAGTTGCTTTTGCTAGCAACACGTCATCATTGAAGTCACAAGTTTCCCCTATCGGTACGAGAACAGATTATCTTCGAATTCATGCACCTGAATTATCGATTAGCAATTATACGACAGTCGCGTGGTTGATATGAAACTTCTCTAAAAATTAGACTTTGCTACGTGTACCAGGTAGGTACCTAGAATTAATTAGTATTAGGTGCCTACAGCCTACAGGTACCCTCCAAAACTAAACCACTGTCACGGGTTTGCAGGACCCTTAATTACATCATTCCGCATTCACCTGCAGTCTCCCCTGTCCTGGATAACAAAACCATTCCTGGGTTCCCGCAGGCTACATAGTACATACTATAGTACAAATTCCCCTGCGTCCCAGGCGCTAGCTAGGCAAAAACCACAGCGCCTAAATTTCTAGGCCTCATTTCTTCCAGAATCTACATAGTAAGCAATGAGGTATTTCAAACTGAACGGATAATCATTGTAGAAACCGTTACTTCACTGCCATTCGGCATCGACCTTCTCCCACTTGTCGAGGAATCCCTTGAAGAATTTGACGCCCAAACCAGGGTCTAAAGAACCGCATGTAGCACGGATAGAATGCATGCTAAGCTGCGCCATTCCAGCATCTGCGGCCTTGACGCCCATCGCACTACTCAACATAGGTCCAACTGTGCCACCGCTTCGGGAGTCATTTCGGATCTGGAAAACTTGCGGCGTGCAGTCGCTCAATTCAGCCACTCTGGTAAGAATGGCAGTCGATACCGAATCCGTAGTCATGTGGCCATTGCTGTCCGCAGCAATGGTAATTCCAACGTTGAGGCGAGGCGCATGTCCATCTAAGTAGCGGGATAGGAAATTGGGGTTTACGGCATGACTGACATCGGCAGACACGAGAAATGACTGCGCATAGGTCCGGCCTATAACGCCAGGTCCAAAAGCCTTGTCCTCTCCGCATAGCGACTCGACGGCCCTCTCAATTACAGACGGGAGGAAATTGCCCCTTGCGCCCTGGCGTAAGAGAGAACCAATCTCCTCGTCATCAAAGAGCGCAACCAGCTTTATAACACCGTCGTCATCGTTCGCCTCCGAAGCCAAGAGAGCTTGGAATGCTGCCCAGGAGCATAACTTGTCATCAATCCGACCAGCAAAGATGAACTCCTTATCTAATCCGCCCACGGTCGCGGGCTGGAGATCGAAGAGCTCTAATTCCCAATTCACAATTTGTGAATGGTCTTTAATGCCTAACTGTTGCGAAATTAACTGAACAAGCCTTGGTGGCTGGGTAGCAACAAAAGATCCGGCAGGACCTAAAGGCTCAACTGGTTTAGCATTCGAGGATGAGATATCAGAATTGTCAAGTCCAATAATGGGAACTGCTTCTGTCTCCTTGTTTTGTTGGCCTAGCATGCCCACACCAAAATGGGGAGCAAGTGTTGGTATGCGAGCAACTATGACAAATTAGTATCGAGGGTTACATATTTGATTCTGGAATACTTACTAGGCCAATCGAGTTGTACGAGTCGGCTCGAGGTCTTGCCAGACTCATCCCGCACGATAACTCGACCTCCGATGCTAAGATCTCGATCCCACCAAGTTTCATTCAGACCCCCAGCGTAGGGAGCGACGCCCAGTTGAACATATCCAGCCTTGGTCGGCTTGTTGCTGACAGGCTTTAGTTTCGCGGTTATAGCGTCGATATGACCTGCGATCATAGCTACACCATTGCCGGGTTTATATGCTTTTCCAACCGTGAATCCAATAATGGACGAGCCATTTCGAGTTACGAAATACTTGCCACCAGCTTTAAGCTTTCCAGACCAATCGTCCCGCGCAGGAAGCTTACAATCAACAATTAGCTTAACTAGGTATTTTTAAAATACTGATTAGATTGGGATACCAACCTCCTTATAGCCAAGAGCGTTCAACTTGTCCTTGAAATAGCCAACAGAATGAAATACTGTAGGATTCTCCCGAAGAAACTTGCAGAATGGCTCGGTAAAAGCCTCAGGTTTAGATGCCAGGATATTACACGCAGAACACTTCTGTGCATCGCTCTCAACTATGATATTGGTGCCGGCTCGCTTTTCTTTGGGTATGTTTCGTAGGCAAGAATCGCAAAGGGTGACGGATCCACGGCGAGCTAAGTCGCCGACGACGAATGCTTTCACAGCATCAGATATAGTAGACTCATTTTCGAATTCGGAAGGGTTAGCGAAGCTCGAGAACCGAGACGTGCTCAAAGTATTTGTTGCAGCTTCGCCCCGAAGAGAGAGGTTGGATGTGCGCTGGCACAGGAAGTCGGTTGTGTGTCGCGTCATGGTTACTTGTGGATTTTGAGATGAGTTCGAGCTCGTAGTCGCGTAAGTGAGAGAGATGAAGGAAAAGAAGAAGGAGAAGAAGAAGAAGAATGATTTTTTTCACTTAAGATGTTTATCCAGGAGAAAAGAGCGGTAAGTCAGCCTTGAAATGATTGAGAGACAGGAGGTTGGAACGGTGAAGTTGACAAGACCGAAGATGGCAACTACTGGGCAACCGACTTCGCCGCCGCTAAGAGATTACGACTAAGCATTCTCCCCGGACCCCATTACGTTAGGTACAATACAGTACTTCTTAGCGTAACCTTAACGTGCATTAGGCCCCACTCGGACTTTAACAATACGGGAAGAACATCATCCAAAGGGGTACCTAGGTACCTAATTCAGTAGGTAGAACAAGTTCCAGGTATACAACCACAGACTTGCACGAGACTCTCTCATTTGAGTACATAGTATGAACTTTAGGTACTCATACAAGGTGATATAAAATGCGCTCACTAACAATGTTGTTTTACGCTTCATCTTTTATTACCTTTTATTATGTATATTTCAAACTAATCTTTATCGACCTGAAGCTTTCTAAAACCCGCGCCCGAAGAATATAAACAATGTTATATCTTTAGCTACATCTCTTATAAGTCTTCGCAGCATCTTCAAATTATCATATTCGCCCCAAATCATTATCTTCAACAGCTACGTCTGGCCAGTTACGGCATAAGCGCATAGCTCTGGCTGACGCCATCATGGGCAGAAATTCAAGCCCGGGTGATGCATCTCACACCTCATCGTCAACTACGATGATGTTAGAACTGTTCCTCCTTCTACTCATTCCTGAGAGATTTTATTTGAACAATCCCTTGTCCTCTTCCAGATAATAAATCTAATTATCCTTCTATCCATGTTACTTTGGTCTCTCAATGGACGTCCTTATCTGTAGCGGACTAGCTGTCCTAGAACTACTTACGTTCCAATCCAGTTGGGAACTTGACAGTCCATCGATATTTAAGAGATTTTTTGGTCTTATTTTCATACAATACGCTTGCTTAAAGTTCCATCGCATCGTGATTTACCCGAACTTCTTCTCGACACTTAGACATTTACCAGGACCGAAGGTATTCTATTACAAACTAAACCCAGTTACTAGACCCTGGTATCTCTCTAACCATACGACTAGGATCACAATCTACTTCTCGGGCAGGAAGCTAAAAAGTTCAAAGCCGACGGCCCAGCCGCTGTTCAGCTACAATGGATGCGTACATGGCCAGACGCGCCGTTTATCAGGTACATCTCGTTTGCCGGCAAGGAGGTTCTACTAGCAAACAGCTTAGCCGCCCATAAAGCTGTTCTCCAGACTCACGTCTATGATTTCGTTAAGCCGCCCTTTTTCGCGCGGCTGGTCGGAGAGATCACAGGCGTAGGTCTGCTGTTCTCGGAAGGGGAGGCTCACAAGCGAGAACGAAGGTTGCTAGCGGGCCCGTTCTCAGTCCCCAGCATGAGAAAGCTTCTGCCTGTCTTTCGGACGAAAGCGAGAGCCCTTTCACATGTTTTCGAAGAGCTGCTCGCAGAGAAGCAATATGCTACTTTGGAAGGTATGGCTTTGATCAAAGGCTATTTTCATGATACATATAATATGATATTAATCGGTTCTCAGCGATCGAGACTTTTTCCAAGTCAACCATGGATACAATAGGGGTAACGGTGCTAGGGATCGAATTAGACACTATTTCCTCAATGTACCCTCTAGGTTTCCTGGAACTTTATAATCGCGTACTTCATCAAGGGTTCCTAGGTCAACTTATTTGGGTCATTAATGCATTCCTTCCTATCCGAAGCATCATTCCCCTAGAAGCAAATCGTAAATTCATCCAAACCACTGCCGATTTGAGAAAGATGCTACGGGAGATTATCCAGCAACGTACGACGGACCTCGCAAATGAAACCTTTAAAAGAGAAAATGGAGAATCTAGGGACCTTCTAACGTATATGTTGGAAGAAGCTGAACTACGAAGGCAGGAGACAGGGAAAGAGATTTGGTCTATAAACGACATAATTGGCCATGTAAGTCTCCCCCCCTGTTCCTGTGTTAGCTCAAAACTGACAATATTGCCTGTTACCAGCTTCTCAATTTCACATCTGCAGGTTTGTTCTCAGCCTATCTAATCCACATCATACTTCTAGCTTCCTAACACTGGTTTGTAACTCCTTAACCAGGTCATGAGAGTACGGCGACTACCTTAGCCTGGTCTCTCTACGTTCTCGCAACCCACCCTGCGATACAAGATCGGCTACGGTTGGAGATCACCTCTCTGTTAGAAACCGACCAAGAACCAGACTACGACTCGATTTCTGCTCTACCTTATCTGCACAATTTCGTTAGGGAAGTACTTCGTGTTTATCCTCCATGTAGGTTACCCCGTTTCCCAAAAAGGGTCACCATTTATTTCAGCTAAGGAAACCGTTCACTCAACTGACTGAACTTCAAAGCATATATGGCTCAGCGCGAAGCTACCCGGGACCTTGTAATAGAGGGCGTATCCATACCCAAAGGCACACAGATCGACTTAAACATCCCCCTGGTCCACCAGCACCCGCTAATCTGGGGTCCCGACGCCCCGCAATTTGACCCAGACCGTTGGGACCGATTATCGGGCGACGCAGCCACGCCATTCGCGTTCGAAGCCTTCCTCCAGGGCCCGCGAACTTGTCCCGGCCGTAACTTCGCCCTTGTTGAAGTTAAAACCTTTCTCGTCGAGTTAGTACCGCGATGGCACTTCCACGGCATCGAGCGGCGGGGCGGAGAGCTGTTGGCTTCGGGAGAAGAGCGTCTGGGTAAGGGTGTGAAATTGGCGAATCCGAGCTTAACTTATAGACCAGCTGACGAGTTGCTAGTTAGGTTTGGGCGTGTTAAGAAGCTGCATTAGGGGTGGGAGCGCGGGGTACAATCTTATACTTCTTATTAGCGCATCTACTTTTTGTTGCTTTAAGACAGATTAAAGCAAAGTCATGATTTGAGAGTATTTAATAATTAACTAAGCTATTACTTAAAGTTAATCAAGAAAATATAAGGTACGAAATTGGCTAGAGAAAAAGAAAGACGTAGTTGTACTTACTGCAACAACTGTATTGAGATCGTAAAAAAAGATTAAAAAATTAAAAAATTAAAAAATTAAAAAATTAAAAAATTAAAAAATTAAAAAATTAAAAAATTAAAAAATTAAAAAATTAAAAAATTAAAATCTTTGCAATGCTTATAAATTTTATGCATCACATTATAATATCTCAGGAGACTCACCCCTCCAAGTTTCGACGGCTCGGCCAGGGCCAGTAATTCTGCTCTTTAACTCATGGTCCTATCCGCTTCGGATGGCCTGTGTATTCTGGAGAACTAACTTAATGGTCGCTGTTCATGCTCTGAAGCTGAATCGAACCCGAGGTTTCTACGGCTGTTGTCTCAACTCTGTGAGTCTGGGATCTTTTTTCTGGCTCGGACTCAGCTGAATAATAATTCCATTTATTCGAACATCCCTCTTATAAGCTAAGAAATCGATTGTTCAACGATAGTGTACTTACATGTGTTGGTAGTTGACGATTGGAAGCCTACAATCAAGCGTATAACGCCACATAGGGTACCTTCTGTATCGACAACCAAAAATATAGTAGCAATACCCTCAACCATTACCAGAAGAAGGCGCCAAAAAAGAAGAAAAAAAAACATACAACACCAGGGATTCGCTGGTCGTCACCGACCCAACTACTGATCTGGCGGTATCTGGCTTGTCTCTGGGGGAGCAGACGGGACCCCGAATTTTCCAGATCCTATGGTCGTATGTGAAGGTTCGGTTTGTTGTAGCAGTATATGAAGTAGGTAAAAAGACTACGGTTTGAAGTCCACCTTAGGTAGGTACCCCTGGTTTAAGGGATAGGCCCTCTTTTGTCAAAAATAAACCTTCTATTTTCTCTAACCCACTAAGCCATCATAATATTCCATCTGCACTTCGCTTCCCTTCTAACTCAATGAAAGCTATATTTTGTCTTCTCCGAAAAAAAAAAAATAATGAATAATAAAAATAATAATAAAATCCAGGCTTCATATTAAAAATTACTTTATACGCTCTCCTCACTCGACTCAGGCTTAACCAGCCCCTCCGCACGGCGTGCCTCCATACGTTCATTAAGCATACTTCCCGTATCGTCCTCGTCGTCATCATCTTCTTCGCTCTGCATACCCCCTTCTTCCTCCGCCAGCCCGCCGCTCTCGTGCAAAGATGCTGTCTCCAATGGTCTCCGTCGCTTCTCGAAATCCTGTCTATGCGCGTCGGCCATGATGCCACGAATCGACCGGGCACGCAGCACCTCTGAGCGTCTGCGCCACCGTATCCCGCTCCCCTCCGCCTGTGTCTGCTCCTGCGCCGGCTTTTGCCCTTGTGCTTTAGTCTGCTCGCGGCCAATTGCCGCAGCACCTATCGTGCCTAGGTCGATTGCGCTAGCTGCAGCTTCATCGGTGACTAGCATAGGACCCTGTTCTAGACGCGTTGCCGTTTTCGCAATGCGGTTTTGGTCTTCTTCCTCGCTGCTAGGGCGCTCGATGAGGGGTTCGTGAGGCGGCAATGGATAGGGTAGAGGTACGTCGCGGCTGGCCTTGTACTGGGCGACGTTGCCGCAGTGCTCATTCTCGACACGGAATAAGGCCCACATGCCACGACGAGTGACTTCAGCCAATGCAACAAGAAACGAGACGATAGTACTGTGCTGCTTATTGTGCGTGAATATGGCATAGAAGATCCAGCCAAATCGTAGTATTGGATCAATCACCATGATAACGTAGTATAGCCACCGCCGCTTGAACCCCAGAATGTCACGCAGAAAGCGGTGTCGGGTGTCGGGTTGGAAGAAAGAAAAATCCATGAATAAGTCCCATATCGCTAGACATACGTGTAAGTATTGCTACTCCCCAAACAGCTTTGAAGAGGCGGGCTAGAACTATTCGACAACTTACAGGTATATATGCTATTCATAATTGAAAAAGTAACGAAGAGGCCGAGATTTGATTTTGTGGCGTTCATCCGGTACAGCGATAGAGTTACTGACGCCATAATTGTCATGCAGTACTTACCGCCATTGGCCAGATGCGGGAAGACGTTCTTGGTATCGCGGTAACGGCGAATACATTGCAGCGCACGCCAGATCGGTGGGAGAGCTGAAAAGAACCCTAACAGACGAGAATTGTTCGAATTGCATTGGACGGGGTTGTTCCAATGATGTGCGTAGAGACAAAAGAAGAGTTCAACATTCTGGTTTCTTAGTTAGCCCCTGCAATAAGTTACTAACCATTGACTATCATCACTTACCGCGGTAGCGTATGTAAGAGAGCAATACATGTCACCCAGGAAGAAGTCACGGAATTCAACGGGGTATAATCCTGCGAAGAATAATCGATACTAGAAAATAGTTAACGCGAGTTGAGTTTCCAGGGACGTGATACTTACGTGAGAATACATAAACCACTGGCGACTCTTGTGCCAAAAAATCGGTGCCGGAAGTAGGAGGATAAAGAGCGTAATAGCTATTAACATTACTGGGTAGTATAAATATAATTCTTCCGACCCGTACCTAGTAAAGTTGACCCAGAAGAATATACCAAAAAGCAAGAGGAAAAAGCTGGGGAAGCTGGATAGCTGTCTCCAATCAAGGCTGTTCCTCGTGTCAAATTCGAATATGAAAGGATAATTGATCTTATTAGTTGTCCACATGAAGCAGTCAAGGCAGAACAGGAACATCAAGAAGAGCATTAGAAAATAGCCACCGTATATCTGCATGAGGTAACTGGTCTGCTCTCGCAGAACTGGATCCGGATCGAATAAGAGTTGTGAACCGTACACGAGACCTTGGAGGGTAAATACAGCTCCGGTACCGATGAAGAGGCCATTCCTAAACGCGATCGCAGATTCATCTCCTGGCCGCCGGTTTAAGCGACGGAGCTTTCCCGAAGCGATCTTACGATTACCCTTTTCGAAATATCTCGCGTACAAGTCCTCGACCGCATGGATACAGTCATCCACTTTGGTGCTATTCACGAACCATGCCTTGTTGACTTTCTCATTCATATACCTATAAGGCGGACGAGCATTGACGGCCTTGTCGTACTTCTTGTTCAGTTTTCGAAAAGCAGTCCGGTTGAGTTGAGCGTAAGACTGCAGGAGTTCCAATCCTCGGTAAAACTCTTGTAACGCTAATTTTAACTTTCGTTTCGCTGTTCGATATGGTACCTCATGACTAGATGGTCTCTTCATATAGTCCCTGCGAGAGTCTGAATCCTTCGCACCAAGCACTGGGGTGAAGTGTAATCTTGAAAATGCCTTTGAATTGGCTCCGGGTTTGAATATTCGAGACTTAATTGGATCGACCCAACTGAGAGAATTATTGGTGCCGGACGAAACTCCTTTATTATCATGACTATTTCCATCCTCGCCCCTTTCTTTACGCCGTCTCAGCTCAGCTAATTCTTGCGTACGTCGATTTCGCATCTCGTGTAATTGTTCCCGAAGCACAGCTAGGCGTTGGCCGGCCTGATCTTCCTTTTGGCGATAGAATGTCTCCACCTTATCAAGTTCACTATCTAAGAAGTCGAAAAACTCCTTTTCACGCTGCCGAATCGTTTCAATCGCCTCCAAGCTAGCGCCGAACTTAAAGCTCTCAGTCTTATTGAGACGCTGGGTAAGATGTGGACCGGTTGAGAACATACGTCGCAGTTTGCCAGGAGACGCATCATGTTGGGGCATAGAACCTTGGCGGACATGAGAAGCTGATTGTGAAGGGCCTCTTGGCGCGGACATTCTGCGGTTTACAGGCTGTCGGCTGACGGACTTCTGAAGCGCGTCCGTAGGTCGAGATGGCGATTGCTCGATTGGGATCGCAGGGTCGCCCAATGCAGGATCTGGCAATTCGAACAAATTCCAACTCTCCATCGTTGGAGGTGGTGTAGACACGAAGCTGCCATATTGGCCCCCGTTTCCCGGCGACGTCGTCAAGGATTGACGTTCCGTCCGGGCGGGAATAGGCGTCGGTCGGGATGTCTGTCCTATGTGTTTGGGACTTCCTTGTAGAGACTCAATCTCATTCTCAACTACTGTCTCGGTGCCTCCAGTATGTTGACGAGAGAATCGTCCAGGTCGAGGGGTCACCTCGTGGGGTAAAGGCTCACCCTTTTTTCCCACACCTATTGGTGTTCCATGGGTCTTGTTTATTGCTCTTGAGATGGCTTTGATATGCTTCTTGCCAGCCTTATAATCTAAATATTTGTCTTTCCATTCTGGTTCTTTATGTTAGCACCCGGCGTCTACCTAGGTACTATCTCATTGATATAGTATGTCTATAAGGGTGCTTGGCTATAGCTATACTTATTTCGTACATTGTAAACTTACCTGGTACAAGATTTTGCTCGAGCTCTTTGGCAAACTTCATGACGTCAAGAGGATGAAGCAAGGATTTAAGCTTCAAAACCTTGGTAGATGATCTACTCTGCAACTTTTGACTTGCATGAACAAAGGAATTGAGAATTAAGGCGATCGATGTTGGAATATTTGGAGCATTATGGAATTATGGATGTACCGATATAGCCAATAAGGAATCGGAGTATGAAGGAAATATGTATTGTACGGAAGATGGGCCCCTGAGATGATGCGCACCGCCGTAGGAGAACTAGATCGACGAACGAAAGAAATAAAAAGGTCCGCCTAGTTTGTTTAAAAGCTGAAAAAAAAAGTTTCTGTTACTCCATCTAATAACGGGGTTGATAGGTATTATGGTACGGTACACAATAGTGTACACCGTTCTTCGGTGGGTCTCTTCTGTACCTGCCCAACCAGCCAACCCTAGGTGCTCAATGCTCATGCCTCCTCCATCTTAGGTCGAGATTTCCGTTTAAGGACCAGCGCGAGCCACTCTGCCACTATAATCTTCCGCGCTGTGGTCCACCGTCCGGCAACCCCTTTAGCGCGTCCCCACGTTCAAGCGGATACATCTTATGCTAGATACCTTATGCTAGGTAGCTAGGTACAATGCATACAGTTAGGTACTTCTTTTAATAATAAGTCCAATTCGGCTTATTATGGTGCAGATCTAACACGGATAATAAATTCATAGGGATGAGATGCAGTTAGTATGCTGGTATTTCTAATGACGTTTTTCTTTGATCACATTTGAAAAAGGCTTGCGCCTTGCGCTCTTCTCGCCACGGTTATCTCCGGTTTATATCAGGCGGGTGTCCGAGTCGGGTTGTATTTATTTTGTATAATGTTGACGTGAACTCTTATTTGAATAAGCACATTTTATAGAGCTGAAGTGACACCTTTAATCGACCTCGTCTTAGGTAATTTTAGAAAATAAATAGCCGTTCGCACTTATACACTGTGCTTCAGTGTGAAGTACATTAGAGGTACTTATAAAGAAAATGCGATGCCGTAGAAGAGGTACAATACTGTTAGTTGTAGAAATTATAGGACTCACCAGCCAGTCGGAACAGGGCTAATAAGCTTATTTCATCAGTGGGCCCCCAATTCTTTTCGCTATTGGCTGGTTCTTTCTTCATCACCATTGAGACCACTGTGTCTTTCACCGAGGTCGACGCTATTGAGTGCATTTAAGTTGGCGCTATTATATTAGGTTAGGTACCTAGGTAGTTGTATGTAATAAGTACCTAAACTCTATATACATACCTCCTAGTAGTGCATCTTATGCGCTGCTCTTGGATCGTTTAAATATTGACTTATAAGTTACTAAGATACTAAGATATACCAAGATATAATGGCGTCGTCGACAGCGGGGATAACCCCTCGCCTTGTCATGTACTACCAAACTATCCACGACTCTAACGGCAACCACATCTCAATATTACCTTTAATTACGCAGCCCGACATATCGATTACACATCTAATCGTAGCTGCCATTCACATCAACGAGGATCCAAATGGCTTAACACTCAATGATCACCCCCCTTCAGACCCGCGGTTTATTACCATGTGGGCGGAGATGCGCATCGCCCAAGCCAGCGACATCAAGGTTCTCGGCATGTTGGGAGGAGCAGCTAAGGGCTCTTATACTCGGCTAGACCAAGACCAGGCCGCCTTTGAGAAATACTACGGGCCCCTTTACGATCTCATCCGGCAAAGGGATCTCAACGGCCTGGACTTGGACGTCGAAGAGCAGATGTCGCTAGGGGGGATCGTGCGTCTTATCGATAGACTCAGAGCAGACTTCGGCCCTGACTTTATCATCACTCTGGCGCCCGTCGCCGCGGCTCTTCTCGATCCGAGACGTAATCTCAGCGGCTTCGACTACGAAGCCCTGGAGGTAATGCGCGGCAAACAGATCGCGTGGTACAATACTCAGTTCTACTGCGGGTGGGGCGACGCCAGCACTCCCGTCATGTATGAGATGTGTATCGCAAGAGGTTGGCCGCCGGAAAAAGTTGTCGTTGGTCTAGTTACGACGCCAGAAAACGGACCAGGTTGGGTACCTTTCGACGTATTAGGTCCGACATTAGCAGTCCTACAACGCCAGTTCTCTAAATTTGGAGGCGTCATGGGGTGGGAGTATTTCAACGGGTTACCCGGAGGCAAAGAAAAACCTTGGGAATGGGCGCAGCGCATAACGAAACTATTAGGGGGTAGTCGGGCTCGGGATGCAGGGACAACAAACGTGAAAAGGACTCCGGACAACGGGACTATCGAGATAGATCCGGACGTCAGTAATGGTCCAAATCCGCAGATACCTCAGACTTTTGAGTATTATTCTGACGGGTTGGACGAGGATGACAACTAAGCTGGTCTTGGTGAGTGAGTCACCGTATGTGCGTCAAGATCATACTTCTTGGTGTTTTCTTGTGCTCTCAAATTTTTGTATTGACTGTACAGAACGTCAGGGAGAACATTCGTAAGATCTAAGTCAATGATTGCAACGTTATCTAGGCGTGGGAACATGAATAAAAGGTTTTAACATTTGGTCTATTTTCACAACGTCTACCTACAGTTATCATAATCTGGCACGGTCATCTTGGAACTTGAATGGTACCTGTATGTCCTAAAAAGCGTTTACGAGACAAATTCACGCGATAGGGAAATTTGGTAGTACTTCTGATTGGATGAATTGTACAACCAGACGACGTCTGAATTTCCCTACTGAATATCAATGTGTGACACCTCTACCTATCTTAAGCAAGAATACAGCAAACATTTGGTCAAGTGTTGATAAATATTTCTCCTATCTTCTGAAGAACCCCTTTTTATAACCCAACATAAGCATCATCAATCTTCCATCCGGATGCAACTACTGCTTCTCCGAGAGAACTTCTAGCGCTTCCCGAACCAACATATCCAACTAGGCGAAGCTTATCATATCCCATATGGAGGAAACTGTGAGACTCTCAAGGGTGAGGGCCCATACCATCAAAGAACAAGAACCCATGAAGACCCAAAGGACCCGCCCATCTTTCCGATCTGAGCGACTGAGGAAGCACAGAACCGAGCAGATGGTCGAGGCGGTGGCAGATATAAGACAGTGGAGACGGGACCATCTCAAACTCCACAAAAGTCCCAGAGATTTAAAGAAGAAAGTAGAAGAACGCCTTGATATTTTCCACAGTCGTGTCCCCCCGCTAAACACCAGCAAGGAGACGACGGCAAGTATCACCAGTAGCGAGAATGAACCTCCAGGCAGTCCGCGAAGGAAAGCTCATACCGGAGATTGGCGTCCGAGACTGTCGGAAAAGGGTAAAGGGATGGTGAGGAATCTTTCGTGGCCTGTTATAAAGGAGGGCCTTAAACCAAGGCAGAAAGATCCTCTCCACCAGTGGATGGTTGATCACTCTGGGGGTACGATTAAGTCTACCAGATATTAATAGGATACTATGAGTTAATGAAACAAGTAAATTTATCTTCTCATGTCAGCAATAAGACGAGTAGGTGCTCTTTCAGCTACTTAGAAGCAATCGGTCGATTGCAAGAGGGCACTCACTCCCTTTTTTCCTCCAAAAGGATATAGGTCACATACCAGTATTCAAATCCTTGCCTCCTACTACGCCCGCAATAATTAAGGCTTGCTACATTCCCAAACGATATCAGCCTGTCGAAAATTAAAGGCAGCGAGACGCAAGGCAAAATAGTACACATAGTGAACGATTTTAAGCATAGATATAAGTCACTAAATTATCAAATCTCTTCTTGGCCTTGTCATTAGCATTACCTTCTTTATTCACTGGTCTTTCTCGCCTATCAAACTTCGCTCATAATTCCCAAGTAGTATCCAAGTACTCCGCAGCTTCTTTGCTCAGGTATCGTTGAGTATACACTTTCGAAAGAAACTATGAAGGCCGACTGAGTTCTCGCTGCGAATCAGAGGCGTTTAAGAAGATGCACTGGGCCGATCAAAGTGTCTCTCGAGTACGGTTGAGCATAATGCCCATTGGGTAATAGCCCAAAATTTAGTATGATAACAGTAGGTTGGAGTGGAAATTATAGGGTTAGATAAGAAATTTAATTGAATTAGACCCTTAAGGGATGTTTACTTAAATGAAAAATTTTTCGGTTAAAATATTTTACATTGTTTTACTTTGTAGCAACCACAGGTAAGTGATTTTTGAATATTATTTACTTAAAAACCTTATTTCACAACTACGCTTCATATTTCCAGTTTTACAATTTATAGTACTAAAGAAAACTAATTTTACTCATTAATATGATACTAAAAAATTTCGTTAAGATACTCAATATACCAGCCGTCTGCAACTCACAGGATGGAAGATCTGTTCGTACAAGCTTGATCAAGGACTGACAGCCTTATACAGATTCAAACAAACTAATATAAACGATGCCTCCTTCATACAAGCCACTTGGGTACTGGAAGTGGCTAGGGGAACCGATTATCACATTACCAGACGAGCCGGTTGATCCCCAAAACGCCAAAGAGATCACATCGTTTGCGCTTGAGCAACTTCGTCAAAGCAAGCAAGCATAATGACGTACGAACCATAATTGAGAATACCCCCGTACGTATTGCCTGGTAACAAGCGCTAAGACATTGTACTAATTTACTTGTCAGGAAATTCAGCGTCTGATTGAGCCAAAAGCGATTAGACAAAAGGGCGAGGTTGTTTACCCCGAGATTGAATTAGGCCGCCAGCAACAGATGTCGGCTATCGCAGCGCTTCTTACGGTAGAAGCAACTAACACGACCCCGTGCAATCAATGCGTACATGTGAAGTCGCGTGGTCCATGCAAGGAATGTGTTGCAGGACCTCCTACGCTATTCTCAGGGGCTTGTACGAATTGCCAGTACTCTAGTACAGCTTCCCATTGCTCGTTCTACAAACGTATGTACTTGCACGATATCATACGAGTTTATACCATATTAATGTTGTCAATAGCAAACAAACGCGGTAAAAAGAGAGCCCGAACAGCAGAATCTGAGGAGAGAGAGAGTTCAGGCGGGTTTGTACTGGACAGAGAAACGCTTGACGCCCTTACCACCGCAGAGCTTGAGGAGTATAAGACCATGATCATCAAGGAAATAAACCGCCGTCGGCTTGCACGTATTCCTACAAGCCGTACAAGGATGTGATATGGCTTTTACAGGCGTAGAATAATATTGTATAATTAGTAGAAGTCAGTAAGGGAGGTTATTGAACTTGAAAAAGGTTGGTTGGATTGATATAATAAAAGAATAGGGGGTAGAAATCATTAAGTACCTCTTTTAAGTTCCCACGAAGTATATCAATTCTACTTCTTTTGAGTGATAGGTACCCAACTCGCTCAACGGGCATGTCAACAACTAGATATTAGTCGTGTGACATTTAGATCTAAGTGTTAGAATGCCGTCAAATAAGTGCCTAACGCCACTATTCCTTCTACTAACGTTTCTCAGCGAAATTTAAAAACTAATTAAATTCAAAAAATTATTTTTATATATAGCACAAGTTTATAATTATTCTAGTAGTCATTTCTATAGTATACGAGAGGATTCGGTAAAGCTATGCGGATAGCAAAGTGGCCTGCTTGGTGGTGGAATAGGCACTTTTTTTGACGCCATTCTGAGTCTACACTATGAAGCCAACAAATGTGGGTTTCATGTAATTAAGGAGTTGTTATTATCTCACCTGGTGCCATACGATTTATAGTCGTTTAATACAAGGTCTTTACCCCGTAAGCCAATACGGGGAACAGTCTTACCCCTCACAGGAGCTTTTAATAACTGCGTAACTTTTGAGGATTCATCGTAACCACAAATTATTACCGCGTTGTCGATGGCACAAGCACCGAAAACTTGGCTAATTACTGGCTGCTCCAGCGGTTTTGGTGCTCTGTTTGTGCGCCAACTTCGCGAACAGGGAGACCATGTCATTGCTACCGGTCGCAATGCCGAGACAAGACTTGCTCATCTCAAAGATACTGGAGCGATAATCTTTGACCTCGATGTGACGGCACCACCAGATGTTATTGAAGCCAAGATGGCCGAGGCGTGGAATCTATACCCAACCGGTATTGATGTGGTTGTCAATAACGCCGGCTATGTTTTAAGCGGCGCCGTCGAAGAATTGACGTGGGTAACCTGACAGATGCCAGTGCGAAAAGCTACCTAGGCAAACACCGTAACCCGCTGACAGAACGTAGACAAGAGGATATGGAAGATGTCTTCAAGACTAATTTCCATGGTCCACTGAACATCACGCGCGCACTTCTGCCTCGGATGCGGGCTAGAGGAGCAGGCACGCTCTTATATATAAGCTCACAAGCAGCGTGGCATGCTGACCCCAGCGCTGCTGGATACTGCTCATCTAAATTTGCTCTTGGAGGTCGGTCCCTTTTCCCAGCTCCCTAGGTTAATAAGGAGGTGTCCGCCAATGATTGATTATCTTGCTTAGGTGCGATCGAATGTCTTGCTAAGGAACTTGCCATTTTTGCCCCGGGACTGAAGCTATTAATTGTCGAGCCTGGTTACTTCCGCACGAGTGCGTTTAAGAACATAAAGCATGTAGACCCACGCCGGCAGGATTACGCCGAATTCAACTCTGCCGTACGAGCTGTCGAAGCCAGCACGGTTGGCAACGAGCCCGGGGATCCCGACAAGGCGGTTTCAATCATGATCGATTTGGTAAAAGGTACCGGCGTGGCAGCGGGAAAGACTGTGCCACTTCGAGTTCCTTTAGGGACAGATGGCTGGGAGAGAATCAGGGCCAAGTGCGAGGATATGCTAAAGGTCTGCGATGAATGGGAGGAGGTGGCTAAGAGTACCGATTTGAAGTAACCAACAGCTGTGCCAGGCGAAGGGCATGTATAAGTCGGTTTGTCCACGTCAGTTCTGCCTTCCTGCTCCAGATGTAAAACTGCAAACTTCAAGTTGGCGTAGTTGTCCATGACCAAACATTAAATTATGTGTTTCTTCCGAAGCATATGTTTCTAGCTTCTCGATACTGTCTAGTCCTGGTCGGGTGTTTGTATAGTACTGTTGAAAACCCCCCCAAGAATTCTCCATTCTACCGAACTTAGGTGTTGGGTATTATGTACCTGGCATTTAGGTAGTGCACCGAATAAAGTTTTACATGTTGTGGAGATGTTCAATATCACTCTTTTCAAAGAAGTTTGGCGATAGATTGCTGACTTTACAAATTGATGCCAGTATACATGTATGTAAATTTGCCAGTTGCTCAGGTCTATAAGTTAAAGGGTTACCCCTGACCCTCTGCGCGCCAACTTGTCTACCAGAAACAACGCGCCCTGCCGACGTGGTCTGTGCTTTTCAAGACGCATCTTCAATGTTATTGTCGCGTTTGCAACTTTTATATCTCTTCGAGCATTCCAGTACCTCTTATCGCACGAAGTGGTTCTAGGCTCAGTATTAGGAGTACGACATAGCTCAACTGGATTTTCTGCCAGACCTTGAAAATATGAATTGGAATTCCGAAGTTCCGATTGAAATCTCGGATGGCTCCTCCGAGAACGACGACAGCATCGATTCCGAATCTGCATCTGGGGAGGAACGTCTGAATGAGCTAGTTCTAAGATGCCTCGACAGTATTCAAACTACTGGCCACGTTGCTGCGTCTAAACAGCACGATGCTTTTATCAACCCTGGCTTGACGATTGCTGACGCTCTTATACCATTACATTACCTTTAGTGCCCCGCGATGCTGAGACGATCAGGAGTGCATCTAGACAAGCTCCTTTTGGCAAAGGTGATGAGGTATGTTCTAATGACAACTCCTGCTCTTCTTCTTCTTCTTTTTTTATGTCTCCGGGAGTCTTATGTGATGATGTTGCTAAGTGACGCTCCTACAGACAGTGGTTGACACCTCGGTCCGCAATACATGGGAGCTTGACCACACTCAGTTCACATTTGCGAACCCTGCTTGGAAAGCCTATGTTGCCTCCCTATTAGACGAGGCCGCACGGAGTTTGGCTATGTCAGAGGTGAAAGCTGAACCTTATAAGCTGCTTCTATATGAAGAAGGTTCTTTTTTCAAACGTCATAAAGACTCGGAAAAGGTTCCAGGGATGATTGGGACCTTAGTTATTTGCCTTCCCTCGAAACATGAGGGTGGTAGTGTTCACTTATCTCATGCCGGCAAGAGCTACGTTTTCGAAACAGATAAGACTTCCGACTTCGGTCTTACGAGTCTCTCATAGTTCTCCGACGTTACGCACGAGATAAAGCCTTTAACGTCCGGATACCGCTTAGTGTTGACATACAACATAATCCATACGGGTCGCAAGCAGATATCTGCTGGACTAGTTGGGGAGCAGTCAGGACGTCTTCGCTCGGCACTCGTTCAATGGCAGTCAAAACAATCGTCCAGAGAGAAGCTAGTTTATAAGCTTGAACACAGGTATACTAAGTCGAGCCTGAAGTTAAACAACTTGAAAGGGCGAGACAGAGCTGTATGTCAGAGTCTGTATGAAGTTGGCTTGAGCTGCGGCTTCACCATTTTCCTCGCCAAGATGACCCGAACGCAAACCGAAGAAGATCCTGATAATTACCACTACAGTACGGATGAGAACTATACAGAACTAAAAGACGTCGTAACATGCGACGGATTGACTGTTCGTGGTGATATGTACCTAGATGATGACGAAATTTTAGGGTCAGACCTATGGGATCGAGACGCTGATAGCGAGGAGGAAGGCGATTTCACAGGCAATGAAAGCATGCCATCGACCCTTCGTTATCATGATACAGTAAGTTCTCAGTAGGCTCACCTTATCTTGAGTTCCGTATTAACTCGACGTAGGTGGTTGTTATAGTACCTATGAGCCAAGTGCCTTCTCTTCTTCCTAAGGATGATCCGGGTACTGCATTGAGTTTCGTTGCTAGTACTTTAGAGCACCAACCGAACGACCACCACCTCCAAGATTCTCTATTGACGATTTTAGAAGACGCTGTCACGCGTGGCTCACCGAATAGCACAATACTATCTAACGTAATTGATCTAGCTGTCAAGTTGCAGAGAACAAAACTGTATCAGGCAGCTCTTAATGCTGCCCTAAGAGACTCGACTTCTCGACAATTAGTTTTGGAAACAATAGTCCGACACATAAAGGAGGACCATGCTAAAAGCCCCGAGACATAACTAGACTGGGATTCTTGGTGAGTTGACATTTCCGGTGATCTTCGTAGCCTTTCTCTAATCAATCTAGGTTCGGCAACGCGTTTTCAGGGACTACCGAGATTTCCCTCGTCATCCTAGCTGATGCATTGAACAAACTTGACGCGTTGATACAGGATGAAGATATAAAGCTTTCCTTTGAAAATTGGAAGGCACCGATAGCACAAAAAATGGTTGAGTCAAAGCGGGCATTGGATATGCCAGATCATGACTACTTGATCATCCTGTTATTTACTCGTTCGGGAGACTTGGAGTGGTTAGCAAACTGGTTCGTATAGTTACCTGCTATTTGAAGTATTAACGTTGGATCATACCAGCTGGGCTAATTCGCTGTTTTATTAACCAGGTTTGCGCCAACACTAGCAAGCAAAGGCTCCAGGTTCCTCATTTCTACGATATTGGGGGAGGTATACACCAATCGCGATCGCAAATTGTTTCAAAATGCTACTCATGCGTACCGGTGCATCCTAGAAAGGAGTAATGAAAAATTGGCTCTACAGGCTAGGGATTTTCCATCGCCTTACAGCAGCTATTCCTACCGACCTCTCGACAAAGATAGCCTAGATTTCAAGATAATCATCAAAGTTATCAGCCAAGGTCTGGACTTGGGGTTATCTAAAGAGGCCACTGGATTTATTGAGACGAGCTGTAATAATATCTATAAATCTTGCCCGGAAACCAACGCAAACAGCATCCTTCCAGCTACAACAATTCGAGGTTTTCTGGAAGCTCTATTAACGGTCTTACAAAAATACAAGGTCCCTCCACTCGAATCGGTAAAAAATATGTTTGTAGCCCTCTTCCGTCACGTTCTCATCGGAAAGCTGCCGACGCGTCCAGTAAAGCTCCCAGGGTGGAAGCACAAGCGGATATACTGCCAGGAGAACTGCAATGAATGTAGGCAGCTCAACTCCTTCCTTGTGGATGTCAATGAGCAAACGCGGGAGTTCGCTATGGCTACGAAAAAGCGGGAACACCTCCAGAGTCACCTACGAAGCAATCTTTTCCGTTGCGTTACCAGAACAGGCCGTACGCCGTACGTATTGGTTGTCACCAAGCTGGGAAAAGAATTCCAGGAGGATATGAAGGAGTACGAACGTAGTCTTGCGTCCATTAAGAATCATCTCAGACCGTTCCAGTGCGTGTACGTGAAGTCTCTACTAGGAGAAGAGCTGTACGATGAGCTGGTCCTCTTGAAAGATGAGTCGAGTGCGGATAACTCTGGAATGACGAGGGCTTCTGGTGAGAAGAGGAAAGCAGAGGAGGAGCTGGAAGGCTCTAGTGCGTCTAGGCCAAAACTTATAGAGTGATTTATTAGGTGGCTCGGCCGAAGTGCGGTTTGGCTTATGGAGGAAAGCAAAAAAAAGAAGTCCCTATACGGGATAGAGCCCACCGTACCTTACCTTGACCTGTATATTAAATCTGTATCATAGATATACTAGCCCCGGGAATGCTGGACGTCTTGGGCTGCAGTATCAAAGACAGGCCAGGGGTAGAATATAGATTCGGAACTAAATATGTATAATTTTTAAAGAACATCGATATCTAGTCCAGGGTCACTTACTCAGTGCAAGATCCCGAATATCAAGATACAATTGTTGATTTAAAATGCTAGATATGAATTAATTTGGTATCTTAATGTGACCATTAGTCTTCAATCACCATCCCAAACGCCCCAACCCTATGCTACTATCCCTCACCTAAAGAATGAGTACAACAACTAATATAAAGACACGGAGCATCGCTCATAAAACGCCTAACCGTTAGATAATTCACTTGCCCCCCTCTTCGCTTGCCCTATCCCATCTTCAACCATCTACTCTCAAGCCCCCAAACGCGCGGTCTAACTCCTCGCCCTGATCAACCGCCATCTCGCTAATCCCCGCCGTCTTACCCCCAGCACCACTACCACTAACACTACTACCAGCACCAGCACCGTCGCGGTCCGCAATACTCGTCTCCGCAAACCGGTCCACGGCCTCCGCCTCCTCAGCGGGACGAAAAGCAGCAGCAGCAGGACCACCACCACCGCTGCTGCTGCTACCGCTGCGCTCGGGCAGTAGCAGTCGCTCGTCGCTATCGAGCCACCCGGGCGCGACGCGGCGCTTCTCGGCGAGCTCGCGGTTGCGGATGGCGACGTGCATGTCGTACAGGAGGCGCTTGGACTCCTCCTGGACGCGGTCGATGTGGGCGCGCAGGGCGCGGCACGACGCGACGATGTCGTCCGGGTGCGCGGCGTGGCCCGACGCCGCCACCACGTACTTGACCTTGTCGTCGGTGGCGCCGGTGACGCCGCTCGCGGGCGGGGGCAGCGTCGACGGCATGGCCTTGTATGTGTAGGGGAGGGTGGCGGCTGTGGGGAGGAAGACGAAGGGGGAGACGGTTAGGGGGATTTGCGCGAGGAGGGGATGCGTGCCTGGTTGATGAGGGTTAGTTACCTGGTAGTTGGTTGGTTGATTGTTGGTTGTTTGTGGTGGTGTTGAAGATATGGAGATGGAGATGGGGATGAGGATGGATAGGAGGGGATGTAATCAGGTTAAGTTAGGTACTTACGATCATCCCGCATTGTAACCATTGTGTTTTGCAGTTGGAAAATAATATGAGAAAAAGGTTTCTTATAATGGCCCCCTGACCGTTTGAATTGGTTGTCTATTTGCTAATCGAACTCGACAGTTTATAGTTGGATGGATGTAAAGTCGAAATATCGAAGTCGCTGTCGGCCTTTCCATAGTACCTAACCTACCTAGGAGGTACCCAGCCATGACGTGGGTGTAAGGTAGGTACCTAAACGTGAGAGATCGATAAGCGATAAACCCCTCTGTGCTCCAATTTCCCAAATGTAATTTAGGTAATAGCTTGAGGTACCTACTTTTTTTTACCTTTTAACAACTCCGAGGTCCATTTTCGCGATTTTACTTCTTGACTTCAAGTACCCGTACCTATACTAGCATTGCATTGCACCACGAACGTTGAAGGTCTTGAATACATAAATAAATTCTCCTACGCACCTAATTGCGACGGGAATCACATAAGTCATGCTACCCCCGACCGTAATTAGAACTTGCCCTTCGGCAGACAACGATTTCCAGCCCTTAAGTGAATATCAGGCCCAAACCCCAGATACTTTCTTCGACGGGAAGCCCGTCCTCTACTACCACGACGAAAATGTTAAGGCATGGGTATCAAAGGAGCAATACGAAGCTCTGTATATTTTCTCAAAGGGTTCAGACGACGGCCAGACACCGTTAAATCCTAGTGCGCCTGAATGCTATGCCCTCGAGAATAACTGGGGGAAGCATTTATACGAAGAGAAGGTCGAGGTATTCGTTGCATCAAAGTAAGAAAGTGTTTTACATAACATATAACTAAACTTTGTATTTGCGCTATGTTCCACTAACGGTTTCAACAGCAAGTTGACACTATTCTCTCACAAGAGCGGAACAGGAATTGAGATTCCTTACCCGGCTATTACGCTGCACGCCATCAAGAACTTCCACCATATAGAGAAACCGGATGAGGCTTCATCCAAGTTCGTCGGAGTCTACATGCAGCTGGAATTCTCGAGTTCGGGAGGAGAGGACGACGAAGGCTCCGACCCCATCGAGCTCACGCTTATCCCATACAAAGCTTTGTCAGACGAGCAGTCTTCGACAGAGACCACGCCAATCATCGACCCTTTGAACAGCGGGCGTGCTACCGCCTTATTCAGCCAGGTCTCGACATGCTCTAACTTACACCCCGATCCCCATGAGGAGGACGACGAAGGAGAGGGCGGGGACGAATTCGACCGTATTCTGTTCGAGGGTAGTGCCGAGGGTGATGCGATAGAAGGGTTACCTGGCGCGTTCAGGGGGGATCTTAACGGCGGCTTACCGCCTCCTATGCCGGGAAGCTCCGGTTGGATTACCGCCGACAACGTCAACCAGTATTTCGACCAAGATGGCAATTGGATTGGGGGAGAAGGGGTGAGCGGTGAACTCGGAGACGGTGCCGGCCGCGTCCGTGCACATGTCGAGTTGGATCAGGACGGCATGGATGGGGTCGAAAATGGCGACGGTGCCGACTCGAAACGTCCGCGAACCGAATAAACGAGCCTTTGTAGGAATCAAGCGTCAAAACGTACCTAATAGACCTACGAGTATAGTATATACTCTCGGATAGCCTCATAGGCGGAACGATTCACAATCTGTGCTAGGTTAGGTACCTACCTACTAGGAACCCAAAGCACATGTGTATAGCAGCTTAGCGCATTGAGCTCAATTTACGATGTTAAACAAAGCCTCATACCCTGGTAAGTTCTGTTAATCCAAGATTTTTGTTGAAGTCGTATCATTGACATATAATAAAGTCTGGATAGATGGGTACCCTCGACGCTCTACTGATACTAGAATTAGTCACAATATTTAATAAGGGAAGTTGAACGATCCCGACTATTTGTTATGATACTCGCTGCGGCGATACTATTGTCATATTGCTATATTAGAATCTCCTAACCCAACCCAGTTACATAAGAGGATATGACCTATATATAATATAATATACGACGAAAGTTAACGGATATCAGTACACACTGTTTACATGACAAAGAAAAATACTGCGCTCCCGATGGAGTAAGTAAGAGGTAGAGGTAGTATATAGACCCGCGACCCTAGCGGCTAACCCTTCAGGAACCCCTTCGCGTCATACAAGCTTTCAACACTCGACCTCTTAGCAGTCGCCTCCTCGCGGCTTAGTTTCGTGACATGTGTGATGAGGTGGCTGGCGTGCTTCACGGGGCTCGTACCGATATTACTCCCCCTCTTCGCGTCCAAGCCCTGCAGCACCACCGTTCCTCGCCGGCTTCTGCCCGCACCACTTCTCTGCAACGGGCTGTGGTGATGGTGTTTCGTCCCAGAGCTACCATTACCGTTACCGTTACCGTTGGTGTGAGAATAGGCACTCGCAACCACCGTACCGCTTCCCGCGCTCGACTGGGACAGTCTATTGATATTGCTGTTGATATTGCTGTTGCTGCTATTTTTCTTTGAGTCTCCCCCGCTTCCTCCAAGCAGCAGGTAGTTCCGCATCCCGCCGCTCTGTTTCCCGGGACTGAACCCGCCCCCTCGCATCCCGACGACCGTCGAGCTGGCGACGCTGATGTCGCTCATGGTGCTCAGCTGGCTGTTCATGCGCCGCAGCTCCGTGATCGCCGCCGACATGCGCACCGTCCTGCCGCGCTTCACCGTGCTGTTGCTCGCCCGCAGCGGCGGCACCTGGTCCCCGTCCTGCGAGTATATCGATCCTTCCGACGGCATGCTGCGGCGCGGCGGCGACGACGACGACGACGAGGCTGGGATCCACATTACGGATTCGTGGTTGAACTGCCGCGGCTCGCTTGCCGCAGTTGCGCCCTTTTCGGCGGGTTGTTGTCCGTAATTCGGGATCCGGAACCCGATCCGCGAGGACTTGCGTGCGTTGGATATTGCCCTTACGAGCTTCTCCGGCGACACCTCTTGTGATTTGTTAATTGCTGCTGCGGACCCGGCTTGGTCCTCGTGGTAGCTGTACGTGTAGCTGTCGTAGACGGACGAGAGCCCGGCTTCGGAGATTACCGGGCTGGAGGGGCGTTCGCGGTTCGCGAATGTGGGCGAGTTGATGATGGACCGAGGGGAGGGCAGCACTCGTCGGCGCAAGGGCGAGGGCGTCGGGCTCTTGAAAGAGTTGCTCTCTTGGGAGACGGTCCTTTTGTGCGCGGACCGTTTCGCCGCATCGGACTGCTGACGAGGCAGTTCGGCTGGGAGCGGGGAGAAGACCTTTGATAGACGCGCGGGGTTCTGTGGCGGCGGAGTAGACACTGTGAATGGGTCGTCTTCATTTTCGTCTGATGACGGCGGCGTGAACGACGGCGTGCGCTTAGGTAAACCGTCTTTCACCGATTTTCCTCGAGAGTCTGCCGGAGGCGCAGGTATGACGCAAGGGGCCACCATCCCCAGGGTTCCCCTACGAATTCGTAATGGAGGGGGTACTTCCTCATCGCCGAACCGCGACTTGGGACTTCTCTCCGGGCTCACCTGGAAGTTCCTGTGTGGAGAGAGGACCTGGCGGTTAGAAAGAGCTTTTCCCGGGGCGTGCCTCTCCACGCTCGCTTCGAGTCTTGGGTCCACTGGAGGGCTACGGCCAGATGCTTCTTCCATGCTATATAGTGTTGACAAAGCGGAAGACAGGGTACTCCCATTGGAAAATGGACGTGCAGGCTGACCTCCTTGTGGACTGGGAGTGGGTTCTGTCGATCTGTTGACGCGGCTTGGGCTGGATAAAGCGGTTCGTACGTCCTGGTACGAGTCCCGTTTAGGTGCGATGAGGCTGTCCGGTTCCGATAGAATGGAAGCTTGTGACATGCGCGATATATGGGATTGTTGTCGTGAATGCCCAGGAGTCCGCATCTGGCGTTGAGAGAGTTGTGGCTTTGGGGTCGACCCTTCTAGTTCGGCGTAGGACAGTGTTGCCGGTGCGCTCTTGTGACTCTTGACGGGACTGACATCCCCTCTCTCCGGAGTCTCGTAATAGGGGTCTGTGTATCCTCCATAGTGAAGGTCCTGGATTCCCCCATTCAGTACCCTTCCGGGGGTATATGGGGGAGCCATCAGGGTCTGCCGTCGCGCACTTCTATGTCCGTCTTGCAATCTCTCCGCAGTCATACGCAGAATTTCTGTTAACTCCGTGTCCGTAGCGCTGTGCTTTAATATCGGCTGCCGCTGTGTCTGCCCCTGCGGAATACTAATTGGGGCAGGGAGACGCGCTCCACCGGCCAGTTGTTGCGCGGCTTGGAACGAGACCCTGTTGCGGTATCGTGGGTTATGAATGATATCCGGCGGTGATTTGGACGGGCTGTTGGACACAGACCCGGGGCTTGCGTTGCTTGAGGGCCCATACATCTTCTGCGGACTGGTGTACACCTGAGACTGATGTTGGCTCTGCCGTGGCGTCGCTGCGTATCCGTTGATGTTTGCATCCTGCGGTGCTCTGCTCATTCTCTGCTCATCGGCACTATTACCCGGGTTGTTCTCCTGCTGTCCTGTCCCAGTTTCGGTGTACGGCAGAGTAGGGCTCATTTCGCCTATGCCGCTTCTCGTCGAAAGACGGCTTAAGGAACGGCCCAGCCCACCGTCAAACCAGCTCACTATCCTGTTGTGCTTCTGTTTCGACTTCCTTGGGGATGTGACAGTTGGGCCGTGGAGCGCATCTTCGTCGATCCACGATGCTTTGCGCCGGTTCTGATACATGTCGTAGCCGCGTTCCTTGTCCGGTGATCGGGGCTTCTGACCCTGCTGCGTGTCTACGCTGCCTCGACCGCTCCCATCTCCTCCCGAGAAGCTCCCCGGGCGCGTTCGAGCTGGTGATCCCACGTTCAGGCTTGAGCGTCGGCTCTTGCTCTCTTCCATCCCAACCTCGTCGTCCTTATCCATCATGCTAGCTACCTGGTCACCGATAATGCTCTTCTTTCGTAGTCGTCGCGGGCCGGTCTCGTTCATTGTCATGTCGCCAGACTCCACCACAACCTCGGAAAAGGCAGACATGCGTCGCTGGTCCTGCTTCTTCGCAAGCTTTATGAGCAGGGGTGCGAGCGCTGCGAAGAGTATTACGGCCCCGGCGATTGCGATACCAGCTATAGCCCCCGTGGAGAGCGCCATCCCCGTACCAGCCTCTTTCGCCGCGACGACGGAAGCAGTATTTCGACTCTTGACGAAGGAAGACATTTTTTCTTATATCACCGCCAAAGTAAGGTATAAATAAACTGGCTCCCTAAAGACGTGTTTATACTCCTTTCGATCGCATTCGTACTTCTTCTCTCTCGCACGTTCTTGGCCCGGACATAAGCTGTAGGGTTAGTAGGTCGTACAACGGCTCTGTGAAGATTACATGGATAGAAAAGAGGGAAGTTCGTTAACCTTTCAAAGAGGATAGTAGTCATTAGGAAAGAACATGATGGCACGAATAGGCAGCAAAGAGAAGCGGTTCAAGACGAGCTCGACCTGGAGCAAAAACAAAACAAATCAAAATCTCCATACCCGATCCTAAACATCTACGGGCCATACAATGCCTGGAGAATCTCGGAATGCGTCATCTCGAGCTTCTAATATGCTCCTGGAATGCGTTGCTATTACTACCTGGCGTGCTGTGTAGGCTATGAGGAGCAAGTCGCATTCCAAGCGACATTCAGCTCATCCCTAGCTTACCTAGACAAAGACCCTTCGTCGTAGGCAGAAGAAGTCAGTGTGATAACAAACGCAACCTACAACTAATTGCGATAAGATTTAGAATTAAGATAGACTGCGTTTGATTTCATTTGATGGCTAGAACTAGGATAGCGACTAATAAGACACCCGGCAAGTTGTTTACACGAACCGGAGTAGACTAGAATGTATCAAAGCACCAAACCACAGTATTGCAAAACGAAATACAACATCAAGAAATTGATCAACGGATTACACGAAAGTACACATAGTAGTCTGACTTAATTCATCGTCTTGATATGGCTCATAGGTGGGTATAAAACTCAAGGCTATGGGAATACTGAAACGATCTCTTGCCGGAAGAGATGGATCCCGAGAATGCACCGAGTACCTTCAATACGCCAGTTTGTATGCTTCAAATCAGACCTTTTAGACTCACTGCCCTCTACAGCCGAGTCACTGAACGCCGAAATATAAATCCCCATATGCAATATCACTTTTCAGTCAGGCATGAATTTTGCATCAAGTTGCGAAATTGAATGCAGTCGTATTTGTGTCAATGCCTTCCGTTCTAACTCATCGCATATGCTCTGCTTTTCGACAAGGGGCCTCCCTAACGTGCTGTAAAAAGTCTCCGGGTGAAATCGAATGAGACCCTGAAACATGATGCAAAAATTTATCGCCAGTCCATATTGACGAACAAGTATTTCCACAGAAACGAATAGAAAAGAATGGTTTTTGTTGGCCTCTTAGGATCTCAGAGCGTGGTGTCGGTGCTGCATCGCGTGTCTTCCGTAGAATCTACGCGGCTGCACTGCAGGGGATCCAACTGTCACAGTTGTGACAGACTCCTCGGTGATATACACCACGGGCTCTTTCCAAATGACAACCTCCACCAAGTTACCGCGCGTAACGGTCTCCGTGCTAACTATTTGGTAGGAGACACCAGATTCCGAACTAGGTACTGGCGCCGAAGTCGTGGTTGGCGGGGGAGGCGTAGAACTGGTGCTCGAGGAAGTCGGAGAAGGTGTCTGAGCTGGCGGTACAGCAAGGGCGCCAAAGTCCTGGGATGCGGGAGCCGACTGGGCGGGCGCGATTGAACTTGAGCTTGCCGCAGGTGTGCTAGAAGAAGTAACTGCCGGAACGCTGGAGGATGTAGTGGCCGACGAGGGGCTACCACTAAAGAAACCACCAATTAAGCTCGTTGCGGCGGAAATGATGGGCGATAGAGGGTTAGCATCACCGACACCAGGAGTGGCAGACTGTGGACCAGCCTGGACCTGAATGTTACCAGGAAGGTTTGCAAGGTGACGAGCAGAACCGTCTTCTTGAGCAAGCACCGGCGGAACATCGAATTGGCAAGAGTTCTGTTCTTCGTCGGTCTGAAGAGGTCCGTTGTCTACGAAGAGCTGGCAGTCTCGAATGTTACCGGAAGCGTTCGTGCAGGTGTCAATAGCTTCCTGCAAGAAATCCACGTCCCAGCCAGTCATGAAATCGCCATGGTAGCCAAATCCTTAAAAGCGAATTAGTACTATAATATTAATACAAATTTCTAGAAATATGATTTGCTTACCAGTCGGGTCACCATTGGAGACGACAAACTGTCCATTGCGGCCATGGAATTGTTTGTTGCCAGTATCCCAGATAGTCTCATAGAACAGAGTGACTAATCGCTTCGGATGAGACTCAGGGCAAACACCATTCCCAACCAAGTCGGGATAGGCCACATGGCTCTTGTGGTCCTTGGATGTGACTTCACCGTTCCAGCACGACGGAAACATCAACTCAATGCGAAGACCATCCGGACAGTTCGTGTCAAGGAATTCTTTATCCGGCATATAATGGCGGAGTAAAGAGCCTTCGGGTTCCTTGTGGTAGTTCATGCAGTTGAATCCGATTGCTCGTTGCTCGAGATCATTCTGACTAGTTTGCTTGAGAGCGGCCCAGTCAGACTGAGGAGGGTCAGGCGACTTCGGATCTCCCACGGTATAGTCTCGACGGTAGTTGCTTCCAGCGACCGCCTGGAATCCAGGAGGGAAAGCTGTGACATTGTCTCCACGGAGAAGATAGTATCTATTCTTGATATTAGCTCTGATACAAGGCTTGCGGTATTATGTGGGGTGGAAACTTAGGTAATAAAGGGGCTTGAGTGATAGGAAATAGGCCTTCCTTTATCCTACGTGGAAAGAGTGCAGGATAGCTGAAGACAACTGAGGTTTGTTGCGACAGGTAAGAGCGATTAAGAAGACATTACTTACGCAAGCATTCCTCCAACCTGAGGAACAATTTCAAACTCCTTTGTATCGCTGTCTTGGAAGTAGAGTGCGGGGGTCCAATATGCCGATTTGTCTTGCTTCACGGCACATGAACTGCAGCTCCCCTGTCTAAGCTCATCGTAAGTAGCGCTGAGCGAAAAACCTATAGAAGGTGGTTAATAGGTATACCAATACACAATATACAAGACGGGCGCATAGGGAAATATAGAAACTTACCAGAAGAGCCGTGGACGGTATGAATGTGAGGAGATACCACACCAGCATCCATAATAGGATCAATGCGAGCTAGACCTGTACGGCCATGACACTCCATACGCCAGAAAGCTGATACATCCCCAAAGGTTCCCAGAAGGAAAAAGGCAGTCAAAATTTTAGACGCCATTTTGCGATCGGCAGATTTGACCTGGAACAGGGAAGTTCGTTGATTTTGATCAAGAGGCTCCGCGCAAAGTTGTTATTTGCTCGGAGTTTGTCGATATTTTCTCGGTTGCAAGGAAATGTGTAGCCGGCTCACAGTTTCGTTGCTTTGTGCAATTGTTTGTTTGTCGCTAGGCACCACAGTACAGACGATGGAAAGAGCGCAAGTCCAGTAGTACACCCGTGACTCCTCGGGCGGTTAAGCGTCAATGGTTCGTTACTGCCAATACGGATGATTCACTGTCGGAAGCCTAGAAACTGGCACTCTTTGTGCTGCAGTATGCTGAATTCCCGGGTCGCACACCCAAGGCTGCCGATGCTATTGCCAATTCCTTCCACCTCGGTTTCCTTAATTCACTATTCCTACCAAATCCACACTTGCTATCCAGAGCAATCAGAACCCCCCCAACACTCGTGGTAGGTAGTATCTGATTGGCCTGTGCGTAACCTATGCCAAGTGTCGCGAGATCCACGGTTTGATATCGAGTAGTAATACCGATGCAGGTGACCACGGTTTCTGAAGTTGACTTCCTAAGCTTTTTTTCTTGCCTCCAAATTCAACGATGCGCAATGCCCAACGGAACAAATGTTTGCTTGCTTTTTTGAGAGCCGAAATGAATGCGCTCGACACAAGAAAAGAAAGTGATGATGCCAATATAATCTAGATGGAGACCTAGACTTTTGGTGAATATGGTAAAGAGCGTGGGGTTGACGTTAATCGTCGAGAGTTGTAATGAGCGGAATGATTCGGTGGTAGTGAGGGTGAAGACCCAAGAGGAGCAGAAACGAGAGACGAAAAAGAAAAACGGCGAAGGCAGAGGGGATATTGAAAATAGCAGTGCTTAGAAAGGGCGAAGGGTAAAGGAGCAGGAGGGTAGGTGGGGATTGGCGGATAAGGAGGTGTTTGGCAATCGTGAGACAGTACAGGGCAGGTACGATCCGGTACATTGGGTACATCCACATAGAGAAACCTGTTCTGCCTGGTAGCACAGCATTTGTACATGCATTATAACAACATAGGTACCTACCTCCTACCTAAGGTACTGTCTATACCACTTACCTTCCCTAACTTGCAAACGGTTTGTACAATTACCTAGTATGCGCACAGGTATTATCGTCCACGTTGTACCTATCTTATTTACAGCATCGTTATACTTAGGTATTCGTCTTTTCAAAAGTCGAAAAGCCTACTTAACAATATCCTCCTAGTTCCGCAGAGAAGGGTTTTCTTGCAAATCTTAGCATAAGCGACGGCTCGGTTCCATCTAGGAAACCCTATAGGATCGTCATTTCTCCCAAAAGAAGATTAAATGTTTTTTTTTCTAGAGATGCTAGATTAGGTCAGATCTCTAGGCATATCAATGTTACGTCATCAAGGGGCTCTTTTCTCATAACGTTTATTGGCCAGAGATATTCAGGGACAAGAGCAAAGGGGTAACATCCTGGACTTGTTCTACGCAGGTACAGATATGGTTTCTCCAATTTCCCAGCAACTGGTCCAAGATCCGGTAGCAGCCGAGGGATGTACCTAAGTACCTGATATGCAATTGCTCTGAGGCCCGGAGCAATTGTTACACAAAAGGAAACTGAGTAGAAAATGGCACAGCAGAATGGACTTCGCCAAGATAACCATTTCTCGTAATGCCTCTATTTTTACTTCTCAACGGCGCATGCATAATCGATAATGGCGGGTTCATACATACCTGTATATATAATCCTTTACCGACATCAGTGTTTGCTTAGGTCCTGCACGAAGCCGCCCATGGTCCTCCATATTCAGCTGTCTGGTAACCCACGACCGGGTCCGACCTCCGTGTAGCTGTTAATATTATTAGGTGGAGATCTCAGGGTCTACAGTATTCCAAAGTCTTGGAGATTTGTGTTTGTTTGATAGGTAGTGGATGCAGCTACAGTATTTTACATTAATCGCTCAACAGCGCTCCATAGTCATGGGTACCTATTTCCATATCAACCAATCGCCTACCTAAGATGTAGCTTGCTAATTGAACTACTTACCTCAGGTTAGGTAAGCTTTCACTCAGAACTTGTTCACAATTAATCTCAAAAACATATATTAGGTAAGTATAACTCTAGCATTCATATTAGGAATGCCATAAAAGGGTGTCCTGATGCGATAAGCTGTTGAATGCACAATGTAATATGCACAATATGATATGATATGTAAGATCCAATCAATTTCCATACGCGCAGAAAATTACATGGGTAGCGCAGAAGATAGCCAGTACTACTTTGTAAGACAGACGCTTCTTGATCCATCGCATCCTTCGCGATTGTTCTTGAGGGGTATTTTTGATAGCAATAATCCCACGTACCTAGGAATAGGAAAAGGGAGCATCCAGGTTCATGAAACCTGTTTCAGGCCCTGACCCCTGGAATTGTCCAATCAAAACAAAGATTTGACTGGACAGTTACTTGGTTGGGAATGTAGATTTAGACCATGCTGGAAGGAAATTTCTTAGTTGAAGTTAAGATCATTAGTAGGTACCTCTTTAGAAAGTACAACGCGGAGAATTAATTCCACTTTATTCCCATTATCTTCGCTAATACACCATTTAGCTGTAATACTTGCTAGTACATAATGAATACATGCAAGATCTCTTGAGCAACACGTGCGACCACTGCACTCAACTTGGATTATGATTGGTGAGAGCAACATCCGGCGGGAAAAGTTGCACTAGATACCCTGTTATATCGGTCAATTGTATACGGCGTCTTTCTTTCCCCAGGTCACCAGTTGGAAAGGATGACGAAATGATCTACCTGCTGGAATTTCCTCTAGTGCAAGACGCACACTGTTATTGGCCGCTTCCCCCGTAAAGTCCTTAACTCAGCTCATCACAATTAAAACTAGAGATGGGTACGGATTAGGCGTATTATGACATCTACCTAACGGCGACATAGCACCTCTGATGGTTTAATCGTCGCTTGATAGGAGGTACCTAATAAACCTACATAAGTTAGGTAAGGTAGGTAATAAACCTACCTACATATTATGTACTATGTAGTGGAAGGACCCAAGTTCATTTCTTCCCTAAGGGAGGTGACATATGGTAGGAGATGCCCCTTCGTGATTTCACCTTCCGAGTAGATCATGTAGTTAGCTATCTTAATGCTGTCGGGTTTACCGTAAAACCCTTCAATTTAGTGGTATTTTCCCTAAGCTGAATCTGGCTCTTATGCGAAAAAAGGGGGATCGACAACCACAATTTTAAGCGACCTACCTGGTAAGTACTATGTACATAAGGCAGGTGTGGATAAATTTGAAACAGCAAAGCCCAATGCTAATGGATTGGCAATGCCAGCTCGGGTATGTTCAGATGGCACCTAATAGTCTAGGTATACCAGGTAGATAGAATTGCAACATTATCCCTTTAGGACCCAAACATGGGTCCGGCTACTAGCGTAACTTTTTGACCAGGAAAGCAATCTCGCTACCAAGCTATTGTCCCCCTGTATGTATCTTTTTTAAACATAGCGTGTTTTTACGTGTGTTTAAACGCGTTTGTACTTAATTCTAGACATTTTTAAGTATTTGGGTTTTAATCGTAGCTTTTGATATTGCAGTAGGTATTACGTTTAAATGACTTACTTAGGTAGTTATCACGATATTGAACAGGTGTGGGGTATCTTAGTGTCATGATCAGTATGATCTCATGTATTGTAGTCACTCTCAGGCTATATAAGCCTTACCCCCTTCAAGATCAACGATCATAGATGATCAAGCAATCTTCCATCTCGACACAATTATCCAGAGCTTTACGGACGTTATCTTAGATTCCTTTGATCACCTCTTAATATATCTTCTTTTGGCCCTATTGCAGTCTATTCTCATGATATAACCTCGACCATAACCACCACCACCCGTATCCTCAACATCATGAATACCTTCCCAGGCGGCTAGTTATCTTCCCAAGCTATTCATTGCCTACTGATCAGGAGATTGAATAGTCTTGAGTAGAGGGTATCTACCCCCAGGAGGCTTTTACCCTCCTGTTCAATATAAATGTTAAATGTAATATAGTGCTTTATAATATTAAGGAATATTAAAACGCGTGGCATAAAATAAATACGATTAAATGATACATTAGCCTTATAATATTTATTAATACAATGGTTAGCTTTAATGAAAACACTAATATTCGAATCATACTCATTAAAAAGTCAATATAAAATAGCTTTAACAGCGTATTTGTTTAATTGTTTACAAGCATATAATTCAATACATTAACCAAATAAAGCCTCATATTAATTTAGTGGAAATATGTTTAAACGTTGAATTTTGATACGTTAAGGCTAGCTACCTAACAATACGCTACTGCATACTAGTCCTGGACCCATGTTTGGGTCCTAAGGAGATACTATTGAATTGGTGAGTTCATTGGGGTCCGAGATTCCACAATAACAGTTCACATAGGTATTCTGTATGCAGGTGCAAATGGGTAAGGTAAGAAGCAGTACCTAACGTGGGTGCTGATTACCTAATATAACTACCTAATCTCTAGCTACATGTACTACATACATCAATGTATGTATCTAGATAGTTAGGTGCATATAACAAGGTAATCAGCCACATTCGCTGATCCACCACCGAATGCACTAGCCACGTTTTATTCCAAGCTGTTGTCAACAAGTTAATCAGTCAATGCTGGTGAAACAAGTCGAATGCGATAGCACATGGAAGATAGCTTGTTCTATGTAAACATCGCTGCTGTTAGAGGTTGCAACTTAACAATGTGGTTTCCTTAATAAATTAATATTTACATTCCTTCTGCGCGACTATGGATGATCTTTCCGGCCTCGATTGGTCTTCGACCAACCCGAGTAAAGATGCCAGCAAACCTCCCCCTATGAATTCCATGAATTCCATGAACTCCTTGAACTCCATGAACTCCACGAACCCGCCTACTCTCTATCCCACTCTACGACCGACGCCGTCCCCTCAACCTTCCGCCCGATCCACGCCGCTCTCAACCCAAGGTTCCGCCTTCGCCGCCCCGAAGCCACAAGCGGGAAAGCCGACAACCGATAGTTTTAGTGGTCTTGTGAGCTTTACCGGCGCCAAAAGCAACGCCAACCTAACCCTTCGAGAACGGCAAGAACAGCTAGAAGCACAGAAACGTCAGAAAGAAGAGGAGGAGAGGCAGAGACTGCAATCACAATATGGAGGTGGCCAATTTTGGGATAATATCGGTCAGGGTTCTACACCTGCATCCCGGACCCTTTCTCCAGCTATTCCAACACCGTCGGTCAGTGGCGGAATAGCAAGTCAGAATGGACAGAAGAAAGATGATGACGATGATCTTTTCGCTGCATTTAACAGAGATACAAAAGTTGACAATGCCAGCCACTTTCCTCCACCTGCACAGCAATTATCTAGGAATAGTACACCAGCTAATACCGCTCAGCTGGACTTGACTAATGCCAACGCGTGGAACCAAGCTACGACTTCAATTGGAGGCGCGCTTGGTGATGACGATGACCCATTCGGCCTGAATCAGATGAAGAAGCAACCACACCAGCAATTGTCACTTAATGACGACGACGACGATTTCCTGGGGGATCTTGCGAAGCCTGTTGACGAGGTGCGGCGCAAAACCCAAGCTGCCCAGCCTAAGCCAGAACCTGGACGGCCTATCGAGAGCAATGACTCGGACTCCGAGCCCGAAACTCTTACAACAGGAGCCAGTTCAGATCCGTTTGACAAGGCTGTCGCGGAATTAGTCGAGATGGGTTTCACAGCCGAGAATGCAAGACGAGGTTTAACGGAAAGTGGCGCAGGTCTAAATGTTCAAGCAGCCGTTGGGTGGCTCCTAGATGATGCGCATAGGCAAGCTCGTAGTAAGAGGTCCCCGGCGGAATCCGCTCCCGAACGAACTAGGAGAGACGATAGCCGTTCTAGGAATCATGGCAATCCCGCATGGATGAGTAGAGACCAGGCAGATGATCTTCCTGCGCGGAGAGATAATCGATCCCCTGCTTCCGTGGACGAATTTTCAAGAAGAGCCGCGGCAGTGGGCTCTAGTTTCTTCAAAACGGCTAATTCCCTTTGGAAAAGCGGACAGAAGCAAGTCCAAAAGGCAGTTGCTGATTTTCAACAAGAAGGTGGCGACTCTAACCAACCAAAATGGATGCGTTCAGCCCATTTAGACAGGTCGCATGCAGAAGAGCGCGCGTCTCAAAGTGCCACAGACGAGGCCCTAATGCTAGAATCTGGTGCGCGACCAGAGAGACATTCGTCTAGACCTACTCAGAGCCGACATAGCGAACCAAGAGATCAGACACCTGCCTTACCCACTCGACCACGCACACATTCTCCAGGGGTGGTGCCAAAATGGCAACAAGCGGTACCACCAAGTTCCCGCGATCCCAGGGCACGCTTAAACAAGCAAGAGATTGAGGAGCAAAGTGCACAAGCCTACGTCAGTCCTGCGAGGAGAAAAAAGGCTACACCTCAACCAGCACATTCATCTGAGTCTGAGCCTAATCTGTTATTTGATCAGCCATCTCACCAACCTTCTCAATCTCAGCCCCGGCGCTCAGCTCAGTCATCAACTCCTACAATTAAACCGGCTACACGGGCCCCTTCAAAACCTATCACCCCACGGCCGGCTCCTCCCGCCCGAAATATTCCCTCCATCCCTCCATCAACCTTAGAAGCTTCTACACGACACCGGCTCGAAGGAGCAGCTCATTTCAAAAGGGGAGATTACGACGCTGCATATACAAGTTATACTAATTCCCTAACCGGCATACCACAGTCACATCCCATTTGCATTGTTTTACTTACAAATCGTGCACTCACTGCTCTCAAGACTGGTAGTCCTAAGCAGGCTGTTAGCGATGCGGATGCTGCGATCAGCATCATTGGGCCCTCTCGTGGCGAAGGCGAGAAAGTCGCATTGCCTGATGGTGAAACACGCGATATGAAAGACCTATACGGCAAAGCGCTCAGCCGAAAAGCCGAGGCTCTTGAGCAGATGGAAAAGTGGACAGATGCTGGGAACGTTTGGCAGCAATGCGTTGAGGCGGGTGTTGGCGGTACGAACGCAATTGCAGGTCGACAGCGCTGCCAGAAAGCACTTGCTCCTAAACCTAAACCAGCTCCAAAGCCGGCACAGGTAGCTAAGCCGCGACCAAAACCCTCCGCCGTATCAGACCTTAACCCGCAAAGAAGCTCGGAAGCGGTGCAGCGCCTTCGGCAGGCCAATAAGGAAGCTGAGGCAGCTGATGATGAAAAGTTTGCGCTTGGCGAGAAAGTCGATGCTAGGATTGCTTCATGGCGTGACGGTAAAAGGGATAACTTACGGGCCCTACTCGGGAGTCTTGATCAGGTGCTGTGGGAAAATAGCGGATGGAAAAAGGTAGGCTTGCACGAGTTAGTGGTTGCAAACAAGGTCAAGATACACTACATGAAAGCCATTGCTAAGTGTCATCCTGATAAGGTGAGTCGTCAATTTCTATATGAGATTTAGCTACGTTTATATGCCGCGTCTCGCATCCCATACTAACAGGTCTCATATAGCTACCTCAAGATGCGAGCACGGAGGTAAAGCTCATTGCTGCCACGGTATTTTCCACCCTAAATGAGAGTTGGGATAAGTTCAAGGCCGAGAACGGCTTATAGGTCTCTAGTCGCATCGATATGAGAAGATATACCAAACCTAAAAAAAACGTGAATAGTGTAGATAGATATGAGACCACGAACATAGACGCATTGTAGCAGCATAGCAATAGTCAATGCCAACTGATTCTAGCAGTGATAAACAACAGCGCAGTCAATATTTCTCCTATCTGCACTCTTCAATTTTCAGCCCGGGATATCCTAGCTCTGCTGTTGTTATTACCATAGTACCTGAGCAGTTCCGTTCCTTGCTAACCCAACCTGAGTTAAGTTACCCGGGCCCGGATGTTAGGGTCCCAACCTTTTGCAATCCCCGGTTATTCTTAACTAAAGCAACTTATCCTCAAAGGCTATCTCCTACTTACGTCAAAACTTTCCTTTTTCTACTCATAAGTATCAAATACCAAATACCATAGTGGCATATGGCTTCTAGCGTACTTGCTACGAGCATGGCTGCGGATTACCGAATAGGGGAATCCGACCACGAGTAACGTCCTTTAGTGCCAGATGCCATTGACCCCGTTTTCCCGAATTCGTTCAACTACCTTCGTAGCAGCCTCGGTAGGGCGAAGGACTAGGCGATGTTTGGATCTCTTTTTGCGGGGGACCCCGTTTAGATGTTGCGATCTGACCTGCATGATGCCAGCCATCCAAGCCAAACCAAGCCCGGGTTTTATGTTGTAACGTCTTGCCATCTATGGTTTACACTAAACAACTGCACGTAATCACTCTAGATGAAGACATACCTAGGTACCTTGAAGTAGTTTATCTAGTGCAATAACTACCGGTACTTGCGTTGAGGTACTATACAATTATTACAGTATAGAAACTACCCCCTTGTTTTTATATAAGGAAAAAAAACTTTTTTCTCCAACTGCCTGATTAAACACATTTTAGAACTCCCCGAAGCTTCACATCCTCCGCAACTTCTCCGCATTCCAACATCAGCGCACCGCCACTTATAGCACGAGGCCAAGGGCGCTATACCATTCACGTAGGTTCCGATCTGGGTTAAAGCCCCACTAAGCGCCATACTTCCCCATTTCCCATTTCTCCTCCTACTCATTCCGTGGTAGTTGGGGTACATCGCTAGCGGGTACCTAGGTAGGTAGACCCGGCTCCACCCCGGCTTTCCTATGCTTACTGGTCGCTTGGGGGTTGCGATGAAGGGAACTTTCCAAGGCTTTGGTGTAGCAGTATTTTTTTTTTTTTTTTAGGTAATTGTGAGACATTATATATATCATCTACCGTCGGCTTGCCTCGATTCCCAATTTACTTTTCCCATTGCCTCTTTTTTGACACATCGGATGTTAGCCGTTCCTGCTTTTGCTTTGTTCTCGGGGTTATAATACCACGAGCATCGACTACGGCCGCAGATCTTTAACCACTTTTAGTCCCGCTGCCCGATCGATATCGACGTGGGACCAATTCATCCCTATAGAAGGCCACCTGGGTATAGATCTATGTCGCGCGATTGGTCTTCAGTTGTGTATCTCATCAGCCTCTGACCCGAGCAGCCTTAGTATATCGACTTTGGCCGAATCTCGCATATCAACTCTGAACGCAAGCTAAATTTGACATATTCATCATGGGGAAATATTTTGGCCTTCGAGGCAACTGGCTGAACTATGCCATAGGCATAATTGCCGGATGTGATTTCTTACTTTTCGGATATGGTGAATATGTCCAATCGGAATATAAGGTGTCACTTAGATAACCTAACAGTATCTTAGATCAGGGTGTGATGGGCGGCATTCTCACCATGCATCAGTTTCTTGAAGCTTTTCCGGATATAAATCCAGAGGCTCAAGATATAGACAGCACAGAGCAAGCGAAACGAGCGTCGACCCAGGGTATCGCTGTTGCGGCATACAACCTGGGATGCTTTGTCGGCGCCGTTACTACTATTTTCATCTCGAACCCCCTCGGTCGAAGGCGAATGATTATGCTTGGCACTACAATCATGGTTATCGGTGCTATCCTACAAGCTAGCGCTACTACGCTCCCTCACTTCATCATCGGCCGTGTAATTACTGGACTCGGAAACGGAGGCAACACGTCAACTGTTCCTACTTGGCAATCGGAAACTTCGCGCTCTCACAAACGAGGCAAGCTGGTTATGATAGAAGGTGCTTTAATTACGTGCGGTATTATGATCAGCTACTGGATCGATCTCGGCTTCAGTTTCATCGACAGCAGCGTCGCTTGGAGATTCCCGCTTGCTTTCCAAATCGCATTTTGCTTGTTTATCTTGGCCTTCATTTGGAATCTGCCAGAGTCTCCGCGATGGCTAATTTTAAAGAACCACGAGGACGAAGCCCGGGAAGTCCTTGCCGCTCTAGGAGACACAACGGCCGACTCTCAGGAAGTTCAAAACGAGTTTACTGCTATCAAGGACACCGTTCTCGAGATGTCCAAGGGCAGCTTTAGCGACTTGTTCACTATGGACAAGGACAGGAACCTCCATCGCACGTTACTTGCTTTTGTGAATCAGATGTTCCAGCAGATCAGTGGAATTAACCTTATCACGTATTACGCCCCTGTTATTTATAGCGGACTCGGTATGAACGACTTTATGGCTCGACTACTCGCTGCTATCAACGGTACAGAATACTTCCTTGCTTCGTGGCCTGCTGTGTTTCTCGTCGAAAGAGTTGGTCGGCGGAAGCTCATGCTCTTCGGTGCTGCCGGCCAAGCTATCAGCATGGCTATTCTGGCTGGTGTAAATTCCGCGCCTGATAATAAAGCAGCCCAGGGTGTTGCTATTGCCTTTTTGTTCGTTTTCAACACATTTTTCGCTGTCGGCTGGCTTGGAATGAGTAAGTGTCTAATAAGCATTTCAGTCTCCATATGTTGTCTCACAAATTACGGACAACACTTTACCTAACAGACTCGCGTAATTACTCGGAAACATGTTATGGAATTTTGACTGATTAATATTTTTCTGTAGCTTGGTTGTACCCCGCTGAAATCACCACTCTCCGAACCCGTGCGCCGGCCAACGCGCTCTCCACCTCTTCCAACTGGATCTTCAACTTCCTCGTAGTAATGATCACCCCCATAGCATTCAACAACATCCGGTATCAAACTTACATCATATTCGCAGTGATCAACGCGTTCATGGTGCCATCGGTCTATTTCTTCTTCCCCGAGACGGCATACCGTTCGCTCGAGGAGATGGATTCCATCTTCCACAAGGTACATGGTGCCAAGGGTTACTTCACGGTCGTGGACATAGCTGAGAAGGAGCCCCGCCGCTACGGCAAGAACGGCGAGTTACTAATCGTCTACGAGGAGACGGAGGAGCATAAGGCCCACATCGCGCGCCCCGCGCACAACGAGGGCGGGGGTTCGGGTTCGGGCTCGGCCTCGCTGGCCACGGATGCCGAGAAGGCGCAGGGCGGCGCGTTTGTCGAGAACCACGGCTAGAGATTCATGTATATACCCATTATGTGCTATTAACGGGTAGTATTTTACCACCCTTAATTTGAATTACCTAGATCTCATATGGAAAGCTCCTATGGATAATTAGATGATTATTTTTAGTTTAGAAGTTATTTATTTAACCCTATTTACTGTATATATCCATTATGAAGGAGAGCCTTATGGCGCTTAAGCGATAGAAGTTCGAGATCAAATATAGTTCTTGGAACCACCACTACAAGAACTATGATGCCTAGCTTGAGTGATTCGATTATCTCCAAGATGGGTAGGTCCGTAAGTGAATAAAACACATGGTTAGGTAGGTACAATCCCTTGCTTCGTGCCAGGAGAGATATAATATTTGACGAAAAGGGTAACCCGAAGACGAAGTAGTGAGGTACACCTATAGGGGAGCGCTAGCTTCGGACATCCTTGACATATAATTTAGCCTCCTATAGACATTCCCTTCGAGACAGATAGATCTAGTGATTCGCCACCTTGACTTTAGATACAAGTGCTCGAGTTAATTATTGATGTAATTATGTAACTATATCCGTATTATGGACCGGATAGGGCTTGAGCTCGTGGATTCGTGAGGTAGAGGGTCTCGGTATGCTCCGGGTTACTCTATCTAACGGCCCGTTGGGTTGAACGGGGAACCCAGCAATCGAGTGCTTCGGTAGAAATAAACTGGTGCATTTGCATAATTCCGGAGTGAAGGGTTTAGGGTGAGGGGAGTAATTTAAACGACGTGCACGTACAAGATCCAATGGGATTTACGTCGATGTTAGAAATTCTAGGTCGGCTTCCTCGCGGCGAGGTATGGGTTAAGGGATAACTAGGTAGGTACCTAAAGCGATGAGATAACTACTAAGTATAAGTTTTATATTAATAACACTTTGGTGGGCTCAAGAGTGTGTATTGTATGGGCTCTGGAATTGCTGGAGAACAGGGCGTTTCAGATATGGGACAATGGCTTAGTCTGAATGTCCTCACATGTCGAGGCTAGACAGGATATAACCTCGCTAGCTAGTGCCATGGACGGGGGCGGGGTGTAGAGTCTAGGCTTTCGATATCCACGGAAGCGGAATGGTTGTTGTACTGGAGGACCAGAATGAAGGGTAAAAAAGGAGTTGGTTCCAAAATTATGTAGGGCGAGGATCTGTTACCTTGGCTCAAGTTCATATAGTCTTTTATTGTGAGGACTACATCCCCTTACTACAGTTGTTCTCCCGCTCTAGTTCTACTCAGTACCTTGTATATCCCATGAACGCTGATTATAGACCATACTACCTACCTACGGTAGTATACCCAGGTCCTTATCTGTACGCTTTAATGAAGAGTTCCCTCTCGACTGTTAGACCTTGGGTACTTTCACGTTCAAAGCTTGAACGACCTTCGTTAGAGGTAGGTATGCCTTTGATGCATATATATCTCTACGCCATAGCAGCAATATCACTTCTCAGTACGGGTGTTATTGCATCTGACGTCTCACTTGACGCAAACCGTTTAAACGTTCATCATCGTTATTCGGGAGGGCACTTGGCATTTCCACAGGATTCCTGCTTCAGTCAATTAAAATAATCTGACCCATATGTTCTGGGCCGATGGATTGAGAAGGAGACCCGATCCTGTTACTTAGGATAAACTCATGATCCTAACTTGTTTTATGGTTGCTTTCAATGGGAGTGCCAGGTATGCCTGTCATGGTTGAATTAGTAACACTTGACCTTCTATCCTCCTTTATACAGGCCATAGAGCCCTACTCTAACCAGTCTATCTCTGTATCCCCACATATCCCTAACAGAGAGTAACGATGCAAGCAAGCAATTCTCCTTTTCTTTTCGGATTTGAAATCGTTGTTGTGTAACTCATGTTGCGTTCCGCTAAGCCGCTAAATAAGAGCCAGTTGAGAGAACAGTAATTAAGACGGGAAACTTCGAACCTATGTCAGGATTTTAAATAATGCACCAAAGACGAAGATACTTTTATATGAATAGACACAGTCTTGTACAACCGGACTGAGCTCCTTGCACAACAGGAAAATCATTCCCATCGCTGTTTGCTTCCACCTAGCCACGTAGCTTATAAGCTTGCCAGTCCCCAATGATCCAGACGCCAGAAAAGAATACCTAGCGCAACAAACAGTTTAGAAGTACCTACTATCTGGTTTATCTCTTGTCATGGGGTTGACTTTGCTTCTCTTTTTACTTATTAATAAATCGCTGTAACCCCCCAACCATCGTTCGTGAAACGCGATGTTATGATATTGATAGGTATATAACCGTGAGTACACTATTGTCACAATCCCAGACACTGATCGCTGTTCATTCATGTCTCTGCAAACAACATCAGACCTTGTCAGCAATTGTTTATGTAGATACCTACTATGGCTGTCAATCTTCATGTTCCTCGCTACATTGTTTTGTGACAGCTCGATGTTGATTTTAAAGACTGAGACATAGTCACTACGCGACTATTATATGCTTTGATTTCAGGAATATATAAGCTACTTGGTATCTACTCGCATTCCTTCGCCACCCGCTATGGGGAAAGACAGCTAAACATACATATAACTATCATTTAGTCTAGCCAGTTATTGTGGGAAGAGTCTCGAAGGGATATGGTGCGGTTCGTTGTCGATGTCACGTTGTGTCTCCATTTCGTATCGATATCGGACGTGCTTTAATATCAAGTGGTAATGCGTAATGCGTAATTGCTCCATGCTCACCGGGCTTTCAAGGTACTAGGTAGGAAGCGCATAAGATCGTAGCTTCGAATTCATTTCGGCCTCGATTAACAATTACCTAATTACGGAATATTCGGTAGTGATTTTTACACTTAGGGGTACCCACGCTAGTGATGTCGGGACGATTTTGCTGGACGGCAGATGTGGTTGTACATGCTAAAAACAGCATCGTACCCGTCCCCTGAGGAGCCTAGCTACCTCTGCCGGCCAAGGGCTCTTTTAGTGCATCTCCCTAGTACCTAGTGTACATATACCACGTACGTAGAGTCCCCACAGGGCCATTAGGTAATAAGAACCCTGGATAGAACCTCATTTGCCCAATTCTTTACGAATTACAACATGTATATATGTACACATTTCCCCTAAACATCTAACATGACGTCTACGGAAGATGATAAGGTTAGAATCTAACACCAAGAAATAATGCCTCCATGGCTTCTGACGGCATAAGAACTACAAAGTACCTAGTAGTTAGTAATAAAATGATGCCTAACAAGTACCTAGTGTTTAATGATTAATGTTAACTAACAATTAATTAATAAGCGGATGTTATAGTCTAAGGTTCAGTCCTTTGTGAGTTCCGATTTGAAATAAAGCGGCTCACCTCAGCTCTAAAACGAAAACGAAGCCGAATGACCCGGCATCGCATAGTGGATATTTTACGAGGCGGTGGAGGAAACCGAAAAAGCTAGGGACCGCCGTTGCGCTAAGCAAGGCGGAGCAGAGCCGCCGCCAGTTTTCTTGTCGATCACTTCGTATTGAAGCCGCCTCCCGAGTGGTCGTATTATCCGCAAACAACGTTGTTGATGCGACAAATGATGCCCATAAGCCGGCTTAACTAACCTGAGCTTGCTTTTTCTTCTTCTTTTCTTTTCTGCATAAAAGGGGGGGAGTCTAGAATCTGGGGCTATCTTTAAAATATAAAAGATCAGATATCTCCAGCTGAACGGAAGTCTTGGTTTTTCTCTAAGCATCAAGCTAGGTAATTAATTTACTACCAACTTTGTACAAAGAAGTTCGTCTCTACGCAAATAATACTTAATACCTAACTCTCTAAACACCAAAACCACACCAAACCTCACTTCAAAAATGGTTTCCGTCAAGTCCCTCGTCGCCAGCGCCCTCGCGGCCCTGCCCCTCACGTCCGCGTACATCACGAACATCGCGGTGCCCGCGACCGCCAAGGCCGGGGACAAAATTCCGGTGACGCTGACGGCGTCGATCTACATCCAGAACTGGGACGACTTCGGGATCGTCTGGGGCGTGAAGCCGACCTCGTGGAACTGCGGCGACATCGTCTGCGTCGGCCGCCGCATCGCCTACACCTCCCTCTTCCCCGACAACCAGCCCAAGCCCGGCCAGTCCACCATCGACGTCACCCTCCCCAGCGACCTCCAGCCCGGCGACTACAACATCGTCGCTGCCATCCCTTACCTCGTCGGCGTAAGTATATATATACAATTTTTCTTTTTCCTTTCCTTTTTCTTTTTTAGAAAATATACATTATGTTAGGTAGACTAACGAATTATATAATAGGCTTCCGGCGAGACCGAGATCCAGGGCCACAGCGCCAACATTACCATCGAGGCGTAAACCGGGTGATTAGGTAGTTTGAGCTAACCCAGATGTTGCTGGGTGGGGAGTAGGAAGTGTTGACATATTTCCTTACCGAATATGCATGGGAAGGTTACCTCGGAGAAGCTAGAACCGTCATGACGATTCTGCAAAGAATCAGCTACGAAACATTGCATAGCATGTGCACGTAACATGCAAACGGCGTTGTTGTAATTTGGGATTTGCTTAGCATTACCATTGATAACATGAATTTTATCATTCTAGACAATTGAGACATACACGTGCATACCCAGGTACCTTTAACATGTAGTGATCATTGTGCTGCTTGTAGTAATCTTGCTCTGGTTGTATTGTAATCTAACTAATACCTAACGCAAGCCGAACACCTTCGCTATGCTGCATTAAAAATAAAGTCGAGAACGGCGGCAGTTTTCTATGCCTTCGAGTCATAATACTTCGTAGTGGAAAATTATGATGGTGTGTACTGCTGTTTCGGCTATCCCTGCCATCCTATATGAGCATATTTAGCATTCAGGCTAGGTTGACTACCGCTCCCATTTCTGCACGCTTATTCCTTAAAATCATGGTATCTTTATATAGCCTGGTTGATAGCAATGACGTCGTGATCGTGTTTATTCAAACGGAATGTCGTACCATCCCGGATATATTCGTCGTGGTTGGTAGTCCTCCAGCTAGATATTGTTTTGACGGTGGTGGATGCCGTATGCAGACGTTTTTAGCGACAGCAATATGTTGAATAATATTACGGGGATGTGGGATGAGCTTATTCCCCTCCCATCCTCCCCCCCTCCAATACCTAGAGGCCGAGCATGTGTCGCACGCTCTCTCGGACCTTCCTCTCGTACTCGGGGCGGTTCTCCCGCCACATCTTAGCGGCTTCGACGTTAGCCGGGCTTTCGTCGTTGGGCTCCGCTAGCATGCTCATGACGGATATCAAGATCTTCTCGACCGACTGAATCGGACTCCACCGCTCCGAGGCGTGTTCGTAGTGGTTCGGGTCGTCTCCGGGCGGGTGTAGGATGGAAATGCAGACTAAACCGCTCTGATAGACTGTTGTCCGGTTAATATTATACTAGGTACCTGATATATAGGTTGTTGGGGGTTAAAAACAAACCATTAGGGTGGAAAACTTCCCCTAGGAAGGTCATCTTGGGCGGTGCCAAGGGGTAGTCTTTGGGGAACTTGAGTTCCGCGGCGAAGACGCCACCTTCGAAGGGAGTTCCCTCGGGGCCTTGGATCAGGGCTTCCCAGTGCAGCATGTCGTCCTCGCTAACAGGGCCGGCTGTGATTCCGTCGGGTGGGTTGTTAGTTAGCATCTTATACTCTTGGAGAAGCCGGCGGTGGGCTGTTGATTGGGCCATCTTTTGCTGGTATGCGATAATCTCTCTACGGTTTCGTGTGTCTATTAAAAAGTTTCTAGTTCTAAGATTAATATTTATTTTATTTTGCTTTATAAAATATGTCGCAAGTTAAAGATGAGTCAATCGCGATTGACTATGTGCAAGTTATGCAAGTGAATTTTAAAGTTTGTAAAGTCGTATCGTATCGGGAACGAGGGAAAGAATAGTACATAGGAGTAGGTAACGCAAATATCATTGGCGGGGTTTATTGGCAGGGATTCGCCTTCTGTAGCAATGTAGTACCTTCTACGAAGTACATGATCCCGGTCGGCCTCATCTAGGTACCTTAGGATGAGCCGAGGTTAATCCGATAGAAGCCGCGCTTTTTGGAGCTCAGTGAGAAGCTTCTCTAAGGTTCAAACCTGAGCTCAATTTGAAAAAAGTTCCATAACTTTGCGGCCAATTTTAAGGATTCGGGGCAGTATGCCTCCTCGATTTGGTCTTCGACCCATTGGGCGTAAGAGTTCCCTCTATTTAAAGACGCAAAGTGCCGAGAGGAATTCTGTATGCTTCTTTTGCTCATTATCGAGTCAACCAAGCGCAGATTCTAGTCGTCGTCGTCCTTACAGACGAAAGTCTTTGAATCCTCGCCGTTTTGCTTCAACGGCTTCCTCTGGTTCCGGACGTGTGGTGGATAACCCCCGCAAGGAATTAGAGGAAATTCTTGTCGAGCTCGAAAAGCACGCTGCTAACTATGTCAATCTTCCCCGCCTGCAGCTGGCCATCAATGGTTTGCGGCAACATCCGGGTGATGAATCGATAAGAGTTGCCATACTGGGTCTCACATATGGAACCGAATCCAGTCAGATTGCGAAGCAAGTGCTGAAACTCTTACTTGCTGACCCCTTGAAGCCCGAGGAAGAATGGGAGAGGGAAGTCGATAAACATGATTTAACACAGCCTATGATCATCCGAGTTGGGGAAGACGCACCCCAACAGTTCGGGACCATTTCAGTTTCTACGAGGGGTAGTTTACTGCATGAGATTCATGTCTCGTCTGCCACGTTCAATGGTCACAATCTAGAGTTATTACTCATGGAGGCAAATCCGACCATATCCGCGCAAGAAATAGGAGCTCTTGGAGGATTGGAAGATTCGGCGCTTGTTCCTTCGGTCGAGATTCCCACTTCTAGTACGGGGAAGCATACCCCTTTTGCAACACCAGTACACAAAGCCCTAGTCGTGGCCGACGGTATTCAAGGTCTCGCATCGATAGTGTCGATGCCTAGGCGAGAAAGTAACCGTGTGGTCGCCACTGCGGTGAATTTGCCTGAATATAAACCAACCGATAATTCTCTTTTACCCTTTACTGTTATCGATGCTGGAACGGCAAGCATTGGGTTAAGTCTAGTTCGCAAGAATCTCAGTCATGCCATTGAGTATGAACATCTTTGGTTCCAAAGCAACGTTCCGAAATTAGTCGAATGGTTAAAGGCAGACATCATGTCTTCTTCTGACGGCACGACTAAACCACCCGTTAAGGAGCTCATTAGCTCACTGCTCAGAAATACGTCTGCAAGTATAGAACACGAGCAAGCTCGTCAGATCGGCTCTTCACTGTCTTCAACTCTCTCACCCACTCCCCCATCAGTTTTACAAACTAGTCTCGATGATTGGGCAGAAAGCGCACACACGGAATTACAGGAACAACTTGATTTAGCGTTCTCCAGTAAGCGATGGCGCAAGTTGGGATGGTGGAAATTATTCTGGCGTGTGGATGACGTGGGGATGCTCACAAACGATATCCTTAGTCAAAGGTTCTTAATAAATTCAGAGAGAAGTGCTATCTTTCTTGCTGGGAGAATGAAAGAAGCGGGTATCACTTTGGGACCTTTCCCGGATCCATCATCTACTACCGACGAAAATGGCCCTGAGCCTGAGCCACTGGACGCCGAGACTGGCAAACTAGCAACGGCCCATTGGCCAGTAAATATCCCCGCTACGCGTCGTTACCTTCAAACTGAAACTATTCCCGCTTTACAAGCCCTTGCGCAACAACTCACGTTGCAAACTCTCAGCACGTCGGGGCTCACAACCGCGCTTGGTGGACTTATTTATTTGAGTACTTTGACAACAACACTGTATGAAGCTGGTGCGGTCGCCGCATTAGGCATCGCATGGAGTTTAAAGCGCATGCAAAAGAAATGGGAAGCAGCACGAGGGTTCTGGGAAGGCGAAGTCAGGGAAGGAGGCCGCAAAGCGGTCCGAGGCGTTGAAGGTGTGATAGGCGACGCTTTGAAGCCAAGACCAACTCCCAAAGATAAGGTAGATGGGCAAGAAGAATTGGCCAAAGCTAAGGGGCTAGTAGAACGGGCTCAGGAGTTGTTGAGCAATCTCAAATGAGATATACGTCTGCTGTAAAATAATGTACATTGATCATGATACCAATAGACACGACCCGACACACCTTCGACTACCCACCTGATCTACCTAGTATCTGTGCCTAATAGCAAAATGTGCCGTCTGCTTGTTCTCTGACTTTTTTTTCCTATGGAATACGAGCGTAGAATCAGATCAAGATTAGGACGACTAGTTGACCATACAATGCTTTTCGTTATGTCAAATCCTAAGAATAATTTAGGAGTAGCATACGATTCTAAATAACGGACTATAATATGCGACGCGGAAATGCAATATATCCTATCTCATGATCCCATTATATTCCGACTCTGTACTTCATGTCAGATAATGCAACAGTAATCCCTGATGTACTTATCTCTCCTCCCGATAAATGTACTTCGAAATATGATATATGTTAGGTACCCAGGCCAGGTATGTAAATCCACCAACGCAACACCTTTAAACATCCAATCCAGTCCAATCCTCATGACCAGTACCGATAAGTAAACTCGAAAAGAACGAAAACTCTTTTTCTCGATCATCATCCTCACCACTCACCACCACCCCAATCCCCACCGGAATAGTCCACCGCGCCAACCTCCATATAACTCGCGCTCGCATCGACGCTCACGCTCCCTTCCATCGTTGCCGCCGTCGTCATCATCGACATGTCGTCCACGTACCCCGTCTGGCTCATCATGTCGACGTTCACGTTCATGTTCATGCTCACATCGACGACCGCCGTGCTATCGATGTACGTCGCGTTCGCGTTCGCGTCCATGTAATTTGCATCCACCGCATATGATGATGTATCCGCATACATCGTCGTCGTGGTTATGGTGGGGTTGTCCGCGAACGCATTCATATCCGGATTCGCCCCCATGTCCATGTTCATGTTGGAAAAATCCACATACGTTGTCGCCTCGGAAAACACGCCGGCTTGCGCCGTGTTATCGGCATTGACCGTCGGATCCGTGTCCACGGCCGCCGCGAACGCGGGCGGTTGCGCGCTCGTCGTGTAGTTTGCTGCGCTCGCGGATGTGTTGTCCACATGCGAATTATCCGCGTAGTTCATATTCATTTGGGTCGTGTCTACTACTACTACTTGCGTCGTGTTGCTATTACTATCGACATTGCTATTGCTAATGCTGTTGCTGTTGTTGATGTAGTTGCTGTCGTCGACGTAATTCGCGTTCGTCTGCGTCGACTCGGCTATCGCCGTGTTGTTCTCGATGTTGTTGATCACCGTGTTGTTGATCATCATCGCGGTTTCCGGCTGCGGCGCGAAGTACGGTTCCGACGGAGCCGGAGCCGGCTGCGATTGCGCGGGGCCCGGCGCGGAATACGTCGGCTGGTCTTCGGGGGGGTATTCCGCGTTTGGCTGTTCGTTGTGGCTTGTGTAGCTTTGCTCGGCGTGGGCTTGCTGATGCGTTTCGGTATAAGTTTCTTGATGTTGACCGGAGTAGGATTCGTGGTGCGGCTCTGGTTGGTTCGTATGCTGCTGCTGCTGCTCAGTGTGTCCTTCACCCCCGTGGTACTGCTCGGACTGTCCTGTGTGATGCTGTTCTGACTGCCCCCCGTGTTGCTGCTCGGAATAGGTTTGATGCTGCGGCTCATGCTGGGGCTGGGGCTCGGGTTGTTGGGAATAATGCTGCTGTTCAGTAGGTGCTGCTTGATGCTGCTGAGCCACGGGAGCCGGCCCGTTGTTTTTACTTCCTGACAGGGCGGTTAAAGCGCCTCCGATGGTAGCGCCTATCGCTACATAAGCATCTGCAGTCCCTGGTGCTTGATACCCAGGCTGATTAAGGGGCATTATCTGATTAGGGTGGACTTGGTAGAGAGGTTGACCTGGAGGTCCCTGGAATACTGGCTGGTTAGGAAGTGTTTGGTATGCCGGTTGACCGAAAGCGGCGGGTTGTTGCATCTGCTGCTGAATTTGCGGTCGTTGCTGCATTTGCGAGAGTTGTGGTCGTCCGACTGGAGGTCGTGGGATCTGATAAGAGGTTTGTTGGTTCGTCATGTTTGGTTGCGCAGCATTATAATTCATCAGAGTTCCTGGTAAGCCAGGATTCTGGACCATAGGTGGCCGGCCCGGCGTCTGAACGCCAACAGGTTGTGAGCCCTGTTGTAGCGGAGGTCGATTCATGGCCTGCATCTGCGGAGATGCAATGTTCGCACCTTGGACGGTTTGTGTCTGGGGTGGCGCAGTATAAGCGTGCTGTAAACTTGGAGGCCGCTGTTGTTGGCCGCCTTGAAGCTGACCCTGGGGTTGGCCTTGATAGTTACTGTATATATTGTTCCCAAGAGCAGCGCCAGTTGTCCCGTTCATGCCCATTGATTCCGCGATTATTGCGCCTCCTATTGCCGCCGAAGACTGCTTTAAAGCAGGATTCTGCCAGGTCTTCTTAGCCCATTTTTTCATCTTCTTACCTGCGTCAGACAGTGCAGCGGCCGCTTGGGCTGAGGTGAACGGTTTACTCTGGCCGGATATTTGTGGGAAATTAGAATAAAGCCCAGGAGTTTGGGTTTGTTGTTGCTGCCCCTGGATCGGCGACTGTCCGGAAAATTGCTGTGAAATTGGGGATTGGACCCCATAAGACGCCGGTGACTGAGCATGGGCTCCATGTGTCATGTTAGCAACAACTTGTCCATTCTGTCCGTTCGATATTTGGTTAATACTATCAGGGCTTTGTGGAATATAGGTTGGGATATTTTGACCGTTTGCAGGTTGCTGGCCCGGTGCCCCCTGTATAGTTGGCCGAGGTTGTCCATGCTGCAATATCATTTGGGTCGGTTGGCCAGGTATTGGGCTTCCGGAAAGCTGCGAATGATTCCCATTCATCAATTGCGGCTGAGGGGGCCTTTGTACTGTTGCTTGTACTATCTGTTGGGGTCCAGCTTGCTGCTGGGTAGGGTACCCTAATGCCGTCTGCCCCTGGCCATGATGAGCTGGTGCTGTTGTAGCAGGCGCTGAATTGTTCGGTATGAAAGTAGGGGGCGATCCCATTTGAGAAGGCAGTGGAGTCACCTGCCCTGGAAGCATGGGAAATGGTTTCGAGCCTCCCGTAGTCGAAGGGCTAGGTGACTGAATAACCTGTTGGTTCGTAACCTGTTGAATTGTGGCTTGTTGATTCACTTGACTTTGAGATGTTTGCGCCATCGTTGGTCTTATAACCTGAGCCGTATTTTGATAAGTATTCTGATGGGTATACTGATGAGGCGTAGAAGTATTAGGCGGTCGATTTTGAGCCGCGACACTTTGCGCACTGCCATAAGTATGCGACGATGCAGAGGATGGCGGTCGGTTAAGGGAGGCAATCGAAGGAGCTGGTGACGAAACCTGGCTCTGTAACGGAGAGACGGGATTGGCTATAGGAGATGGTGACTGTGGTTTGTGTTGCCCTATAGCTATTCCCATCGCCGTATTCTGGTTCGGCTGTTGGTTCATGGTGTGCGGTGCTGGTGCTTGTTGGTTATTTTGGGGCCTTGGGCTAGAGGGTGAACTTGATGGTGGTCTCTGCGGATTAGATGAGATGGCATGTACAGTCGCCGGTTGATTCGAGAAACTTGCCGAAGGACCAACGAGGGACTGAATTGTAGCTGGCGTACCATGATTAGGTCTTTGAATAGGTGTCTGCGAATTATATGTGTTATTTATAACGACCTGGCCCTGCGCTTGCGTGTTAGATGAAGACATATGTGTCGTCGATGAGCCCTGAGAGACCTGAGGAGAGTTCTGCGATGACACTGATATTGAAGGTTTATGGTAGTTGTGTGTTTGGATGGGTTGTCCAGATGGCTTCAAAGGAGATCCTTGAGGTACTGTAGAAGGAGCCGGGACTTGTGCTGTAGAATTAGGCCCCGGTGATCCTATTGAGGGTGGACGTCCCTGTTGGGATGCAGGATGAGGCCGTACTGGAATACTGGCTAAGCCCATTGTAGCGCTAGCATTCCCGGAGCTCTGTGAAACTACTGGTTGAGACTGTGGTTTGTTCTGGGGGGCAGGTGAGCTTGGTATTGATCCCTGGAAACTAGTATTCAGCATCCAGTCCGGGCTTGCTGGCTTCTGGGGCCTAGATGTAGAAATCGGAGCAACTACAGGAATCGGCTCATCCACAGCAGAATGAGAATGCTCTAGAGGTTGGTGTGGCTTCTGGGTAGAGGCACCTTGGCCGTTTGGGACAGGGCTGGCTGTAACAGGGTTGTGAAGCTTGCTTTGCTCAGCGGTAGACCCTGTTGCGGCTGATATTTCCTGGGAAACTTGTATTCCGGGCCCGCCTATTTTTAGCAGAGATGGTGTATAAGACGAGGGCGGGTTCGGTAGCGTGTTGACCCGATGAGTACCTGGACGAGCCATGTCTGTATGCGACTTTGTTGGCCGCTGGTTTCCCGAAGTGCCATGCAAGTCATGATCAGGCCGCAGGACAGTTGGAATGGGCGATGGCTCAACTTCTGAGGGAGATGTAGATGTAGTAGTCGAAAGCCTAGGATCTGATGGCTTTTGAATACCGGGGTGATCAGAAATCTCCCCTGGGGATTCAACAGGCCGCGATAGCGAATGTCGCTTCTGGTCAATAGGACCAAGCTCTGTGTTTTGAGATTGAAGGACCGGTATACCCGACAGCGTGATAGAGTTTCTATTAGGATTCCTCGCTTCTTCGTTGGCAATTCTACTCGTTGGTTTCCACGTCTCATTTTCGTTATTCTCTAGATAAGTAGCCACTGGCCTTTGGGAGGCGATGACTTTCTGTTCTACCTGAGGGGGTTCCGTATTGATGTCATCTGCAGGTTTGGCAACTTTCTTCAGTGGCGGATAGGCAAATGAAGCTGAAACTAGGGGATATTCATCAACTGGTTCCATAGTCTGTACTGGATGTTGTACTGGCACCTTCTCTTTCCTTGGGCTTTTCTCGGTCGACAATTCCGCGATGCCATTACGGTGGACGTTGGATTTTGAAGGCGTTTGGGAAATCTGCGTAGCATCTAGTTCAATGGGAGCTAACTCCTCTGCGCATTTTGCTGTGTCACTGCTGGCCAGCTCAGAAATAAATCCTACGGGCGACCGTACTTGGGTAGATCCAAGTTCCGCCATGGGTGATGTTGACTCTGTGGTTATGTCGGTTGTAGTATTACTCTCATTACCTGCCGGGCTTATATCGTTAAGCCCAAAATACATAAAGTTATCTGGATCAAAATAGCCCGTAGCCCCCATATGATCATTCCCGTCGGTTAGGTTCGTCTTTCTGACATTACTGGTCTCGCTAACAGCGTTTTTCAGCGCGCCTTGATATTCGTCACCGAGCCCATTCTTTGGAGTCAGGTCGAGTGGCCCAAAACCTATGCCTACTAATTCGGGAAACTCGTCGCCCGGCCGCGGGAAATGGTATTGCGTGAGGCCGGTAGTCTTATAGCGATAGAACCACCGACTACCGTCGTAATCAGCCTCCCATCCTTCGGGAAGATTTGCCATCTTCAAACTCAGTGAAAGTTGAGAGCGAATAATCTCTTCCTAGTGAGGAAGAATAAGACTACCCAGGTAGGTACCTGTTTATGGTATATTCGATGCGGTAGAATCGATAATTAGTCGACGGAGAAGTTCGAAACAGTGTTGATTACATCAGGCTAAGCCAACCAGATCAGAGCGATGGCCGAGAACGTCTTCGTAAACAAATGACTTAAAGAAGGAAATTCAGATCTACCTCCAGCGGGAGGGAGAAATGAGAGAAATCATTCTCGGCAAAAAGTACAAAAGCCTGAGCTGACTTGTTGCCCGAAGTGGCTGAAGCCAGGTCACGAACTGCAAATTGCCTGGGTGGATTCACTTTAAGAGAGCGTATCATTCGAGGGGGCCTCTATATTCCCACGGCCTAGCATTATGCCTAGCCATTCTAGATGTTGGTTCATCGAATGGTGGCGTATAGCGTGCAGCAGCTGAATCTCGAAACCACCATTTTCGTAGTAGCTCGTCTTTGTGCCAAGAAAGCTGTCAATCTTTCATCGATATCCTACGAACATACAAGCTTTTGAAAGGGTCTAATAGGAAGCTATGTAAAGCTTTTAGAGAAGCCCTAAGAGCCTCAATATAATAGGATTTAAAGATAATTTTTATAAAAAACATAGATCAAACGAGATAGCCCAGATATATTCACTCAGGTTTTCAAGGTTCCGGGTTGAGGGTTCCATTCCATGTTCATGGTAACATCCACGTTTTCAGCTTGGGCAGGGGTCCCTAGCCGTCCACTCAAAGCTTAGGATAGACGACCACGCATACTTTAGCAGCACGTCCGACTCGACTCGAGGTTGCTATTGTCATCATCCCAAATTAGTTTTTTTTGGCAGCAGCAGAAGCCGTAAGCTTTACCAAATCATATTCTCTGAAATAGGTACCTATCCTGTTCAAGCAGAGTTGAATAGGCTCAGCCCGATTATATGCTCAAATGAATAATTAGAAGTCTTACCTAGATTAGTGTACGGTACTCGTAAATTCTCCGTCCCTTAGATACTCAAGATGCCAAAGATGACACTTGAAGACATGTTGCTAGAGCACGTACACTTGAGCACTTTGGATTATTATTATAGGCACCTAGAGGTAGTCATATAACTCGATACAACGAGGTAAAAAGATATCTTAGACTTGATGAAATGCACCATAACCAACATTATTTAACAATGAAAGACATTCGAAGACAAATGGGCACAGTAGGTTAATATAATATATATTCTTCGTGTTAAGTATGGCTATTAATTGTTAAATAACAATAATTTATTGGCTTGTATGGAAGCAAGAACCTGGTAACATCCAAATTGATTACCTCTTGCCTGCCTGTTGTTCCTTAAGTATTAATCTATCCACCAAATCCATATAATTATAATGAATATACCTGGTACTTCTGAGGCACTTAAACCATTTCTATTGAGAGATGATGCCTTGCTATGAATCTTATCAGATGTGTAGCATCGGAATAATAGACTTCCATAGATTGCCAATGTTTCTATACGCCTATATCACGGGGGAGAGTAAAAATTGGTGATAATTGATTTATTCACGCCCAGCGCTTCTAGCCCGTAAGGAATCTAGAGCATCTGTTTCGGAAAAAAAGGCATAACTAAAGTCTCGCATGAGATAAAATATCCTCCTCTCCGGTCTTTGCCTTCCGTCAGGAGACGAACGTGCCTATTCGCACGCTGAGACCCGTATGCATAAACATTAGGTACCCCGTGCTCAAAGCAAGCCAACTTTTGCTCCAAGTAAAAACGCTAACACCGACAGGCTCGAAGATCGCCGTTATATAGTACAAGATTAATCGGGGCTTCGACGTTAAGTCCCCCTTTTATAGCGACGCATCCGTAGGCGCTGATTCCTCCTCGTCTGGTTCTTCACCGTCTGGTTTCTCCCCGTCTGGTTTCTCCTCATCTAGTTCCTCCTCGTCCGAAGACTCCGGGTCGGAGGACAGCGGCCCAGACTTTCTGAGCTTGTCCATCATCTCGACGACGGCCTCTGGATTCATGACTATGTCTTTAATCTTCTCGAGCAGCTCTTCCGTGGGAGTCTCCGATATCGTTCGCCGAACGTCTGTCGCACTCACGCGTTTAGGATTCTCGCCAGCGAGGATAAAGCGAACCCATGAGTACTTGCGCTTAGGCCCGCCCTTACAGGACCGTGTCCCACTTATTCGACTCATATACCCTTGGTATAGCTTCTCGATATATTCAGGATCGGATCCTAGGCGCAGAACACAGGTTAGCTCGAGCCGATGAGATGAGAAATACCTAGCCCCTTGAAATTCCAACCTACTGTCTCCTGGCATTATAACTGCCAACGAGTCTATCAGCCAAGGTGGCATTTCCTCAGCCTTCTTGGGATATGTGCCCTCTGGAATATCAGGAGTTTGCCACGATTCATAGTTGACCAAGTCATGCAAAGTCCCATCCTCCTTGACAAAGTCCGCTTCTCTCCCGATGTCGCTGACGATCAGATTGGTAGAATCCCAGGGGCAATCAGTGACGTAGTCCTTTCCGATATGATCAGGTCCGCCCAAGTAGAGAAACTCGACATCAAAGTCCATCGTCATCTTCTTCTTGAACATATAGCAAAACGTGTCCCACCCGTCCGGGCACCAGTCGAATATCCAGAGCCAATCGTGGGGCCCATCATCTCCCCTCCACAGTCGTACTCGCTGGGCGTTGTCGAATGTCGCACTCCGGGAAAACTCCCTCCACGTGATTCTGTTGCCTATCGGGATGACGATCGCGGCGATCACGTTGAGGTCCTGACAGCCCGCGAAGGCGCAGTTCACCATGGCTTGGTGTGAGAGGTGTGGCGGGCTGAAAATTCCCGGGTACAAAAGGATTCGGTTAACCCGGCCCTGTCTGAGCTGTGGTCTGTAATGGCCTTCACCGTTGTTGAATATCGGGGTTCGCTTCTCGGGAGGAAAATCTTTAGGATAGTAACAGGCCTCAATGTACTCTGCCAAATCTGCTACCATCCTCGTCGGAGGTGGCGTCCGAGGAGGTGACGTCTCAGGGGAAGCCTCGGTAGTAACCGGTTGATCGGAATCTTCACTGCCAATGCTTTGAACAGTGACGAGTATCTCTTTAGACTCCAAGAGCTCTTTCTCATTGACCGATATGGATAGGGCGGGGAAGCCCTCCAGTTCGTTCTCGGCCATTTTATTACCTATTTCAACTGCTGCTTCCTCTGTGGATGGGCGGATTACAGCTCTGGGGCGAGATGAGTTATTCGATGGTTTTACAAATTTGCTTCCAAAGAAAAGAAAAACAATCTTACTGGGATGCTACTGTTCCCTTTATAGAGACAGAATGAGAATTTCGTAACTGGCCGTCGAAGTTACTGACACTGTCGTGAATGTGCTGTTGAATTCACAGTGCCAGAACGCACCACGTGCAGTCAGTGTTGACAGCTGTAAATTAGAATGATTGGCCATAAATTGTCTAGGTCCAAACCGTAAATCAATTCAATGGCTTGTAAGTCATATCATTATTCACTTACATACTGTCATTGTTACACCGCCTTGACTTCGCGACAGGCAGCCCTAGAGAATAGGAAATTCCAACGCGTATAAGCACCTGTATATACCTACCTATCTAAAGAACAGTATTCACTGTGCAATTGCTAGCCATTAGAGATGTGTTTTCACGACACATGACTCACATTAGGCAAAGCGAAGGCCTGTGGGCGCAAAGGCCGGATTCCATACTTTGATGCAACATGCTATTGAACTATAAAGGTGAAGCATACTTTGCATATGGCTTTCTCCGAACAACAACGGACAGCCAGTCAGCTCAATGGGGAAATATCTGGACGTCTCTACTGTGTTGTTAGATCCTTAATCCTTAAAGCCAGATTGGTAGCAAGAGGATACCTACCTAGGTACCTACCTTCTAAGGTATGTAGAAGCAATTGCCACACAATGAGAGATGTTTGAACCAAGATATACCTGAAAGCTTTAGACAACTTCACATTTACTCAATAGCTAATAAAAAGAGCTGATTTACTTACGGCTTCTTTCCGTTGGATTTTCAACTAAGCAAAAGAATCTACAACTTTTGCCCTGGCTAGAGGAGGAGTAGTTATGAAGCTACATATATGGCAGAGCAAGACAATCTCTTGCAAGTCCTACTACCTCTTTACCACGTGGAAACCCAACGGCGATCCCGAGAAAACATATCTGCATGTTTACCTACCTACCTAGGTACCTATCTAAAGGTAAGCATATAAACTTATCGTAAAGTGCCCGTCAGAGCGCATACGCAAAGCGCGGCCCGCAGACGACGAATAAACTTTTAAAAGGGAGGTTTAAATTGAGAGGGGCTCATTCGCATCCAGGCTGTCGGGACTGCGATCGCGATACGAAACACAGCCACGCGGAGTCCACCATGCGGTCTGGAACGCTGTTGTGCGTTCCTTGATCCGTACTTATTTCCGAATACAAAAGTTTAACCAATCAAGTTATTTGATTGTTACTTCGCATGTTGGTGGTTCTTGATTGCTATCAACACTGCCAACGTATTGACAGGATTATCCTGCGATGTGTGAATTAAGAAATAAATATTGTATCACAATTCTTGGACAGTAGTACGGTATTCGACTTGCACCGTCCAGACACCTACGCAAGCCATTAGCAGACACTGTATCTTAAATTTCTAACTTTGACATCATCACCGGTCGGTATTTTCCTTTCTCGTCTTACCAATCGAGAGGCCCATCACGTAGGCTGCAGATAAAATATTGATTCCCGACAAAGTCCGTTACTTTCAGCTGCAACGTGTCAGACTCTTTCTTATGCCCAGACGTTCCGCAGGGAAGCTCGGCGTAGATGACGACAGGCGACCCATTTCTGTGGCACGCACCCGTCCCACGAAAGCGACAACGACGGGTCCTCATGCAAAAGATCGTCGCTGGATCTCTTGTAAGAAAATGATCCCGGGACTCCACAATCGCGGGGTCGGCGTATTCGGCTCACGGAATGGCAGGTTAGTATAGAATAGTGTACGGAAGAGGGGATTGGAAGGAGGAGGTATTTCATGTTCGCTTATTTGATACTTTCATTATTTTTTATTAGTATAGCGCCTCTGCAAGAAATCTGCATCGAGCCGAACTAAGTAAGACACTGACGTCAGAGAGGACTTCAGCTTCAACCAAAATTCAACTAGAAAAAAAAGGTTCGATAAGGGTTTGTATCGCATTTGATGATAGGTACTTTATCATGCTTAATGGCGTAGCTGGTGTTTGACAGCAGCCAGCTTGGTGGTGGCATGTCTTGCGCTATTATTTCTATATATCCCGCATCGCTCTCATCAAAAGTGCGGTATATTGTGAATTAAATCATATCAGGATCTTACACTATTTTCTTGACACCGAATGTTGCAGCTCCGTTTGTCGATCACTTTGCGGAATTAAGGCGAAGGGGTTGGAGGTATGCGGTGAAAGACAGAGTTGGCTGCATATGCCTACGAACCTCCAACAGGGTTTGAATAAACGTTTTGAACTGTGGCTTCCTAGGCTTGCAGGACTTGCAGTTTGTTGTCTGATTAGGCATCTTGGCGTCATTCACCAATCGCGTAGCAGAAATATAGTCTAATCGGTCGAGCGCGAAGATCTTCGGGCTACCTCTTCAGGCTACTTCAGGCTTTCGCTCCCGCTGTTCCGCCAGGTTAGGTATTTTGTGTATAAGCCTAAGGCTGCCAGAGCCCCACTGCCCCTGCATTGATAAGTTGTGGGTGATAAGTTACTTATTGCTGGGATGTATGCATAGTGCATTTCATGATAATTTCATACCTTGACATTCAAACAGAATTGTACTTACATGTGATGGTTGTTCCTGTAGAGCCTTTTTATCGGACTTGATATATTCTCCTCGATTTGCATCTCCATTGTCGAGCCAAAAAATTCCCGTTGTGGCGACATTGCAGTGGATTCGAGGTTTGTGCACTCCATCGCCCCATAATGGAGTGACTACACTACATCACAAGAAGTACCTGTTGTGTGGAGTATACATAGTAGTTGCAATACTGTAGTATTAACTATTATAGTTAGTTAATCTAAACTTGTTTCTTGTTGTATGCACTAGATTACATCTGTCGATAGTTAGGTACTTAGGATACGATAAAAGCCCTCCATCTTCATAGGCTACCTAATATATTATGTAGTGTAGGTATTCACTTAAGGTACTTTAATGAGTCCATAAAGACTTACCTTCTTTGTCTTCAGTTTACCTTACTTTACCGGGTCAAATGTCGGCGTCTCCATGTACGATAGGAGTTATAAATAGATCGGATCTAGATCTCGTTGAAGAGTCCAATTATCCATCTGGTTTAATCTGAACAAGATAGAAATAAATGTCTTTTAATGCGCCAGGTACTACCAACATGCATTGTATTGTACTATGTATTCACATGCTTGCGGCCGAGGGTTGTATCACAACGGGGTACGTACACTTTATACGTACTATGTAGTATAACAGCCCTGGAGGTTTTAGGTAACGTTCTAAGAGATAGAGAAGTAGCTACCTACCGTCCCTCTTGCAAACTTCTTTATCTCCCATCGTAAAGCATTCATAGTGCTTGAAGACCCCCCCGGTCAATTTTAGTGACCCAATCTAGTGATGATTAGCCACTAGCGTAGCAGGTTGTCGTTTTTGCTTGAAGGCAAGGAACCCCCCAAGTCATGGATGTGGGTCAAAGGCTTCGCGCCATCTTGGAATCTTGAATATATCGATGATCATCTCCCGATAAAAAAAATTTCAAAAATTGAAGGGAACCACCAAAACTCGGTCTAATCCACTCATTTTAAGTCCCGAAGGCATAGCGTTACCTACCTCCTGGGTAGGTATATACATACATTCGTTTTCCGACCCAATTCCTATTATTTTAGTTAATTTGCCGAACCCTTCATTTACAATTCCACTTCTCTAGGAATCAGGGATTGTCCTAGGAGCATTCAGATCTAGACCACTTCATTGTGTGTATATTGATCTGTCACAGCAGCGTACTTGACGGTAGCTTCATCATTCGTTATTCGTCTTTTCAGCTTATGACAATTTCGGCTGCAGCGCATAATTATTACATCCCCTTCATTCGTGTTCAATATATATACCTTAGGTACCTAAGGTATATATATTCTTTCTGGTCCCATTCGACAAGATACCTCTGGATAGCTATATTCTCTTCAACATGCCTTATACAAACAACCAAAATGAGTTCGACGAGAAGGGTTCTCCTACCCTGACGCATGCCCCAACCGTCTCAGATACGGCTGATCAACCAGACAAGTACAACGAGAAGTTTCCCTCGGAACGACAAGACCATCTACAAGTTCCCGCCGAACCAAGTAGGATGCCAACAGATCATTTATATATGTCAGATACTGAATCTAGGGACCAAGCTACTCGACTAGGTGACGACCTCACGCTCCTTCAGGCGGAGCAGACTGTTAACCATCAGGAATCGACCGATCTTCGCCGCGCTTACTCAAAACCTCGTAGTCATGAACCCGAGGGAGAGGATGTGTTTAACCAATCCGCCCAAACTTCTCCTCTGCTACCCGAGCATCCTAATCACCTTAACAAAGTCTTCAAGGGGATTAAGGGCTTACCTCGCATACTTCGATATTTCTTGTACAGCTTACCCAATGCGATTATTTTACTAATCCCCATATTACTCGGGAGGTTCACGCCAAAGGACCAGCAGGCTGTCATTGGAGGGCCAGGAGGTGTCGACTTGATGTGGTTTGGCATTTGGCTCGAGGTCGTTTGGCTATCCCTTTGGGCGGCGAGGATAGTTACCTCCATTCTACCGTTTGCCGTGGGCATCGTGGCTAAGATCCTAGGCTCAGGATACTCTAAGAAATGGAGGGAGGTGGCCCGTCAACTGGAATTGCATACCGCGCTGTTCCTCTGGATGCTTGCCGTACTGATCTCGCACTATCCAATCCTCAACAACCACAAGGTCAAAGCTAAGGTGCCCGAAGAGGCTGACACAGAATATCCATTTATCAACTGGATCGATGTTGTCTACAAGGTTATCGTCGCATTGTTTGTCATGGCAATTTTGAATTGGGTTGAGAAGATCGTCATACAATGGATTGCAGAATCTTTTCATCGACGAACATACTCGTCGCGAATTGAGACGAATAAGCAATGTATCGCGTGAGTTACACCTTCACGCCTTCACTTACTAGTATACGTCGCTAACCAACACGTCCTCAGATATTTGGTTCACTTGTACGAGTATTCCAAGGATAAACTGGTTTCGGAAGCATCTGTTATGGATAACCAGGGCTCAGGCTCCGGCGCAAGAACCCCCTTGGCTATGTTTTCTAACAATGCTCGAGATACCATCGCAAAAGTCGGCGATATTGCCAACCGTGTGGCAGGTGATTTTACTGGACGTGAAGTCAAGCTCAGAAATCACCCGCGGAAGGTTGTATCCGAACTGCTCCGTAACAGCAATTCCGCTCAAGTCCTAGCTAGGCGTCTCTTCCGCACGTTCGCCAAACCCGGTGCCGACGTCTTAACACCGCAAGATTTGAACCCAGCTTTTCCTACTATGGACGATGCAGAGGCCGCCTTTTCAGTGTTTGACCGTGATTTGAACGGAGACGTGTCAATGGACGAACTTGAAATATTCTGCGACGAGGTTCATAGAGAGAAAAAGGCCATCGCCGCTTCCCTCAAGGACTTGGATTCCGTTATTACAAAACTGGACCGAGTTTTCTTTTTCATCATCTTCATTATTGCCGTGATCGTTTTCATTTCGATTATTTCTGCTTCGACAGCAGCAGCTCTGGCCTCTGCCGGTACCGCCGTTCTGGGTCTTGCATGGGTACTACAAGCTACAGCCCAGGAGTTTCTGCAGTCCATCATTTTCGTTTTCGTCAAGCATCCGTTTGACGTTGGCGACCGAGTTACCATATATGGCAACACTGGATCATTAATGAGGGGCGATGACTACTATGTGACGGAAATATCCTTGCTCTACACCGAGTTCAAGAAGATGCAAGGCCATATTGTCCAGGCACCTAACTCCCTACTTAACACGCTATTCATTCTCAATCACCGCCGCAGTGGGACACTGGCTGATGTGTTCGAGCTTCGAATGAAATATGGTACTCCGTCTAGCGTTATACAAGAGTTGGAGGCTCGAATGACGGAATACGTCCTAGACAACAAGCGCGATTTTACTAGCAAGGTCCTCACGGAGCTTGTAAGTTTCGAGGACGCATACTGCATGACGGTCAACTTTATCTGCTTCCATAAGACAAGTTTTCAGAATGAGTTGACCCGTCTCACCCGGCACAATAAGTTTGCCATCGAGTTGATGAACCAGATGGTAGCTCTCGGCATTGAACAGCCCCGTCGGCAGTTCCAAATTTCTGGACAAGACTGGCCCGTCTTCCAAACTAACATCCAACCTCCGTCTTACGAGGAGCGTATGCCTACTGTAAATCCAGAAATATTGACTGCTACTCGTCGACGCGCCAATTCACACGCCCACGATACTACGGGTGACATTTTTCAAGATGTATTCGTGGCCCGTAAGCCGAGTATTTCGGCTGTCAACCACCCCCCACGTATTAACGAGGAGCTCGCTGAATCTAGCGGTTCCATTATTGGCAGCAACTCGCACCTGGAAAAGCTGCCTTCTAATGGAAGCGGCGGCCGTAGCAGTCATCGGAATATGTTTGGGCGAACGATGACGTTGAGGAAGAGTATCGACCGTTCGGAACGAGATAGGGATATGGTGTGAAGAAGAAATGGGGGTAAACCTGAAAGAAACATTTCTTCAACCTTTAATGACTTTACGGGAAATATTAATATCTTTTCTTCTGAGCAATACATAAATTGGAGCAAGACAAGGTATAGACTGGTCGTATACCCATTCAGAATTGGCTACTTAGACAAAGATGTAGATAGTTGACTGGGTTAGACAACAGTCTTGTTGCAGTGGGGTTGATAATCTAACGTACATTACGAGATGATTTATGCGACGTGAAATCCTAAGTCCCAGCCACTGCGCCAATATTCAGTTCTTCAAGTTAAGATATATAAGCCAAACAGATGTATATGCGAGATGGTATATAAAGTGTCAAGATCATAACGCAATATCCACCAAGTATCACCGCCTATTTAAATTTTCAAAAAGATAGCTTTCGTATATCCCATCGCCATGGCACATATTTGCACCTGTTGTACACGTATTCTTTACATTCCCTATCAGTCCCCACATCAACCTGCCCCTTTCTCAATGCAATGGCACCTGCACCTACACCTACGGGTATCTCTACAATAGCGACCAGTTCCGATTCGAGACAGAAAAAAAAAAATAAAAAAATAAAAAAAAGCTTGGTTGGCTTTAAATGCGCTAGGAAAGGTTTCATGGTGTCGTGAAGAAGTCGCCGCAGCAGTGTATATAAAATAACAAGAAATCATTATGTCGTATGAGCTGTCCACGGATGGATGAGGAGATAATAGTAACGACGACAGCCCATTTTTCTTTGCCAATTCGGTTTAGATAACTGATTCATTTCTTTTCTCTTCTCTTTTTCCCCTTCTTGAATTCTTTCGTCTCTTTCTTTCTGCTTTAATACCCCGTTCCGCTGCTAATCATGTTTCACCAAGCACCAAGCACCAAACACCAGGGGCGTATATCCTATCCTGTGCTAATAACGCACGCCATTTCCAAGTAGAAAAAAAAAGAAATAATAGTACCGAGTGATTTATGACGTGGCCTCTCTTAATGCCATTGACTATATCCATTTTTCTCGATCTCTGATTACCATGCCCCCTTAACTTCCTCCCTTTTCATGAAAATTGTCAGGAATGTCCAAGTCCTGAAACCCTGCCCTCAACCATTGCCATAAAGCTCGCAATGTCGGAAAGGTGCTCGTCAGCATCTACAAGAGAGCTAGTTTTTACCTCTCCACTTTTGGCGCGCTTTGTATTGATCGGTGAGCCGCCTCCATTTATAGGTGATCCTTCAGTTATGCGACGTTTACGTTTCTGACTTCGGGTATCTGAGAGCGAACTGCTACTGATTTGGCTTACTTGTAAGTCATCAGGTCGGATTTGTGGAGAAGATGGACTGGTTAATGCCAGCGGCGGCGGTGGCGACTGGCTAGGAGGCGCTTCTTCAGCAGCTGGTAATCCATAATCTCCAAAGCCGGGGATTCGTTTTCCTTCGCGTAACATAGGTAGTGCTATTGACTCGTGTAAGAACTCGCCGTTCGGCATTCGGACAAGGCCCCTAGCCTTCAAAGTCCAATATGGATCTGCGACTCTCGATCGGGATTTTGATACTCGACCGGTATTGTAGCCAAGACTCGAGCGATAACTCGAGCTAAAAGTTGAGTTGCGAAGGCTTCCTGTTGATGTGGACATGTTATCATCAGCAGAACCGCGACAGCGAGCTCTAAGCATCGCTGTTTTCGATCCTTCTTTATACATCTTCGGTTCTGGTAACTCCTTCAGCCGATTGACTCCACGCGCAATCCGATTCTTGTTTTCAGTGCGCAATCGCATCTTTCTCTCCTGAAGCAGATCTGCATCGGTTTCGGGATCGTAATCTCTAGCTACATATCGAGCTGCAGCTCTTCCATCCTTCACTCCGTTGAAAACACCGGTCGCAAGCAGTGCTTCTTCGATGCTTCGCGACCGCGATTCTGGACTGGATGATTGAACGCCTAGTCGAGTTGGAGTGGCTGTTTTTCTTCGCCCCCTCCACTCAAGGTTCAGTCCAGTTGACGCTCTTAGTTGGGCCGTTTCGTCAACCCTCTGCTGGCTTCTCCTCAGCATCGAATCGGTCGTCTGCTGAACGATTCTCTCCTGCTCCTCCTTCGCAGCGCGTTCACGTTTTGCTATATTTTCAGGCAATCTCCATTGTCTCGCCTTCTCTTTTTCTTCATTCATACGTCTAATGCGTTGCCGTTTACGGAAACCATCGTGCCAACGCAAAAAGTATTTGACTTTGAGTCTACTTTCTCTGAAGTGCCGTATTTGGGCGTTGATCTCTTCTTCTTCCTCTCTTCGTATACGTTCCTTTTCGGCTGTGTGAAACCCATCCCAAACAGTCTTCAAAATACTGGCAACCGCAAATTCTTGAAGCTGTGATTCCATCAAACCTCTATCCGCACAAACAAACCAACGAGTAAAGTCGCCCATCAGATCCTTTTTGGTTACACTAGGAGGACCGGGAATGCTTGTAGAAAGGGGCTGTTGTTGTATAAGTGTAAGGTTTGGGGACGGCTGTGGAAAAATTGATGATTGGCTCGCAGCGAAAGGTTGTTCATTAGTTTTTAAGGTACCCAAGGATGAGCTATTTGTGAGAGGCGATGGGGTAGAAAAGGGGACGAAAGATGGGGGTTGAACCGCATTACTGATAGGCTCTGATGAACCAAAGGGCCTTGATACTGACTCTGGGGCAGCGGATGAACTAGAGGATGTAGAGGGTTGCGGTCGATCTTTGTTTGATGATTCGGAAGCCTTCGCTCTAACATTCACCAAAACAGATGGAGTTGGTGGAATCGATAGGTTTTTGTCGCTGTTAAGAAAGCCAAAGAAGTTTGGATCTGAGGCGCTTTTAGTGGAAGGGGCTGCCTGTATTGCCGAAACATTGTTTTCGATTACAGCCTTCTCAGGATTTGGTTCTGGGCTCTTCCCTACAAGGGGGCCAGCCTCCTTAGCAGTAACCCCTAGTTGCTTTTGCACCCAAGAGATAGATGTTGGGTCAATGTTCCCTGCCTTTGTAATGAGAGGAGTCGTGGAGTTATCACCTTGTCCGAAGAGCGAGCTGGTCTGCTGTTCCTTCTGAAAAGAGTCGGTGGTTTCGGTCCTAGAGACTACGGCAGGTTGGGTAGAGACCGTAGTGAAAGAAGCATCTCGAGAAATAGACGTTGTGCCAGAAACTTTTGGCAAGAGAGGTTGCTTTAAAGGGACAGCAGTCGTCGACATGGTAGCAGTGGGATTTCCGAAAATTTGCGGCGGGGAAGGCTTTACTTTAGCCAGAAGACCGGAGGGTGGTGTAAGCCCACTACCTTCTTTCTGACGGTCAAGTCTTTCGGAACTCTGGTGCTCTTGGCGGTTGCTATTTGCTAGGGGTATGTTCTGCGAGTCGCTAACAAACAAGCTTTCCTCGGAGGATTCGTCTGAGCTAGATATTGCCGCAACATTCTCTTCGAAGACAGTTGTACGGATTACTTCCGGGAAAGGTCGGCCGGAACGTTTACGTTCCACAATGTCTCCCGAAAAGGAATGCCGTATTCGAGCATCGGTATACTCAGTATTTGGAGATAGAATAACATATCCATCTTCGTGAAACTGAAAACCGTGCTTTTTGAAGAATTCAACTGCCTCTTCTTCAGTGTCGGTCTGCAAGTATTGCTTTAGGATAGACGGATGTAGGTCTTTAGGACCATATCGGGGCCGCGAGAACGATCTCCTAAGAACTTTCAATATCCCCTTTCGGACATCGTTGAAATGTATCTCGGCGAAGCATGCCATAGTATACGAAACGCTCGGGTGGGCAATAAGCTTGAAGAATATCGAGATTGCGTCGATAGCTAGTGGGCTGTACGTCTCTGGATACAGGGGGCCCTGCAGTTTTCGGATATTGTCGATACATTGAACGATGGCTATTGCCGATTTGATTCCATCGGCATTCCCAAACCGCATATCCCAGCCTTCTATTCTTTCCATAAGTCCCGGATTGTGGGCATTAAATACTATAAAATACCCCCGGAACTCGGGCTCGTTTTTGCACTTGATCCCCTGATGTGCACAGTCGTCGTATACTTCCATTAGGGAGATCAAGGTCTTGCTTAGTTGCTCAACTTCCTGTTGCTCTGAAAAGTCTGCGGGAGCAGAGCCACCCCGAGAGAGTAAATGAAGCGACGTAACGTGGAAACGAGCGATGGTCTCGAGGCAATAGATTTGATCTAGTATCTCGTCAGGGGTCATGGCATACTTCTGAAACGAGAAGTCTATTCGAATAGCTCGAGTTCGGTCCCAGAGGAAACTATGTCGTTGCGGTAGCATGTCGTCCGACGAAACAAGGTCGATCAAGTAATCTAAGGTACGGCAAAGAGTCCGGACGGATCGCACATCCATAGGGAGAGGTGCGTCTTGACCCGCAGCCGAACGAGCGAGTCGCTTAACCATAAGTGAGGGTATCGCAACAAGGTCTCCATTCTCATCAGTACCCTTCTCCGGTCCTCTGATATCGTGCTCGACAATACGAGTTACTTGCTCCCACTCAGGACACATGTCCTCGCAAATTCCCTTAAACACAAGTGCCTCGTCGAGCCTTCGCTTCTTGTCCGGATCATCGATTAGACCAGCTCGTGTGAGCGATTTCCGTGCCCTTTCCCGGTAAGCCTTGTAAGTTTCGCGGAAACGTTCTATAGCCTGACGTTGTGCAAAACTACCTGGATTTTCAGGCCATTGTGGTGGCCTGATTTTATCCTTTGCTAACTGATTTCGAATCTTTTTAGCGAATTCATCTCGGTCTTGGCTAGATTTTGGGTTCCCCGGCACGTCTTTTCCAGTAGGTGTGTCCTTCTTATTGCCCTGGGCGGGTGAACGAGATCGATTACGACCCTTTCCTGCGGCTGGCGATCCTCGTGATAACTTGTTCCCCCCCTGGATATCATCATCACCTTTTCGCTTGCCATTGACTTGTTTTGTAAGTGTCGAGGTATTAGCCGGTGCGGGTTTGGTAGTTTGTGTCTGTTTTGGCCACGCCGGCTGAACGTATTCGGAAGCTTCCCCTTGGCCATTCAGACTGGTCGTAGCTGAGGTTTGGCTCTCGCTGGTAATCGTTGGTAATCGTTTCGAAAAGGGATTCGGTTTTAAGGAGCTGCTGTTGGATGCTATCTGCTTAGACTTAGATTTCCGTGTGAAACCAAATTGGTTCATTAATTCGACCTTGGGATTTGTATTTTGTTGACTAAAAGGCGAAGGCCGCACATCCGTCCCATTGGCTGTCGGCTTCGCTGAAAAGGGGTTGCTCACGTTAGAGGACTGCGCATTACCATGGCCACCGAATGGGTTCGGTTTGGGTTGAAAAGGAGAAGCGGTTGAGTGGCTATTCGTATCTATAGCAGAATCCGTATGATTCTTCTCGAAGGGATTTTTCATATTAGTTGGCATGCGGAAATCTTGGTGCTGCCCCTCGGCCATCTGACTTAGAGTCTGCAGCATGGAAGGATTCGACGAGGAAGGCTGAGCAGCGTTGGCTAGGAAAGGATTTGGCGTGGGTGCGCCGCTGGTCTGTCCTTGTAAAAACGGGTTGGCCTTGGGGGGAGCGAACGGGTTGGGTGGCGGCGTAGACATTGTATTGGCGAATGCTATAATTCGAGAAATAGAGTCAGTGGTCTTCAAACATCCTCACAAGCCCTCCTTCCGTTGATATCATATCTCGTGTTCCGGTACTTCATCTTTATCCATCGCCTGGTCCATTTATCTTTATCCAGTCCAGTGCCAGTATGGATTCGAAAGTCGTTCAGATTCATCGGGATTCACTCGTAACGGGGATAGCTTTTATCGTCGGGGAAGGAAAGCCATTCTACTTACGGTTGCTAGGCGGGTTCGGCGCTTGGCCGACTCCCCAGCTACCCTGCCTCTGGGGATTAAGCATTGCGCTTCGCCGCCGGGTCTAGTGTTTTCGTTGTCATGAGTAGTGAGATGCGATTGAGGTTGACCGAGAACGGGGGTTGCAAAGTAGGGAAGACGGTGGGGGGGGGGTTGAAGAATGGCTTTAGGGAAAGACACAAAGAACGAGCCGTCCTCGTGCGCGCAAGATACTGCTCAGATAAGAAGTGCAGACAAAGGGCATGCACAGGTCGAAATGAACATGCAAGAGGGGCTGGTGCTAGAGAGACTTCGATGTGGTAGGTAATAGTAAATTAAGAGATGTGGAGAGAGGGTAGTTTGTGCTTTTAGAAGTGCTGAATTTTATTTGGTAAAACGATTGATGATGTTGCGATCGCCGACGCGGCGCGGCATTGGAGTCTGCAAGCGGAAGTTGGGGATTCCTGCCCGACTTGACCGCTCTAAGCTTATCTGTAAGTGACTTAGCCCGCTTAGGTACTTGGATACAAGGTAGCTATCTGAACGTGTCAGGTAACGTGCATGCACCTACCTAAACTTTGAATTGCAAATTCTCCTACCTTAGGTAATTGGCAAGAACATTTAACATTTGTTTAAACGTGAGTATTAGATTTAGGTTACGGGATAAGGTACCTAAGGTACAATACCTACTCCTTCTACCAGCTCTAGCTAAGGTCGAGTACCTATACTATTTTTTAGGTACAATACCTTTGGACCTTTAGTAGGTAGGTACAGTAAGAGGTACCTAAGGCTTAAGATGAGGTCATTGCAGCTTGCTTTCACTTTTGCCGTAACTGCCCAGATCCCTTCGCGGCTATACCTTAACTTTTTAAAAGTTTAATTGCGCCTAATGCATTTCGATGCGCGCGAGATCTTATCTTCCCTATTTCCCTCCCTAAGGTTCTCCCCTTCTTCTCTTACTAAACATGCACAATTTTGGGACCCAACACCACTCCATAACTCCATTAACTCTCAAACGCTCAAAACACTTCAAGTCCCCAATTCTTTAATTCCCACCTATCCCCTATAAACACCGCCCCAACTCCGCCCAACATCTTATTCCAAGGGTCCGCGTAGCATGGAAACTTCCATCTCACCTGCATTAACCAAATCACACTCACTCGTACAATATACACATTATAGGCGACGACACTTTGCTCCCCCCCTACCATTGCCAGATGGGTAGTGATTCCTTTAGGATCACATCCCATATCCTGCATCCCGCATTCCGCATCCCGCATACTAACAACCAATTAACCTATAACGAAACGAACGACGTCAGACCGGAGGTCCGATACGCGAGAATCTGCGTCTATACGCCCAGCTGACTCGTCACTCTCACTATTCGCTAATAGATATCTATCCGGAGAAAAAAAGCAGGATCTCCATCCAAGTGTCCGTAACGTAAATCTTGGCAATTGTTTTGTGTTATAAAAGAACAAAACCCTCTGAGCACCCGCTCCTGCGGAACTATGGCGTTTCTCGAAGATCCTCGACTTCGTCAGCGATGGAACCAAATCTCGCACACAACCGAAACCGTTACCGAGAATGCGGCCGCGGGGATATGGAGCTTTGGTCACACATACGTCACACCATGTCTTTCATCCATCTCCTCGGCGTTGGAGAGCTGCTCGACAGTCTGCCTAGGCGATCGCGAAGAACGAGCACGACGAGCAAGAGAACGCCAACGAGCCCGAGGCAGGGCCGAATACAGCTTTGATTTCTACGATGATTGGGACGAAGAGTTAGGAGGCGGTGACGATCCGGGAGGGCTTCTCGGCAGCTGGCGGGGTGAGGATTGGGATCAATTGCTAGCGGGAACGGGGAAAAAGCGAAGCGGAGGAGATATTCAAGAGCAGCCGAGGAGGAAACGTGGAATGAGCTACGGTACAAAACCACCACGGCGAAGATCCAGCATCCACGAAGACCCAACAATTATTCCAAGCACTGCGCCCTTGGGATTTTTGGGACGTTTGCCGTTCAAGATAGGAGGGACTTTGAGGTATAAGCCTAGTGCGGCGAATTTACAAGAACATCCCGGGGCGTCAAGATCGGGACTCGACACAGAACGTCTCCCACTGTTAGGTGGAAACGACAACGGGTCACAGCCTAACGAATCACATTCTCACAGTAGGAAGCGAAGTGGAACGGTAGGCAGTGGAGATACTAGCGATTCGTACAGGTCGAGAGGTGATCTCTTTCCAAGTGACGAAGAAGGGGGAGAAGACGCAATACCGCTGGACGACGAGTTCACGATTGCACTTGACCACGTAGACGATCGCGAAAGTAACAAGACGAGAAGTAGTAAAGGAAAGCGGATTGCAGACTGCATATTACCAAGGAGTGTTTCAAGGACGACTATAAACTCGACGAGGCCTTCCCTATATCCCAGTGTTGGCTCGGGGTCAGTTCCAGAAAGCCCAGCGCTCCTCACGACGCCATCTCTGGAAGACTTACGACGGGAGGACGAGCGGGCTGAACGAGAAGAAAATGAATTAATTGAGAAAAAGAGACAGGTTGCTGCGGATTTGGCTCTTAGGAGAGGGCTAAGCCGGGAGAACCTTCAGATCGAAACCGTGCCCGAGGCGAAATCCGAAATAGTGGAAGTAGAACAGGTGCTAGTGCCGCATGAGGCTGTATTTGATAAAGGGCTAGATTACGAGCAAGACGAAACAGGATCGGGATCTGCAGAGGAAAGTCAACAGCCGCAAGCACCAGACTCGTCAGATGAGGGCTTTGTCCCTGCACGACTACCATACTTCCGATAAGAGATACTACCATTTATTATTGGTCATTCATCGACTTATAACTTCGATTCACTTCGACTCAACCTATCACTCCTGACCTATCTGCAATACGCCACCGAACTCTTCCATTGGGTCCTAAGCTGCGACTTGAAACGAAACGAAACGAAACCAAAGCTCAAAAGTAGCCGAAGTTTGATAATGACCGTAACGAGTCATGACGCTATGCATGCAAGACGGCCACCTAGGATTCGGCGCCATGTTGAATACGTGCAATTAGTAGTGCAAGCGACCAAGTTTTGTTCCTTCCTATAAATCAATGTGTATACGTGTATATACGAGATTATGATTACTAGGTACAGGGCCTACGAAACAAGACAGCGGCCTACGCCTTGTAGAGCGTTCAAGGGGCCACGACTTTACTGTTTCCAAATAGCGAATGCAATGATGTTATTATTACTGGGAGACAGGAACTTTGGGGGGGGGGGGGGGGGATTGCCGGATAGGACGCCCAATTTGAATATATTTATATCTGCGACCTGATACTACTAGGTAGTATGTGGAAGATATGAGTTGTATTATTATATTAACGATTCCTTAGCCAGAAATATACTTGAACTATGACGATGCTCGTAAAATGGCGTATATTTATTTCATTGTGCATAGCATACATGACACATGATATTATGATAGTCTTGGTTCCTGACTTGAGGTAAAACAAAAGAAAGGTTACCTTGCCGAAAATAGATATGCCTCGGTATATTTTTTCTAGTTTACCCCAGATCTCCGCTTTGAGAAGGGTCGAATTTAGCTCCCGAGAACCCCTGGAGCTTTCCATATCAAACGGGTCTCCGTATAAGTCCAACAACTTCTTTTAACTCTTACCTAGAAATATATTCATTACCAACTAGCTCCTTTCCTCTTTTAAATATATTTCTTATCTTACATCCTACCTAGGTACTTTATCGCGAGGGTCTTGAATGTACCTAATCTATACCTAATACCGCTCAAGATAGCGTTACACTTACACGGTTCTTTATACTCATCGAAAGATCGCGTCGTACAATAACAACACATTCATTCTACTTTAAACCGCGGTTCGGATGCTATCCCAACAGACTTGATCCGAGGTAGCCGAGCTTAAACTTGCTCGATACAAAACCTCTGAACAACCATTCTCTCTATACCAGGATTATCTAGGTATATTACCTACCTGTAACTGATATACCCTTCATACCCAGCTAATCATACCTACTCCACCAGCCGGCATCAAAGCGGCACAGTTCTCAGCGAGCACCCATAAACCCAAGAACCGTTAGCTAGATCAATCAGCGTAATAAATTTGACCACTCCGTTCACAATGGCGCCGCAACCGCAACCGCAGCCTCCCAAAGGCCCCATCACAACCCCCCTCACCACCCTCCTCGGGATCCAGCACCCCATCATCCTCGCAGGCATGGCCCGCGTATCCGGCGGCGCCCTCGCGGCCGCGGTCTCCAACGCCGGCGGGCTAGGCGTCATCGGCGGCTTCCAGTACACGCCCGCGCAGCTCCGGACCATCATCGCGGAGCTCAAGGCCGCCCTGCGCGCGCCGCACCTGCCCTTCGGCGTCGACCTCGCGCTCCCGCAGGTCGGCGGGTCCGCCCGCAAGACCAACCACGACTACACCGGCGGCAAGCTCGACGAGCTGATCGACATCACCATCGAAAGCGGCGCGCGGCTGTTCGTCAGCGCCGTGGGCGTGCCCCCCAAACACGTCGTCGACAGGCTGCACGCCGCGGGCATCCTCGTCATGAATATGGTCGGCCACCCCAAGCACGCCGTCAAGGCGCTCGACCTCGGCGTCGACTTGGTGTGTCCGCAGGGCGGCGAGGGCGGCGGGCACACGGGGGACATCGCGAGCTCGGTGCTCGTGCCGGCGGTGGCGGACGTCGCGGCGCGGTACCGGCCGACGCTGCTCGGGGGCGGGCCGGCGCTGGTGGTGGCGGCGGGGGGGATCCGGGACGGGCGGTCGCTGGCGTCGAGCCTGATGCTGGGGGCGGCGGGGGTGTGGGTGGGGACGCGGTTCGTGGCGAGCGCGGAGGCGGCGAGCAGCGAGGCGCACAAGGCGAGCGTGGTGTCGTGCGGGTTCGAGGACACGCAGCGGACGCTGGTGCTCACGGGGCGGCCGCTGCGGATGCGGACGAACGCGTACGTCGCGCGGTGGCACGCGGATCCGGGCCGGATCCGGGAGCTGTGCGATCGCGGCGTCGTGCCCATCGAGCACGACTTCGAGAACGACGTCGAGGACATCGACCCCCCGCACATCATGGGCCAGGTCGCGGGCGCCGTGACGGAGGTCCTGCCCGCGGCGGACATCGTGCGCGACATGGTGGACGGCGCCGTGCGCATGCTGAGGCGGGGGAGCGGGTATGTCGATGCGAATTACGCTGTTACTACCGGTGGTGAGAAGAGTAAGCTGTGAGGAAGGGCTTGGACCCCTGGGTTGGGCGGATGGGGTTGAATTAGGTTATGCATTGGGATAATCACGGATCTGTCGAGCAGGTACTTGCTTACTTACCTACCTGGGTGGGTTCCTTAGGTACTTACTCAACCGTATGACAGGGAAAAGGAGACCGGTAACATGGGATAAAACCGAAATTGTTTCCAAAAAGTACACTCGCGTCTATACCGGTACGTGCGCCTTCTTCGCGGTACCGAGGAGGGAGGCGTTTGATTTTTACCTTACTACGACGGACATGACATTCGACGCAGTGTGACCTATTTTCTATTTCGTGGGAATAATTTTTTGTTTTACATACCTAATCCATATTCAAACGGGATGCAATACTACCCTACCCTACCCTAATCATTCCCACCGAAAGGCATAATCCCCGAGTACGGTCCCGGGAGGATCGGTTCCAAAGCGGGAAAGGGGGGGAGGGGGGCAGTGTGTTGGAACTTTATTGATCCCATGTAGGTAACAAATAATATGTATGTACCTCGTGCAATTCCAGACAGGAGGAGATAATAACCATCACCTCAAAAAGAGATTTTACGATTATAACCGCCGTCGTCTTTGGCGTCGCCACTTCATCATATAGAGGTAAACTAACCCACTATTCCCATCACCACCTTTACTTCGACCTAAAGGTAAACGGAAAGTCAAAAAAACAAGATTCAAGGGGACCCGAAGCCGAAGTCCCCTGCGGGGGGGATGCGGAAACATTCATAACTTTAAACCGTTTGCCTTTTTCTTTTGACATCCGTCCGTACATGCATATGTCTCTTATATGATGTAGTAATTAATAAGGTATTGTACATACGGAGGTACGTTGGGGTCTGTAAGTTAGGTCAGGTCCACTACCTTAAGTTAGGTTAGGTACTTTTATAGCTTCGATTTCCAGGCTTCGAGGCTACCTGAGCATAACATACCCCATTGGATAGGTATGCACGGCATGTATTATTTCGTAGGTATAGAGAAAACAATAAATATATACCTAATATATATAAAAGACACCGAGAAATTCAAAAGGGAATATCTAGGTATCTAATAAATTTAATAAGGGGGGCGGTGAATTGCGTCGCTCGCTTTGGGGTCCGTTTCTAACTTCGTTTTGTATCGTGTCGATCGATTTTCTATTTTCTTCATATCCAGAAAGTCGGGCAAAAAGCCAATCATTCAGCGGTGCGTACGTAAGCACCATTATGTACTACATTAGGTAGAAGGAGGAGGTAGGGCAAGACAAGTTTATCAAAATTCGAATCAGATTGCGTACGAATGTCTTGGAGGCACTTGTCGAGTTTTTAGTACTTTTTTAAGACATAGGGTCTCTTACACAAGGGGTTTTCATAATAATAATGCCTATACCCTTGGTACCTAGGGTAGGAATGTAGCTGAGCCCCCTATATCTCAGTCCCCCAAATTCGTCAAATCCTGCTATCATGATGAAGCAATTGACCTCCTTCCATTTTGAGCACATTCGAAAGTTGGTCCCTACTAAAGCTAGGGAACCAAGTAAATCCTTTCGTGTAATTGGTTCATTTATTCGTGGATGCACTGCATGATGTGATGATGCACGGCGCAAAATAAGAAAAGACAAGACATGTCGCATTTGACGAATTGTCTACACTAAAATAAAAGAGCGAATCAACATGCCCATCTATCCCCGCGGCTTTTCCTAAATACTGCTGTCGACAGTCCTGGCTCCTTCTCCCATTGCGTCGGTAGTACCATCATTAGCGTGTCGATCTCCTCACGAGCTGCCTGCATCCGCTTCTTCATGGGATCCAATGTGCTGCCGTCCTCCTGCCACTCCTGCTGTGACTCTAACTCTTCTAAACGTTGCACCTGTCCCTCGAGCAACTCCGCTTCGATATCTTGCGGTTCGTCTTCTACTAGCTGGGGGAGAGGGCCTAGCTCGAGCTTCTCCGTGTCGTGTACGAATATTATTCGTTGCAGCGAGTTCAAATCAACTTTCTTCCATCGTAATACTCTCCATGCGCCCTCGGGAACAACTGCAAGACGCTGTACCTCTTCTAATCCCCGCGTAGAAGCCCACAATGATGAGCATTCTGCTTTCAGTTCCGAGTTGCCAAAGAACAACGTATCCCGACTGAAATCCACGTAGATCCTCGCTTGTAAGCCTCCCACGCCTAGTGACAGCTTATAGTGCTTAAGTGCTTCATATCTGGCCTCGGCGTTGACATGTAAGAGAGCGGGGATCTGTGTGTTTGAATACCATGTTTCCCCTTGGCTATGGGAATCTGATATTGCCTCTTCTAGCGATCTGGGAGTCTGTTTTTGCCCCGAGTACGGCGACTTCACGACAACTGTCCTAGGATCAGGTATGGCATATTGCCATATCCTGATCCTTAGCTCAGGGGGGAGTTCGTTGAACTTGTTAAATGTGGCAGGGCTTTGCAGCTTGTTTGAGAACCGTGTTAAGGTCCCCTCCATTGTGCTGTCGATGAGGTTAAGGAATTGGTAGTATTGAGATTGTTGCCAACGGTAAAGTCTTATAAGTAACAGTATCGAACTGACAAGAGGTATGATGGCGACGGGGATATCATAATAAATAGTTGGGGTATGGCTCGTCCTGGCCGGCATGATCATATATGAGTAGATATTCTTGGAGTAGGATGGGTTTGATTAATGCAATATTTTCCTCCACGCCGCACGAGGGTGTGTGCGTGATCGATGCGTAATATAATGATCAAATAGTTGAAATTGGTCTATAAGTTAGGTACCAATTATAAGTGATACATCAGAATCGATCCTGTAACACGTTTGAGAGGATTCATGGGATTGGGCATGCTATAGGGTAATATCAAACACGGGAAACTGCCGCATGCGGTTTGAGGGCTGTCAGGTTTATATGCGAGTGAAGAAGGGGGGGGCGGCTTATCTTGCTTCATCTATTATTCATTGTCATTACCTTTACCTGTTGTCGCCCCACACCCACGTTTGACAGATGGGGAAGATGAACAAGTAGACAAGTCACTTTCGCTCTCAAGGGTCCATACTTCTTTAGAGCGAGCACCGTCGATCGGCGCGAAACAAGTTTTAGTTACCTACCATAGGTAGATAGGTACCTAACGTTGCCTACCTTAGGCTAGGTAGGTAGGTAGGTAGGTACGTTACCTACCTAGTAGGTACAATACAATACCTCAGGTCAAAGGGTACGTTATCTCATGTGGTACCCTTTAAGCGGTGGTTAACGAAAGTTTCATCAAAGGGGGACTGGAACGTGGTTTGATGAGGCGGCTCAAAGCCACGGCAGACTAACGAGTCACTTAACCCGCTAGATCCAGGTATCAAAGGACAGACGGACCCAAGTAACTGTAAGTAAAAGCGGCCGCAGGTCACCGACTCTCCGTGTTAGGTACCTACAATACCTTGTATTGTATTTGAGCCACCAAAGCAACCCAAACAGGGCAGTCAAAAACCCGGGCAATAATACCGATCAATAGGTTACTATGTCATAGTAGAACCAGACTCGCCAGACCGCAGGTTTAACCACCTAACTAAAAGGTAGTACATCTGCGGCTACGCGTAGGGTAGCCTAACACAACTGTTTTATTAATGATGCACTTGATCAAAGACGACGCTTGACACGTAACTCCACGGCGAAGCTGGACAGGCTGGACAGGCTGGAGCAACTTGCGGTAAGCCGTCGTCAGTTCAACTAGCCACCAAACATCTGATCAAATTTCGTTTCTCGGTATCCTGCGGCCTCGGGCGCGGTTAGCCGAGCTCGCTTGAGCTCGTGCTTTGGGACTCGTCGGTTCCGATGCCGAGAGAACTAACATGTAGTAACGGGTTGGCCAAGACAAGTTTCCACAAACCTTAGCAGCCAATAATCAGTCGGCCGAGTTTATTTCTAGGAGTTGTAGGCATGCGTTCTGTTGTATCCCGTGATATGATGCTGATTGCCGCAAAACTCACCTCATTACCCCAGAAATCGCTGTAGGTCTTGTAAAGGATTCGTCTCGAGGTGAGACATCACAGCTATTAAGAAACATGATTGGGCAATATGGAAAAGGGGTTGCGGGTTAGCTCAACATGCCAGCTCTTCTAGCCAACCATAGGGCGATCTAGAAGAGCCAGGGTTTTGGAGCTGGGACTACCTAACTGGGACTAAAAAAGTGCAAGGAGGCAGGGGGTGATGAATGAGATCCATCGTGAGAAATCGTGGAGAAGATGCTAACCGTGCCAGGAGACAGGGCCAGCTACAATACACGGCTTAGTATGCTAGGTACCTTAGGTACCTTGGTAGATAGGTAGCTTACTATGTAGAGTCGCAGTCGGCATCGCTATTCAGGTACAGCCCGATATAAACGCAACTAATACATATTTGAGACGATTGCGTCAAATAGCTGTCATGGGAAACAAGAAATGCATCTAGGAAATTTGATACGAAAAGAAAGAAAAAAAATCCGAAGGAAAAGAATGACAAAGTCTCGCTAGTACGCGGCTCCTGTCGGTAGTCGGGGGCCATGGATTCCCGCCCGTAGTGGGGCAAAGCCAAGGGGCAGAGGGGGAGGGGGGAGGGGGTTATTGACGCCGCTTATATGACGACCAGAAAAAACAAAGTACTACTTCCACGTTCAATTAACCCCCAACATACAACAATATGTCAGCCTCCTAAAATCCAATCATTACTATATTGCACGCTTAATTTATCCTAATTGCCTATTATAGGAAATATACAATTTTGGATCGTGGCTTTTGTGTTTACCGAGTTAAGATAGGTAGGTACCTCCTAGTCGGATCTTTTGCGGCTTGGCGCTTGGCAGACTCGGAAAGCTTTGTACCTTAGGAGGTATGCATACGTGGAGGTTAGCCACTGACGACGAACTGCGCGTCCTCTTTAAAAGCGGTACTTAGTATATTTTGATGCAATGAGCCGTCCGGCATAGCAGGTTACTTCTCTCTCTCTTTTTTTGTCCCCTTTTGCTCAATACGTCATGACACTCCTATGGATGTATGGCCGTATTGATCGGCCAGAAATTCGACGCCGGTGTCAAATACCGACCGCCGACCGCTCTTATTCCCAGCAAGAACATCTGTTCCAGGGGCATTACCGGTGTCATAGCATCATACTTGGTGGCTCGACATCTTTGAATCATCTGCCCTGGAGATAGAAAAGAACGACATGGCTGACCTGACGCCAAAGTAGGGGAGTTCATATTCTGTGCTTACCATGATTCCTACCTAGGTAAGTACTTTGTATAATAGATGACCCAAAGATCGAAAGCTTCGGGAGATCACCATGCAAAGCTTATTTCTGTGGGCATATTTTGTTTATGACGAAATCTCACTGGGCCGAATAGGTATCTGCTTCGTGCATGACCTTACCTATCAACACCACAAAAAACATCGTGATTCGTACATCACGCGACCTATTATCAATCCAATTGGTGACTTCGTAAAAAGACGTGTTAGTCGTAGTCCACCCCATTCAAAATTTCGTCCTAATATCTATAAGCATCAACGCTATACGGATATCTCAGGATATCTCAGTGCTATTTACTATGACACGGTCATAATCATCACATGAGCCCTTCATGCGTCTTATTTGCTGCATTGAGCCAGGAATACTTCTGAAAAAAAGGAAAATTGAAGGGAATGGAGCACAACCTTTGTCCTCCAACGGCCAATCCGGCGACACGCGATAATCCGAGCCGGAGGTTACTCGTTCGGGCAAGTCTTCTCAATAACACGGATTCCGATTGGTTGAGATGAGCAAGGTACTTGGGTACACCTATAGTTAGATTCACTCAGGACCTTCGGTGAACCTTTAATCAATCAAGCCTAGAGAATGTCTATTGAGTGAGTGTGATTTTTTGAGTCTTGACGGCGCCATTGAGGAAGCTCAAAAAAAAAAAAAAAAATAAGAATCTACCTCCTAAGCACAAGACAAGTCTGTCCTAATCATGTTCTAGACCGTACTGTCTTGTTATCAATGATACTACAACGATGCTGACATTCGGATCCTTCATAAGACCTCAATAGAGGGTTACACGCCGTAAACCTGGCCAGCAGCCACATACCGATGACATGTCTTACAGCACAACCTATTGAAGATAACTCTATGATATTCAGCCCTATTCCAAGCATCTTCTAGAAACATAATCAGCAAGAGGCTTTCATCTAAGACTTCACTTTGATACCATCCGGCAATCCTCCGGGGATCCTACGCATCAGCTAGCCAATCGGCTAGGGACCGAAAGACCAACAAGTTTCACAGCATCGATTCATCCTACTTTGCGAGACACTGCTGCAGAGCATGTGAAAAATGATTAATATCAGTTGAAAAGCGCAAGACTTTTATAGGAGTGGTCAGAGAACGAGGTACCTAAGGCAACGATAAGCGAACAGCTGAAGTTACCTAGGTAACATTAGCGACAGAGAAGATGGAGCCAATTTACCTTAGGTACTATGCTCAGCGATTTTCATGTCTATTTAGATTTCATAAAATATCAGTCACCGGAGTTAAAGTAAATAATTGTAGGGCACAGGGAAGATACCTACTGGACTATCAAACTGCTACATTTAGGTACCTTGGGTACCAAAAAGGGGCATTATGCAAACCATCTATAAACAGTTCAACGTGTTTGTACGCAGCCGTTGCTGCGTAGCACACGTTACTTAAGTAGGTAGCTACTTGGTATTTACATTGTAACTTATTCGAATTGCGCAATAAATAGGTATTCGTAATTCCACCAACAGATCAGACTAGCAAAGTATCGTTTGCGATAATTTCCCCAACTCAACAAATAGCAACCATTATAATGATGGTGGTGGTGGACGCACCTTGTCGAGTCTATATTGTTTAGGTAGCCAAGGAAGAATCCTGAGAGATTGTATTAGCTTCCGCGAATCACGGAAATCTGGGGAAAAGAAAAAGAATTAACTCACAAATATTCCCTCCCACCCAAACCAAGGCAAAAACCAAGCCCAAGTCGACGAGCCTCCGCGCCAAATATTCAGCAGCGGGACGAAGGCGTGGGTGACGGCCAACGTCCCAACGACGTTGGTGTTGACGACGCGCCGCAGGTCGTCGATCCGGGAGTCCGTGAACGGGAGCACGTGGTGCACGCCCGCGTTGTTGATCAGGCAATCGAGCTTGGACTCGTCGGTCCCGGTCCCGGTCCCGGTCTCCGTCGCTTCCGCCACGGACGCCGCGCACACCGCGATCGACTCGTCCGAGTCCACGTTCAAGGGCGGGGTCTCGATCCCCTTCCCCGCGAGCGGCCGCATCTTGTCCACGTTCCGCGCCGTCGCGAAGACCCGGTACCCCTGGACGTGGAACTCGAGGGTCAGGGCCGCGCCGATGCCGCCTTCGCTGCACCCGGTGATGACCACTGGTTTGCGAGACATGACGATGCTAGCTACACCTGGCGGAGGGGTGGGATCGGGGGGTTCCGGGATTTTATACGGCGTGCGAAGCCAAAGTCCGCCGCGATGGACCAATGTATGATTTCAAATGCGGGGCCGGATATTGCTTCATTAATAATGTTGGGCAAGGGTGGTGTTTACTGATACATACAGGGGTAAAAGTTGAAATGCAGAAACAGGTAGAAAATGGATTCCATCTATCTGTGTCTGTTACCTTCTATCTACGTCAAGGGACATTAGAGACAGGTGAGGGTTTGTGAATCCCTTAGCACTCATCTCACTTACTCCCGAAGTTGCATTTTTACGAATAAACGATATTAAAATAAGAACCGCAATAGTTGTGCTTGGTTGCTATCTAGGTTAACTGAGGACCTATGAACTTGCTCATCCATTAAACTAGATAGGTACCTCCTATAGAGATACCCACGTAGGTAGCAGCGCTGACCCCGTACTTAGAATTCAAATCCATACGCATCTGTGTGGTAACTCTAGCTTGAGTATGGCCATAAATCTTCATCGGCTGCACGTGTACTTATACCATTACACGCCTTGTGAAAGCAACGAAAGCAGTAGAAGCCTGATATATCCTCAGCCCAATGTACTCCAAATCATGCTAAACGTCGCGTCTAACGTGTTCGCTAAGACATCTTGGACGCTCATTTCTTGGCTACCTGTTTAGACACGTATTAGCGAATATATATACTAAGTATAATAAGGTATCTCTCACTTTCATCTTCGAGGGCCGCGTGATTTTCCAATGGGCTAGTATTGGGATTCATCGAAAAAGACCCGTGAAAGAACGGGTAACGCGGAGGGAAGGATCTTCTCACTAAAGCTCATTGTATCCGAGGGATAGATCTATCATACTGCGAAAATCTGCAAGTGTAGCATCGGTATATCGCCAGACTGGCATATCGGAATCTTCCAGCGGATCTTCAACTGAGATACCGAAGAGGAGAAGGGGGCCTTTCCAGCCGAACTTTTCATCGCCATGTTTTGCGACGGTCTTATATAAGCTTTCGGTAGGCTTCGATCCATCGTAACGAAACATATTTCGAAAAAGGATGTCTATCATACGAGGCACTTCCTTCTTATGAACGTAATTATACTGGCCCCGTTGACAGTCGTAGCTTGCGCCAAGGATTTCTCTGACGGAGTCCGGATATGGGTGATTTGGTTCTTCGGGAATCTCGGGGTTTTCAAAGCAACGAATCCAGACGAGTTCTGGGACCGGCTTGTCTTGTGGAAAGTAGATAGCCCTGACATGCGAAGGAGATGGGCGTTCCGGCTGGGTCACGATAGCCTTACACAACAACTTGTGCGACTTCCAATCGCTTTTCTGGCATTCCTTCGAGCAGTAGTGGCAGCTCTTGCACGATCCGCATAACTGGCCGCCCCCCTTCCAGCAGACGACGCACTGGTTCAGGGACATGGTCTCCAATTGATATACGGGATCACGATTCCAAATCTCTGAGATGCCTGAGGGTAATAAAATACAAGCTTAGATTGTAAGATGTAGTTGATGCCTAGTGGAAATGGGATTGGTGAAATTTATTCGATGGGTGATATTGATATTGATGTTGATATTGATATTGACAGTAATAGTAATAGTGATAGTGATATTGACGTTCTACATGGGGTGTGGTCAGGTAGGTGAGAAGTGGTTGAAAGGTTGAAGATGGATGTTGTAGGTTACCTAAGGTAGGTGCCTCTAATCAAAGGCAGGGACCTATAAGATCAGGCAGCAACGAGATGAAGTTATTGAGAAGTTTTCAGGGGTAGCTACATGCACTACGTAAGGTATCCAGTCCTAGCAAATAATCGTACCTGGATACTTTATATCTACCTATCTAACCTAACGAATTTCACCCCAGCCATTCCAAAAGCGCCTTGAACTCTGACAAAAGACCAATATGCTCGACGTAACTGTCCGGTCGAATATAGACATAAGCAGGCTTGGAACAGCCAAATTCCTTATGCAGGTGATTTCCAACATCAACATGTCTAGGCCTACCAGCTCCATCACTTCCATCAACCGCCTCGTCAAATATCATGTGAATCTTGGCCTCGTCCGCGTTTTTACTCTCAAAATTGGCTAATGCTTCTCGCATGGATTCTTCGGTAACGGCATCACTGCCGACTCCGGAGAATAATACTAGGTGGTGAGTGTCTGGAGTGATAAGCTCTAAGAACTGTCTCTCCTGACCCATACTCTTAATTATCCTGTCCGGAACACGATCACCTCCCATCACCGGCCCCGAGTATCCAGGTACCGTACCCACCACAGAACTGTCCCTGTAGTTAATGCTAAATTCGGATATGAACTTGAAGATGTTGGCACGACGGTCCCGACTGCTGACGAACCAGGGCAAACCCCATGTGAATATAATGTTACGAAAAGAGATGAAGAATGGGTTGGAGGAACACCCCCAGGTGAACATCTTATCAGATGTTTCGAGCAGATGCTGGCCGACTGGACGACGTTCGCGGTCGTAACTGTCAAGGAACGAATCTGGTTTCTTGCCTCGTATTACTTTTGCTAACTTCCACCCCAGGTTTATTGAATCTTGTATGCCGGTATTCATGCCCTGAGCTCCAGCGGGGGAGTGGATATGCGCCGCGTCACCTGCGACGAACAGACGGCCATCGCGGTAGCTATTCACGCCCCTGTGGTGTAGGTGGAACTTAGTGATCCAAGTAGGGTCGTATAATTCGCCCGCTTCCGGGTGAAGCTGATTCAACATCTCTTGAAAGTCCTCTAGCTTTGGCTCGACATCCGGATTGGGATTCATGCGGGATGCTACAACTCGACATGTACCGTCTTTTAGCGGGAACACGGCGAGTGACCCTCTGCCCATACAAAGAGAGAACCTGTTCCAGGCTAGCTTAGAATTCCTTACGTGGGCATCGCAAAGGATGAAGTCCTGCGGGTAGGCTGCCCCTTGGAAAGTGAGTCCAGTTGCAGCACGTCTCACGCTGCTATGGGCTCCGTCAGCACCCACCACGTATTTTGCGCGAACGGTCTCTTCAACACCGCTTGAGTTACTCAGTTTCACGGTAACACCATCCGGATCTTGAACTATCGACGTCGCTTCAAGACCTTTCTCGACCGCGAAACCATGCTTTGCAAGGCATTCGTCCAAGTACGCTTCCGTTTCGCACTGAGAAATGATTAGGATCAGCGGGAATACCGAGTCTTCCACAAGACCTGTTAAATCGATATCCGCCGCTTTCTTTCCGTTAAGATAGAACGTAGTGCCACTACTTAAGTTTCCTTTCGATACAAGTTTCCGTACATCACCGTGTCGATTGAGAAGCTCTAAAGTACGTGGCTGGATACCTAGGGCTCTAGACTTGTCTGATCTCTGTATTTCCTTGTCGACAACACGGAACGGTATTTTATGAACTGCCAACTCCAAAGCTAATGTGACCCCGGTTGGACCACCGCCCACTATTAGGACATCAATCTCTTGCATCTCCATGATAGTCTTTAGGCTAGGTATAGATCGGGCTTTCTTAGTTAGAGAACATTACACTTTGAAACGGCAGTAGAGACGGGAAAGAATTAATGACATTAATGACTTGACAAAACTATGCTGGAAATGAAGACACCACGGGTGATATTTAAGACGTTGGAATTCTATGGCACGTATGGAATGGATATATGCATAAACCGAGCGATATATTGCGCCAACTATTTTTTTAAAAATATTCTCCTTAAATGCCGAATGACGCGTCGGCATCATTCTTACCAGACCATATAAAATCTTCCACGGTACGTATTTTTGGGGGCCTTGGGGGTTGCATTGACATCGTAGGATGGTGCGTCCGAGGGTCAAAGGTTATGTACCTGTCTTGTCTCTAGGAAGGGTTGTAACCCGTAGACCAATCGAGAGCTATCTTGATTCAAACTAATTAGGGAAAGATAACCCCCGGACTATGTAAGCACGGGTCCAACCGCAAAAGCATTTGAGTGATAGTCATTCCCTGAATGAGAATGGCGCGGTAAAAGTAAGGTGGCGATGTCTTGTTCCGTTCTTCCCTTCACAAAACGTGGCAGTTGGCTCGGTCCCGACTTACTCAAGGAGTCAGATGAAATAGCCAAGCGACTGTCTTGGAATATATCTACCCTTCTCGTGTTGGTATCTTGCCAAATATAGTATCAGGCTTCCGAAATCTGAAAACCTTGCGATGGACATCATCCTAATGGAGGATTATTTGAGCCCTCTCAGATACTACCTTAGGGGGTTACTGCGAATTGAACGGATTTCAAAGTGTAAAGATGAATGCTTACTCGCTCTGTCAGTTTGTTTATCTACCTCTTTAGGTACCTGTGGACAATACCAGAAAAGCTATTAGAGTTTATGTGATAACCAAGGACAGACTCCAAATACCCAACAAGTATGACAGGGGGACTTTGGACGAAGGCCAATCATCAGAGCAAGTTATGAAGTGATGGAGGAATTCGGACATGATATAGAGGAGTTCCTAAGACCTACGCAAACATCAATTGACAGCCATGGAGGTTGGTCGGGCACTACCGTATGTTGAGGAAGCACTTCAACCTGAAGCGGGACACAGATGAGACAGTATACTTGTATGTAATATGTATAGTAACGAGTAGGACTGCGTAGCATGAAATAAACTTACACAGGCGAACTAGTCAAATTAATATTTATATTTCAAGTTACGTTTCGCTATAGACAGGAGTCTTATGATTATATACAACATGACTTTAAAAAAACCACTGATATACAGCAAAATTGCATACCCAAGATATGCCGCCCCCTTTCTCCTCGGACAACCATCAAGGGCGCATCAACCCTCTAAGGCCGCTGAACAGAAACGTGACCAAACTTAGAAGCGGTAACGCGAGCCCCCACGCCCGTCGCCCCGTGAGAAAACGATTTATCCTTAACGCTGATCATCGGGTACACAAAGTCGTCCACATACACGTCGATATGGTGGCCGATCGCCGTAACTCTGATTGCGTATTCCGTCTCGAGGGTAACCACGCACCCGGCTTCGCCCAGCGTCGTCCTTTTCTCGCCATGCACCTTTTCGAGAACGACTCTGCCCGCCCTCGTGATGGCCGCGTAGTACCCCTTGTACCCGTCCGAGCTCGTGGACAGGTGCCTGGCCCGGAACACGAGCCCGGCGTCGCCGAGCCCGTAGCTGATAGAAACCGTCGCCTCGAAAACCAGGTCCGCGAAATCCGTGTCCAGCATCGCCTTGGCCTCGGCCGTCGGGGCGACCGTGAGCCGCTCGTCGGCCACGGCCCAGCGCCCGTCGTACACCGTCCAGCCGTACATGTGGCCGTCGGCGAAGTTATCCCTGACGAGCATCTGCACGGGCTGGATGGTCCCGTCGCCGTTGAAGTACATGCGGTCGTACGCGAGGACGCGGTGGTTGCCGTCCGCCTCGCTCAGCGGCCGGCGGTGGTACACCATGTACCAGATGTCCGAGTCCGGGATGTGGATGACGCCGTGGTGTCCGCTTCCCTTCGCTACTGCGCTGTCCTGCTGCAGGATCTTGGCCACCCGCGTGAAGGGGCCCAGGGGAGAGTCCGACATGGCGTACGACACCGAGTAGTCGGGCCCCGTCCACGAGCCCTCCGACCACATGAAGTAGTACTTGCCGTTGCGCTTGATCATCTGCGAGCCCTCGACGTAGTCCTTCGGCGTGATCTCTTTGAACTGCGTCCCGTCGTCGAAGGTCCCGATGGAAACCATGTCGTCGTTGAGCTTCGCGACGTTGGCGCGCGAGTGCCCTCCGTAGTAGATGTACGCTTGTCCGTCGTCGTCGATGAAGACGTCCTGGTCGATCGGCTGCGCTCCGTTGTGGTATTCTCCGATCAGCGGGACCCCGATCGCGTCCACGTAGGGTCCCTCTGGTTTGTCCGAAACGGCTACTCCGATCCCGCCTACTATATTTTCGCCCTCCTGGATGTCATTAGCGCCGAAGTATAGGTAATATTTGCCGTTGCGGAAGATTGGCGCCGGTGCCCACACAGCTCTAGTAGCCCAACTGACGTCGGCAGTTGTTAAGATGTTAGGGTGTTTTGTCCAATGGACAAGGTCCGGGCTGGAAAAAGCATCGAGGTATGTTTGCTCGTCGTAGGAATACGAGGAAGTGGGAAAGACCCAATATAGACCATCATATATCTCAGTATCGGGATCAGCATACCAGCCATCCACGAAGGGGTTACCCGCTTCCGAGGTAGTATAGTCCGGGATAGGTTTATTCGCCACGGGTAACGTATTTGCTAAATTTGGCATTGCGAGAGCTGTGAATATACTCGCTGTAAATATGTTGGTATATGAGCCAGCTGTGGAATAAGCTAGCGAGAGAAGGGGTGCCATAATAGTAAGCTTGCCGCATTCCATATATAATACCTGTGAGGAGAACCGCGACCTTGAGGGTTATTAGATACTTCAGCGATTTGATCACATATAGAGAAGATACGTGAATTTTATTCTAGTGATATGAGGACATAGAAACATGTCAAGAAGTTTGGACTGGTAAGAAATAATGCAGGAAATATTTATGCCTTAAAAATGTAAATATTTACCTCTACGAAAGTTTAAGCAGAGCCTTGACCAAAGGTAGCCACGCCAAGCTTGTCGCAGCCACGCGGATATCCCCAGGTTGATAACTTTATATCTAGGGAGCCCGGGAGGGACCGGATTAGTTGAAATGTCATGAGACTCAACACGGGGCGGGGAGTTAAAGAGCACGGTTATCTAACCTTCCTAATGGGGAAAGACGCTATGGTGAAGCTGTGCTTCCCTCCAAACATGGCACGTTACTTTATCTTAACATTCAACTCGGTAGATTTGGAAGCGAGCCACTTGGGTATATTAAACCGGAAGAGCGAAAGGGAGATATATCATTGTTTTTCCGTAAATGTTTTCCTCTATTATAGCTACATAGACTTATCTATCCAACCTCTGGCACGGCTTATAATAGTAATGACCCCTTACTTCTTGAGGTTCCTCACCATAGTTTATATAGGTAGGTAAATTAGTTTGGGGAAACACCTGGTATGTCTTTCTGGCATGTCTAGAGGAATTGTTAGAGGCTATCATGTTTATATTTACTTTTTTCGGTCCACTAGGCACCTGGAGTTTAGCTCACCTTTCATACTTTGACTAACGGCCGCTATACAAGAAGCCAACTGACAATATAAGGTTAAGAATACTCTTCATCTCAGGTAGCCGTTCAATGATTGAGTTTAGCTACTACCTTCTAGGTGCTCTTCTAAAAAGCTTAGCAGTAAATATTTAACTTTCCTTAGAACTTCTAGAATTATAGAAGTACCTTGAGAAATCAAAGAACTGCTTAAATCTCCGAGGTCATCTCATCGAACAGAAACAAATAAAACTTAATCGTGTCTCCTGTCGGATTTGGCTTTGAATAGCAATCGATTTTATACAATTAAGAGCCAATGTCATAAGTAACATACGGGTTGGGAAGAGCATAAGATACCTCTTAATAGTTAAATCAAGCGCAACCACTGCAACTCCCCTTGTGCATGAGGCAATTGAGCAACATCGGGGTCTACGTTCCGCAGTTCCTAAAATGGAACGAGCTGTACCACGAAAGTGATCTCGCGTGTTTAATATCTCGCTATGTTCGACTCTTCATGTGTGTTTTTTACCACTTCTGAATGGCAAAGACAAAAAGTAGAAATATATCCAGTTAATATCGGTTCAACGAACAACGATGTCCATCGGGTAATAGACCGTCGCGTTTAACGATGGCGTTCCGGCCGCTTAAGACAACGATCTCTCGTCGGCGGGCCGCCGCGCTACTCCTTTCCTCCTGTTCCCTTGGCCTCCTGGTACTTTTCCTCCTGGACCGTCGCGCTCTACCAATCCCCAACCGGGACATCCCAACGTCGGGCTTTCCGCAGGATCATCACCCCACCCTTACGCCGGCGCAACTCTATACCAACAACAAGGACCAAGACCCTCTCGCCACCAGCACCGATCTCTCCGACCCGCGCGCGCCCTTCACCCCCTGGCCCCTCCGGCGCCTCTGCGCCGAGACCCCCACGTACGTCCCGGGCCTAACCTTCGTCTGCGACAACAACAGCGGCGGCCCGGGCAACATCCGCAACTACCTGCTGACCTGCCTCCGGTACGCCCTGGAGGCCGGCGCCTCCGCCCTCGTGCTCCCGCGCATCCAGACCCGCGCCCCGGGGAACCCGGCCAACCTGTTCGGCGGCGCGTACCGCGAATTCGCCTACATGTTCGACGAGCCGCATTTCCGCCGCGCGATGGCCGACGCCTGCCCCCGCGTCGCCGTGTACCCCTCCCTCGACGAGGTCCCCGGCGCGCGCGCCCAAGCGTCGCGGGAGGATAGGAAAGACGTCGAGCAGATCGTCGAGCGCGTCACGCCCAAGAACTTCGGGGGGAGTCGCGCCGGGTGCGACCAGCGGGACCCGAACCGGCATGTGGACCGGTTCGGGGGGGCGTTTAGGGAGTGGTTGCGGAGCACGGCGTTCGAGCGCGAGCGCGCGCGGGAGATATCGTCGTCGGCGTCCGGCAACGGCGTCGACAACAACAACCTGCGGCTAATACGGTTCTCGTGGGGCGTGTTGTGGGACTGGCCGGTGTACCGCGACGGGCCCGAGTTCGCAGCGACGTTCGGCGGGCTTCTCCGGATCCGGGAGGACATCCAGGAGGTAGCGGACGCGCTCGTCGCGTCGATGAGAGCGCTCGCGGGTTCGACGCGGGGCACGGAGACGGCAGCCGGCCGGTCGTTCCTCGGGGTGCACCTGCGCACGGAAGCGGACGCGCTGTCGCGGTGGCCGACGTACGAGAACCAGACCGGGGGCTACCTGCGCGAGGCCGCGAGGCGGGGGTACCGGGGGCGGGTCGCGTACATCGCGTCGGGGAACGAGACCGAGACGCGGAAGTTCGCCGCGGAGGCTAAGGCGAGTTTACAGCTGGATGTTAGGTCCAAGTACGACTTACTACTACTAAACAAACAAAACGAAAAGCTGGAGAGGAAGCTGAGGTCGTTCAGCTGGGACCAGCAGGCGCTGGTGGATTTCGTGGTTCTGCTGCGCTGCGACTATTTCGTAGGGGTAAGCCCGAGCAGTTTTAGCATTAATGTGGCGCTGAAGAGACATTTGCGGGAAGAGGGTCTATATACGCGGCCATGGAAAGTTGGAGGTCAAGGTGATGGAAGAAGCTGGCTCGTAGGACGCTATGATCGTTATTGGGAAGATTGGCTCTTCATGTTCGATGGTATGTGGCCTTAATCCATAAAGGCGAAAGCTGTATAATAGTATATCCATGTCTAAATTAAAATGGCATAAAACCGGGTTAGTAGAAAACTGATATAAGACAGGGCAACATTTCAATCTTTTCATTATAGGACATTCCTAATTCTCATCATCGTTACACGTTGTCATCACCGGTGTCTCGCCAAACATGGGTATCTCCAAGACTAAAGGAACTAGCAACGCTACCCAGCCCATCATTACTCCTCAGTGACGCCTCTCTGCGACTGCCGTTGCCGCTAGTGCTGCTTGTTCTAGAGTTAGCAGACGACTCTCCCAGCGGCGGTGGCGGATCTTGATACACCCAAGGTTGCTCCAAGGGGACCACGAGACTCGGATTTATGAACCTCATCCCCTTTTCCCTATCTTCGTCGATGGTGCTCATGCGTCTCGTTAATCGGGTTTGCCGTTGTACCTGGTACTGATCTCGACCGGAGCGGGTTTCCGAACCCGGATCAGAAGCACGCTTTATACTTCGAAGCGCGATGAATTTCGTAAGCGGTCTGTACCGCTCCCGGGCATAAAAGCTGTACCAAAAAGACAAAACAACCAAAGGTGCGATAAATGATGCAGCTACAAAAGCTGTCTGCAGCACCAAGAAGGCGATCATGATAAGTTGGAATGCAACCAGACCTATAACAATACGGCCGCAAATAATCGGCCATGCGCCACCGGTGGCATGTTGCGGTTGGTCCATCGAGTATAACAGTTGATACTTGTAAACAAAATATCCGAGCGAGAAGTAACAGACGCCCACTAACAGGACAATATGGGCACCAGGGAGGATGCTATATACTAAACAGAGGATGAAAACCAATAGAGCAGTAGGAAGGTAAAACCCATAGTTAAACAGGCCAGGTTGAACAAGCTCGGCAAAATCTCGCGGTGTCTTCGCTCCCATCCGATAAATAGTATACATCGCAATGCCCCCGAATTGTAGAAGCTTGAATGGGAACAGACCGAATCCCTGCAACATGATGAAGTTGAGGTAGAAGTTGTTTAGGTTCTGTATCGAGACAGCCAACTTCTTTGCGATGGTGCGCGTATCGGTAAGCGAATCTCCAATAATCTTCCAGAAGTCTGATAAAGCCGCACTACCCGAGACGGCGTAGACGACAAAGATGTTAAAGAAGATGAAGAAGAAATTCTTCGATATCACGGAGAGTTCAACATCGCCTTGAGAGACCATTCCTTGCTTGTTGGAAAGATAATCGTACAGGTACGGGACCAACACGTTAAGCAATGAAACCACGAGGGTAGGCAGACCAGTTCGTACGAAAGCTCTAGTAATATCATGCGCGTAAAGGGTATCAGCAAGAGATTTTGATACTTTCGAAATGCCGCAAAGGCTAAGTAGCTGAGCCAGTACTGCTACCGGGAACAGCCAGATAACAGAGAGGAAGGTGATGAAGATAGTGACGGTCCAGGACTTTAATTGACGCTTGTACCGTGGACTATAAGTGTTGCTCCAAATCACATCTGTAGGAGCCGGCGCGGGCTTCGACAGCAACTGGCCAGGTCTGGGGTCGATGGTGGCCTGTATAGCCATTTGACACGCCGCAATGGAATCCATTGTTACGAAGGCGTCATCTGTTGGCGGATATTCTTTCTTCCTCGCATTTCGAATCTGCTCGTCGAGACGACGTAGCTTCTCCTCGTAGTAGTCGAGAGCGTCGGTTTTACGACTTCGCATCCCAAGGAAACCATACCGAAGACGAATTTTAGGTCTCGCCCTTTCCGTCACAAGATTCCGTAGACTACCATTGGCGAGGAGACGTCCATCCTCTTGTGAATCTTCGTCTTCGTCGTTGTTTTGGCTGATCCTTTCCGGACCTAGGGGTTCCCGGTTATTGGCAGCTACTATTCGTGGTCTTCGAGCCAAGTAGACGCTCCATGCTTCTTCAAGCTTTCGTAAAAGTTCTTGCCGTTTGGCCATCAAGCCGTCTATTTCAGCCCAGTTCCGGCACAACGTAACACTTCGCACGTGCCCGATTTCCAAGTTCTCCACGAAATCCTTAATTTTCTCCTCCGATCTGATATCTTCGGGAATTCCAGTTAGGCGGAATGTTCGGTCCGTTATTGTCGACTGAGTACCCAAATAATCCTGCCTTATCTTGATGACTTTTATGGTCTCTGAATTCATGAAGTACATTGTGAGGAACGAGAACAGCCAGGTGAAAACTGGGGCCCATAGCAAGCTCCAGCTCTTATCCTCGGGTTCGGGCTCGGGCTTCGCTAGAATATTAACGGCGCCTGGACTAGAATTCCCGTCTCGAGGCACCAAATCCATATAAACAGAAGGATCTCCGAAAGTTTCATTAGGCGGCTGAGTTGAGCCTGTATTATACGTTTTGTGAATAGGCCAAAGAACAGCGACAGCGAAAAATAACATAGTTGTAAAAAGGCGGAGCGACATCTTGAAGAAGGATAAAAACTAGAACCATATAAGCAACTCATGATCAAACTCCCATGTTGATGTAGCACGTACCACGAAGGCATCTAAGCCCGCAGATGCCAGCACCTGTTCCTCTGTAATTCTATATAACGCAGGTATCCATCCGAAGAAGCTATCGGGAAGAGCAGGGGGCGCGATCTTGGGGTCATTTTGACGTTTTCGAGCGGCGTATAAAGTCTTCCACCGAGGTCTCAGAATCTGCTCGTGGTAATTAGCTTCGGAAGCTCAGGAAAGACTAACTACTGGCAACAACTTACACAAAAGGCGACAAAGGCGGAGAGACCTAGGGCGAGCGAAATGACAAGCTGAACGTAGATGTCCTTGCTGTCCGGTCCTGCAGCTTTCTCGCCCTCTTTCTCGTCGAGGCAGTAGAGGGACCGATCATCACCGTCACCATTATCCATGACCTGATGAGATAACAGCGCCAGAGAAAATGGATACGTTGAGCATTAGGTGAAGTACATGGGTAGTAGGGAATATTTAGGGGCTAAATTTTTGAAGAGGGAAAAAAGAAAAAAAAAATCAATAAATTGATGCAATCGGAAAACCCACGCGACAAGTCAAAAGCTATAGTGGGGCCGGGTGGTAGTGACGTGCCCGGTACGGTTAGGCTCCAATTTTGGGTGCAACCTGATGATTTGACAGCGGTAGGTATTGGTTCCTAGAAAGTTTCACCAACGCCTATAACAGGTACCGGCATAGCGGCTGAAGTAATTCATTAAGTATTGTACTTAAGGTACCTGTTAACATATTTCTATCTTCAACACACTTTCTTCCTGCCTTTTTTACAAGTAGATACAGGTAGGTAGGAGGTACCTAAAATAAAAATATAGCTATGTAAATCTTCATAAAATACTAAACCTTTCAATTTCATCATAGCTCTTATTAAGGAAACTAGAGGATTCCAGTGATCAGCATAGAGGTATACTTTTTTTACTCATCCATCCCTGAAGCGATCCACCAAACTTCATGCACCTCCCTCTCTCTTCGCATACTCGTCCTCAATGCGCTCTTCATAGAGCCTGTCATTTTCGCGCTGCTGCTCGTCAGACACATCCTGAATGTGATGGTCTGAATCCACACCGCTTCCGCCTATGCGCTGGTTCGGGGAGGAAACCATGCGCTGGGTCGAAGAGGAAATCAGACGACCCGATGCATCGTAGTCGCGACGTTCGTGCTGGGGGGGTTCTCCGTTGCGTTGGGATGCAATGTGAGTGGTCATGCCCGATGGGTCTCTTGCGGTATGCTGGGCGTAGCGGGACGCAGTAGTCTCCCCGTTGCGTGTGGTAGACGAGGAGAAGGAGATGGTAGAAGATCTGTAACTGTAGTTATTTGACGACATGGTGAAGTCGTTTGAATTCGATAGTTCTCTAATAGTATGCCAGTACGGTATGGGGTTTAGATTTAAGGAAAGTGTAAAATTCAGAAGAATATTAAGAAAAAAGAACATTCACTATTTAAAAATAGACATTTTTGTATAAGTCAACAGGTATGGAGATGTTAAACGTCATATGTGGCGGGCTATATACAAACAACGTGCATACGTCATACACCCTTGTTTGTTCTTTTGTTGCTCCTACCCCTAGAATTCTGAGACTATTCGTCATTTCTACGGCAGATGAAAACATAATAGCAGTTACATCCGTCTTATAATAGCAATCGAAAATGCAGGAACAGAACTCTGCTCTCTGAATAGTGTTAGATAAGGGACTTAGCATGTAAGTGTGTACTGAGGTACCTTATCCACATTGATACCTGATTTATCACACGTTCTCTTACTGCATATAAGTACTTACATAGTAGACATATTCCCCACGAAGGCATAAACACTATTCATGCCGCATGCATTAGGTCATCGCTAGGTAAATGTTGTTCAAGACTGTCGCTTTGTCGGTCTTAGTGGAGCCAATACTTAAGAGGTATGTTAGGTACAATACAATTACAGTGGAGTTATGATTCGACTCACCTTTGGGAGTTCTTACTATACACTTAAAATCTGTCTCCATTCCCACGTAATTGATAGAGAGAATACTTGGAAATTTGAAGTACATAGTTAAATACCTGATCCAATGTGAGCAGCTCATCTTCAATCAAACTTATAAGAAAAATAAATCAAAGAAAATCACATGTCAAAAGTCCTTGGGAGGTGCCTGAATCAGAATACTCGGTATTTAGACAACTAGGACTACCATGCTTCCGACTCAAGATTCGCAGCTAACTCGATAAGAAATGACGAATATCCAGGACCTATCGCAAGGAAGTATGACTTCTAGTTATCTCGTACAACATTTTTTGGACGGCCTCGCCGGGTCTTAATAGCTTTGAATAGACACATGGCTCTACAAGGTAGTAACTAACAGGCATCTAGTAGGCAGGCTAACAAGGAATATATGTCTGGAGACGATAGCCATTATGTATCTCATAGGTCTGTCTATATCTACTAAGTGGGCTCCCTGTATTACTTACCAACCTGGCCAAGAGTCTACACAAGGCGACTTTTAAGTACCTGTTATACTGTTGTAGCTCGACCTGTCAACCTGAATCAACATACTGCTGTATACGCTTCGATCCCGACATCTTCATATAGCAGCTGACCATCTTGATCCACGACACTTTACGTATTAGGTAGTAGCATCTACCTAGTAGCATCTACCTCTTGGGAAGACTCGAACACCAACTATGTCCCGTTATCTAACAACCGAACGTGCAGATAGGATCAATCTAATTGGCCCAAGTTAACTACCGGCATTGCATCTCCTTCGTGATCGTCAAATATCAAGATTAAAGAGCACAAGGAATCGTGTATTTCCGTCTGTCGTTGCTTATGCGTCGTGAATTCTGCCACTTTCCGTAATATTGATGTGTCTAAGCGTCTCCAAGGCGAGTCGACAGAATTAGTTAGTTCACGTATGCCTCATCAGTCACGATATGCTCATGATAGGTATGTCCTTCCGGATCTCCTATTACCCGCATAAAGACATCAGGACTAGGTAAGATGGATAAGTCATCAGTGGCGTGTTTATGTTAGTTGAGACAAGTTTAGCTTTCATATAGGACCAATAACCATATACATGTGGCTCTGGGCTAGAATGCCCGTTACCCAGAAACTTTCGGCATTGGAGATTTCCAGATTGCCATACTTGAATCTTGAAATTCCATATTGAAATCATCCTAGTCGTGGGCTAGGTATTCTTCAGCTGGCTTTCCATAATGAGACCTTTCCACCTTTCTGTGCTCCCAAGAATACGAATTATGTCTCCTGTACGGGTCGTACAGAGTCGTACATGGTGAACACTTGGCCCTATGAGGTAGTGTCAATAATATCGAAGAGGCAAAAAAGTGATCGCCGACTAAATATAGCTAAGAGGTAGGCATATCGATGATCTCGCCAATGACCTTATCCTAACCGCCTGGACGTTAGCTTAGAAAACTACGAGTTTGTTCCGTAGGACAAGTCCATGGTTCATAGAATACACAGCTTCTCTTCTTCTATTATATCTCATTGGACCGACACGTTTTCTATCAGCGCTGTAATACCTGCAGAGACGTGAGACTATCGAGTATCTACATTCCTAATCCGTAAAGCATTAATGACTTGGATGACATCTACTGGGAATCGAGCTGCGCGATATACAGGAGGAATTGTTACTTTAGGCATGCTTCAGGTATTTTATCTTGAGTCCTTTTAGTACCCTGGCTAGCTAAGGTTAATAGTACTATAATCGACTTGTGCTATTCTATTGGAAAGGCGACAGTTACACATTTTCAACAATTGGATATAACCCCTGAATGGTGTCATATGAGAGCAAGCCCTGTGGCCTATCTGCCCTAGATACTATGACGCCAACAGTGACTATGAGGTAGAAATAGACAGCCCCAAATTGCAACCTAGCCACAAGCACAATCAAGATTAGATTCCGATTGCGAACCCATATTGATCCGACTTGAGTCAATATCGTCGTCTTGATGCTATTTGTGCTCCGATGCTTTGCTCCGATGTGACCGTCACGCAAGTACAAGCTTAATAATTCCGATTAGATCCGTGAGACATGTCGTAGAATAGAATGGCTCTCATAGGTATTCACGTGGACTAGCTTCGCTCGTGGGATTTCGCCCTCAAATCGACTCCATACAGTGAATTCTACACTTCTAGAACTAAGGTGATTCACGAAGTCTCGGCCGTTCCCTTGAGCTGGGAATGGCTGTTGGGTAATGGTTATTGGTACAACTAAGTCACTGTTGAAGTCTCAGGAAAACATACTGATTTGAGGCCAAAATACCTAGCATAGTGAATAGTTATTACACGGGTATTTTCTTGGAGTGTTTATGGTGCTACAGATGATGCTGTGAAATCAATGAAGATTCCGAAAGTTTCCTGGCCGTTCAGTCTATAAAAGAATCAATGAAGACGACATAGTTTGCCTATCATAATTCCTGATCAGCTACTTCAGCAATCCTTATTCAGGCCTCATAACTTCTATTACTACTCCGCTATCTTCTACCTTTTCTATTCAAAACTATACTTCGTCTTGTCGACCTAGAAAGGAGTCAATATGAAGACCTTTCACTTCCTCCTCGCGGCTTTGGTGCCTCTTGCCCTAGCAAAGGCGCCTCTCATGCATAGAGATATTGCAGATGGTATCGATGACAACTATATTGTAGTTATGAAAAGCGCTACGCCGAAGACGTTCCAAGCACATTATCAACGGATCCATTATACCTCTTCTCAGCGGACCAAAGGCGCCAAAAAGGGGGTTGTAAAAACCTACCAAGTTCCTGGCTTTAACGGCTACCACGTCGAATGTGACGACGCGACTCTTGATAGCATTCGCAACGACCCCCTGGTGAGTTATTTATGTTCCCCGGGCAAAACTTCTCTAACGGGTGTAAGGTTTCATATGTTGCTCGAGACGGCCGGGTGACAGCTCAAGCAGCTATCTCTCGTAACGTCCCTAGATCTGACCCCAAGCCTGATACCTGGGGCCTGGGCCGTATTTCCCATCGGGATCCCGGGGTTGGTGCTTACATAGACGACGCTGCTGGCACAACTGAGCCCCCGACGTACGCCTATATATTGGACACCGGTATTCGTGTGACGCATCAGGTAGGTGGACTTCAACCAAACATTTGGTGTTAATTACTAACTAGAGACAGGAATTTGGAGGACGTGCCACATTTGGCAAGAATTTCATCAACGGAGCTCAGGTTAGAGACACCAATCACAGCCAAATACTCATAATGTTTGCTTATGTTTTCAACAGAATGTCGATGATAACGGGCACGGTACCCATACCGCTGCAACCGTCGGCGGCAACACAGTTGGTGTAAACAATAGCACTATGCTCATTGGAGTAAAGGTCCTAGACAAAGATTCGTCTGGAAGCTGGTCTGGAATCATTGCTGGAGTTGATTGGGGTGAGTCTTTATAAGGGGATGCCGATGATGGGTATAATCTAACCTCGATTAGCCGTAAACGATGCTCAAACAAAAGGAAACATTGACCGGTCTGTTATCAACATGTCAATCGGCGGTCCCAGATTCCAGGCTCTAGACGATGTTGTTAAAAATGCCGTCGCAACTGGCATGACCGTAGTAGTGGCGGCTAGCAACTACGGCGTCGACGCATGCACGTACAGTCCGGCAGCAGTTCCAGAGGCGCTTACAGTAGCGGCCATTGACCAGAACGATAATCGACCAGACTGGTCAAACTGGGGTAGCTGTGTGGACATCTTCGCTCCAGGAAGCGACATTTATTCAGCTTGGATTGACAGCGATACGTCCTACTACAGCATGAGCGGAACCAGTATGGCATGCCCTCACGTCGCCGGGCTTGTAACGTATCTGATGTCCCGAGAGTCAATTTCTGGCGTAGAAAAGGTCACCAGTCGGCTGATCGACCTCGGAACACGAGATAAGGTGCAGAATACGAACGGAAGTCCCAACTTGATTGCATTCAATGGCAATGAAGCTGAACTATAGAAGAGTTTATTAGCAAACACCTATTGGATGTTACTGGCGGGATCCCGGAAAATTGCTCTTTAGACTTTGGTAGACTTGACGGATTGGATAGGGTATTTTAAGAGGATACATATCAGGCATATAGACTAATTTCATATATTTCATCTTAATCGAGATTTGAAGAAATTGATGTTGTAATGACGAAGTTTTGAAGTTTTAACTTGCGTGGGGGCTACAGTGCTACACTACCTGGTACTTAGGTGAGGTAGGTACCTACCTGGTACTGTACTTCTGGCATTCCAGCCCTCCAGCCTTACAATATGGGGAAATGGAGACTCTTAGGTACTTGCGCTAGCGGGTACTGTACTGCAGCTTAGCGGAGATTGACAGGGAAGAGGCCCCTAAAAGAAGAAAAGATGGTCTGTGCTTGGACATTTGACGCGTTCTTTCATTATCAAGACGCGTTCAACCCTTAAACTTTGATGACGACCTTTCTCCAAAATTTGAAACCATTTATTGACGGTTTACATTGTCACCAACTAACCTTGCAAATTACCTTCAGTATGGCAGGCCAACCAAAAGAGAAAAAGCAGCAGTCTCTTACCAATTTCTTTACTCCGAGGACTGTCAACGGTCTAACTGCATCTGTCCGAAAGCCCCAGACTCAGGATCCCGATAGCCCCAATAATACCCCTGATAGCTCCAGAAAGAGGCCACTCCGAGAAGACACCCATAATGGAAACGACACACCACTAAAGAAAAAGCCGAAAGCTGCTGAGGCAGAAAACGAAGATGAAGAACTAGAGGACTCAGCTGCTAGATCTCCTACCTTAGCTCGAAACAGACCAGGCGCCCGTACTGAACGATACATATACAATGGTTCCGACTCCCCAGAAGATGCAGTTGAGGAGGAAAACGAGGATGCCGCCGAAAAGCGAAGAAAGGAGGAATTGCATCGCAAATTCGTTCAGAAGCTTGGACGCCCAGATAGTCTAGCATATGGTAGACGGGGAATTGGACAGCAAGATGACGAAGCCCAGGCCGCAGCTGAGGATGCAGAAGATGGCGAAGAGGAAGAACCCGCGCCACCGCCTACAAAAGGCAAGAAAAAGGGGGGCAAGACAGGGAAACTCACACCAATGGAGATACAGTTCCTGGACATCAAGAGAAAGCATATGGATACCATATTGATCGTTGAAGTGGGATACAAATTTAAATTCTTTGGCGAAGACGCCCGTATTGCTGCCAAGGAGCTCGGTATAGTATGCATACCTGGCAAGCTCAGATACGACGAACATCCATCCGAAGCCCATCTTGATAGGTTCGCATCTGCTAGTATTCCTGTGCACCGACTACCCGTGCACGCCAAGCGGCTGGTAGCGGCCGGCCACAAAGTTGGTGTAGTTCGCCAAATAGAAACTGCAGCGTTGAAGAAAGCCGGTGATAACCGCAATGCACCCTTTATAAGAAAACTCACCAACGTTTACACTAAAGGAACTTATGTAGATGAGATTGGAGAGTTTGACACGAGTGATAGTTCAGGAGCACCGGCAGGCGGGTACCTACTGTGCATCACGGAGACGAAAGCCAAAGGCTGGGGCACTGATGAGAAAGTTGACGTCGGTATCATTGCAGTACAACCTGCAACGGGCGATATCATATATGACAATTTTGAGGACGGCTTCATGAGAAGCGAAATCGAAACGAGGTTACTTCATATCTCACCCTGCGAGTTCCTCATTGTCGGCGAACTCTCCAAAGCCACAGACAAACTCCTTCAACATCTATCGGGCAGCGCCACCAACGTCTTTGGCGACCGAAGTAGAATCGAAAGAATCCCCAAGTCCAAGACTATCGCCGCTGAAGCTTACTCGCATGTCGCCCAGTTTTATTCCGCTAAACTAAAGGAAGCTTCTCAAGATAATAATGAACAGGCCAGCGCGCTTCTTGACAAAGTCCTCAAGCTACCGGAGCCTGTCACCATCTGCCTGTCTTCTATGATCAATCACTTGAAAGAATATGGTCTTGAGCACATATTCGATCTGACTAAATATTTCCAGTCGTTTAGTGCTCGCCAGCACATGCTAATCAATGGCACAACCTTAGAAAGCCTAGAAGTCTATCGCAACCAAACTGACCACACGGAAAAGGGTAGTCTCTTCTGGGCACTTGATAAGACGTTGACTCGCTTCGGGCAGAGGCTCCTTCGCAAATGGATTGGCCGACCTCTTCTAGACAAGGAGCGGCTCGAGGAAAGGGTGGCTGCTGTCGAGGAATTACTCGAGAATGCCTCGACGGCCAAAGTAGACCAACTAGAGTCTTTACTCAAGAGCATCAAGACGGATCTCGAACGAAGCCTGATTCGTATTTACTATGGGAAATGTACTCGCCCTGAGCTCTTGGCAGTCCTTCAAACGTTACAAAAAATAGCATTGGAATTCGCGCGGGTGAAGTCGCCCGAAGACTCGGGCTTCAAGGCAGAAGCTATCGGCTCCGCGATCTCCTCGCTGCCACTCATCCTACCTACCGTCTTATCGTACCTTGATCGCATCAACGCCGAGGCTGCGCGTCGGGACGATAAATACGCCTTCTTCCGCGAGAGCGAAGAAACCGACGCCATCACCGAGCACAAGCTGGGCATCGCGTCTGTGGAACAAGACCTAGACGCCCACCGCAAGGTAGCCGCTTCGACTCTCGGCAAGAAGTCTCCGGTTCCGTACGTCACCGTCGCCGGCATCGAGTATCTTATTGAGGTACCGAACGGCGACCTCAGGCGCGTCCCCGCCTCCTGGATGAAAATCAGCGGCACGAAGAAGCTTTCGCGTTTCCACACCCCCGAGGTCGTTCGCCTCATCTCGGAGCGCGACCAGCATAAGGAGGCCCTGTCGGCCGCCTGCGACGCAGCGTTTACCTCTCTCCTCGAAGCCATCGCGGCGGATTACCAACCGCTCCGCGACGCTGTCTCCTCCCTCGCCACCCTCGACTGCCTCCTCTCCCTCTCCAAAGTCGCCGCCCTCCCAGGCTACTCCAAACCCACGTTCCTCCCACCCGACTCCCCCCCAACCATCTCCATCAGCGAAGGCCGGCACCCCATCGCCGAGCAGACCCTAACCACGTCCTACATCCCCTTCAGCACGACCCTGTCCTCCCCTTCTCCCCTCGCCCACCTGATCACGGGCCCCAACATGGGCGGGAAATCCTCCTTCGTCCGCGCCGTCGCGCTCCTCGTGCTCCTGGCGCAGGTCGGGTCCTTCGTCCCGGCCTCCTCCCTCCGCCTCACCCTCGCCGACGCCATATACACCCGCATGGGCGCCCGCGACAACCTCTTCGCCGGCGAGTCCACCTTCATGGTCGAGGTCTCCGAGACCGCCCGCATCCTCCGCGCCGCCACCCCGCGCTCCCTCGTCCTCCTCGACGAGCTCGGCCGCGGCACCAGCACCCACGACGGCGCCGCCATCGCCCACGCCGTCCTCCACCACGTCGTCACCCATACCCGCTGCCTCACCCTCTTCGTCACCCACTACCAGAACCTCGCCCGCGTCGCCGACGGCCTCCAGGGCCGCTGCAAGAACGTCCACATGCGCTTCACCGCTACCAGGCGCCGCGCCGGCGGCCGTGAAGAAAAAGAACAAGGAGAAGAAGGAGAAGCCCGAGTTGACGGCGGCGACGATGAGGACGACGAGGATATCACGTTCCTGTATGAGGTGGGCGAGGGTATGGCCCACAGGTCCTACGGCTTAAACGTAGCGAGATTAGCTCGCATTCCGAGGAAAGTGCTAGACGTAGCAGCAAGGAAATCTAAAGAACTAGAGGAAACTATCAAGATACGTAGGTTAAACGGCGCGGTGAGGCTTCTTACTGATGTATTGGGGAATGGGTCCGAGCAACTGGATCATCTTGTATCCAGTATTGAGCAGCTCTAGAGAACCGTAAACCATACGTGCACTCAAAGGGTCTATCATTTCATACTGGCAGAATTCGCCGTAATTTGTGTAATAGAAAGTGTGCTAGTCTAAATAACAGCTATCACCTAATGTACAACAAGTCTGTACTGATAATGAATGAATATGTGAGTCCATCGCCAAAATTATTAAGATAGTCTAGCGTTTAGACCTGATATTGTCGTAATTCATCATCAAATAATGCGGTCTTTTCTCCTGCCCATCAACCCGGTTTCGTGGCTCTTGCAATTCCCTGGTTGATAGTTTACCCCAATACTAGAGTGAATCCACCATACCTGGGCCAAAACATCTCTGAGACCTAACTCATCTGTGGTAAGTAGCAGGGTGGAATCAGCAAAAGAGAGCTGAAGGTCCTTTGCGTTGCACATTGAGGGAGGGAGGGGGAGGGAAAGGGAGAGGGAGGAAAAGTGATAGTATAAGAAGGAATTTGGGACCGAGTATGTACACCGATGGTGTAGAAGAAATAGTCAAGCGGTCGAGTATGGGTCAAGGTGAGGTCCCAACCAAGGTGCAAAAAAAATCGGTAGTAATAGTCTACACTCCAACATAATTTGTCTATGCTTATGATTAGAGTGGTAAACCTGTGCAATGCTCTAGGGACGTCTGCGATGGTGCTAGGTACTCCTGTCCAAAAGAATGAACATACCAGTTGCCTTTACTATGTTGATGTTAAGGTTACGCATTTCTCCACTTTGTGGAAATCAGAGCTCAATGTCATTAAAGCCCAGTGATGATGATATGTCGCTCTTTTTGATCAAGCGTTGAACGCAAGTGGAATTCCCTTAGACCATACCAAACAGCTTAAATATTTTAAGGCGCGTATTCTTCGCTGACAGCTTGATTAGCGGCATAGGTGGTACCGTGCTGAGTCTGCATCTGTAAAGAGTTGAATCCGCTGTGACTATTGACAGGGTTGAATCCCGTCGGCAGCTTGGCCTCCTCTTCGTGCGGTTCGTACATGCGAAACGCTAGTCCGTCCTGATACAGGGGGTTATGAGTATCACCGGGACCAATATGTTGTAAGTAAGGGTTCGATGGTTTTTGCCCTAAGTTATTATTCTCTTTTCCGAGAAAATGCGCCGAGGTAGATTGCTTGAAACTCGGATTCGAAGACGCAAACGGCAGATTCGGGTTGCCCGGCCGCAGAGCCAAGCCCGGTAGGTCGGCGTTACTGTCAATGTATGTGAGCCCAGTATATAGGAAGTGGGGCATTAGCAATGACTCACTGCCGCCTTCTTCTACCAGGGAGGGTATCGGCGGCATCTGCTGTAGAATGTCAGCCGGAATGTCACCGGCAAATAGATCGGGTTGCGCCCAACCTAGATCATTTTCCATCACCGGATCGTAGAACAAGGCCCCTTCACCCTGAAACCCATGATTATGAAGTGGTAACTGGGCCTGTGACACTGAATTGCGGTTGGCAGCAGGTCTCACGATCCTCCCCCCGGTGTTCGAAGCTCGGCTGTGCGTGGGCGGAATGTAATCTTCCGCCGATGTGAGACGTTGCGAAGCCCGTGTCAATACACGAGTAGCACGCGGGCCGCGAGTATCATGTCGGTGCTTCATCCTCTTGGAACCCAACGTTGTATGCGCTTGGGCGTTTCGGCGTTTCGGCTTTCTCTCTACGTCATCTTCATCCTGAAACTGCATATTAGCGATCATTTTTCTGCCAAAGCGACGGCTTTTTCTCTACTCACCTCGCTCCCATCAACAGATGGCTCGTCATAAACATCCCTCGATCGTTGATAATCGAGATTGCCGTCATAAACATCTTCCTGCGTTGTAACCATTGTGGAGTTGAGCTCCAGTTGCAGAAGAACAGCAGGAGGCTTGCGCTGGTTTCTCTTGCGCCGTTGTTCCTCCTTAGCGGCGTCGAAAAGGCCCATACCAGGAAATATCACGCCTTTGAGACTTAGACTGCCCATATCGTTCTCATGGACATCTGTTGCCTCAGTGAGGTTCTCTGACGGGTAGGAACTTTCATCTTCTGAGGAATCATACTTTACGAGTTCGTCTTCACCCCCCCAGTCTTCGAAGTTTGCCTGTGGTATGAGGTCTAGATCCTCGTCTTGGGGCAGAAGTGGTGGGTTAAGATTATTCTGCCAAGAATCAATTGAAGGACTCTGTATGTCCTCATAACTGTCCCCAAAACTCAAGTTGTCATCCAGTTCTCGTTTAACATCTATAAGGTTAGTGGCTTTACGACTTCGGCCACGTGTGTTCTGTAACGCAAGTTATGTTAGAATATCAGTTCCCGATCAAACCAAAGTAGCACTTACTGCATTACCACGACGGCCGCGAGTACCGCGGGTGCCACGTCGTGTGGCCGATCGACCAGATGCCTCGTCTTTTTGAGCATGGCCGCGTCGTTGAGGCTGGATTCCTTTCTCATCTCTCGCCTCCATGCGCTGTCGGACTAGCTGATCAATGTTGTATGTCTGGTTCCAGTTCTCAAACTTGCGCGCTTGGGCAGCACACGCTTCATTGCCATAACTTTTGATGCGTAGGTTGTAAAGCTCAAGTAAGTGAGCCTTTGAGCTGACGTGTGTGATTAGATGCGAAAGGTCGGAGAACTTTGGAATCTTTTCGCAAGCGTAGCAGACGAGCGGGATGCCCCCTTGGTCGACTCGATGTGGTGACATGATTGCTTCTTCGTCAACTTCAATTTCATGGAGAACCCCACCGGGGTCTTCAGTAACATAGCTTGCGTGTGGATAGGATGCCATTGCCTATTTAATAAAGTAATTAGTGATTTAGCTCATCTATAGAGGTAAGCTGTTACCGTTGTATTCGATAGACACTGGGTCAGCATCTAGCAAATGGACTAGCCAGGCCATAAAACTAGGCGTCACCTAAGTAAGAAGCGCATGAAGGTCCAGAGCCCGCGGAATGAGCTTTGAATGATCGGTAAAGCAGTCACAGAGCGAGGTGAAGGATGGAAGGAGAATAAAGAAATTGACTTTCGTTAAGGAGGAATGTGTCGAAAGTTGAGAATAGAAAAAGGAAACCCCAGAAGTTCTACATACCTATTATTTGAGTTAAAAGGTCGGCGAATAATAATCAGGTGAAGAATCAGATGAACGCGTCTCTGAGCAGATACTTTCAACGAATTTCCCTGTCAAGTATTTGCTAGTCTTCTTGGTGGAAACTGCAATCACGACAATCGGTGTCGAGAATTTGTAAAATGAGGTCGTCGATAACCCACTAAGAACTATTTCTGTAGCTGAATATGGGCTTATCTTGAGATAGATTGATTAGTAGTTATGTCAAACGATCAAAGCTTTGCTGTGCGCCAAGGTATGCACACAGAACCTAGATCTAAAGGTCTTGACCAAGAAGTAAGTTTCTAGCCTATTCGGAGGTTGAGTGGTAGTCCTATCTCCTTACTAGAGGGACGTTTTCTTTGGTTGAGGATCCAAGGCTGCTGGATAAACTATTAGTGATGTATTTGAATGTTGCGTCTCTTGTAGATGGCAGAAAGCGGTTCAAGCCTCGAATGATATGATCTCCGACCAAATTGCGGTCGCCTGAGAGATGATGAGGCAGGAGAAAGAACCAGGTAAATGAAAAGGCAGATTGGTGAAATGAATTAGAGTAATATGATCAAGGTAAAAGTTGACTTATCCAACTATTCCTTCAGTGCTAAAAGAATAAAATAAAAATGCGGCGATGTGTGGGAAACTTGCACCTTTCTGTTTTCGCTAGGAAGATACTTTGGCAGAAGGCAGAAATATGATGCTGGAGTGGGAGAGTAGGTATAGTGCTCTTGTCAATGAAGACGGCGGGAATTGAGATTGTTGAAATGAGGAGAATAGAAATGAATCCGACGATGTTGCGTGGTAACTTACTTTGGTTGTTATGGACTCTTTCCGCAGGAAGTGTGAAGAAGGTGTTGACTCGTAAATCAGCCTTGTAAAACTTGAAGAAGATAAGGCCGACGGGTATGTCTATGTCTCTCTGGTTGATTTATTTGGTTTAATGTCTGGTAGGAGTGAAGAAGGGGGTAGAGACTGGAACATAAAAAGAGATACGGTATGAGGAAGAGACGGAAGAGACGGTTCTTTTATATGGACGGCAGCAACTGCCACTTTCAACACATCAACTTCTTATCTTTTTTTTTAAAAAAAATGCATGCACGTCAGGTAAGGCAGCTTCCTCAACAACGTTGTTGCCTCTCAACCTGCATATGTACATGCCTAAGTACCATTTCTTATCACACGTAACTAAGGCAACTACGCATGTATGGCATATACCTACATTTACCTAATGTAATACATATAGGTACCTGCCCTTACTTAATCTCATGTACCCGACTCAGAGAAAATATAGAAGCATAAGGCTACATCGCTTACACTTCAAGGCAATATTGTATATGCTAGTGTGTGGTCTGTAGATACGGAATAGGTAAACCAGGCAACTACATAAAAGACATTGTAAAAATTGGTTATTGTTGGACTTTTGGCCATGGGCTTAGGGCCAAGAAGGCTGAAGATATGAAATTAATAAATGTGTTTTCAATGCCTTGGATGGGACCTTCCTTGAGCTGTTGGGCCTCTATCCAGGTACTTTCAAACATGCTAGTAGGTAGTTTATTTTACGCGCCTTGGATATCTCTTGGGGTTATTTTATTCTCTCACTTACGCAGAGTGACATCATCCTAATTTTGGCAGGCGTGGTAGCTGTTTCCCTGAGAGATGTAGGAAAGAAGCAACTTGAAGATATGAGATTACACTAGCTACCTGATATCATAAGGTGCATATGCGTACCAAATTTTATGTCAGGTCCCAAACCTTTTAAGTGTACCTCTAACATAATAAGCTTAGTGTGGACTTTTCCTGCCAGGTGCCAATGGCCTTCTTCAAAGCAGCTGGAGGAAGCCATACGTGAAATGTAAAATGCAGGAACCAACTGAAAAATAAAGAGAACTGCCCGTGAAAATTTACGAAAATGTGGATTAAGCTAAACCAGAACAATTCAGTACACAACTAATTTGCAAAACCCCTAATGTCTTTTGTAATAACACTGATTCTAAAATCACTCTCCAAGAGATTTAAACCATTCTGCGTTACCCAGCATCCATTATGTTACCTCTGATACCTAGTATTGCATTGCTTACCCTGGTGACGCAGTCTCATAAACCAGTTCGCAACAATAGAAATCATCGTCAAGTCGGCCACAATCTCTTGTGTGATCAATCTAGGGTTCATTTATTGTCTATTGTTTATTGTTTTCGAGATTGTCACAATAGAGGTTGGGCACCTAAGTAATATGATCATAGAGAACTTGTTTAAAAGAGCCAATCAGAAAAGCGAATTTTAATTTTGAAGTTCAATAGAATTAGTAAGAGCTAGGCAGGTACCTAACCTAATCGCCAATCAGCAGTTGAGAAAACCCCATTTGCCTCTAAGCCCTAGGTTACACTCGACCCATACCAACGGGCAACTACCTAAGTACTTAGGTACCTAACATTTATTCTTAAACCTTACCTACCAGGTACCTCTCAGCTGCCGTTCCCTACGCAACTGGGTTCGCACCAGGTAGGTTCGTCAACCCTGTAATAAATTAGACACCGAAACCAAATTATTAGGAAAAAAAAAAAGCAACACAGTGAAGCACTTACAGCTGTCGATATCCTCTCCTACCATGTCCTTAACCTTGCACTTGTTCTGCTGGGCGATATTCTGCGTCTTGAGCATCGGAGCTGAGACGTACGTGTGCCCGTCCATCGCCTTTTGCAGGGACTGGTCCTTCCAGCCGAACATGTAGTCGGCGTGGCTGCTGTACCCGGTCTGGTCTCCCGTCGACCAGACGAAGGGCTGCTTGCCGTTGGCGAAGTCCGCCGGGTTGTTGAACGCCCTGGTGTCCCAGACCGTCTCGAGCAGGATCTGGGGGAGCCTGACCGGGTGCGTGGCTGGGCACGGGCCACCCGACTCGAACGTGCCGCTCTCTGGGTACGAGACGTGGTCTTGGTGGTTGGGAGAATCTAGGTTCTTGCCGTCCCAGCAACTATACTTCGTTTAGAATGATTTCAACATTAGGTACCTCCACATATATGCGTTGCTAACTCACGTAGGGAACCTGTGATTTGCCATGATACCACCAGGGCACGGCTTCGTAGGGAAACCGATAGTCTCCGGGGCACGGGTACCCTGATTCTCCATGCAGATGTAAGTTAACTGGCGCCACTTCCTGGCTTGTTCGCGGTCGCGGAAAGTCGCGTCGCCAACAAGCATGCGGAAGCCAGGCTTGAAAGCCGTGACGGTGGACTTTTGAGCAGTATCGAATAACGCATCAGTCATATAATAGACGACCTTTATACCAAGTTAAACAGCTGTTATCGAAGCATGACTACGCCTAGCTTGTGCTCACCATGCCGCCCTGAGTGCCTTCCATTCCTGCCTGGGCCATCTGCGGGACCCTTTTGTAAGTACCATTCTTTCCACGGTAGAAGATGACAGCCGTCCAGTAGTTGGAGAGATCTTCCGTGAACTGGCAGCTTGTACAGGTCGAAAGCGTGGCAAGATCATGGGTTGCAGCAGGCATCGATGCATTGAAGGAATTCTTTTTGTTCATTAGCCTCAGGACAACATCGTAGACTCATTGGGTCAAGAACATACACCTCCGATAATCTGGTGGAGATGAGCTGATGGATTCATGCCTGGGTTCACCAGGGGATCCAGCCGCTGGACGGTCAAACCCGAGCAGCCAAATCGAAGCAGTGCGCTCGCAGGCGCAAACAGCCCTAAAGCAGCAGCGAAAATATTAAGCTTCATCGTGATCTCACTTTTCGCGTTGTTGATTCAGAGTCACCACAAGACCTAGAACAAGAATTAAAAACAGTAAGGGACAGGTAGTAATTATGGTCTCAGCCATGACGACTGTCTCTGACTCTGTAAACTACTGCCGTATCATCCACACCCGATGTCGAATTTTCGGTCTCGCAGAATATTTATTAATCATTAATATAGAAGAGCCCTTCGATAGGCGAGCCCGTCTTCCTTTCATTCCGGATAATGTGGAGAAGGATTGCTGGTTCGGGACTTGAGCATTAACTGGCACTGCCCAGAACTTCGGTAGACGAGCGGCAAGCAGCCTTGTCCAGTCATCTCGCCCTTTGTGACGTATTTGAAACTTAATTTCGATGTTTACTCGGTAGATGATATCCTCTTTATAACCTCAACGACTGCCTATACATTTATTTATTTAGTTGCCAGAAGCAGCGCACCTCAAGTATAATTCCACCATTACGATTCATGGGCTTTAATAAGGCCGCACTAGCCCTCATATCTGCCTACCTACCGGTGCCGATGGGAGTGCTAACTCAAGGACGAGAATTCAACAAATCTTGGAAATTTGGAATTTTGTGAAATCTCCCAGATTGAACCAGGCCTCTGCAAGGCGTACCTAAGGGACATCTTTTATCAGACCGGAATGATTAATCCCGTCCCCCTTTCTTCACTGCCATCCCCGCACTATAGTCTGTCACATAATATCAAGAAGTTGCTATTCCTGGCGAATGACGGCGGGCGGTCAGTTCTTAGTTATTTCTTACCTCATGAAGCTCGGCGCCGCATCTCCCCAATCACAGACGGCAGTGGCCGGCTAAAGTAGATAATTAAATCACACCGACGCTTGTCATGTTGGTAAAGGCCTACTACCCAGGAGCCCAGCTAGTATATCTCCTCTAATTTTATCTAGCTCATTTGTCGGGAGCTCCTTAAGATCTACCTATAAGCAAATCATTCAGACCGTCCTACCTAAATTTGGTTTTCCATCTCGTGAATCAGCTTGACAAGGGACAACCTCGCGACGCCCACGATGAAGTTCTCTTTGACCCTCACATCACTATGGCTCGCCCTGGTTCTGGGCCAGCAAATCCCAGAATGCAGTCGAGAACTTGCGGCGACGGACGACTGCGCCGACGTCATCAACGCCAACGCCTGCTATAATCAATTTCGGTTCCAGAACAACCAGACGCTATCTTGTATCGGCGGAGCGAACAATGACGAGAGAGCGAAAAAGGCATGACAATCCGAATGAACGAGCTAAATCGTCGATAAGTCTGCTAACAGGTCAGTATAGGCGTGCAAGTGTTGCGGTTGCGTCGGCCGCCAGATGTGCGATTGGGTGAAGAAGCAGCGATTCCAATGCTAAAGAGCCGGCGCTTTGGAACCAAAGTATCAATCATGATGACCGGGGAAAGGGGGGAATTGAGGAGCCATACCTATCTCCTTTATACCTTCCAAGAAATAAATTGTGCTTTGAATTAAGGACCTAGGTAGTCAATCAAATATGCATGCTCATCTTTCCTTCAAGCTCGAAACCAGTGCCGAGTAACCAGCATATAAATCATACGCCGTGCCTTGCTTCTATAACATTTACTGGAGCTGCGTCGCGTAATTCTTGCACGTCCCTGATTTTGAACACGCTGTAACTGAGAAAGCCTATCCATCAAAAGTAGACCTGACTCAGAACTAGTGATCCCTTTGAGATTATTCATGCGATAAGATCCAGGCTTGCTAAGTAACGAGGTGAGGGAATCCATGATGTATTTAACCTTTTCTCCCATGAAGCTAGGATGAAGAAGCTTGGAGCTTGACAACCTTCAGCTCAAGCGGGCCATAGGTGAAGGTTATGATTAGACGAGTGTTATCGAGAAACGTCCAGAATGGTTGTTCATTTGCATAATGAATCCTTTTAACATTTAATCTATAAACACATTAGTTCATAATGCCTAACCTTATGGTTCCGAGAACAACTTTAATTGTTTAGCATGAAACCCCTTCAACGAATTAGGGCCACCTAATCGACGTAGAGTAGCCATGTTAATTGATTCTCCCGATGTTGATACTATCCCCAAACCTACACGAGCGCTAGTAGAGTAACATGCCTCGCGCCGTTTCCACGGCCGGGGCGTTGGAAAGATATCATCAAATTCGTCTATGGCTATGTTGATGGAGCGAGACAGGGAATTGTTCCTGAGCACCTCGTGATTCTTGGCGAACGGACAATGATAGATAAGACCTGTCTATTAATGACATTAAAAGAAGCTTACCGGTCCTGACGGTGTTGTTAGACTTGAATGATTGTTGTTTTCGCTGAAGTTTAAATTCAGGCAAATGGTGACTATTAGCGGTTCACCGTTGGGCTCCGTTGAGATTATCTTGGTGATAACATCTAGATAGGTAGTCGCAAGGACATGTCAAAAAGGGAAAGATGCTCTAAAACTAGTCTCAATAGAACATATATCATTTAGTTATCATTCTAGTCTTGGTGAAGTGATACAATTAGTGATACGGCATATAGACATGCGGGGTATGAACTGAATGGCGATAATGGAATCTGTGCAAAGTCAGTATTCCAAGCCTCAAGGTGATAAGTGCTAGTGACGATCCCGAACTCCGCATTTGACGATGCGGGTCTAGCGTCTATCGAAACATATTTGGGGTTGACTGACTGAAGTTCCAAGACTGCTATGTAAGGTAGCTTATCTGCGTGCGATGCCGAATCATCCCCAGCCAATTGGCGTCGCCGATTCTGGGCTAGATAGGACGCGAGTCTTGGAGCTGAACGAGATAATGCAGGAAATGTAGGAATATGCCGGAAATAGGAAAGGAGCCAGTTGCAAGTTTCCTGTCGAAGTTTGTGTTGTGCTATAGGAAAATGTAAGTATTCTGTTATCTCCTGAGCGGAGGCTTCTAGGTGGTAGTGAATCTCAGTGGAGAAAGATGCTGTGGCCGAGTTCGGGATGCGAAGTAGGGTGTAGATCGGTAGGCTTTAGGTATTCTGATAGTAGACACAAATTTGTATATATATAAGGTAGGTAGGTATATATCTTGTTTGAAGTTCCATGTTTTACCTAGGTAGTCAGTATATTAAATCCATCCCGAGGTATCTCTGAACAGTTGTTTCGTTTGCAAAATACCTAGATTCTCGTATTAGCAAGACCAACCCGAAAATGAGCTCGTCCAGCTCAGCCCCATTTTCCTATTTCCCCAAAGCGCAGAGCAACAAGCCACCGCTAATTGCAAACGAGAATGCCTTCTTAGGAGACGTCGCAACATCGTGAGTTCTGTCATAGGTCATCACATATATTTCTATAGTATGGTTCCGCTAACTGTACGTTGGCGAAAGTATCGATCCAGAGAAGCCCATCTCAGCTGGGTTCTACCGCTTGGAAAAGGGGACACCGCTCGTATATGAGTACACGTATCACGAGAGTGAGTTGCTCCTACAAGAAGTTGCCAACGACCTAATCATGTGATTAACAAATTTATGGCGCGGCAGTGAAGATAATTGTTGAGGGCAGCTTTGATATAAGTGACGAAGCAGGAAACAAAGTGCATGCTGTCCCAGGCGACGTTTTCTATTTCCCCAAGGGCTCCAAAATCACCTTTACTACAGAAGATTACGGGCTTGGTTTCTTCTGTGGGCAAAGAGAGAAGGATAGCGCATAATGTGACTTGCATTATGTGAGCTAGTGTGTATATACGGGAGCATGGATTTATTCGGATATCGAAACAGGGCTGCGCGGGTCATATTATGACCAGATAGGTCTATTCGATCCTTTAGGAGGATAGGCAACAAAGTAGCCGTCCCAGTGTTGTCTACGAGAAGACCGCGGAGCCTGCCGCTTAGTTAGCAATTATAAAGCGGACACCTAATGCTATACCTACCGATATCAATACATCACGCTGATAATAAAATATGAGAAAGGATGAAGTATTGAAATAATGCGGAACGGATTAAATATACACTATAGATAATAAGGTAAGGAGAATCCTAGGTGAAAACTCAATGTGTAAAACTCCTATTAACGGGTATAAGATGTCTGAATGTAACCCTTACAACCCTGGTTACGATAGTTGAACCACGGATAACGAGATAGGACATTCGAGCTCCCTCTACTCTTGCCTTGTATCCTAACTACCATTTAAGTGAAGCTAGTAGGTTATTAGATTGCAAGAGATATTTCATGAGTAGATTCTAACCGCAACTACCTAGTAAAGTGATGGATGGTAGTCAGTCTCGCACTGATAAGTAGGATTTCGAGGAAAAAACAATCACGTATTGCATCGGAGTATACGAGGAGACTACCAGAGCAGGCATTTGTTAGAAGTTGCTGTGTTGCTGTGCAACTATTCCGCTTTACCAAATACACGGTCTATGGTGTACTTCGGTAGGCAATAAACGGGGTCAATGGCCTCCACACCTGGATAATTCAGCAAGCTCAAGCCAGTCAGGCCAAAGAATGTATGCCATATGTCGACCATGTCACCAGGCCGGTCGGATAATCCACCGTGCTCGCTGTCCTGGCAGCTTAGTGTAAACTTAATGAGCTTCTCCCGATCAATCCAGTGTGTACGGTCGATCATTGCCAGGCTGCTCAGTACCCACCAGTTGTAGCACACATCTTCCTGTTTTTCTGGTCTCCCATTCAAACCGCCGCAGGCAACTTGTCTTTCGCTGAGCCAGCCACCTAACTTGTCAACATCGATCAAGTCTTTGCGCCCAGCGATGGAAAGAGCGGCTAAACAAGTAAAGATCTGGCCTGAGTGGGTCTCAGCTCCCGGGCTAACACCATAGCCGCCATCATAATTGGCGCAGGCAGCAATGTAAGCAACTGCTTTATCGACATCAACCAGATGCAACAGGCCCAGTAGCGAGAGAGCATTCAAGGCGCCATATAGGAATCTTGTGTCCTCTTCGCCCCATTCATCGCCAGCAAAGGTGCCCGTTTCCTGGTTCTGGAGATCTGCTAGGACTGAATTCACACTTGGTTAGCTCTTACGCGAGAGTAGCGGCGAGTATGACCCTGAATGGAGCTGTCTGACTCACATTTGCCCACTTGGGCCTTACCGTTGCCCTTGCCGCGTTTCTCTAACTCGTCTAAGGCATCCAGGAGGACGAAGATCTGCACGGCACTGACTGTGTAGAGCATGTGCGCATCGTGTCCCGGTGCAGCGCCAAACCCACCGTTCTCATGTTGGCAAGAAAGAACAAAGTCTATGGCCTCGGCCCGGGGGAGGGCATCTGGATGTCGTAGTAAATGCAGAGCCATGAGCCCCCAATATAGTCCATTTAGACGAAGATGCTCGGTGAGCCAGTACTCATACTCATCCTTCTTCGTGTCTAAGCTTTGGATATATTTGACGTGAGCTGCGGTGGCGAGCTGAAGCTCATCTGGTAGTTCCCGAATCCCTGACATGTGTACAAGCTAAAGGTGATGGCAACAGGTAGGGCACTGAAAATTGGAAGCTGGGAAGTTGGAAGTTGGAAATTAGAAATTGGAGAATGTAGTTGTAGATTGATTCGAGGGGATGTAAATTATTTTGCAAAGTTCCACTATTAGCTCCCGAGGTCCCGCCCTGGGGGGAGGGGGGGGTTGTCACATGACATATATATTAGGTAGGTAGGTAAGTACCTTAGGTTAGGTACTCAATCCACACCTCATCAGTGCATCATGTAAAGTACCTACCTTTACATCAACAATTATTACAATGATTCTTCTACGGCAAGGGAGCTGGTAAGGGAACAGCACGTGCTCTGTGGAGCAGCTTTAGAGACGCCTGCCCGGCAGAATTCCAATCTTAGGTACGAAGGTCCGGGCCAAAAGTCTTGCACATCGTAGCTTAGGTAAGCCACCCACTTAGGTATGTGTCCATAAAAAAGGCTATACGGTGTTAGATCTACCAATAGCAGCTAGCTCCCCTGTAGCTATAGTGGTAAGCCCCCTAAAGCTTAGCGTACAAGCCACTATCCGCCCCCCAAACTGGTACTAAGCCAATACAGTGCTATTATAATCGTGCACGTTAAATTCCTGCGATTAAAAGCTTGGCATGTGCAAGACTTTTGGCCCGGACCTTCGTACAATCCAGCCTTATCTAAGCCACTCTGCTTAGGTACCCCTTGACCCAGTTGCTAGCGTAAGTGGCTTTGGGATTCGAAGTTGAAGCTCAGCCTTCAATACACTAATAAAGACTTTCAAATTTCTAGTTTTCCTTCCCTCTTTATTTATTAAGGTAGGCACCTAACCTACCTAACCTACCTAAGATAATGTTGTATGACTCGCATACACATAATACGACTATGGCGGCCGTAGGAGGTAGCTGAAGGTTTGGAACTACCTAATCTGGATACTGTATCTAGGTTCTTCCCGGTAGTTGTATGTCTTACACCCTCTCGACTTCCAGATTCCTTTGCTATGCTGGGCCCTCGATTACGAGACTTAGGAAAGCTTCAGTGCCAGTGGACCAGTCCAGACCATTATGAAGGCTGTCATGCTGAGAAGTGCATATTGCTACATATTAATGTGTAAATGGCTACTCCAGATACGAGATCAAACCAGCATGAAAAATATAAGTAGTTCAATGTTAATGTGTTACACAGCATTATGCATCCTCGTCGTTAGTATACCAGGTAGGTAATCTTCAGCTAAGATTGACTTGCATATATAAATTGCTCTTGCTGTCTCAGTGGTGCTACTATAGTAGTAGTATATTCGTAGATGCCTAAAGAGGTTCCGCCTCTAGCGTCATTTATAGCGCTAAGACTGGTCACTTATCCACCCCGTCGCCGAAGAAAAATGTGGGTAACCAGGTAGTAAAGAAAGTGTGGTTATGCGTAAGAACGTGTTTCAGATTTGAAATCGTATTACGCGCCTCTAGTGAAGTAGGTACATAGGGGTGGGCCCCGGCAAGCCCGGCTAAGTGCGGTCGGTTGATACCTAGGTCGATACGTTGATAGGTCAATCGAACCTCACCTTTCAATTGGAAAACAATTGGAAAACAATTTGTACCAAGATTACCTACCTTAGGTAGGTAAATACCTTAAATTGGGAGCAAGCAGCCACAGTTACAACCAGAAACATTCACTTATTTATTGCACGATGGATACATAGGTCATATTTAAGTGAGGGTAGGTATTACCTTATCATATCTTAAATTCCAAGTTTCTTTAGGAGGGAGAAAGGAAGAAGTCATCCACAAAGCTTACCTAGGTAGGTAGGGCTACAGATTCATACTCCAAGTTCGTGCGTAATGTAATATCAGCTATCAGTTAATTATATCAGTTCATTATTGAATTTTCGATGTTGCGGACAACCGTTAGTTTAGGTATGTAAAAAGAAAAGTACCTAAAGAAGGGACATTAAACTTTCTTCAAAATGTTTAAATTTTTTTGCGACTGTCATTAGAACACCCCTAAAACAACGTTTCTACGAACATATGCTTACCTACAGGCTACTTGTAGTTCCTACCTCCACTGTTTAGAGGTAGCGTTGGTGTAGTGTTAGCGTAGTGTAGGTACCTAAGGTACTAAGGTTCTAAATATGTAGAATTAGAGGTTAGGTACCTGTTAGTCGCAACCCCTGAGACCAGACCTAACTTATTATTAGTTCATTTTCGCAACTCGTCAGTTCAGGTACGACGACCCGACATATTCGTGGATGTGGATACTTCTTATCCCCCCCTGTCACTTAACTGCTGCCACGACTTCTCCCAGAGGCATCAATTCGTCGAATCAATTCCAATCTTGAATATTCAATTCAACCCCAATTCAGTTTCTCCCTTGGTAATCTCGACGTTGGATCTTTGGGCGGATTTGTTTGGTTTTCTTTTTTTCTTCTTCTTCCTTTTCCTTTCTAATTGTGTATCTCGTCGCCAACAAGTTTCCAAAAGTTTAACTAGTTGTAACAATATCTTTTTTTTCCATACTTATTGCTCCCCTCCTAAATACCCTTAATCGGTCTAGGTCTGGCGCTTCTTGTCGCAGATTACCAAGTCTGCCCTATTTTGCTTTGCTAATCCTTCCTATGATCCATTTAATACCCCGATACTTGTTACAGCATTCCACTGCGCACGACTTAGCCTGTCCTCCTGCGGCAGACAGCGAATCAGGCTCGTCCCTGATATTCCCCGATTTGCGTTTGACCGGAGGACAATAAGGGGAACACATACTATCCATAATGCGCCGAAAGCCAGTTCCTAATCCGTTGTCCCTAGCTGGCGATTTGGACTCTTTGGATCAGCGCTCCGCTTCCAGCAACAGCAACAGCAACAGCAATAGTAACAGCGCCAGCGTCAGCGCTCCTACATCCTCAGGCCCCAATGCCTTAGGACCTGATAGACCGAGCCCGCATCCTACACCAAGAAGCGAATCTACCCTACAAGTTGCCTCATCAGCGCCTTCTAGGTCACCCAAATCGCCTCGTTCTCCTGTTAGCAAGTTTAACACAACGGTTAGCAAACCACACACACAACAGTATCAGGATTACCCTGCCGATCCAACCCTGCCGCTGCAATCACCCGAGAACGTACATATTGCTCAGCATCGACGACGCCAATCTCCTCAGCGCAGCGAGCCAGATCTCCCGCCCTTAACTCCTCTTCCGTCCTCCAACACTACCTCTACTGTCGCGGACACATGCCCTCGTCCCGAGAACGAGAAACATTTGAGAAGCGGCAGCCGCTTCTTCGGCTTTGGCAAGTCGTCTAAATCCAATAATCAGCTCCACCATACCCACACGGACAGCACAGGCATAGGTGAGGCTATGTCCCGTGGCACGGAGAACACCGCCATGCCGGATAGAGTATCCAGTAAAAATTCCAAAAATTCAGGTACGCCGAATGAGGAGTCAAAGAAAATGCAGTTACCTAGTTACGTATTACGTTAGTCTTATGATGCTAATCCTTTGTTCGTCAACAACTCTTTAGACCTATCATCCGCCGATCCCTCGAACCACAAAACAACCCCTTCCTTACCATCCAGATCTGATGTTTCATTGGCATCCACTAGTGAACAAGAAACAAACTCAATGAAAAAGAACAAACCCAAGCCTTTCACACTGCTGGGTCGTAATAAGTCGCTTAAAGATAATGATGGTCCTAGCCAAAAGGAGGCGATCACAATCACATTGCATGAGGCTGAGCGAGACCCATCCCCGGTAGGACTGCAGCCTTTAAAGACAGCCCCGATGAACCCCGACGGCCACGAGAGGTCTTTTAGACATATGATGAACTCGACTATACGGAATCATTCCGCCGACCGCGCACTTCCTCGAGACACCCCAGGGAACAAAGAAAACCGACACGATAAAGACCATTATAGAGGCCACCCTCCTTCTTTTAAGGATACCAACAGCAACGGTTTGGCATTTTTCAACGGCCTAAAGAATTCTGGCAGCCGAGCAGCAGATATGATTAGCAAAGGATTATTCGGGAGAAGTGGCCGTAGTGCCAGCACATCAGATAAGGACTCAGGGGTAGACGACGAGCATTACGTTCCAAAGGTAATCAATTTACCATTAGTCGAGCAGACGAGGTTAACGAGGATATCCAAACGACTTGAAGATTCTCGGGACAAGACTGAGTTTTGGATGCCCGCTTTCCCCTGGCGGGCAATTGATTACCTCAACCTCAAAGGAACCGAAGTCGAAGGTCTCTACCGTGTGCCTGGGAGTGGGCCTCAGGTCAAGAAATGGCAAAGGAAATTTGACGAAGGTAAACTACCCATCCCGCCCCTATCCTATTAATTACTTATTAATCTGGTTACAGAATATGATGTCGACCTATTCGCACAGGACGATCTTTACGATATCAATATAATTGGCTCAATGTTCAAGGCCTGGCTCCGCGAACTTCCCGACGAACTATTTCCGAAAGAAGCCCAGGAGCGAATTGCCCGAGAGTGCGCTGGCGCCGAGGAAGTGCCTCAGTTGTTGATTGACGAGCTCTCCAATTTGTCGCCATTTAAATATTACCTCCTTTTCGCTATCACATGCCATCTTAGTTTGCTCCTCGCGCATTCCGACAAGAACAAGATGGATTTCCGTAATCTCTGCATATGTTTCCAACCGTGCATGAAGATCGACGCCTTCTGTTTCAAGTTCCTTGTCTGTGATTGGAGATTATGTTGGCAGGGGTGTAAGAACGAGGCAAGGTATATCGAGGAAGAATATCAGTTATTCCAACAGCCATTACCTCGTGGATTGAACCCACCTGAGTCTCGGGGCCGGAGTTCACCTGATACTCGCGATGACCGAAATCTCTCTTCGTCTGACGGCAACAGATTACCAGCTCCCTCGGCCGAACAGCATGGCGGAAAAATAAGAAAGAAGCCGGGACCGATGAGCCAGTCGAATGGAGGAATAAAACCTAACTACTCAACATCGAATTCCTTGACCGTCAACGGCGAATATGATACGCCTGTAACACGATCTGGGGAACGAGAACTAAGACCGCTATCACCTATCAAACCTCTTTCTCCAATGAATTTCTGATAATTAAGAGGCGATATAAGGTCATGGTATACTGAACTGGAGAGTGTGGATGAGTTTGACCCTGATCTGACGATAGCTTTTTTTGCCTTGATAATACCCCAGGACGTGAATGTGGTTGGCATTTGGCTTGGCGGTCCACTTTGACGATATTACGCTCCGTTTACGATTTCCAACTTTTCTTCACATCTTAGCGTTTTACGATTATCTTGAGCCCATCAGGCCTTTACGAATTAGCAGCACAGCGTCGTCTTCCGATTCTCAACGATAGCATCCTTGGGTTCTTTAACTAATCGAGAAGGCCTTCTACCTACACTGCTACATGAGCAATACAACTTCTCTTATTGCCCAGGTTCCCCACGTCGATCTACCCGGCACATTATGTCACAGCAAATTAAGCTGGTGGTGGATATTGGATCTTGGATGATGGCACATGGATTACTATAGCCGTGCACCCTAGGTGCTAGCATAACGAATTTTCTACTTTGGCTATACAGCGAAAGTTTCGTGTGTTTGTTTCCAGGAAGAAAAGGGCTGGTTGAGAATGGTATAAAAACGCAGCGTCAGAGTTTTTAGAACATGAATGGCTAGAAAAGAATCTGTACCATATGTTGGATGGAAGTTGCGCAAAACCAAATTAAATTTGCCCAAGCCCGCAAAATCCCCTAAGATAGGCTAGAAACGCCAAACTCCCGCGTGTCTATTGCGACTCAAAAATGCGTGGGTATCAACAGTGTGTCCCTCAAGTTACCATTGCCACTAGCCTCGTATGTCCTAACATTGGCTAGGTTATTCCGCCTGCCACCTGTGATTTCCTCTGATTTCCTCTGCGCTATTCGTCCCCAGTCCACTACAGATCAAGCCTTTCTCCTCTTCTTCTTGTCCTTGGCGGCCTTCTCTTCCCGGTCCTTCTTCTCGTCAACCTCGACGAGCCAGTCCTGCTGGACCATGCCCTCCTCGCGGCGCTTCTTGGCGCCGCCCTTGTCGTAGCCCCACGTGCGCTCCCACTCGCCCGTCTCCTCGTTGTACTGGCGGGACTTGGCGTGCCGCTGCTCCCGCGTCTTCGGCTTGATGCCCTTGCGCGCCGCGAACTGCTCCCACTTCGTCGGCGGCTTGGCGGCCGGCAGCGGCTTCTCGCGCGGCAGAGGGGTCGAGGGCTTGGGCAGGGTCAGCAGGACACCGGACGTGGTGGCCGCGAGGGGCAGCGTCGTGAGCAGCTGGTTGATCAGGGCTTGCGCGCCGTCGCGGGCGGTGGCGGCGAGCTGGGCTTCCAGGGCACTTCTGCTGCTGTCGATGTTGGAGTCTGCTGTTGCTTCGGGGGGCGGTACGGATGTGGAAAGAGGGTTGGGGTCGTTGGCTAGGAGAAGTCCTAGGTCGAAGGTGTACGGCGTGGGCTTGGTGACTGCGACGTCGAGCTTGGGCTTGGATGGCTGGGCCATTGTTGAGGATTGTCCGAATGAGCTGGTGATTGTGTGTCTTTTGTAGATCAAGAAGAAATATATTCGCAAGATTGATTGGATTATATATCTTATGTTATGTCTTTTGTTGTAAGGTTTGAAATGGATATTAAACCGAGAGAAAAATAAAATGCAGGTCGCAATTGAACTTTCCCAAGAATTTTTGGCTATCTACCTGTTAGTTGCTGATAGCGCAGGCAAATCGGACCTATCGATAACATATCGGAGTGCTAATTTCTCCGCTAATGGTTTCTCTTTTTTTTTCGGCTACAGGCTTAGGTCCATAGATGTAGTACCTAGGTACCTTCTACCGGCCTGCACCAGATATGCTTCTACCGAAGTTCCAATTCCTAAAATTTAACTGGGGGGCTTTAAAGCATCTTTTGCGATTTTGATATTGAAGCTTCTCTGGTGTTGAACATCCGCCCGAGGACCAAAAACGTTCGACTTCGATCCGCACCAGCAATGGCGAGTGCGAACTGCTGGAGGTGCCTAGCACGGCCCTCGCAGCGGCTACTCGTGCCCGCAGCGATATTACCTGTTGCGTCGACCCCGGCCTCGGCGGCGACCTTCACGACTTCGGCGCAACTGCGAGCTACTGCTCAGAAGCCCGGCGCGAAAGAGGAAGCGAACCTGTCAAGACATATTCGTGTCGGTAAACAATTATCGCTGGGGAAGAAAAACCGGCGAGCACCGGATAAGGGCAAGCCTCCGGCGTCTGGCGAACGAAAGGCTTTCCGAAAGCGCATCCAACTCAGCAACGATAACGCCTTGGAAGTAAAAGGCCTTGGCGAAATAACGGCCGGGAATATGGTGGACCCTCATTCCGTAGGCAAGGTTCTAGCTCTCCCGGAGGCGTTGTTGGATCAATTGAGGGCTAGCGAAGCTTTCAAACCGACCCAGACTTGGGGATTATTCCGGTCGCCGCATATGTTAATTAGGAAAGAAACGGTGGACCTAGCAAAACAACTTACAGATACAATCAACAAGAAGGAGACTCTAAGGCTGGTTGTTACTGGAGATAGGGCGTCGGGAAAGAGTATGCTGGGCCTTCAAGCTCTGGCAACCGGGTTCATGAACAACTGGATCGTAATTAATATCCCAGAAGGTATATAAGACTTTCCCCTCGGCATGGTATGAGGTATGATTCAAACTTAGCTAACTACTACTACTATTCTTCTCACATCCAGGGCAAGAACTGACAACTGCGGCGACTGAGTACTCACCAATACACAACTCGGAGCAGTTCTCCCAACCCGTATATACCGTCAAGCTCTTCCAAGCCATCTACAAGGCCAACCAGCACATCTTATCGCAGTACAAGGTTGAGATGGACCATATCCACCTCCCCATCTCCGTGAACCGCGGTATGACGCTCGCCGCCCTCGTCAACGCTACCAAGGAGCCCGAGTTCGCGTGGCCCGTGTTCCAAGCCTTCTGGAAGGAGCTATTACTACCCGGCCGCCCGCCCATCATGTTCGCGCTCGACGGCCTCAGCCACATCATGCGGGTGAGCGACTACCGCTCTCCCTCCTTCGAGCTGATCCACAGCCACGACCTGAGCCTGCTGCGGCTGTACACGGACGCGCTGGGCGGCAAGACGAGCTTCCCCAACGGCGCGGCGATCCTGGGCGTGTGCACCAAGGGCAACAACCCGATCCTGCCCTCGATGGAGAAGGCTATCGAGCAGGCGGCCGCGGCGCAGGCGGGAGAACGGATCCCGCCCCGTGACCCCTTCTACGCCAAGTACGACGAGCGGGTGTTCGACGCGCTGCGCGGCGTCCGCGTCCTCAACCTCCGCGGCGTCTCGAAGCCCGAGGCCCGCGCCCTCATGGAGTACTGGGCCGCCAGCGGCATCCTCCGCCTCCGCGTCGACGAGAAGAACGTCAGCGAGAAGTGGACGCTCGCCGGCAACGGCATCCTCGGCGAGATGGAGCGCGCCGCTCTGTTCGATGTTAGGTCCCCGGTGTAAACAAAAAAAGAAAAAAGAATTACTACTGCCTACTACTAGTACCTATTACTTTATGACGCCCCATGTCGTCTGAGGATATTAGATGTACGGCTTTTAAAGATGTATATACCGCAATGTGTACAGTGTAGAATATGCGTTTACATTATACCTATGTGTGTTTTCGTGGTGATGTGGGTTGCGGTGTGCTTTGTTTTGCTGTAGATGTATGCGATGTAAGCCAATAGATAATTCATGAAAGTTGTAGTCTAATTAGGTAGAAGTTCACTCATATGATGATGAAATCGGATGAAGAACCATCCTTAAATTTGATTTGGTACCTCCTATCCAGGTATAAACACGTACCCCTATTTCAGCACCCCTCTTTCTTGGTGTATGCACAGAAACACCAAGATAGACAGGAAAGTGATGGTAAAGTACTAACTTTACAATCTCTCAAAATGATTCGATACTGGGATAGTAATGCTAGAGAATTAGAACAAGATAAATGGTATTAACTTAGGAGGTAGTTAATCGGTAAGGTCCCTCCCTAATTTACCTATGCACTCAGGGAACATACTTCAATAGAAACGGCAACGTGTAATATTTGGACCAAGTAGTAGGTAGCATCCCGCATATCCAAGGATGCAACACATGTACTGCTTGAAGTAACTTTCTCTCACTTATAATATTAAGAACTAGCCTGAAGTAACCAAACTGCTATGGCAGAAAAACGTTTCACTCGTCATATCGGTGATACTTAGCATTGATACCTGTTCCATAACGCCGTGGCTTACTTTTCATCCTTATACTTCTAGAGCCGAAGCCGTATGCATTAAAGGCTTTACATTACATTGCTTTGCCTCTCACATTCACTGTAGGTAGGCAGGTTATAAGTCACCTTATTCGTCATCTTCCTCCCCTGCATTATCGTTGGCCGTGACGAACACCAGCCTGCTGCCATTGCCAGCCGTCTGCCAGACCTGTTTCTCATATTGTCAGTAACGGAAGCAGCCACAAAATGGAATCAAGAAGGTTGGGAAAACTTACATCAAGATTCGTGTACTCGTCCAGTGCGTTTAACCACTGGTCCTCGGTAAAACCCTTACCCAGGACACGCTCGCGCACTTTTCGCATGCTCAATTCCACTGTACCCTCATCGTCGTCCTCGTCATCTTCAGCTCGGCATGCGCCGCTATCAGCCAGAGATTTAACGAGGTTGTAGATACGGCTAGCCGCGTTGAGCGTTCTCCTGCCACCCGTAGCTTCATGAGCAGCTAAGCTATCCTTACTGGCCTCCATAAGCCTCAACGCCTCGTCTACATCGTCCCGGTTGACCTCGGTGTCGAATCGGAGTCGCGCTAGGGCTTGCGCGAGACGTACCACACCCAACAGTGTCCGTGGCGTCGTGTGACTGAACTGCTTATTCTTCTTCTCGGCGCGTCGTTGCGCGTCTCGTAGGCGGACGTAAGTCTTGGTTAGATACTCAGTGACGGTCTCCGGGACCGTAGGCCGGTATGTACGGGCTTGCGCCACATACGCTCGTACCTCATGGGGTGTGAAGACTATGTTTGCCTGCTGTGCTGCCTCGCCGCCATCGCCGGCGTAGAGGTCAGGGTGTTTGCTGTGCATGTGCACGTATGCTACGTGCTTAGCTAATTGCGCATCACTCTCGCGGGTTGGTGTATCGAGTAATAAGAATAGAATATCGAAACGAGAAAGTAGAGCCGCCGGTAAGTTGATATTCTCGACTGGCGATATACGTGGATTATAACGGCCATAAATAGGGTTAGCGGCAGCTAGGATCGATGTTCTCGCGTTCAGTGTAGTCGAGATACCGGCCTTAGAGATGGAAATCGTCTGCTGTTCCATAACTTCGTGGATAGCAGTTCGGTCATTGTCATCCATTTTATCGAACTCGTCGATGCAGCAGATACCGTTGTCGGCCAAGACCAGTGCACCGCCTTCAAGAACCATCTCGTCCGTTACAGGATCGCGCATTACAGCTGCAGTAAGACCGACACCGCTTGAACCACGGCCGGATGTATAGACACCTCGAGGAGCAACCTTTGATATATACTTCAACAGCTGAGACTTGGCCACACCAGGGTCACCCATTAAGCAAATGTTGATGTCGCCACGAATGCGCATACCGTCACCCATTGTCTTCGTGACACCACCAACCAGTAACAGTAGGAGCGCCTTTTTTACGTCAAGGTGACCGTAGATTTCGGGGGCAATCGACTTAGCTAGCATTTCATATACAGTGCCCGACCGACTGAATGTGTTAATACGGTTCAACAACTTGTCGTCGATGATCATCTCTTCGTACGCTTTCTTGTGCTGAACAATATGGTGTGCTTCGAGATACGTATCAGTCAGAAGTCCAGCTCGCATGGCTTGGAAGCCCGTATAGGGGGTGGGCAGGAAAATTCCGGAAATATCGACTATATCTCCAGGGTTGACCTGGCGGACTGCGCTACCATAGCACATTACCGTGAGGGTTCGGGGGATCTGGCCGATAGGTACTTGCTCTGCCAACTCTTGAATCTTAACTTCTTGGAAAGGTAAGAACTTGGATGCCCGTGAGGATTGGAAAAGTTGCCCCCTCGACTGGTTTTCCTTGCATTCCTGCGACGGGCAGCTGGTAAGGGGAGCATATTGCTTATCGTTGACGGGCTGGAAAATTTCGCATCCACAACGGTCACAAGTATATGCACCGACTTGCACGATGGGCTTCACGTCCGATGCTCTGGTCGCGATACCACGGATTGTGATAAGATGGCCAAGATGCTCTCCTCGTACTTGCCGTACGGCAAGGGCCTTCACTGGCTTTTCGTCGGTAGATGTTCTAGGCTTAAAAACAAGCGTATATCTCCTCGTAAGCTGTGCTGGGAAAGTGGACTCGAGTAAATCTGGGTTATTGGTGTTGGCAGCTGCCTCGGCAAGATCGCGATTCCGGGCCTGTCTCCTTTCCATGATTACATCGAGAACATCATCTTTGAACCTGGAACAGTATCAGTAAGTGAGGACAATGACGTGGGAGAATAGGCCATTTAGTCGTACGTTATGCCGGTCGTGGGTGCGGGCATCTTCTTATCAATAGCCCTAGATAGGATTTCGACGTAGTGCTTCGTATTCATTTCAATGGACTCTACGAGCTTCAATCCATCATTTGTATCATTTTCCCACTACCCGGCATTAGTGATACTTCATTCCCAGGGGGGATATGATTTTAGTTGAATCTTACTTGAGCAATGTCATCTAGCTCTATTAAAACCTCGTTGATTGTGCGGTCTGCAAGCTTCTGCATCAGATCGGCGTATTTGTGTTTTGGCAGCTTTGCTGAAGCTTTCTCCCGTCGGCGTCGCTCGTGCTCTTCATCGTCTCTGTCCATAAAATCGTACTCGTCACTCAAGTCATCCTCGTCGATATTAATCTGGCCAATAGCGTGGGTTAATGTCTGTTCCGGCGAGGTCTTGAACTTTTCGAGGAAGGTCTCAAAGGCAGCTAAATCCAGCAGATCCTGTTAGCTCCGATAGAAACGACAGAAACGACAGAAATGATTGAGGACATTTGCGACTGACCTTGCTGCGCTTCATAATCGACGATGCTTTTATACTGAAGGAGAGCCATTTTGAATTGTGTCTACTCCTGGGAATCTTGGAGTGTAAAATGAGATGTGGGATGTAAAAGAATTGCGACAGGATTGGGTAAGTCGCAATAATTAGGTAGTGTACATTTGAGTCTGTAACTTTTTACATTAGAACGTGGAGGCTGGAAGTTGTACTAGGAGAACAAGGGGACAAGGGGGGGACATGGACCCAGTTTCTACATTATGTACCTAATGGACGATGCACTGTCAAATACGCGTCGACGCGAATTTTCGTGTGATTCTTCAGCCCCAGTTATTAAAGTGCTTAATGGAACTAAGCCCCTTGAGATGTGCTGGAAGTGCTGACATGTGCTGGCCCATGTGGCTTGAGCTAAAGTTTCCCATTTGATGTAGGTACAAAGTACTTACATTAGGTACGCCTGTACCAATTATGCAAGTATCCAAGGTACCTTTGTTAATCGATTAGTTGAATTGACTTTAGTGGATTCCCGGGGAATGAATGCCTCGGCCCATGCAGCTGCCACGGCATATGCATAGGGATATTTCTTATATGAGGTAGGTAGTGTTATTCGTCAGAGCTACCTACCTGGTTACACTTTTTTCAAAAATTTGTAATACTCCAAGTCATGTTTTAGAGTTCTTGACGAACTCGCAAAGACATTACATGGTGCTTTGGCCATAATTCATTCTCTCTATACCTACCTAAGGTAGTTCGACATGGCTCCAGCTCAACGGAAGAACGCGCAGTCTGTCGCCGCCGAGATATCCCTTGTACACCTCAAGAATTGTCTCGTGAATCTCCCGACGTCACTAGTCAATCTGCTCGTAACAGTCAATACTGTAAGCTTTACTTGTTTTTTTTTCTACGTGTTGAACCATTGCTAAAATTTGTATCATAGCCTGCCCAAAATGTTATTGTCGAGCTCAATTATCGCGTTCCGTTACCGACGAATGGCTCCTCTCAAGCCAATGGCTCCTCATCCTCACAACGATCGCTATATCTCGGATGGACAGGAATGCCTAGCAAACGAAAGGTAGCCCCTATAGTGGATCGCGATGGTATCAGTGGTACGCGTGGTAGTGGAAGAGATCAAGAGGTAGCTTCGGTTGAGATCGATGCTACATTAGCTCGTACCCTTGGATTGTCGGATGGCCAGAAGGTTACGGCCACAATACACGTCGACCCTATTTTGGCACATACAGTGAACATCGAACCAGTGACATCCGAAGACTGGGAGATCATTGAACTACACGCGACCTTCTTGGAGCTCAATTTGCTATCTCAAATCCGCGCGCTTCCGAATCCAGTTTACACCGCTTCGCCCGGTCAACCTCCCAGCCCGCATCCTTTGACCCTCCATCTCTCGCCGACATCTACAGCCAACATAAGGATTGTGTCCCTTGAACCGGCTCTCCCGCCAAATGTCCCATTCGCAAAAATCGCACCCGATGCCGAAGTTGTCGTCGCGCCAAAGACGCGATCTAAGCCTTCCAAAGGTACACGGGAAGATCGCAGCGTAGGTGGAACGTCAAGGAGAAGCGCGAAGAGCTCGACTAGTACAGTGCGGAGGAAGAGCGCACGGGAAGAGAAGAAGCCAAGCTTGTTTTTAAGAGGAATTGACCGGAAGCTTTGCGACGAATGGTTTGATGATGAATCAGCGCCGCAAGACTTGAGTGTATGGGTTGATCGTGATCTTCTGCTTTCAAAAGAATTCCGCGGCGTAACATGGGTTGTTGTGAATATTGTCAAGCCAGCTGGACTTCAACCTCCTCTGGATCCTCAAAAACAGCAGGAAAATGCAGCGAATGGTGAGACCATAAAAGCGACCGAGAAAGTTGTTGCTCGCTTACACCCATGGGATGACCCCCCGACAACTCAGACTATTGCCCTTTCTACTCCTCTTTGCGCGGTGCTTGGTTGTATAGGAATTGTTGGAGGGATCGCCAAGATCGAGCCAGCACCAGCGCCGTTATCACGTACTTCGATACAAAAGATAAAAGTATCTCCATTTTCAATTGAGGATCTAAGAAATTCAGCAGGATTAAAATTTGGAGGAGAGTCAAAAGCTGAAAAAGAAGAAGCATCCAAAAAGGTATCCCATATTTATGGACAAAAAGACAAAATTAATGGTCTATTACAAGGTCCCTTAACTGATGGGATGATACTGCCAGTATACGATACTCTCCAGCTGTCACACGGCTGGGAGGGCGGTATCCTGAAGCTTGAGGGCGCAAGCATAGACGATTCGAAAGAACGATTGAGTTGGTATCTTGGATCTGAAAAGTCCGTGCCGATTGAGGTACAACCGCCAGCTCCTCGACCAGCTTGGTTAGTGGAAGATGAAATCACCGATCAAAAGCCTGCAAGTGACTCGGTTTTAGTCGGAATTGATTCACTCCTAACAGATTTGAAATCTCATCTCACACACATGTCGTCTGTCCTTCTAAGTGGTGCTTTGGGAGCAGGTAAGACAGCTGTCGTCCAGTCCCTGGCCCAAACGCTGCGAGAGGAATTCCTATTCCACACAACTTACTTTCCATGCAGAAAATTGGTCAACGACGAAAGCAGAATTTCTACTATCAAAGAAACGTTGAATAGGATATTCATGGGTGCTAGCTGGGGCGCAAGACTCGGTGGGAAAGCTCTTGTTATACTGGACGATCTGGACAAGTTATGCCCAGTAGAGACGGAGTTGCAGGTAGGAAACGACAACAGCCGAAGCAGGCAGGTTAGTGAAACTATCAGCTCAATTGTCCATCAGTATTGTGGGCGCGATAGGGGAGTCGTTCTATTAGCTACCGCCCAAGGCAAAGAATCACTTAATAATGTTATCATCGGAGGCCACGTCGTCCGGGAAATCGTCGAATTAAAAGCGCCAGACAAAGAGGCTCGAAGAAAGGTCTTGGAGGCGATCGTCAAGCAGCAGACCGTGGCTCGGGGATCTTTGCCAGCACCCGAGCCTTCTGGTAGTCGGCCTACTACTGCCAATGGGAGCATAGGTGGCGACGATACCGACACGTGGATGGATGGCGCGGATCAACTTAGCCCTAAAAAATCTATCTCTACAAATTTAAGGTCGGAAGGTTTCCTCCTAGACCCAGACCTAGATTTCCTCGACCTCGCTGGGGAAACGGATGGCTACATGCCGGGAGATCTTATCCTTCTCGTATCTCGAGCCCGCAACGAAGCTTTAATACGGTCTGTCAGCGAGGACCCTTCAAACGAATCACTGGACGTTGTTCAACTTGGTCGTGCCGATTTCGATAACGCTCTCAAAGGATTCACTCCAGCGTCTCTTCGGAATGTCCCTTTGCAGACGTCGACAACTACATTTGACTCAATCGGAGGTCTAAAGGAAACACGACAGATCTTACTCGAGACATTACAATACCCAACGAAATACGCGCCGATATTTGCGCAATGTCCTCTGAGATTGCGTTCCGGATTACTCTTATACGGTTTCCCTGGGTGTGGTAAAACTCTGCTTGCAAGCGCAGTTGCGGGAGAGTGTGGGCTCAATTTCATATCCGTGAAGGGACCTGAAATATTAAATAAGTATATTGGAGCCAGTGAGAAAAGCGTTCGTGATCTTTTTGAACGCGCTTCTGCTGCCAAGCCATGTGTGCTATTTTTTGACGAATTTGACTCGATCGCTCCTAAACGAGGTCATGACTCAACAGGCGTTACGGATCGAGTAGTCAATCAACTGTTAACCCAAATGGACGGTGCGGAAGGTCTATCTGGTGTTTATGTTTTAGCTGCAACATCGCGACCAGACCTGATCGATCCAGCCTTGCTCCGTCCGGGGCGTTTAGATAAGAGTTTGCTCTGCGGTTTTCCGACTGTAGAAGACCGCGCCGATATCTTGAAGGCCCTGAGTAAGAAAGTCAAGCTCAGCAAAGAGCTAGTAGCGTCAGAGGAGAGCTTCCTTGAGCTCGCAAAGCGAACGGAAGGGTTTTCCGGTGCCGATTTGCAGGCACTCATCTCAAACGCTCAGTTAGAAGCCATCCACGATGTGCTAAAAGACATCGAGTTACAGCCTTCAGGCGACAAACGTAATGGTGCTGACTCCCGAGCCAAAGCAAGCACATCAGCAAGCAACCGGAATTTCATCCAATTTCGCTACGGTATCGAGGCTGCTCTGGCCGAAGCAGAGGAAAAGACAAAAAAAGGATATAACAAGTCAACCCAGCTGGCCGAGAATGCTGCTATGGCAGCTAAGCTTTCCGAAATAAAAGCGGCGAAGAAACAGACAAAACTAGGTCAGAAGAGAATAAATCACAATTCAAGGGATACTAGCGATAAAGGGAAAGAAGGAAACAATACGGAAGTCCTTATCGGTTGGAGGCATGTGGTGAAGGCGTTGGAATCGACCAGGGCCAGTATCAGTCCCCAGGAAAGAAATCGCCTAGAACGGATCTACAGAGAATTCGTAGTTGGACGGAGCGGCGAAATGCGGGATGGTCAAGGGAGCATGGAAATTGGCGGACGAAGCAGCCTCATGTAAGGCCTTTCTGCATTAAAATAGAGGCAAAGCAAGGCAAGGTTAAATAAAAGGTCTATCTAATACATGATTAATCGAAAATATCATGTGTATAATTATTAATCATCTTATCAGATCATCCTGACATGTAGATTACTAGAGGAGTATATGAGTTACAATAGACAAGGCGGAGTATGAAACATCCAATAATTTGGTACTTTATAGGTGACTTTTGCACTGGTAACAGTAACAACATGTCATTACTGATTTATTGGGCTATCTCTTAAAGACCCAAACTAGGGTCCAGGACTAGCGTACTTTTTAAACCATGGAATGCAATCTCGCTACCAAGCCACTGTCCCCCTGTATGTATCTTTTTAAAATTTAGCGTGTTTTTACGTGTGTTTAAACGCGTCTGTACTTGATTCTTGATATTTGTAAGTATTTTGATTAATATCGTGGGATTTGATGTTATAATAGTATTGTAATAAAGCGAGGAATTTGACGACGACGACAACGACAACAACAACGATAACGACGACGAGCTTAACGATAAAGATAATTTTAACATACCAGTTAATGATGTACTAGCTTTACAGGTCTTTGGATAATAGTCACGTTCGAATAAAACACCAGTATTCAAATCTAAAAGCAAAAAAGTCAGTAACAAAATAACCTCAAAAGCATTCAACACGATATTGTTTAATTGTTTGTAAGGATGTATTTGAGTACTTTGAGTTGACAGGGCCTCATATTAATTAGGTGGAGATGTCTCTAAACGCAGAAGTCTGATACGTCGGAGCCAACAGACTAGCAATAGCCTGCATATGCGCTAGTCCTGGACCCTAGTTTGGGTCTTTACCGGATAAATGAGGCTGTCAGGCCGTTTTAGCCTTGGACAAAGCTGAAGTCGACGTTGGTCGCTTTGATTGGTTACATATTTCACGCTATTCTGTCCTGGCACTAGCGTCGTCTGGTCCTCTAAGCTTATGCTCCCTAAACTTTATGTAAGGTTTGTGACAAGCTTGGACCCGCCGATGCCACATTGTCACCATCAACTTTCTTTCAAAGATATAAGCAAGTCGGCGGCATATAAACTACGCAACCAAATACTCTCAATTTTTTGAGCATTTTCCGAATCAATAAGGTCCTCAACTCTACTATATCAATATTGAGCCGAATAAAAAAACGAAATAGGCCTTCTGTGCCGTTGGTCGTTGCGCCTCCTTATGCTAAGGGGCGTACTTCGTGGACCATCAATAGATGCTGCCTTGGACTCGATTCTATTGAATCAGAACACTATCCTTTTATCTTCCAAAAATAATTCCCAAGGTTCACTATTGGAGTCACCCCCCAACTGTAAGTATGTTTTGATTATTATTTTATTATTTTATTATTTTATCATTTTATCATTTTTTTATCTTCTTTCCGTGTCAACACCTATTCCGCCACCATGCATCCTCCATTCAACACCATAGCGCATACAAGGGATTCCCCCTTTGAAACTCTCACCACTTCTTCCAAGCGATCCCATCTGCCAAAGACTCCCATTGGAATTCCGGCTGGGCCTATCAACAATAACCTTTTTATTGATGGACAAAACTCCCCAGCATGGTCTGTGGATATTCCGCTGGGTTCCAACCCAGGAGTCCGCGGCGGGCCATATGTCGCAGCTTCATGGACCACCCGCCCTTGAATATACGACTCCGCGCTCCAATTCCGTTGGAAAGGCGAGTAAGAACGGCGTTGAGATGGAGGAACGATGCGATTATTTCCTACTAATTTCCCTTTCCACCCTGCATGTTTATCGCCTTTAATTCACATTTTGATTCCACTGTGCATCATCTGCACCATCGCATGTACCTCGTTCCGTGTTCCTGTTAATTATGTCGGCTATTGATTCGCAATCTGTTTTTATTTTCGGTTAATTCTTCGGTTCACTAGCTAATCCTGTCTCCCAGCCCTACACCTGAAACTAGCACGCCATGGCAACTCTTCAAGTTTTTGGCGGCGGACCTGCGACAACGCGTCAAAAAGCTGTCGAAGATGCGCGGAAAATGGAAGAAGCTGTTCAAGAAGAATGCGCCAAGTCAGGAAAACCCGCTCCCCAGTACCGCCTTACCGAATTAATCGGCAAGGGGAGCTTTGGTCGTGTGTACAAAGCAACCGACTTGAGGACTGCCAATGTGGTAGCTGTTAAGATCATAGATGTCGATGAGAGTGATACCGTGAATCCGAAGATCGCAGATACTTACAGTGAGATTCTCAAGGAGATCAACGCGTTGCATCGTCTAAGCCAGTCTGGCGCCCAGAATATCAATCATGTTATTGAGGCCTTACCTGTCGGTAAAGCTATGTGGATGGTTACGGAATACTGTGCTGGTGGTAGTGTAGCAACTCTGATGAAACCTACTACTCCGGGGGGGTTACAGGAGAAATGGATAATCCCTATACTGCGTGAAGTAGCCGTAGCAATTTACTGGGTTCATAAGGAGGGCATTATACATCGCGATATTAAGTGCGCTAATGTCTTAGTTACCGAAACGGGAGCGGTCCAGCTTTGCGATTTCGGTGTTGCTGGTATGATGGAGACCAAGTTGGACAAACGGTCTACTTTCATCGGAACACCACACTGGATGGCGCCAGAACTTTTTGACCCTAATGCGCAGTACGGAACAGAAGTTGACATATGGGCTTTCGGGTCCATGGTGTACGAAATTGCCTCTGGATTACCCCCGAATGCGACGGCGAGAGTAGGTCTGCCCCAATTAGGAGACTATCTTAGAGAACATATACCGCATCTAGAAGGGGATCAATATTCGGACGAACTTAAAAGTTTAGTTTCCTTTTGCCTCGAGGAAAACCCAGCCAGACGACCAACTATTGAACAGATCCAACAACACCCATACATTTACAACACAAGCTCTAGATATCCCACATCCTCTCTTGCAAACCTCGTCAAAGCCTTTAGGCTTTGGGAAGAACGTGGTGGCATTAGGAAATCCCTCTTCGCGGCTGGAGGAGCACAAGCACCCTCCGATCTAGATTCGACTTCGTTATCAACCGAGGAATGGAATTTCTCTACTACGCTAGCCTTCGATCAGCAGCTCCATGATATGTCAGATGGCATGTCCGAAGTCCAAGCAGTCCGCGACGTTTATGGCTCAGCTGTTGATTTCCCCGCCACATTTGGCGAAGACACGGCACGACCTAAGGCATTAGGCAAAGGTAGACGGCGACCGCCACCACAAGCTTTAGCTGCGACCAAAGTAAAAGCTCCCCTAGAAAAAGTATTCGATCCCAACACGATATCAAACTACGATGAAAATTCTCGCATGTACTACGGTCGCCTTGGGCCACCTCCAGTATCATCAGAACCACCGCCAATGACAAACCAGGTTCCGGTATCCGATCTGCCGCTGCGTGACGACTCCCTCCACGCGACACTTCGCGAATCTTTAATTGACCTTGACGCTTCCCTCGGTGGTGGTGAACTTTCTAACTTTGTCGACATGGGCACGATAAGACCGGGTCCAGGACCAGGACAGAATCCGCGAGCCTCAATGGACAACAATTGGTCTTTCTCAGCAGCTACTGCGATAAACACACAGGATAGGGCACCTCTAAGTGACCCTGCAGACATGGGCAGTGGCCGGAATCATGCACCGGACTGGTCATGGCCAACGAGTATTCCCCCAGCCTCTGCCAATCCGGAGACGTCACATTTCACGTTTAACGATGACCGAAACTTCGATCTTGGTCCCGATCGTCCCCGACTCCAGCACCACCCTACCGAGCCTATGCTGCCATCGCAAGGCTACGATATGCAAGGTTCAAGCGCACCATCGCACGACCGCATGTCCGTGGCCAGTTTGATCGACCTCGATATGAGCATGCCCGAACCCAACTTCCCGGAACTCACACGCCCCTCCACCGCAAACTCGGACATAGCATCCATCACCGGCTCGGAAGTCGGCGCCCGAGAGCCCTTCGAGCTCGAACGCCACGCGTCCGTCTACGCCCCCGCCAGCTTCACTAGCCGCGAGCCGTCCATCTACGTGTCCGACGGGTCCGAGTTCTCTACCCGCGTGGCCAGCAAGATCGCCGAGGAAGACGAGGAGGTGCCTGATACCAACGTCTTCAATGCGACGGGGGGATCCCATCAACATCAGGACCAACATCAGCAGCAGTACCACCACCAGCACGAGCACCAGCACCAGAACAGCGAGTACACGGTATCGTCGTCGGACACCTACGTGGACCGGGACGACGGGTACCACGGCCCGACGACGGCCGCGCACATCCTGCGGACCACGGGCCCCGTGCACCTGCCGTCCATCGCGCCGCCGTCGTCGAGCGTCGTCGAGGCCAGGGCCACGGCGGGCGACGTCGCCAACGAGATGCGCCGCCTCGTCGCTAGCCTCCACGAGCACTTGTCCATCATCGGCGAGCAGGTCGGGAGCATGGAGCCCAGGCGCGCGGCGGGCAGGAATAATTTCGACGGCGCCGAGTAGGAAGAAGCACTTGGTGGGTGATTTGCTATCTCGTATAGAGAGAGAGGAAGAGAGAGAGAGAGAAATGGGGAAAAGGATGAGGAAGAGGGGAGAATAAGGTTTTTCAAGAATAGAAAAACAGGGAAAGGCTTGTTTTTCCCCTCGCCCCCCTCCCCCCCTTTCTTTGCAATGCAGTAGGTACGTATCTAGGGTACCAACACGAGATTCCGAATAATGAAGACGAGGCAAAAGGGAAAGGTACCTAAGTAAGATTCGGTATATGTATATGACGCTGCTTTCTGTTTCTTTTCTTTCTCTTGTTCTTGTTTGGTTTCGCGTTAGCTGTTTACTTACTGTTATTGAGATACCACCACCACTACTACTACTTTCCCGCCGTCGAGGCGTAGTTCAGTTCGTTATAGCAAGACTTGGTATACATAAACAGGTTAATACATACATAGTAAATAGACCGCCTAGGTTCTTAAATAAGTGCTATTGGGATGGGGGAGTTTGGTAGCGCGTGACAAGATGTGATGTTATTCGCGGACTCCCTGCTTCTGGCCGGCATGGATATTTACTAACAAGCATTAAGAGACAAGCCACCACAGATATAATAGCAAAGTCCTTCACCATTCTCAAAGGACGATGTATCCTTCCTCAGGTACCTAGGTATCTAACATACATCTACGTAAATCCTATCAAATCTCCCATTAGAACGGCCTGGTACTTATCCACCGCCTCGCGCAAGCGGATCAGCACGCCAGCAGCCAGCATCTTGACTTCGTTTTCTTCCCCTCCTCCTTCACCGCCGACATCGCCTCCCCGCGTATTATTAAACACCGCACCGACCCACTCCGCGCTCTCGACGACCTCGCGCCCGTGCCTCTCGCAGAGACCACGCATATCAGCCTCATTAACATCCAGGAGCGCGACGAGGCCGAAGAGGACCGCCTGCGTGACGCCCAGGTCGCCGACGCACTGGCCGCGGATGCCAAGGAGCAGGTCCCAGAACTCGGAGGTCATCTGCGGGAGGGCGAGGGTGCTGGGCCCCGCAGCGTGCAGGAGGATAGCTAGGGTCTTGAGGTAGAGGCAGAGCAAATACGGCTGGAAAAGGATGCCTCTCGTGGTGGCGGATGCCGAGCGCATCGCGGCTTGGAAGCGCGAGGTTAGGGGAAAGAAGAATGACGATGCTATGAGGGAAGCGGTGGTATTGGGTATAGCGCGAACACGCGGTTTGGATTTACCCTTGACGGAATGAGAGGAGGATGACTGTGATTGTAGGCGCGACGTGAAAGACGAAAGCTTAAGCGCGTCTGGTCCCGTTACGGAGTCTGCTGCTTCAGCGGCTAACGGGGCTAGGAAGGATTGCGAGAGAGATTTCGCTAGATTATCTAGCGCGTTAGGGGGGAGGGCTTTGAGGTTTTGTGCCCTAGATTCAAGTCTATTCGACGGTGATGGTGTTGCGTAGTACTTTTCGATTTTGGCGGGGAGCATTTTGGAAGGGAATTGTGTAGTTGATCCGTATTCGGACGCTTCAAACCCTGCTATCTCTCTACCACTGAGGCCTAACACCATGAGGATAGACGCGCGTTGGGATAATGAATAGTCTCCATCAAAGAACGTCTTGGCAAACCACTGGCCCATCCCCTTTGGCTGTGCAACCACGATTGCAATCATCCCCTGCAAACGAAGATCGTCAAAGTTCTCAAGGTCGTATTTATCCTGTAAACCGACGAGGAGCGTAGCAAGCTCCTCTGCATGAGAACTAACTTCTGTGCCATAGTTCGCTTTCCTGCGGATCAGAGAGGGGGCTGTTGTTAGAGCAAGCTTTTGACGGTCATAGTTATCCAAGTCTCGGAAATAAGTGATGAGATCACGAATGTAGACAGGAGCCTTAGGCTTGTCACGATTAATGAGTGTAGGGTCATCATCCGAATCTTCGGCATCTGAATCAGGCTTCGCATACGGCACTAGATCTGGGTCTTCATCCTCATCATCTTGGATTTCCTCGATAATAAAACCTGACTGGGCAGGTAGCTTTCCAGTTCGCTGAGCGGGTGCCACCGAGGGTTTTGTTATCTTGGGAGCACTGAAGGGTTTCGGTAGAGATGTCGTTTCTCTTAATGGATCTAAAGGACCAGGCTTGTCGAAAATCTGAACAAGAGACTTATACCATTTTGCTTCCTCTGTGTCCATCTCGTCCATCTTGAAGTCGAGTTTTGTCTCCTTACCATGTACCAGTCCCGAGAGCGCCTCGCCAACCACCATCCCGAGGAAACGGGCACGGTTTTGCGACGCAGCAATCCGGTTAGAGATGGCATTCAAGTATACACTTGACCGTAATAGAATCGTAAGTTTTATTGGTGCCAGTCTATGGACGTATCCAGCACTGAGAAGTAGTACTTGAGCATGTGCTTGATCTCGGTTAGTTTCCTTAGCATGGATATTAGATCGGGTGAACTAACCATCTTGTTGGAGTAAAGGAGCATGTTTGATGTACAGCTTATCTCCGAACTGGCTTAAACTTTTCTCCAGGATAGTTGCCATAAACTCCTTATCGTCAGAAAAAACAGCGACAGCAGCTCGTCTGATTCCATATCCTTCACCTATTCCCGCACCAGATCCACTCGCTAGCCAGCTCAAAAGATGGTTCTTTCGAGTTTCGTCATTTCCTATTATCGTCTTTAGGACCCCAGATGCGGCTTGGATAATAGGGGTTTGCTCGGTCACATTCGTGTCGTTTATAGAGCTCAGATACTTATTCGAAAGTAGCTTCATAGTCAAAGTGAGAACTTTCCGCTGTTCAAGAGATGGAAGAGAGCTCAACAGACTCTCAAATGTTTCGCGGTGTTCAGCGTTTTGAAGAAGTAACCCGGTGACCAATGTATTGATTAGATATTCTTGTATTAGGTAGTTGTTAGTAAAATAGTCTGTTTTGCGGAGACTATAACTCACCTGAATTCCCTAGCCTCATCCCCCGAGTCAATATCTCGCTGCATACTTTGAGTCCCTCCTCGTCGACCCCTGGTCCAAGCCACTGCACCATATTATGAGCAAGCCAGTCAACATAAAGCTTAGTATTGCTAATCCAAACGTCATTCTTCAATCGACCGGTCTGACGGCAAACGTCCTCTGCTTCTGCAGAAAGCGAGATGATTTTTCCATTCGTAAATAATGTAACAAGTTCTTGGCGTACAAGTCGAATCTGGGTTGGACTTTGGAGAGAACCAACACTATTCCAAATGTGTTTTATGTCATCGTGGGAATGAAGGATGTTAGTGAGGAGCTCCAGGACAAAGCCTAGGTTGAAGCTGGCCTGTGAATCTTTCAGAGGTTTCGAATCTAGTTTGGCTTCTTTTAGTAAGGTACGGAGATATGCTACTACAGAATTGATGCCCGCAAGGTTTTGCAAGCATGAGATTAACACATGAAAGTCCCCTTTGCTCTGTCCCGTCGATGCGTCCCGTAATACAGTCCAATAATTAGGAACAATCTCAGTAACCAAGACATGAATAATCTGTGCACTTTGGGGGCTGGGTTTCCGGATGTCAAAGGGATGTGAGCCTCGCACACCCCTCTGTATGTACTTTAACACAGATAGAAGAAGATCGTAGCTTGGTTGACTCTTGAGAGCCTCAAGGGCTTCTTCTGGGGAAGAACCGCTGAACTTGTTCTGTACCTCAGGGGCAGATTTAGTGGGCTCAGAGATTTTAAACAGCTCGTCATGTTGGCTGGATTTACGGTAACTCTGGCTCACGGGAGTGAGTAACCCTTCCATTCTGACGATCAACAATCTTGAATGATGGAGTTATCCGAAATAATTGCTTCTCAAGCATGTTTATGGGCTGCCTGGTCGATTTATCATATTCAGTGTCATATTGACGTTTGAAATGGTAAACTAGAAGGAAAGAAAGAGAAAGGAAAAGAAAGGCTCTTCCTAGGATTCAATGCTTACCTAGTGCCTAATATTTTATATTTTAGGACATACCTAAGGTAGACTTTCATCAAAATAGAAGAATCATGAAAATAGAAGAATTGGATAAAGATAATGGGTGAAAGCTACAACAGTTATAATAGGTTACCTCATTGGGTACCTAGGTACCTCGTACATTGTTGCCTTACATAACGGAGTGTCACTCTCGGCCCGGTCTGCCTGCTTCATGTGCCTGTCAACGACACCCCACCTCTAGTGCCCCGATATATCATTATCGCCGATAAGAGATGACATCAAACCACCAACGCCGAATGCCAAAGCTTCCTGACCTCAAGTACCTAAGCTTCCCTCCTTTTTTCTTTTTCTTTTTTTGTATCAGGCGCATCATACGCCCTCCCAAGAGACTACACTATGGCGACAGCTGCGACACAATCCGGTGCCTCGAGATGGCAATACTTAGACCACATACGAAGAACACGTGGTCCTTTTAATCAGGACTCAGATGTAAGCGAAGAAGCTCTCGCGACTCTAGACAAGACCAAGATTCTTGTCATCGGTGCCGGCGGGCTCGGTTGTGAGATACTCAAGAATCTCGCCCTTTCCGGTTTTAAGGACATCCATGTCATAGATATGGGTATGCTTACCTACCTACCTAGGTAGTTTACAACTGCAATATGCGACTAACTCTTATGCGCCTACTCTACTCTTAGATACCATCGATATCTCCAACCTCAACCGCCAATTCCTCTTCCGCAAAGACGACGTAGGCAAGTTCAAAGCAGAAGTTGCCGCCAAATTCGTCGAGAAACGAGTCAAAGGTGTAAAGATTACTCCACATAATTGTCGAATCCAAGAGTTTGACGAGGACTTTTACATGCAATTCCAAATGGTCGTTTGTGGTCTCGACAGCATTGAAGCACGGCGATGGATCAACGCAACCCTCGTAAACATGGTGGATATGGAAAATCAGGACTCGCTGAAGCCGTTGATCGACGGTGGAACAGAAGGTAGTATTTTATTTACTATTTTATTTACTCGCACCAGATACCTTCGGACCTATAGAAATCTAACTAGAGTTAGGATTCAAGGGCCAAACCAGGGTTGTATTTCCAACCCTCACACCGTGTATTGAGTGTCAGTTAGACCTCTATACCCCACGAGCCGCCGTACCACTCTGTACATTAGCTACCATACCACGCCAACCAGAACATTGCATAGAATGGGCTCATATTATCGCATGGGAACAAGAGAAACCCTTCCCAAGTTTAGACAAGGACGACCCCGAGCATATCACCTGGCTCTATCAGAAAGCCCTCACGCGAGCCCAAGAATTTGGCATCGCTGGCGTTACCTACTCACTTACTCAAGGCGTCGTCAAAAATATCATACCTGCAATAGCGTCCACTAATGCTATTATTGCTGCGAGTTGTTGCAACGAAGCTCTGAAGATAGCTACTACAGCCGCACCCTCACTTGGGTTCGAGGAGAGCTACATGATGTATTCCGGTGACGACAGCATCTACACCAACACTTTTAAATACGACAAGAAAGAGGACTGTGCCGTATGTGGCGAGGTAGCCAAACCGCTCCAAGTCGATCCCAATTGGACACTTAGGGAACTCCTCGATTCCTTCTCAACGAAGCCCGATCTGCAGTTAAAGAAACCCTCAATCAGAGCCGAAGGTAAGACGCTATATATGCAATTCCCGCCTAGCATTGAGGAGCAAACACGATCAAACTTGGACAAGACCCTGAAGGAAGGCTTGGGCTTGGATGTAAATCACGAAGTTGCCGTAACAGATCCGGCATTCCCAGCATTGACTTTCCGATTCATTCTGCGTTTCACATAAGCAAAGGCGTTGTAGGAGCATGATACCATACCATAGTCTCTTCAAAAAAGGGGTTTGCCGCATTTATTTAGTTGGGCGTCGTTATGATAACTATTTGATTCTTCCTCTTCCTGGCTGTATACCTCTTAACTACCTGATATGTTCGTATTAGTCAAAGGTAGAAGTGCGATTGTCTCGCCCAAAAAGAAAAACTCAACCAAGTTGTCAAAGAGCGCAAAGTTGGCCCATGAGCCTCCCTAGACAGTTTAATGATCTGTGGTCTGTTACGTCAGTCCATTTTCATATCTGTTAAACAGATTTCCGACTTATTGTAACGTTTATAACTCACCTAGGTACCTTAGGTACCTAAGATAGAGATAAATAGACGTCGTAAAGATTACTCCTTTCCATGTCTTATAAGCTTGTAGCAGTTTGACACCAAAACCACGATTCATAAACGTAAGTCATTCGATATATGTTTTCACTCTTATGCCTTATGTTTCAGTTAATACGTGGCATGGCTATATTTCCTCTAATATGTCATCTTCTTCTTATCTAACTCAGTTCACATGCATAAACATGAGATATAAATACAGGGCTGGTCGTCCAACCTTCGATCCATCCTCCAGCATATCATACTATACCTTCTAGTACCATACGTACCAGGAACTCAAATTCAATCGGAAAGACTTAGCATCACTCAGCATTCTTCACGAGAAGTAAAGAACCATGTATTCCACTCCACAGCCTCGACCGATGTCCTCAGAAAAACTACCTCGACGAGGAGCAGACGATGTCATCTTCCAACACAAAGTATCTGAACAAAGCAGGAAAGTAACATACCGTTGGACTGAACAGCAGTCTCGAATATTCTGGGAGCATGTCCAAGAGTTCCCAGATTATTATGCAGAGAACATCGACGTGCTTTTAAAGAGACTGGATCTTGACGGCTACGAGGGAATCGAAACCAAGAAAGGCATTAAGTTCAAGAAGGAGGTATTGATTCCGAAGGTGCTGTCAAAGCTTAGTGATGTGGTTCTTGACACTGAAAAATATAGAAAATTCAAACCTAACGGAGACGAGTAAGTATTCAAATGAACCGTTATGACGGATTCTGGCCGCCTCTGAAACTACGTCCGAGATAACTTCGGAAGCTGATCACTATTCCAGGAATGCTTCATCTGATGAATCCCCGAATTTACCTGCTCAAGTGGAGGATCGTCATCCCCCTATGTCCCTCTCTAATTTTCCACAAGGACGTGCCGAGCCCGGTCATACTCAACATGGTGCAGCTAAGTCAGGTAGCACACTCGGGCTTGAGAACATATCTCAGAACTTGCACAACAACAGAGAGTCCGCAACCACAACCAGCCCGCTTGAAGATATAGTAAACCACTTGGAGGATTTTATCGAGAATCTCAAGAACGGGAACGGCAGCAAGGGATTTGCCCAGCAAGGATATTCTCGCAGATACCGTAGTGTTTCGGATGATAACACCGAGTTTTCTGATTACGATAACTATTAAGAGACGTACGCTTAAGACGGGGGCCATCATGGAAAACAAAGTGAAACGACAAAAAAAATAGTAAAATAAAAAAGAAAGAGAAAAAAGAAGAAAAAGAAAGGGGCGTAGGACTTACTTCTGTCCGTTCATTCATTTACACATATCTCAACAATTGGTGTCCTAGCTTTACCAGGTTCTTACATGTCGCTCATTTTCGTTTAGTAACTCGGTCGGTATATTTGATTATAGATTAGTATCTCAATATACTTAAAATCCACAAATCTAATCTGTTCAGTACCTAGTTTATTCATATTATCTCGTATAGTGTTGACGTCTTTTATACTACATGATATTAGTACGTACCTGACATTACGACGCCTTAGGTAATAATGCAATAACCTTGCCTAAAGTAACAGAGATTCAGATATCACAAAACAGAACCCATAGAAAGCTATCTTAAGTTGTAAGCAGTTCCATGAAGCGTCGAGAATATGGTTGGTGTATTAAAGAGCAATAGGTGCGACTTTTGTAGGTGGCGGAAGACCAAAGTACGTGACTTATGTATTCCAGTTACATTTATACCCGCCAATTATATCATGTGCATACGATTTAAGGCCAATTAAATATTGAAGTCTTTTCTTATATTGTGTTCGGCTGACTTACATATATACTGTCGGTAAAAGGCGTTGATCAGATTTCTCACTGTAATGGGATATACACCGTCATGATGGAAAGGGGGGGGGGGGCTGAGCCAAGAGATAGATAATCTTAGCTGCCAGCTCATGCTAGATTCCTTCAGCTTCATGGTAGTTACCTAATCAACAGCTAGGTCTTATTGAATCTGATTACTTGGCGCAGCTAACATATGTAATAGTTTAGGTTTCTAGCAAGAGGCGAAATCAACAACTTTTTCATGCACCTCACCTGGGAGAATGCACTTGTAAGCTTGTTCGACCAACACGTGAAGCAAACACCTAATATCGGGCTATTTCCGAGTCGCCTTTAATGAATGGCATTCTATGGCATTGTATCACTATCCAATCATGAATTTACCATTTCTTTCGGCCGATGTTGACTTGGGTCTAATATTCAAGCAGTTTTAGGTTAGGTACACAACGGTGTCGAGAATAAAAGGCCACAGTCTGCCTGGCTACCCAAGTCACTAAATAAGAACCTGTCGGTAGAGGATATGAGGTAGATAGAAATCTTAGCTTAGGCCGAAAAAAAAACGAAAAGAAAACCTTACCTATTCCTTGCACAGACATCTGGCGTCTCTGTCTAGACACGACCGCCGACGGGATTTGTCTTGGAGCTTCCAACGATTTCGACCTGCAAAAGCCCTAACTGGAGATGTCTATGTAGATACCAACAGATAATCAAAGTCACCTTCAACCGCCTCCATTTACAGTAATCCGAAGCAATCCTTTGGCTTGGCTATCGTATGCGTCAAGACTACCTACCTACCTAAGGTAAGCACAAGCACGACAGCGGACTTTGGCGGCCAAAACTCGGCCGACATCAAGCTCCAAGCCGGAATCCTCCCCCCAGCGTTGACGAACGACATCTCGACAGCGCATAGGTAAGGTAAGGTAAGCTCCAGGTACGCTGCTGCATCGGATGGCACGGGAGAATGCAAGGAACCCGGCTTACGAGATGTCATGTCATGTCAATTTATAGGATTATGTACAATGCGGACAAACTACTAACAAATAGTAATAGTAAGCTACCTCTGAAGATCCTTAGGACTGAGGATGCTATTCTACCTCCTAAGGTTAGGCATTCTCGATTCTGCCACACCGCTCCTGCGGGGCACCTAATGCAAAAGGCAAGGTCTCGGGTGCTGAAGAATTGGAATGCCGGCAGGTAAAATGGAGTTTTACTTTACAAGCCGAAGGACGAACAAACGAACTCGGCAATTAAGAGAAATCTTTTTTTTTTTTTTTTTTTTTTTTTTTGGAGTTAGACTTGACTCAACTTGAGGCTGCTGCAGGACGGGATCACGTTCCGTATACATCCAGGTACTACTAATAATCGAGGAACCAGGGGAGGTCAAGTTTGGAATAGGTTAGGGCTAAAAAAAAGAACCCAAGTCCAAGGTTGGTTGTTCTTCAACTGCCTTTCGATCCTTGCCCGCATCATGTATAATTGCCGATTATATAGGGGATGTTAGCTAAGTGTCTTCTTGACTCTTGACTCTTGTTTAAGGAGAGAAGGAAAAGTTGCAATTTATTCATTTTAGGGAATAGATAGTTAGGATTGCACTGTGCTATTATTCTCTATATGTTCTAGTGTTGGAGACATAATGGTATCGCTTCTACCTTAGGTACTCACATTATGGTTCACTTTATGTTGCTTTAGGTTAGGTGTAGGAGGTAGGTAGGTACATACATAACCTATATTGTACAGTTATTACTGAACATAAGAGCATTATCATTCAAACCAGCTCTTAACATTTGAAGCGGTAACTACTAGAACTTAATACTGTATGCTAGGGCACCCGGCCGGCCCGGTACCTGGTTAGAGGTAGGTAGCTTATACGCACGCTTCGGGTGCCCCCATGCAATCCTTTCCAACAGCATCTGTCCAAAATACGAGGTGTCATTTTTTTATACTCTTCTTGCATATGACTATTAGATGCACGAAGGTTAATCACACTTCCGCGGATACGCTTGTCCGGGTTCCTAATGGCTCTCGTTGAGCCACGACGAAATTTTGATAGGGGGACGGTTGAGGTAAAAGCCCGCTAGACGCTTTGACCTTTGTTTACCGAAGCCCTTATTGGTTCATACATGGATTATATATGGCTAGGTATACGAAGTACATGGATTCGTATGCGCATCGTCATGTCGTCATGTGACTTTTGGCCTATCTCGCGGCGGCGGCGGCGGCGGCGGCGGCTTGACGCTTTGACGCCTCACGTTTGTGTTTCTTCACCGATTTTTAGACATTCCAAGAATGTAGCATGCCAAGTGCTTGCTATTATTAGATACAATAATATATGAAATATAGAGAAAGGAAAATTCGTATCAATATTATTCATTTAACCCCCTTCCCAACTCAAAACCTCATTCACTCCCACTACATATTTTACACTGCCGTACTCTTTGCTACAACTGCTTCAGCAATACCCGCGATGGACACTCCACCCATGATTTCAAAAACACCCACTGGGGAGCTGAATTCTCTGTTAATCCAGTTCCTCACCTGCACAGCCATGAGCGAATCGACACCGTATGCCGATAGTGGCTTGCTCGGTTCGACGTCCTCAGGTGCTATAGACATGGCCCGCGCTAGTTTGGACGCCAGTGTTAACAACACAACCTGAACGCGCTCTTCTGAGTCTTTCGCCTGATTGAATAGGGCTGCTGCTTGTTGGTCGGGGGCTAACTGGCTGCTGGTGCTTGTATTGTCCGAGCCTGACCCGGAGCCGACGACCCATGAAAAAGCAGCGTAGAGTGGTCGGTCTAGGATAGCCGCCGGTGTTCGGCCCTGGGCTAGGGCATCAGCAGGTGTGCGTAGACCGAATAAGACCTGACTTGTCGGTAGTTCTTTAGTCGGATCACAGCCTAATGTCAACAAGGCAAATAGCTCCGTGTCGTCAGTCTGTTGCATGTCATCAGCTTCCTGGCGTCGGCGTTGATAAGCGCCAATCTCGGAGATTTGGCCAACATTGCGCATCCAGCCGAGGTCAATCGACAGCGCTTTTTGGCCTTGTGCCCTGCGGTAAGCGGCGAGCGCATCCTGGAATGAGCAACCACCAGCGTAGTTGGAGCTTGCCATTTGGCCGTTGATGCCAGCAAGGGAGGAGAGCAAGATGAAAAAGTCTAGATCCTTGGGTAGAAGACGATGCAAGTTCCACGCCGTTGCGACCTTGGACCGGATCGGGAGCTTCCACTGCTCGTACGTCATGCTACTCTGGAAGATAGCATCTTGGAGGACCACAGCAGCGTCAATGCATCCCTTGATTGGCGGCATGATGTGGGAGCTCTCTTCTAGCACGTAAGCCAGACTGACTTCCGACGACACGTCACACCTTGGTGCGTATACATTAACACCACGAGCCCGCAGTTCTGCAACTGTCTCAGCGGCGGCCTTGGACTTCGCACCTGATCTAGAGGGAATAATCAGGTGCTTAGCACCTCTATCAGCCATCCATCGAGTAATTGCTCGGCCGACACCACCAGATCCTCCAGCGATCAGGTATGACGCATTTTCGTCAAACCTCCACGAGCGTTGCTCTTTTATGAATTGCTATGATTCACACACGTTAGCCTAGTAAACAGCTCAATTGGGGATAGGGATTCTTGATGGATTTTTCAAAGTTGAACTTACCTGCACCACCTCCTCGGGTGTTGGTCGAATGATAACGCGGCCAATCTCTTCTTCCTGCAGCTCCTTGAATGCCTGCTGGATATCGTTTACTTCGAATGTGCGCAAAGGCTGAGGCTGCTGAATACTGTCTTCGCCCAGCAGCTGTATTGTGTTTTGAAGCAGCTGAGCTGTAGCTCTAGGCTTCAAGCGCGTAATATCGACCGCCGAGAATGTAATGTTCTTTGCAAATAGCGCTATGGGCAGCGTAGCGCTCGCCGTCATGTTTGCCCGGCCGATCTCGAGAAAATGTCCATTGGGAGCTATGCATTCAGACGAAGCCTGTAGTTCATCACTACCTGCCAGTGAGTTCCAAACAATATCGACGCCATATCCTCGTGTGGCCCGCATTACTCCCTTTCCAAACAAGGTGTTTTGGCCGTAGAAGATACGGTTCTCCGGAATACCGTAAGTCTTCACCAAAAATTGCTTCGCTTCGGGCGATAGCGCGGTAGCATATATGTCGGCGCCTTGCTTCTTAGCAACTTGGATGGCTAACTGGCCCATGCTATCGGCAGCTGAGTGGATAAGGATCTTATCACCCTGTTGTATCCGGGCGATCTCGACAAGAGCGTGGTACGCTACCATACCTGGGACGAGTATAGAGGTGACGAGTTCGAAGGATAACGAATCGGGCAGTTTGAACACACTTGTTTCCAAAGCGCGAGGGAACTTACGGATGCAGCCGGATTTCACCATACAGACACGATCTCCGGGTCTAACTGAGGTGCAGGCACGGCCAACCCGAGTGACAACGCCGGCACAATCGGCTCCTAGTGACTCGTCGTTACCTTCTTGGTTTCCCAGCGCCACTTGAACGTCCTGGCTCCTCAGTCCCCAAGCCTTTGCCTCGATCTCAACCTCGTAGGCCGCAATATCGGTCACGTATTCGTTGTCCATGACGAATTGCAAAGAGTCGAGACTGTTGCCACCGTTTGTTGAGAGCTGTACGGCAGGTGCCTCTGCCCAGGACCTCTGTCGTTGTTGTGGGTAGAGGAGGGATCGCATCGTGTCGTTTCCTTCCACATCTTCAACAGCCCGACCGGTCAAGAGCAAACCATCTCTGACGATATACTCGAGCTCTTTCGACGATGAATTAAAAGAAGCCTGGAAAGCCTTGGAAATGAAAGAAGAGCACTTCGCTACGTCTTTTTCGTTCTCGATAGCAATAGTCACAATGTGGCTATCAGGTTGCTCAGCTCGGATAGACCGTATAAAGCCCTGGACAAAGCTGTGGTCTGGATACTGCGCGTCATCGGTGCTTGTCGCTGTAGCCCAGAGGAGTTGAGGTGCCTTCTTAATTATTGTCTTGAGGCACATAAAGCCTTCCTCGGAAAGGCTTGTAAGCAGAGGTCTATTATTGACCTCAGCAAGAGAAACGACAACATCATTCTCAGTCAGGCCTTCTAGTTCTTTAGAAAGCTCATCCAAGGCAAATGCACAGACACTTGTCTTTCGGTCACCTTTGGGGTTAATGCTGCTGCGCACTGCATCCGCCAGCTGCTGTTGAACATCGCCGTGTCCTTTCTTGTCTGTGACAAGGACAAGTCGACCAGGCTTTGTTGTCGATTGAGTTGTCTCTTCAGCTTCTACCGCTGTAGACACGATGGTACTCATCACATGGCAGACGTCACTCTGGTAGTCGCGCATGATCATGTCGTTCCCTGAGAAGCCATTGGCTCGCAAGCATCTATCCCAGATGTTCTCTGGTACAGCTGGAGAATGAGGACGCCATTCCTCACGAGCGACCCAGAAGCCGGGTACAAGGCCGGCCATGAAGTTGATAATAATCTCGGCTGGGTTGATAACCTCGATTAGGACGAGACGACCACCGGGCTTTAAAGCCCCGCGAATGTGGCGGATGGCACGCTCTAGGTCAGGGGTAGCGTGCACAACACTAGCGGCAAAAACTAAATCATAAGAGCCAGGCTCGAAACCTTGGGTGCTTATATCGTAGTCCATGTCGAAGGTCTTGAAGTTCATACGGCTCTGGAGCTCCGGCCACCTTTTACTCGCCCTCTCGAAGAAGGCGGGTGAGATATCCGTGTATGTGTAATGGCCAAAGCTGGGCGCTCCATATCGCTTCTCACGCTCCTGCAACATCTTCAGCACGTGCCCCGTCATACCTCCCGTCCCGGCGCCGACCTCCATGATACGCAGCGCGGGGTTCTCGTGCGAAGCTATATCCAATAATGCAGCAAATCGACCATCATTGCAAAGGTCTTGGAACAGGTCAGCGTAGAAGCTGTCGGCCAGCCCTGAACCAAACACGACCTGGAGCGGGTCAATCTCTCCCTGCAACATGTCTACGATCTTGCGCGCGCATGCGGTATACAACTTCCACGATGGAAGAACAGTTTCGACTTCGCACAGGTGGACCTCGAGTTCAGCGTCGTTAATGTTCTTGATTTCTTCTTGCTGCAATGGCGTGAGACTTCTAACGTGGTGTTCCATCCATTCGACGTGGCGACGTAGGCTATCAGGCACTTTGGTGTAGTCTAAGCGTTTAAGAGCGTGGCCAACAACGAGGTCCAAGGTGGAACGCATTTTGGAATAGCTCGATATGAGGGTAGTTTCGTCCCTTGGGAAGTTATTAGCGCCGCATACAAGTGCTAGCTGCTCGCGGTCCAGCAAGCTCATCTGGGGTTTCCAGTCAACATTGTATAGGATCTTCTTCTCTTTGTTTCCCGCGGCGTTGGACATGGCTACCGTCTTAGCCTCGCCTATGGTGCACAGGACGGTCCCGTCGTCAGCTAGAGCAGCTAGGCTGCCCTGCTCTCCATGACCAACGGCTTGCCACCCACTCAAGGTGGATGTCGATGCTGCCATCCACCGGACCCAACTTGTTTGCGGATGCTGCCAACCTACAGCTGAAAACCAGGCATTCGACAAGCGCTTAGGAACGTTCAAGGTTGGCTGCTGGCCTCCACTAACTCGTAGCGCCATGAAACCTGCGTCTAGCACTACCGGGTGCACCAGGCTGCGAGTCTGATATTTCGGTTTAGAAACATCAACGCGCGCGAGAGCCTTTGCCTTTCCATCCCAATGAACATCCTGTGTCTGTTGAAACCATTCTCCAAATTGGAATCCTAAGTCAGCGGCTTCACGGATCATAACTTGCGAATCTAAAGGCCGGTCGCATTCGTCCACAGCATCGTTATATCGGATTCGAACGGTTTCGTCAGCCAGCATTCTTTCTTTCTCATCCAACCCCGAGGCATCGCGGAACGCTGCTTGAATACTTGCACGGAAGGACTCGGTCCATTGGCCACGCGTATACGAGTATATCGTCGCGTCGAACCATGCCGATGCATCCTTCTCGCTTGCTTGCCTCTTTCTTGGCCTTAGGTGAAGCTGTGTCTCCGTGCGATCTTCCCAATCTTCCGGCACTATGATGGCGCTTATGAATTCCGCCTTTTCGAAAAGATAACCGTTCACCACGCGATTTTGGGGCACTACATGTTGTACAGCTTCTATGGCCATAACGAGCATGCCCGCCGCCGGGAAAAGCACCGTTCCACCCACCTAAACATGAGTTTATTAGTATTAACCAACGCAAACATTTAATGGTTTTCATCTCCCCGTCGTAGGCCATAACATACCTTGTGGTGTCCAATCCATGGAGAGGTTTCAACGCTCCAAAAGTTCCTCCAGCGCGGTTCCAGAGGGTTCCAATCTGATACCCGTACTCCGAGCAGCTCTCCCTGAACAGGTTCGCGAAGCCTATAATCTCGGCATATCCGCGATTCGGACCAGTATCTTTGCGAATGGTTGAAGGGGTATTCAGGGCAGTCGACAAGGAATGGCAACTTCTCAGCTGACTGCTGGTTGGCTGACGTTATTGAAACGTCATGTCCGAAGCTGTACAGCTGCCCTACCAGCTCCAGCATAGTCTGAAGAGCTGGCTGGGACCTATGTAGAGGATTCACATAACGAATCTTCTTGCCTAGAGTATCTTGCACTGGTCGACGTAGAGCAGGGTGAGGGCCAACCTCGATTAGGTCTGTGACCTTCATGTTGGACAGTTCCTGGTTCAGGAGGGTTAGAGCATCCGCGAACCGAACTTTATTGACCATGTTGTCGACCCAGTACTGCGCTGTAGCTAATACAGCCGGAATAACAGCCTCTCCCGTAACCGACGAGATCATGAGAATTTGGGCCGGAGCTTTAACATCTTGGCTGTCTTTGCCTTCAAGGCTTCCCATTTGCGAACGATATTCATCGGCAATGGCTTGCATTGAGCTAGAGTGATACGCAACTCCAGTCTTGAGCTTCTGCGCAAACACTCCGTCCTCGTCGGCTTGAGTTTTGATTAAATCAATATCCGCTTCACGGCCTGATAATGTGCAGTTAGCTGGACTGTTGACACAAGCAACGCAAACCGAGTCGCCCATCCCCGCCGCCTTGACTTTCTCTAAATACTTTGGAACTTCGCTCTCTGCCAAGTTAATAGACATCATGGCACCTGGAGAACTAGAGTTTTCGTCCTTAAGCTTTCCAGCAAGTTGCCCTCTGTAGTAAGCGACTTTGCAGGCAGAATGTAAGGACAGAGCACCAATGGCGTAGCTATTAGTCTCAACCGGGTCAGTCAAACAGATCGAGATTTTGCTAGTTAAAGATAATGGAGTTTTTCAGGGGTCACATACGCTGCAGGAATTTCACCTGAAGAGTGGCCAATTACGGCTCGGGGCCTAATTCCAAAGCTGCTGAGCAACTCTACAAGGGCGATTTGGACCGCAGTAGACAACGGTTGGCTGTATTCAGGCTTATTGATATTAGCACTGGAGCGTAGCTCATCTGTCAAAATCAACAGGTCAGTTTCATCGCGCTTTCGAAGTTTATCGGATATAGCATCGCTATTTTCCTTACCGAAGATCGACCATTTGCATCCCAAGCTCTCATAAATGCTGTTAATCTGCCGCAACGTATCCGCGAATACGGGATATTGGATTAGATCCCAACCCATGTCGACGTATTGTGCTCCCTGGCCAGTAAACACAAAGCCTAGCCCTGCCTGAGATGCGCTTCGCACAGGCTTGGAGAACGATAATTTCTTCCCAGTTTTACCCTCGCCTTCGTCCACGGCAAAAGTCCTCCACAACATCTGGCTTCGTCGGACAGCCAGCGTATAGGCTAAGCGGTCAAGTTTAGTCGGGCTTCTGGAAACATTCTTCTCATAAAACGCCTGATAAGCATCCATCATACGTTTAGCGGCCTTCTCATCTGCGGCTGACCACACCAATAATTTAGGCAAGCTGTGCTCATGTTCACGCGGTGCCACGGAACCATTCAAGAGGGAATCTATGCTGTTGATAGAAACTCTTTTGTTGAAATGGTTTGTTCCGTTCGTGTAGTTCGCCCCATTACCATTAGTCGGTGCGTCAATAAGGGCTGTTCCATTAGTATGAACAGCACCGTTACCGTTGCTACCAGCTTTGCCGTTTGCTAACAAACTTGCAGGGCTAGGCAATTTCTTCAGCGTGCTCCCAGGAATGGCAGCAGTATGATGGTTTCCGGCCAAGTTATGTTGCTGCAGGTAATTAAAGGCATCATCTAAAATAACGTGTGTGTTAGCACCACCGAACCCGAATGAATTGACCGATATCCGGCGCAAGCCCGAGTCTGGCCATACTATCGTTTGAGTAGGAACCTTTAATTATCCTGTCAGCATGCGAGCCTATTTCCAAACTTCATCCATAGATACGTACCGCAGTATGGTAGAAATCCGCATCGATAGCGGGGTTCATCTTCTCGAAGAGAGGATTAGGAGGGATAACACCCTTCTCTAGAATTACTGCAGACATCATTAGTACCGTATCATGGAAAGGGACCATGGGGTAAGAATTACAAATCGACTTTACGATTCCAGCGAGGCCACTGGCTCCTTCGAGATGTCCGACGGTTGCTTTTACGCTACCACTGTTGGATTATTCAAGTTAGAGCGTCCAAAAAAGATATCAGAACAAAGGACGTTCAAGGTTTCGATTCACATACACGTAGAGAGGTTCTTCAGCCGATCGGTATTCTCGAAAGACCCGGCCTAAGGCTTTCATCTCAATCGGGTCACCCACAGGCGTACCGGTTCCTAATGTTTTTCCACGTTAGGATGTTTAACTATCACAACGACAAATATGCCTACTCACCGTGAGCCTCAACATAGCGGGTTTGGTCGAAAGATAAATTAGCCTGCCGATACACATGACGAATCAAGTCCTCTTGTGCTTGAGAACTAGGCTGGGTTAATATCGGTGTATACCCATCTTGGTTCGACCCTGTAGATCGGATCACAGCACGGATCATATCCCCGTCACGAACAGCAGAAGAGACGGGTTTGAGCACCAGGGCAATGACACCCTCTCCTCTTGCGTAGCCATTTGCGCGGTGATCGAAACTACGGCACACGCCATCCGGAGATAAGAAATTCTGATCAGATAATAGCTGGACAATCGACGGATCGAGAAGAAAGTTGGCGCTCGTAACAAGAGCCTTTTGAACGTAATTGTTAGCTTGGCATATAACCATAACTCAAGGTAGGAGGTGTCACTTACGCATTCGGCATCGCCGCTCTGAATAGTTTTGCAGGCTATGTCAACAGCCGCCAAGCTACTCGAACATGCAGTATTAACATGGATACTAGGGCCATGCAGGTCAAAATACCAGCTGACACGATTTGCGATCACAGAAGCGACTAAGCTCCCGGTAAGGGCCGTGCGCTCGATATTATCGGGATCCACGGTTACCATCCTAGTATAGTCTTCTAACATGGAGGCGGAGAAAACTGCAGTGCGCGACCCCCTGATCTTCTCGGCCGGGATTCCCGCTGCGGATATCATAGTCAGTTCATGCCGGTTCCCGTTTAAGTTCGGATCGTGCCCTTACCATTTTCAAGTGCATGGTAAGATGCCTCCAGGGTCCACCGCTGCATGGGGTCCATAGATGCCGCCTCCTTCGCCGTGACGGAGAAGAACGGCGCATCGAAAGCCCCCACATCTTTATTGAGGAAGTGCGCACCTCGGCCTTGGAACTGTAGCGATGATAAGTATACAGCATAAAGACTATACGGACCGGACGCAGGACTTACCTTGTGGCGCGGGTTATCCAAGAAAGAATCGGTCTTCACACGCGATTCTGGCCATTTTGTCATGAGGTTCCGCTTGTTCTCCAGGATATTCCAGAACGAAGCGTCGTCGTCTGCATCCTGGGGTAGCTTAAAGGAAAGGCCCACGATGGCAACATCCCCAGGTCCTGACGCTTCCGTCAACGACCGGGCGCTTGATGTGCTTGATCTGTCTGTATGTTCGGACGCCATGTTATCGCAAGCGTATTAGTATTAGAGTATTAAGAAGGCGATATATGAGATCGTGACCTGCAAAGCTATTCGAAGTATGACGGCGCAGAACGGAAAGGATTTCGAGAAGGGAACAAAGCGTACTTGAGCCGTGTTAACATCAATGGTCTGGTCTGGTCAACCTTCGTCTTTTACCACAGCCGAACTCACCGCTTCTTTGGCCATAAATATAGGCGAATCTCGAGGACTTCCCAGTCCCCTGGCTAGGGACTTCCATTCAGGGTTTGACGCACATAGGTGAAGAGATTACCAACATTTGGGGGTACCACCTGGGATACTTTGACCACGCTATAGATCAGTGGAGCTATAATAGGGTTACTGTACCGTACTCGTACTAGAATCATCCATATTGGCGTTAGAATGGATCCGTCTGAATGCAGAGTCCCCGCAACTCGGGAAGCCGAGCGGTTTGCCATACTCTCGGCGCGCAAGGGACATCGACGAGTAACCCATAAGCCTATGCATCATTGCGGAGCTCCATATGTAGCTTGCAAGTGTTCGTCTTCCACCTGTCCGCCGATAAGGTAAGGGGTTGGCCCCTCGATCCGCGTACTACTATGTAGACCCAGGCCTTAACCCAGGTATTACTGCGCATGCAGGCATACAACATGCCCTGGGCAAACTACCTAGGTAGTCGCCGTGTCGGCTTCTACTCTTCTCCACTATGTCGTATACGGCCCGGATCGCTAAGGTCAAGTGTTTCCCGACCGTTGCTAAAACTTTCACACTCGGATGTGACACCCCAGTCAAAAATTGGGAAATACCCGAGTTCCACGAATTGACGATCCTCTTGGGTTGCTACGTTGGTGGAGGGTATCAGGGAAGATAGACATTGCTATACACAATGAATGGCTATAACACAATGATACCGTAGTAGAGAGCCTCAATGGCATCAACGGCACAACACATCATGCCGTGTAAGACGACTTTGGTTGACGTACGGTGTGAGGACACGAGATATAATTGACGTAAGCCAACACCCTAGTCGAGAGGAGGATCTGGGTACAAAAGTGATACATAATACATGTAATTCTCACTTGAATCCACAGGTGCAAGGTTGCATTCGCAGTAGGTAGTAGTATCTCCTCCGGGCTTGACCCAAAGCTTAAGAGATTATTGACGATTGGAAATAGCAGGGGGGAAATGGTGGGGGGTGAGAGGGGGCCATTGAGAGACAAATCGTAAGTACTACTTACTAGGTACTTAATACCTACCTACATTGGTAGTTATACCAGGTAGGTATATTAGAAAGAAAGCTTAGTTGGCATTAGGCTTATTTTGGCATGGCTTTAGAACGATGAGCTACCTGGGCAAGAAGGATGAGAATTTTCCATGCGTGTCACGTTATAAGAGATCCATCCCTACCGCAGTAGTTTGTGGTCAAAATCATCGGGACAGGGGTAAGTAATTTGTAAGATAATCTACCAATAATATTCTGTACTACCATAGCTGGTCCAATTCAGTCTGGATGTAATTCTACTAGTACCTAAGTTTGTAGGTAAGTTACATAACTTTATACCTGTCTATGTTAAATGGGATATCTTGAAACAGAATTACCTAAGGCTTACCTTAGGTAGAAAATAATCTACAGTATAATTTACCGCAGCCAGTAGAAATTCGGACATAACAACGCGCGTGCTACCCCTGACCTCACAAGTATTGTGCTCTACAATCAATCAAAAAAAAAAGCATAAGGGATTTTACCCGGCAATTACTAGGTAAATACTGTCGTACTACGCGGGTGCGGGAACGAAGCTCCACCCTTTATTAACATGGACATCCATAACTTCCAATAGTACCATATTCTCTTCCTTTTCCACTTAATCTTCCATACTATGTAAGCATATCCTATCCTTTACCCATCACGCTTGCATTGCTATGTAGCAGAAAATTGCATCTTCCTATCAACCTATTATAAAAGCACCTTGTTAGCGTTACCTCAAAACGCTCATTTTAGAAGCCTATAGCCCGGTTTGCTAGTCATCTGATGTCGATAGCCTAGACGCTAGATAATTAACATGAGGATGCTCACCAAGGATTTTGTTTGCCTAATTTGGGTAACGAGGTTTCGAAAGACAATATCAAGAAACGAGGAAAGTTAATAGCATCCTTACCAGGTATGTACGGTAAATTGAGCGTTACCTAGGAAGGTTAGGCAGAGGTAAGCATACCATATAGTATGTACACATTAAACCCGAAATTTCGGGCGAGTGGTGATAACCTTCCCGGTACTTCATAAGCTAGCTACGGGCTATGTAGGTGGCAGGCCGGGGAGCGTCTACCCGATGTGACGTATAGCAACAAAATGCCACCTACCTCTATGTAGGTACTCCGGAGCTGCACATGCATTGCATCAATGACATAGGTACCTATCATTCATACATATACCAGGTACCTACATACCTTAGGTAGGCATGTAGGATTATGTTAGGTACCTTAGGAGGTAGGCATGTACGTAAGAACCGGGAAATGCGCGTCGCATCGCATCCTTCACGAGGACCCCAAAATTTCATGAGTTACCTAGGACATATACCAGGTGCAGCTTGCATTAGCGCATGCAGAAAGATTCCTATGATAGTACCAGGTTTTTTTTTAAAAAAAAAAAAAAATAAAAAAAAGTACATGCCTTTGGGTATGTACTTGAAAAGAAATAATCAGACCATGATAGGTATGATTGGGCTTCTACTTTTTGATATTTTAGAATGAGCAGCTTAGGTAAGGTATATATGGTAAGGTTAGGTACCTACAGGTTGGTATCGTCATCCGAACAGGTTCCGCTCCTTGCGTCCCGGGCGTCTTTACAATCAGGGGCCGTTGCGGTAGGTGCACAACAGCAGCCGCGTCACACAAGAAACAATGCGTAGAGCCGCCACTTCCAACACCTATCCCTACATGCTATATCTGAGGTAAGTGCACTTGAATACCGAACAAACGTGAGTAACAGAATACCTTAAGTTAGGTACATAAGTATAGGAGGTACATAGAGTACCTAGGTATTTCAGTCTTATCACTTACCTAACACCTACACCTACCTAGGTAAGTACCTACACCTAATACCTATCATATCATTCTAGCTTCGAGGATTCTATACAATACAGCCCCCAACCTATCAACCCTCACGAAACGCCTAGTTCGAACTTCAAAGGCGAATATCAATACAAGGTTCCCCTGCACAACTAGTCTCACTGTCTTATCCACGTGCTCCGTGGAACCCGACTCCGTTGTCAAGATCCAAAATAAACCCCATCCGAGACATGAGGCACAGGTACCTCAATCACCGTTACATACCCCACGCGATATCATACACGCCGCTCATTCCGGTATTCATGCCCGACGGGGAGCCCTGGCTAATCGCGATTCGCGTCATGCAGAAGATAGTCGAAAAATAGTCGGAAAATAGTCGAGCACGACTACATTTGTGGACGGTGCTCGCTAGATCTAATTCCCCCTCACATCACCTCATTTCGCGTTTGCCGTACGTATGTATGCTAAAGGTTCCCTGAGATCCAGAGATATTTTGACTCCTCAACCATCTCCAGACATCTGCTTCGGTATGGAGACTACGCCAGATAACGAAGAGCCCACCTGCCATTTTGGCCGTCAACCGCAGCACCGGTGGCGCTAGCCTGCATCTTCAGTATTAACTACCTAGACAATCCAAAAAGGCAATGATATGAGGTTCAGATCAAACTTTCATCGAGCCCATATCAAGAACAAAATGTTCAAGATCCCAAGCCTCCTTTGACACGTCAGCTAGAACTCCCTGACTATACGTTGCGGTAAAGGGGGGGAACACGTACATTTAGCCATGGTGATATCCCCCAAGTAGCTGAATGTAGGCTATATCGAGGATTCACCGCAATTATAACCACGATTCCCGTCGAAATCTGTAAAAAGATCACAATGAAGAACCCCACCAGAAACAATTCGACAGCTGGCTACCATTAGGCGCAAAGATTCGCCACCGCTCGATCGAGACAACCAACAGACACCGAGAATATGAGTCCACTAAGCGTGGGTCAGGTTTTTTTTGTTTTCTTTCCCCATCTCAGAATTTGAAAACTTTTAGGTAAGTTGCTCATACAAAAGAAGATCCCGCAGACAAATGTCCTATTGATGTTTAAAATGTTAAATGTTTCGATTATGTCGATTAGCACATCAACTGTTCCCCAATACAAACCTTGGTTTATCTATTAGAGGGAACCATAAAACTACAACACATCATTCTGACAGTTGATACAGGTGAGCAACCAACATGAACTATAAAGATCAATACTAAGATTGAAGTTAGGTTAGTAAATGTCAACGTGTAAAGCCTCCTTTCAAGAGCAAGCAACCTGAGAGATAAATGGTAGAAGCTGAAAAGATTGAGCATAACAGGATATATTCTTTCTTCACATCGCACTTGATGACGAGGTATACCTAGGTTCCCATAACTTCGAGGCTATAAGGAAAAGTGCAATATAAACAATATCCGCAAAGTTGGCGATATCTGTGAGGGGATTATTGTTCGGAGGATTATCTAGGTAAGTTGGAGGTTATACCAAGCAGCCCCTTGAAGGGTAGGTTAGGTTAGGTAGGTTCGTCAATGTCTACGGCCGATTTTTTTGTTGAAATACCTAACAAGGCCCGGGCTCTCTGTTCCGCATGTCTCAAGTTTAATTCAACCGTCCCTACCAAAATTAGATCTCGGAAAGCGGATCCGAAATGAACCTCATTAAAGCTACCTATCTATAACAGAAATCCAGATATACTTCATACGAGAACCATCTTTTGGATGTCATGACTGATTGATATACAAACAAGGTCGGTACGCAGTCTCATTGAACAATCCTAGCATCTATACTTACTTCGCTCATAGAAAATAACCCCAGTTTTTGGCTGCCATTCTGCAGTTCAGTTTGACACATCGAAAAGTCGAACAGGGGTTTTCATGCAAGGGGCATTTGAAACCCCTCGAATCAAATGCGACAAATCAGTTATAATTCTCCATTCGCTACCAAATAAAGTCCGGTTAAGTTCACGGCGCAGACACATTTTTACATGACAGAAGAACGAAAGAGAATGTCCGAGATATATAATTCTCCTAAAGCCCACGCTAAATGCCTACCATCGAAGTTATCTAGAAAGAACAATACTTCCAACCGTCGGACACTTTCGAAGTTCGCAATTCACTAACCATCCATGGCAGTTGGTATGACTGTTGTGACTGGGAACCCTGGGAAGATCAAAGTCATCATGGCATTACGATACCGCCTCTCTGAGTAGGAAGTGGGCCAAACAAGTCGGTTCGAGGGAGCTCTATCCTTGGCTTGGTCAAAACTCAGTACTTGCCCCTCTTAGGCACATCCGCGTGTTCTCTTGATCCTCACCGGCTATATTTTGGCTGCAATCATACTCTACCTGGGTAGTTTTCGATTTATATATAAAACCCCCTTAGGCCCGCTGATTAATAACTCCGCGAATGTAGGATCTTTAGATATTACAACAACAGGTACCTAGGCTTTTGGAGGCGAAAGCAATAAAAGGGCACATTCGGACGAATTTGACGCCTGTAGCATATAAAAGCATCAAGCTACCAAACCACCAAGCTTACCTTAGGGTATTATTTACGGTACCTGCAGATACCTATTTTATTTAGTTGCATTCCCATTTGACAAATCAATTTTCGTGCCACACCTACTTCCTGTAGTGCTCCCATGCCAAAGCAAATCATTTACCAGCTTCACCCAAACGGCTGGGAGAATGACCCAGAAGTGGAAATACGAAAAGTAACCACACTCGACTATTTAGCAGCTTGCGTTTACACGAATTATGCCGCATTCTTTAGATTGGATGACGATAAGAAGCAATTGGCAGCCTCGGCACTGAAGGCTGGCCTCGAGCTAACCATCACACAAGTCAGACATCTTGTTGGCACCATTGAGAAGGATGAAGAGAAGGGCGGTCACGTGTTCGTGAAGAAGAAGGACAGCACCGTCCCCTTCCACGTCCAATGGCTCGACTCACCCGAGGATGAAGATAAATATCCTTCCATTGATGATCTCGAGAAGGCCCATTTTGCATCGGTCGCCTTGGGCGATCTCAAGATTTGGAGTGTCGAGCCCATGACATATGGGGAGAAGCCCGAGGCGCATCCTGATAATCACCCAACTATTTCAGCTTTCAAGGCCAATTTCATCCGTGGTGGTCTAGTTCTCAATATACACTTTCATCACTACGCCTGCGACGTTATGGGCATGTCGGGATTTGTAGAGCAGTTGGCTGATAATTGCTACGCTATCCTGAATAATACGCCATTTCCTCCTTGGAGCGATGCCCACTTTGGCGTCCCCCAATTTATCAAAGAGCAACCGCCAGAGGACCAGATGATTGACGGTCCTCCTCAACCCCAACGCCATCCGGACCATCTCGGCGGCGCAACGATGTACTTATTTCACTTACCCAAGAGCAAGGCAGCGGAATTGAAGAGGCTAGCTTCGCCAGACGACGGCACTTGGATCTCCACTTACGACGCCTTTATAGCTTTCCTACTTCGCACGAAGACGCGTCTTCGCGCTCCCATCTTCAAGCCGGAAATGTCATCAAACCTCCCCTATGCTCAATCTATGGACATGCGGAGACGCCTTCGCACTCCCAAGTGCCCACTCCGCATGCAGGGAAATGTATATTTCGTAGCGTCAAGCACGATGACTAGGGTCCAGCAGCCAACAGTTGCGCAGATCATTTCTGAGTGGCCCTTGTCTAGGCTGGCGCAATACGTTCGTCAGATGACCAGCGAGGTGACCCCGGAGCGTGTGGATGAGGTGCTTAACCAGCTAGCGCCGATACGAGACAAGGCGGCTTTGATGACTCGCTCAGATTCTTTTCCACCACTTTCGAACCTCCAGACTGACCATCGTGACGTCACGGTCACCATGTGCGACTTTGGATTCGGTAAACCGGTCGGCTATCGCCATGTCATAGACGTCGTGACGGAGAATCTTACCTTCGTCTACCCTCCGCGTGACAGGTCCCCCGAATCAGACGAGGGTCCCGAGCTAAGCATCACCTACGAGACGAGCCTAGCGGATGGGCTACTTAACGATCCTGAATGGAATAAGTATTTCGAATACAGGGGTATCGACTGCGTCCATACTGGCCAGCATCAATAGTTTGACTAATCGAGCCGGGTGTGTTTTGGGGGGCGACTTTTTGGATCATTCTGAGCGTAGCGCAAAATTTAGACTTACGAGACTTGTGTTGGATAGAGTAGATCTTTTTTTTCCGACATAGTGTACGCAGGTACTACATGGTAATTAGATATTTCCCATAATAGAGTGTATTATCAGCCCTGGAATCCATTCCCTCTCAATACTTACCTTGTAACTCGGCCTGAACGGACGGAGATGTCACTACTACCTGTTACATACTTGCAGCTCCGCCCCTTAAGCGGTGAGAGAGAGAGGTATTCGCTTACTCTACTCCTCTGTTCAAGTAAAAAGCCAAACAAGTTTTTTTTTTCTTTGGCCATCATCCCATACCATTAATTCGGCCCCGGTACCTAGTGTACCTAGAAGTTAAGCTCGTTCCCAATCAACCCATTATGGGAAAATGTTCGCCTCAACAGATGGCGTCTACCTTGTCTGCTTGTACATGTTTCGAAGCGATCTTTTCCCGTTCAGGAATAGGCATATCCATAACGGTGGTTCGCGGATCGTCAGATTGCTAGCCCCGTAACCTTAGCTGCTGAGGTTAGTATGACTATCTTGAATGTACAATACAGTACAACACTTTCAATCCCATCTGGGGGGGGGATCAGGTCTCGCACGCCAAGTATTCCGTTCCATTGACCAATGGTTGCGCACGGAGCGCCAGTGTAGGTGGCATACATGCTCGGTACCTTGGCTGCTGCTTGGCCTCGACAACGGGCCGGACGGGTCAATTACCTAGTAGGTAGCACAGTACTACGGTAGTAGTATAAAGCGGTGTACCGCGAAAGGCCAATACCAGAGCCTCATATGAATAGTGTTGGTAAGTCAGTTAATTACCTAAGGTGAAGATAGAAGAATTATCTTCCTAATGTACATAGGTAGGTGGGTGGAGGGCAACACTACATAAAGTAGTGTAGTGTAAACGGCAGGCTGTTGTTGTACGATAAGGTGAAATACACTAGGTAGGAGGAGGAGCAGGAGAATCCTGTGAGTAGAATGCACTGCACTATAGTATAGAATGGACTGGCAGACATATGTACAGAGATATTTTGGGATATCGGCTTGACTCAACCTAATCCTGTTCTATCCCATCCAGAGCTGCATTACGACCTCTCCCCTCTCTGATGCTACGCTTCGGTTATCTACATCAGATGTTCCCTACTATGTATGATTGCACAGACGTCCTCCCCCATGTTCAAACGCACTTCTTACATACCAAGAACTTCTGGGCGTCGCCTCGGTAGTAGAGTTTGATGATGAATTCCCCTCGGCTAAGCATTTACTCCTTCCGGAATAACTAAAGGTACCTAGATAGGTAGAGGACGGAAGATTTCGCGTTAGTATCGGAGGCTCGGAATCGGAAGCCTTGGTCTAGGTAAAGGGTGCGCGCGGCTGTGCATTAGCACGTCAGCGGTGAGTGAAGTGAGTGTGATAGGTAGACTTATAGCATACTATGTATGACAGGGAATGTGAGGGGGAAAGTAGGGTAGCTACCTGGTATCTAATGCTAAGTATACTGGTACTACCTAAGGTAATAAGATCCATCGAGGTAGTTAACCGTGAGGGAATTGCACCAAATAAGTACCTAGGTAATACGTCTATCGAATCGTGGGGGAAAGCATTTAGCTAACCCAGATGGCCAAGATGGCCTAGATGACGAACAAAACAGTTGTTATCAAAAGTGACAACTATGAGTTCGTTAGTATATTTATTGCACACAGTACGGGGATCATGGAGCTTGATTAGTGTAGACCGTTTGTAAGTACGTATTGCTTCTCCATAAGGACCCTTGCTTAGCTGTAACTAGGCTCCCCTTGTTTGGCACCAGGATTCTTCTCGCCCACCTTGAGGAATATCTCTAGAAGCAATAGTTTGGTGGTTAACCATTTTATTGGGAACTGCATTTGCATGTAGATGAAACATCCAAGTACCTAAATCAGCACTTGGGAGATAAGAAGAAAGAATCCAATAAAAACAGGTAACTAACTCAACCCTCGAAGGCCTACCTCATACCATGTAATATAATATGTCCATCCATCGTGAAACATGTTGAATATCTCACTTTCCCTTCAATATAGCCCAGCTATAGAAAATGGATGTAGCTGCTGTCCTATTCGGTAAAGGTTGTTGTGCCAGCGTGTTGAAAAAAAGAAAGAGAAAAAAAAAAGGCATTGCTCTGGGGATATCTCAAGGTACTCAATCAAATACCTAAGAAGAGAAAGTTGGTGGGGGTAGAGGTTATGGCTAACTACGACATATACCAATTAGTTCTTTCGAGCCTCATAGACTTCATGAACCAGTCATCATCTTTCCGAACCCACGTCTCATAGTAGTACCCACCGCCCGTCCCTTGCGTTTCGCCCGCCGCGAGGTGCCAGATGCCACTAGAGGTAACCTTCACCTCGTCTGGGCTAACCTGCTCGAAAGCCGCAGCGCCCGCATTGTGCATGGTCTGGTGCTGGCCGAAAGTCTTCTGGAGGTAGTTGATAAAATCGGCCCTCGTGGGCCAGTTCCAGTCGACGCCGTCCTGCTCCACGAAGGAGCCGTCCGGGTTGACGATGCAAAGGGTAGCATCAGGCAGGGCCACCTGTTCGAAGAGATGCCATTGTTTGGTATCGATGCATAAGCAATAGCGCAGTTTCTTGCCACGGATGATATCCGTTACTCTTGGATCGACGGCCATGTCGACGTGGGAAATAGGTGGCGTAAAGAGTAAGTCCCAATTACTTGTTAGCGTCGAAACTAAACTCGTAGGACCGGGACCGGGACCGTTTGCAAACACGTCTATGAGAAGGTCTTAGCTTGAACGAGTATAGACGGTAAAGCAAGGGCCTTTGACTACATCCTAATTAGGACGAACTAATCAGTTGCGAGGCTGAATTGGATAAGGCTGGTGGTAAATTCCAGGACATGGGTACTATTATGTTATGAGGTATGGAACAGACACAAGACAATGACAAGACAGTAATAAATTACCTTAAGGTTAGGTATTAGGTTAGGTACTTACTATGAAACCGACAATTTCCGAAAATGATTATCAGAGCTGGATCGGGATGGCAAACAAAAGATACCCCAGTCTAGGTACGGATTACTACTACCGGGTTTGAAATGGAAAAAGATGAAGCTATCACCGCCTAAACGAAAAAGTGGACCAACGACGAAAGGGAGGGGTAAAATCGTTGAACGGGAACGGTTATGTAACATCGCGTCAGAACCCCCCCTGAAGAACCATAGCCGAGGATTAGGTACTTAGGTACTTACCGACACGTAGGTAACCCAAAGCTGGAATTGCTTTATGTAATTCATTGTGTAACGCATCCTCTCTAGGTAACAGACGTGTCACATACCTACCTAGGTACGTACCGTTTCTCTTTTTCTTTTTCTTTTCCGTGAAACGCCTCTAAATATGGAATCTGCAAACGCTTATTTATCTGCAAGCCACTGAAACTTTATCCTACTCTAAAAAAATGGACGGTGCTTGAAAAGTTCCAACAATTTTAATATTAACATTATAATAAGTGTTTAGGTACAAATACAACATACGACGGACAAGTAACATCCATATATCTATCCGTATGCCCCGTATGTAAAAAGCATATCAACTCACATTGGATGTTCATCATACTTTTTCTTACCAGAAAAAAAGTATAAATATAACCCTCGGCTGTTTGATTTATATTAACTATCTAAGGTACCTACTGCCCGGCTGGGCCCCCCGGATGAAATTCTCGCTAGGCAACGTTTCCAAGTGGATGAGACGACGAGACGGCTCCAGTATTAAAAAAACAACTCAGGCACCGCTACTGCGCATGCAAGCAAGTGGTTCCATTAGTTACCAACAAAGTCGACACGGTATCGTTGGACAATGGTCTCATCCGAGGACCCTAAAACCACCTAATGCAGGCTGTACGTATAGGTTAGGTATGAGGTGTATGTACCGAAAACCTGTTGGAGGTAGTTTCACGATTGAACATGATATTCAAACCTTTTTTCGCCCCTACTTTTACAGGTTACATGGCAGGTTGTTAAGAACAACCAGGCCTTAACAACCAGACTTCGTTGTTTCGGTCAAGAAGAGGTCTCGGCCGATACGACTGGGTTTACTACATAGGTACTCTCTATCTAGCCTTACCTTACGCTGCGTTATACCACCTTAAATTACCAACTATACGCGAACTGCATATGTATAGACTTTCTAACAACATGTAAGGTTAGGTAGGCTGCCTGGTACCTACCTAACCTACCTCCTATAGTCTTCCGGGGATATACTCCGCGGGCCAACCCAAATAGCTGGGTCTTCGAAGGGAGTCCCACACACAATGATCATCATCTCCAGCTGTTCGAAACGAAATTAATGAACCCAACCCGCGCACACCGCGACTATCACCGAATTTTCTGAGTATCCTGTCCTCCCTTAGGTACAATACTTGCACTCGCCAACCAGAACCCCCCAACCCCTCCTTTACCCCCCCTTTCTTTCCCCCATCATGAAAGCTTCTATGCGTCGATCCAGAGCTTTTCTGGAACACCCTTCGTTGGGGTTACTTAGAACGGATGTTCTTTCTCTCTTGAGAACGACCGAATGTTGCGGTGTGCAGACGCAGAAGGTTAAAGCAGCAATCGCAGCAAATAGAAAAAAATAAAATAAAATAAAATACATAGACAGATAGACGGGTCAGGATACTTTTAGTGTCTAGTCCATCTTTTTTTTAAAAAAAAAAAAAAAACATAGATCGAGGTCTAGAACTGACGTCGTATGTGGCCATGTAAGTAAGGGTTACTTTCTTTGATATAACCAGTAAACTCGACCGACGCGTTGACTTGTTGTCGTAATTGCAACATCCCTTTCCTAGCCCCTACCTAACGTAGCATTTTGGAATAATAGAAGATAATGCATGTATGTCTCAGTGGAGATAGTTGAAAGAGATCCCCCCATCGAATGACGATCAACAAGCCATATCTTCTTCTTCCAGGAATTTCGATTCCGACGTGGAGGAAGAATCAGAATCTTGACTCCATTCATCCCTCTTCCTCGTGTGGATTCTACTAAGTTGAACATCCGCATACGTCCACTAGTCCAGCTGAGATGGTGTCGCGGCATTGCGGCTTCTCGCCTCATTTACATTAGCTTAGGTACACATCTTTCCTCTGACTATCTGCGACTTGTCGGAATTCTTGTAAGATGGGATAGATGCTATACAGCATCTCTGAGGTCTTCGTCTAGTTGGAGCTGATCTAGGATCTCTTGAGCTTCTTGTGCTTCCCGCAATAACTATGCGAGGTGTCTGTCTGTCTATCTAGGCTACTGTAGTTAACCATTGTCTGGCCTATTCTAAATATGCCTCCATTTGCCCGAAGGTTAGGAAGTGTGTATATATATTGCAGTGTTCAACAGACCAAACCCTTAAGCATGTGTGACGAAGAGATGATAGCCTCCTGTCTATGCGTAATGCGAGGACGCGAAGAAGTAGCCTCTTCAGTCTCCGACGAGCTGTGAGCAAGCGCGAGAGTATACCGTTGATATAAACGGAAGTCGGACATGCTAAGCCTGTAGATCTAGCCCCCGTCTCCATAGCCTGCGTAGATAAATAACTTGAAGGCTCTTCACATCAGCCTCATCTCGCCCACATACCATCTGATTTAGTACGCCGTAGCAAGATGCGTCGTGCCTGCGTATTCGCCTTTAGCTGTACGAAACTGGGAACTTCAGTTATGGGATAATGATAATTCAATACGCACCTAACCTAGCTATCATCTGCCGGTCTTCTCTGTGAGGTAGCTAGCTATACTAAGACAGCTCGTGAAATCGCATGACGTCCTCCTCTTCGTGCTAACCATATCTCTCTCCTCCCCCTACATAGACGAATCCATGTTATTCCCTCGTCTTATCTTCTCCTTGTTATCTCTCGTATGTAGCAACCAGTCCCCTGTTCTCATATTCTCTCTCTCTCTCTCCCTTCCTCCCTACCATCATCATCCTCATCATCCAGAAGCCATAGAAAGCTTATCAATAAGGTTAGGTAGGTAAGTAGGCACCGCATTAGGATTGGGAACCTGTGGACCCCTTTCCAAACCCCCTGCGCCTCGAGGTCAGCATGTCGGCGATCTCCCTCTGCGCGTCCACCATCTCTGCCAGCCACTCCGCGTCCACGCCGTCCAGGAAAAACATGCGCGGGCGCTCCATCTCCTTCAAGGTGTGCGGGTCGATGCTAGCGCCGTAGCCGAGGAGCAGCCGCACTCGTCGGACAGCACCCATACCCATAGAACGGTGCAGCAGATCCGGGACGTAGTCCTCCTCCTCCTCCTCCTCTTCTTCATTTTCTCCTTTGTAATCGTCGTACTCGAGCTTAGCCTCCGCGTCCGCCCCGTTCTCGAGCAGCGTGGCGATGAGTTCGAGCGTGAGGGCCTCGTCGTCCGCGGTGAGGTGCGGATTCATGAGAGGCGTCGGGTAAGTGCACACGACGTCGATGTGCTCGTGGCTCTCCTCTATCAGCGTCTTGACCAGGGGCTGGACGCGCGCCCAGTCGAAGCCCCCCTCGGCAGCTAGGCAGAATCCTATAGAGCGAAGAATGCACCTGAGATTGCGGTCCCGGAGGTCCGCTACGGCGTCGTTGCGGCCGAGCAAGACGTCGTGCACGATATCCATAATACGGCCGACGGAGTTGTGCTCCCATTCTTCTGCAAGGACGGTGCTCGGCGGTAGGCCGCGCGGAACGATTAGGGAGTCCCAGAGGAGAGCGCGCACGGCAAGTGGTATGCTAGGGCCCGTCGCTAAGACCAGCCAAGTGATCTCACTGCGGTAATCCAAGATTCCAGAGCTCTCGTACTCTGCTAGAAGCAGTCGAACCAGCTCCGTCAAGACCGACGCATCGCACGTCGTCTCGGCAAGGGCGTGCTGGAGCGCAAGCGTCATGCACAGCTGCTCGCATATTCCCGGGGCGCCCACTCCCAAGTCCTCCTCGATCATAGCCTGCTCATTGAAGCGGAACCCGCCACTTAGGAATAGGCGTACCACGTCCAATCTGTGGTTTTTGCCAGCGTGCATCATCAGAAAAGCAGAATCGACGGCGTTGATGGTGACGCCGGCCTCTAGAGCCCCCTGTATGGCGCCGGCCTCCGCGTCCCTGTGGACCATGCACTACATGATCGACTTATAGGGCGCGTGGAGATCATGTAACTCGGGGGTCCAGCCAGAAGCGAGGAGACGTCTAACCATCGAAGTTGATGTGGCAAAATTCATAGCTGAATATTTTCCATCGAGGAGAGCAAGCGTAGTAACATCCGCCCCGCCCTCGATAAGACGCTCGGCAATGTGTTGGTGTTCGAAGAAAAGCGCAACGTGCAATGGCGAAAGGGATATGTGGTCTAATGAGAAGCCGGTCCGAAGCTCAAGGATATGGTCTAGATCCGCTCCCAATTCGCGCGCCATCTCGAAGGTGCCCATGAATCCGTGTCGGCATGCCCATTCTAGGGACTGGTAGATCCCGTAAGTGCCCTCGCATTCGCCCATGAACGGCTCTACGCCTAGGTCAAGCTTGTATAGGACGGGCAGGATCCTATATGAGAAGTGGCTGCATGTTAAGGCCCAGTGGAACAGGTCTTCCCGAGATAGCTTGTAAATGATCTCATAAAGCGTCTCCATGGGCAATTTGATGAAGATAGGGGTACATCGGCTTTGGGAGGGCATCACTTCTTTCGAGAGCGACGCCATACCTACCGGATATCCCGAATCGAAGGTCGAGAAATGAAGGGGATAAGAGGGTGGTAAGAGATGTAATGAATAAAAAAGCGAATGGAAAGGCAAACTGGAAAGAAAGAGCAGAGATTGAATCGAGAAGGAAGTCTATGGTGAGTGGGTTTCTAGGAAGGTAGACGCGGGTCCAAATGTTGGAATAGTGAATTCAATAAGGTCCGGTGAACTAGTAGACGAACTCCGTGCAAGACGACGGAGCCAAGGGGCCAAGTCCTTATGTCGTCAGCTCCTCCGGCTCAGCGAACTACTCTCATGTGCTTAGTCGGCGGGTATAAGTGAAGCTGGTATACAAACCGCCACCCGGCCCTGAGTATAAGGAGGTGTTAGTAGTTGGACTCGCCGCTTGAAGAAGACGACTCAGAAGCTAGTTCTGAACAAGAATGAACTTCTTCTGCCTGTTTCTTGTTCCTACTCTCAGGAGGATAGGAATGGGCAGGGTATTGCAAATTTGTCTCCCATGGATACCAAGGTGTTAAAGGCCTATGGATACCAGAACAGGCCTTGGGCACCGGGGAAACAGGGCTACAAAGTTACAAAGCTACGTAGGTTAAGTGCCCAGCAACATAGTGACCAATCTTGGATCTTAGGTACTGTGCAATTCATGATTAAGGAGATGCAAGTTTTTTCTCAAAGAGCCCAAGTGCACAACCGTAGGGGATAATTCATACACCAGGTCGAACTTACAACTACTATGTGATATAGTATAGAACCCCCGGCGAACAAGGTAGGTTATCATCAAATAAGAAGTCTAGCAAAAGCGTCACAGTGGCAACTCTATATAAGACATATGTTAGTACTATTCCTTTAAGAGGGATATAAAAGGGCTTTGACGGCGTAAGTTTTGATACAGTGAATGTTACGGGGTAGAGATGACTATGTGGTAGGTGGCAGACATGAAGTGGAATGTCTCACGATAGATTTCTTAACCAGGCAGTTTGAAACTCGTCCATTTTCTTGTACGGATTTGTTATACGACAATGTAAATTAACTTCAACAGTTTGTTGTCTAATATTGCCGCCTATGATATGGGGACAAATGTTCGTCGCAGGTATGTATAACGTCGATTTTGGATACTAGTTAACCAGGTAAGGTACCAGGTAAGGTGCGTAGTATACGGCTTATCATGGGAACAAAGGGCTAGCGGTGATAGTTATACTTTATTAGTGTTAAAATACTTGTTGATCGTGAGATCCTTTCTTAAAACGTGTAGAACTTTAGTGACAACTAACATTAGGTACCTATAGGAGGTATGTACCTGTAGATATAACAGTGAAGAATCTAACAACGATAGCCAAATATTTCAAGCGTTAATTTTAGTTATGAATCTTTCTAATAAAGAATAGCCTATAAATAATAGTTAGGATGAAAGTAGCGTTTAGTCTTGACGAGCTATTCTAGCTTACCTGTATGTACTAGTATTAGTTGGCGCTTGGTTTAACAAGTTGCTAGATTGAAACCCGGAATTATGAGATTGCAAATTGAAATTAAGGCTTCTGGAAGATACAGTATCAGGTACCTATCTGTCAAACCATCACACCAGCAAAAGGTAGAGCAATGTCAACTCGAGGGGTTGACGTTGCTATCTCCACCAATAAGAATCACACACAGAGTATCGTGCCATATTCAAGATTGGAATGTATAAGATCTTTGTAGAATATAGGTACCTATCAGTTGAATGCTACATCATAAGTACTCAGCTGATGCTAGGCCTCCCTGGATAGTCTCTAAGCAGAAAGCATAAGGATAGCAATCAGTCAAATTTGGTTGTCAGTACTTACACCTATAGCTTATTTCGGTCACCATCTACATAGCTTCATCTCTGTATTGAGGATTGGCCATTGCATACCCGTGATAAACTTAATTCCTGTGAATTTTTGACGCTATCTTATTACCAAGTAGTTGTCTACCTGCCTATCCGGTTTGAAGACATCATATTGATGGCCTCCCTCGTCAAGATTCAACGCAAAGGTGATTTTACCATCAAGTCTTTATGATGTAGGCGAAAATTTCCGAAAGTAATCAGGTTACGGAACCAGAAAACAGGGACATGGGAGCGTAGACAGCATGCGAAATGATTGCAAAACGTCATGAATTGCTATGCTAACCAGATTCGATGGTAGGTATCGTCGTTGGAAATCCACTATAACCATCGCTCCCTTTTTTTGGTAAAAAATCCGAGCCTTAAATGAAGCGAAACCGAGCTATGCAACAACTTTTTCTGATATAAATTAGACGCGCCCCCTACTCCAAATCATGGCATCTTTTCAACATAAACACCAACGCCTTAGCTGCTCTGCTGTTCCATGTGCGTGGGGAAATTGTAGCTCGCGTAATCGGCGTGAACGAACGCCCTGTCGACGATCGGGACTGACTCCAACACGTAACCTAAACTCTCGCTGAGATCGTGGGAATCGCGTAGCGTGGTAGATGCGTCCAAGATAATATCAACCTCGACGTTGAGCTTATCGCCGGAGTGGTAGGCATTCAACCCTTGGATCTGTTTGATCGTCTTGGCAAAACGCATCGTAAGGTAAAGCACTAGTTATTGGCAGTTAGAACACCGAATGACAAGGGAAAACTTATGAGACCTACAGATATTCCGCTGGTCGGCAGTGGCAGAGAATCCGCTTAGGTTCTTAATGTGCTGTGCCGATGTTCTGGACCAATTGAAGATGACAACAAGTGACAGGAGTAGACCGCCTAGAGCATCCAGCCACCATATCTTGGCGTAAAATCCAACTATTAATAGTTAGTTTGGGGTTGGTGAGCGACGAGCTTCGTAAAACGTACCTATGGGGAAGAGAATAGATCCTGTATTGAAAATCACATCCGTCATCGCGTCATCAGCTCTACATATTATTAGCACAGGTAGGTATGGATGTTGTCATGACAACCGTTGAAGATGCTTACAGAGCTTGGACACTCGAGTTTTTGACCAGTCGACACCATAGCCAGCATAATCCCTTGATGACGACCGTCCCAAGCATGATACTAAGGGCTGGTATCCCACTGGAAACGGAATTAGCCTAGGTACCTGTTATACGGCAATGTACGGTAATTGAGGTACTTACACTTCAACCAATTCATGATCAGGCGAAGCCAGTCGTTGGAGCGACTCTAATGCGACCTGAACAAACGAAGTGATCATGATAACAGAGAATACCAGAACACCTAAGGGCTCCAGTCTACGCCTACCTACCGGGTATTTGTACTGGTCCTGCCTCGAAATCAACCAGGTCGTCGTCCATACTATGACCGTCGATAAGAAGTCCAACACCGCGTCAACCAAACTGGCCAATACTGACATTGAGGATACCGAGATTACAACAGCTATCTTACCGACTAGCAAGAGTAAGTTTGCTGCGAAGTTAACATAGATAGCTGTTGTGACAATCTTGTCGTTGCTGTCTAGCTCCTCGTCTTCTTCTAACCAAGGAATCTCGGGTTTAGGGCCATCCCATTGGCTCTCTTCCTCGTCTTGCTCAAACAGAGGTGTAGTCTCGGTGGGACGATAAATGTCCTTAGGAGTACGCTTAACCTTCTTCGTTACGACCGGACCCTGTGGCATCACATCCCCATCGTTGCTAGCCTCGCCGCCCTCAAAAGTAGGATTTTGAGGGCTAGAGAAGCTTGTAAGAGGGGTCGCAGGACCAAGTAAGTCCACGTTCCCTTGACCACTGCCGTTGTTGCTTTTGGTGAAACTGGAGCCACTTGACTGCTCCTCCGAAATGGTAGCCGGGATATCGACATCCTTGAAAGAATGATGAGGTAGATTGTTATACTCGTTGAGCAGATCGTGAGGAAGACTACTATCGAGTAGCCTGTCAATGTAGAGATACTGCTGGACCAAGTAATTGGTGCGTTCGTAATATTCGCGCAAGGGCTTCCTCATGGCATTCAGCTGCTCTTCCGTCTTCCAGTAGCGCTCCCAATTGTACCGAGGGTTCGACTTGCCGATCAGCAACATAGAACGCATAGTTGAACTATGGAGCAGTTGGTTGAGTCGACGCTCTTCGCTCTGTGACCGGCGGTGGGCTTCATCGTCGGGTTCGGAAGGCGGACGGGAGAACATGGATGGTAACAGGGCAGATTCCTCATCATCTAAGGCGTTGGGTACGGTACCTCGCCAGGTGCTCCCATAGTTGTGTAATGAACTATGGGAACGACTCTTGAGCTGTGTAAGCGCTCCTGGGCCGCGGGGGGACATTGGCGGGGGATTCTCGTCTTGCGAAAGTGCAAAAGGACCCTTGTTAAAGGGAACAAATCCTCGACGCGAGTCCGAGGTTGAGTTGTCCCAGGAAGACATGTTTGGCAACCTCGTAAGAGAGAGGTAGAGTAATGGAATGGGTACGATAAGCTTTGAATAGGCGGGAGATGTAAAAGAGGAATAATAAAAAAATTGGAGGAATAAAAATATAAAGTTGATAGGTCACTACCTAGAGCTAGCTACCTCCGTCTAAGATTAGTTTAGGTACAATATACCGGAAGTAGTGTATAATTGGACGGCACTGCCTCGATTTAGACTTTGGTGACTTTGAACTAGCAAAGCCGGGGATGGATGGATCTTGGTTTTGATTGACCGTTTACCGATTGACCTATGAAATTGAAAATTGACTAAAAAGTAAACAACATCAAATCAACAGGAGGAAAAAAAAAGGGATTAAAAAGACATATATTGCCAAGTAGGTACCTTGTATTTAATAATAACCTACTCGCCGTAACCGCTCGTTGGGATCCTATTAACAGACCTGTTTGTTAATGTACGTGCGGAGTAATACCTACCAATTCTTTTTTTTTATATTTCGCTCGCTGCTCTGGGGCCTGTTTGAGAGTTGCAGCGCTGCGTAGCATCTGAAGAACCCTGCAGACGTTTTGAAGGTGAAAGTCGTTGATATTGAGGCTAAGAGCTGGATACAGTAACGTACACTGTACGCTACTACAGCTGATCTTACCAAAAGTGGCATAATGTGCCAAGCCAAGCCGTCTTGGCATTTGCATCACTTGCTTCAAATGCTGCAAGTTGCTCCTGGGCGTTCTTATCTAACCGTACAGTGCACATATCGCAATGTACATAAGAGAGGACGGGTTTAGAAGATGGCTCTGATCGGCGGTCCCCCTTATTTCTTGATTTATCTCCGAATATGTCGGGAATTATCTGATTGGTCGACCAGAGGCACATACCCTTCATAAAACCTGCGATATGTTTTACGATTGAAACAATTCGTACAGTCAAGACAGTTCGTCGTGGTATCTTGGCCGGCTTAGGGTGGTCTTGTTAGGTAACTTCCAACCTTCACTCGTATCCCGGAACCCTTACCGGCATACATGCCCGCATATATCCTAGCACTGATAACCGCTCGTCTGAAGACGTTAGTTACATGAAGAATGATTGCGCGAATTTGAGCCGACATGAACACAACACCAAAAGGGGCTTTTATATACTTGGTAGGTATCTTCGAAAAAAAGAAAGCCAGAAAGTCCGATTGTGTGACTTCTTAACAGGAGTTGTGCCAAAGCCATCCTCACCTATGTCTTGGATGCCTTCTCAGCAGAGATTTTCTCTGCTATCAGCGCGGTGGCTTTCACGATTAACTCGTGTTCGTATCCATGGATATTCTGCTCTAGATCTTCCAGGCTCTCTCCCTCTTCGATCTTGATCTTCTGGACCAGAATGGGTTCGCCGCGGTCAACTTCAGCAATAACATAATGGATCATTATGCCAGTCGTGTTGTCCTCGAGCTTTCCGGCCTTGAAATCTTCGTACGCCCTTTCAATTGCGCCTGCGCCGTCATATTTTCCTACGAGAACCGTTAGAACAAGCTAGTTGTCTATTTAGAAACAAGCTTCAATGCAAATACACACCTGGTAAAGCAGGATGTAGGTTGATAACGGGCACGCCAGCATCGCCGATGGGACGTAAGAAATTCGTCGTCAGGACGTGCATCCAGCCTGCCAGGATAATCAGATCTGGCTTGTCCCGCAGTATTCTCTGTGCCAGGTCGGCGTCGTATTTTAGTCTTGCTTCCTTAAGTACGGCAGCGTCTTTTTCTCCAAGCTTGTGATATCCATCCTTGACCAGGTTGAAATAATCGGTGGGGATGCCAGCTTTTTCAGCCCGCGTAACCGCATATGCTCCTTTCCTATTGACTGTCACCTTTACAATCTTGCCTCGTATGCTATCAGGTGCGTCAGAGGCGCATGAATCGATGAGCGCCTGCAGATTTGTTCCATTTCCACTGCAGAGTACTGAAATGCGCGCTTCAGCCATGATTAGAATAGCTGGCTTGTTTTTTGCAGATTTTATACTAGAGAACGATAAATTGGCTATCTTAGGTTAGGTAGATACCCTCCCTAGGTATGTTATAAAAGAATGTAATGTAAGGTACCTATTTCTTTCGTGTTTCTGAGAGACAGGCTTAAGCAAACGCGCTCCAAGTAAAAAGATTGCATCGCGGGGTATAAACTCGATAAGACAATATTGAGCCTAATGGAATTTGTATAAAGTTTAATTTCTGTATGAAAAATATCTTTTTAAAGAAATGCACACTAGAAATAAGGTACTGTGGTAGTGTGGACAACAACCTTATCAACGGCACTATAAATTACTTATTAATATCTTAGTTATCTAAGGTAAGCGTCCATTCTACTACCTAATGTAATAGGTAGTGCATCATTTCTCAATAACATAATATGACTCCAGATAGTTGGTTCATAAACTAACAAAATGTGACCCTATAAAATTCTGCTTTAAGTATGCATTGCGATGACCAACCTATATCCAGTTTACATAGTAAAAACTACTTAAAGGCGCAGATTGGCTTGGTCGTCGGATAGGATCCCCCAGCTCGTCTATTCATACAATATGAAGTGTATAAGCACAACTGCAAACTTAAAATATAGGGGTCCACCAGTTGTGGTGAGTTCACGTTGTCCCAAGGCCTAAAGGACCTTATATAGACGAGTTGATTTACAAACACGGTTATTACATATCCTGCCCTCGACTAGCTGAACTCATGCTCGAATAAGTACAAGTGCCGTTACGGAAGACGTCGTACCTTAATAGTAACGAAGCTAGTGAGTTTCATATACTAATTATTAACAACGTACGAGTACAAGTAGACACGATGTCGTCTAAAGAGAGGCATAAAGCAAAGACTAACACTAACAGTTCTCTCATGTCCAGGACAAAACTAAATCGAGTCTTGAAGCTGTCCTACCGCAGCAGCTTCTGATACGCATCAAGACTTACAACAGTATACACTTCGGCAACCATAACTATTTCGTAGTAGTATTCCATAAGACTCTAATATACACCAGCACCTACACTGCTATAGCCAGCGACGACTATAACAGCTCCTAGTATAAACTAAAACTCACACACCTGACCTTTGACAACTATAACTGTATCATAATAGTATTTCATAAGAATTTGGTATTCTAAGAGCTGATATTTCATCCTGTCATGGTCCTATCCTAAACAACTATCTAAGCTGCCGCCCCCTTGTTGTCCCCATGCAGCCATTCCCGACACGTCACTATTGACGGTCCCAGTCGTCCACATCGTCTCGCCGTCTCGCTGTCTCATGGTCTCGTCGTTTTCTTATCTCGTCGTCCCAGCCGTCCCCTTCTTATCTATATCCTGTTGCTCTCGCCCCTGATCCAGACCAGTCCTTACTGCCCGGCTTAGCACCTGCTGCTCTTTCCAAACTGAAGCAGTTTCCTCCCAAGGTTCTCGAGCACCTCTGCGAGTTTTCCCCTGAGGCCCCTTCCAAAAGTTCGCAGCCTTGTGCAGCAGATTTCCTACCTAGCCCGTCCCTCTATAAAAGCCTTCCTCCTAGCTGCACAGTTTTACCTTTCCATCGTTTTTCCCTTTTAGGCACCTCAACTTTGGGGAAGCATTTTCCCTTACTGCCCCTGCGAACTTCTTCCGACCTGCGCGCAGACAGCAATTCCCAAGTTGTCTTCTGCCTAACCCTCTGTCGCTTGGGTCTAAGCTTGTTGCCTCTCTTGCAAACCTCATCCCGTTTTCAAACTTCGTATCAAAGTTTATCTCGAGTTCTTCAACTTCCAAAGCAAACAAGATGGCACCTGAGGCGTGTTTTCTCTATTTATTTATTTGTTTATCATATACTCGAAATGGTAAACTTACAGTCTATATTCTAGAACTCTGTTCCTGTTGACTTCTACCCGCACTTCCGTTTTACGGAAGGAAAACCTGTGCACGTCAACTCCGATGGTAAGGAACACGTTCTAAAGGAACCCGCCGTCCCCAAGTAGGTAAATCTAAACGATATTGATGGGACAGTTAAGTCAACCGTGAGAGCCCAAGACTTACGCGACTTTTTAGAACGGTAAGGGCAAAGCTCAAGCTGGCACTAAGAAGCCTGACACGGGCAAGGAGACTGGAGAGGCTCCTTCCGCCAATATTCTCCAGCTTCAAGCTCTTCGTCCTCCTAAAAAGGTAAGCATATCATACCTATCTGAATAGGCACCCCGTAAAGAGACAGCTGGCCAACTTAGATGGCGCATATATAGGAACACTGGCCTTGTCCCCTAGAAACATGCTCTGGAGAGCGCGTCCGTGGTGTTTGATGGGTTCGCCATATGGCGACCCATTTAACGGCGTGTGGTTTCCCTAGTTGCAAGAAGGAGGATTTTAAAGATTGGCATGAGGCGTGTAAGCACGCAGACGAGGCCCACTGTGTTGGCAAGGGCAAATGTCCTGTAAATGAACTGAGGAACTATCCTACACCCTCGGCCTGGTCCATGGTTCTCTTGGATGGTAGAAGTTATACCGACTCTTATCGTTCTAGTACCCAGAATGTACTTCGGCGTCCTTCTCGCGCCGTGCCACATTCGAAGAGCACTTCGTTCGTCACTTCATCTCGCGAAAGCGAAGGTGTCCGGGTTGGCCTGGTGGTACAAAGGATGTCTCATAGGCTGGAAGTGTGGAATCCGGGGGTTAAATGTGATATTCAGACTACAGATTAGGTAGCCTTTTTCGTGAAAATACACAGTTCGTCGGCTGAGAGAATCCTTACTTTCTATCTTTCCTCTTTCCTCTTCTTCCCTAACCACATTCCTTCTTCAAGGTACATACGTAAATACGAAGCCCGTGAAACGAGGCACGTAGTTGACGTCAGCGGTATTGATGTAGAGGGGGAAACTTGCGAGAAAAAAAAAAGCTTTGTTGCTGTAGTATCGCGTCTACTAAGACCGTCGATCTGATTTCGCTTGGGCGCAGATCCCCCGACGATCAATCACTGCACGCGATAAAAAAGATCGAAAAAGAAACTACCTAAGGAAATGACGAATACTAGCTACTTACGCCGGTAGCCATAAAATAGGGGCTGGTCAGTAATCTTTCCGATTGCTCGATTTTAAGGCTTGTAGCTTGTCTGGGGGTGTGATCTTCTCGTTGCTGATACTTACCCGATCCAGGCCTTGATAAGCCCTGTCGTTTTCTCTTGAAAGCTGGGGTTTCTCTAGTAGTAGTAGTAGAATCACTAAACGATCATCATGTGTGTAGAGCCTCCTCCCCCATAGCTGGGCATGAGGACTTGTTGGTCCGGGCGGGAAGATTGCTCCGCGTGGACTCCTGGGGTGTTCATAATAGAGAGCTAACATAATCTGTAGCGAGATACGTAGAGGTGAATGTGCCCATAAGCAGCCTTCTATGTATGGACTTGTGCAAATGTGGGAAATAGGGGCAGTAGGATTCGGCCTCCCACGTTAGATCCGATCAGTGATCTCCGGGCTGCCGGTCAGTTTGAACGCTTTGAGCTTCGAACCCCTGAAACCACGGTAGAATATGGCCCACTGGCGCCAAGGATTATTAGATGGAATATGCAATTCTAGGAAGGTAGCCAAATGAACCCCTGAGCAGGCTTAAGATACATCGGCATTCTTTCTGTCGAAGAGGAAAAAAAACGAGACCATAGTTTCCAAGGCAATATCTCGCTTTCGCGAGTTAAGATTTATTATGCAGGACATCTTATGTAGCTCATGGCAGCGATGGGAGCGGTGAATACTTGGAAGTTGAAATTCTACCCAGTCTCACTTCGGACGCGCGGCGGACTCCATATTGTATCCCGGGATAAGACACGGCTTTGGTGTTGATATGGTAACAAAGCCAGCTCCGGGCAGGGACGAATATGACAAGGGAATTCTCTTGAACGGCCGAAGCCGTTGGATGATGAACATGGATTTAATATCCATAAAGTACGTACCACAGCATACATACCTCGTACATGGTTTCCCCCGACTCTCGGGCCACATACGTACTTGTGCGCGGTGATGGCCCGTGGAGGTATTATTCCTATAGTTAGGGTACAATAATAAGAGCCAGTCAAGATTCAGGAACATACAATGTAGTGATTATGGTCCGAGCGATAATTCGAGACAAAACGAGGCTAAGTTAGGTAGCCGTAAGTTTAACATCCTCCGTGACGGGGACTTCTCTCATCAGTTTTCGTTATGCGCAGCCAAGCTCAATGGTATATGCGGGCAGGGGGAGGCTTACCGCAAGTTGAGATGTAGCGGATTATAGAAATGCAAAAAAGGCTGATCCGATATTCGGGTTATCCTGAGTGGTTGCAAGACTTTTTTTTCTTTGGGCATGTGGCTGTGAGATGCGGCGTGCGTAAGAGGTTCAAGTAGAGAGGATATTCGTGGAATGTCTCAATATCGAAACGCCTTTTTTTTGCGTTCGTGCGTAGGACCGAGGTAAGAAAGAAAAAAGTAACATATGGCATAAATAATGTATCATATTCTCTTACAAAGCTCTATAGCGCCGCATACATAGTATAAAACTAAGCACTAAGTGGAGCAATTAGAGGCTATTACATCAGTGCACATGTTAAATAATCAGGTCGGCAGGTCAACCCAATGTCATCCTTGCCCATCAGCCCAACCTCTAACCCGAAATGGTAAAAGAAAACCTTTAGCGCACTTTGGGCTGAGCTTACCCTAATTAACATAATATTCATATAATTTATAATTTTTCATAAAAACTAATTAATTTTTAAAATATTAAAATTTAGTGATTAATATGTGCTGTAATTATAGCGTATATAGTGGTTATTACGTGCTGTAATTTTAACATATTTAACGAGTATTACAGCGAGTATTACAGCGCACTTCTAACGATTAAGAGGCTTAAAGCTCATCCCAATGTTGGAGTTTTGGCCGCCCCGATCGTTACCCAATTGGGTTAGAGGTTGGGCTGATGGGCAAGGATGACATTGGGTTGACCTGTAGACTCTTAAATAATCCGTGATATGTATCTGAGATACCTATACCCGACGTATAATAAGGTACGTAGGTACCTTAGGCTAGGTAGTCATAATATTCCCGTCTTGAAGCAAGCGCCGGTTGAAGAAGACACCGTCCCCGTGTGCGTGTCCGTGTGCGATAAGGATACGATGAGCGAATGGTTCGTATCTAAAGCGGCGCCACCAGTTTAGATGGGTAATCCCGGGAGACCAGAACGTTAGAACGGGTACCTAGGTAGGTAGCTCATTAATAACTACCTTAGATACTCTAGCCTGGTATTGGTAAAAACGGATTATGATATTCAAAACTAATAAACATCGCCCGGAAACTCTACCTGCTTCTATTTCGCACTGCTCTACTAATTTGCATCAGAATCCGTTGGTCAACTTGTTTGATTATAATTGACAATTAACTAATAATAGTATATAATATAACCTAGGTACTTAATAGTGTATCTACCTATTTACTAAGCTAGAGGTAGGTACTTACTACGATACCTAACCTATGGCGTACCCTCTTTTTACCTTTTACGGTTTCTTTATTGCTATTGCTAGGTATTGCTCCCACTCAGCTCGGTCGGCTATGGCCCATTTGTTAATCATTGCTTATCGAGCGCCGAACCTCGTGTTTGTGGATCGGCTTACAATTGGTTCGCTCTTGATAGCTCCTTTAAAACCATTATGTTAATAAATCCAAACAAGTTTTTTGCGCTACCGAGATACCTGAAATACGACCCTTTATCCTGCTTATTCGTCGACTTCTTTCTCTTTAAATAGAAATCTCAACGGCTTAAGAACCATTTTGGTATTAGTTACGAATCTTCATTCTTGCTTGACTGGATAAGTCTACAGAGTAAATGGAGGAAAGAAAATTTTTTAATCATTGAATGAGCATGTGTATACGAGAAATACATTCCTCGTGGTACTTACGCGCGCAAATCCCAAATAGCTACGAGGTACCTAGTGCATCTAGTGTATCCAGTGATCCATCATCTAGGTATCTAGTAGGGTAGAAGAAGTACCTACCTACCTCCTTGGTAAGTAGAGGGGGAGGTTGGCAGGTGAACTTGATCTGTTTTTTTTCTGTTCTTCTGCAGATAGGTACAATTGAATTGCATACCAATTGCATTAGGTTAGGTGCCTGGTACCAACCACACTAATACTGAAGCCATTTAACTTTCAGCGCTTGTTTCCCGCCTCCATCCTCCGATGCTAGTGCCTCTGTGCCTCTTTTTTTTATTTCTCTTTGCCAATTAACCCCAGTTCATTTGTATGTACTCTGTAAGCTGAACCTGGTTTGTCCTAGTTGCCCACAACATATGCTCAGTGCTCACGAGCCCTATTAGTTTACAGCATACAGAAGGCTACCTACCTACATTTATGTACGTACCCAAGTTGGGTAAGGTACATGGAAAATACATACTACAAACTTACACTTACAATGTAAGTTACCTAGGTAGTCTCCTGTTCATCAACATGAAGCACCTGCACCTTACCTGTTACATATAAATATTTCCGGTGGTTGCATGAGATGAATGCCATCCCATTTCTAAATCCTACTATATGTCGCGTACACAACGGTCAAAGATAGATGGACAGACGGAAGCCAAGTCTTCTCACATTTTGTCGAGGGTATTGTAACCCCCTTACCCATTTAGGTCCCCTTCTAAAGTGCACCTTAGCAGCTCTGGTAGCTGTTACCGCCCAGCTACCTGTTAGTACCTAGGTAGTAGGTAGGCAGTTCCAGAGCCTAGAACATCGGCCAATGCAGGCCCTGTTCCTTGAAGTGGATTTGGATGTTAATCGTGCAATGCAGGATCAAATATAGCTAGCGCGTACAAGTTACTCCACCCCGTTGCTCATCCGCCGTCCACCGACGAGTTACACAGTACATGGTGCCCACGCCTTGAAAGTACCCGAACGTGTAGACGAAGCAGCTAGATACATTCTTGTATATTGTATTTGATATGCGCTTGGATTTGCGCCCAGAAGAGGGAGGTACTACGCCAAAAGTCACAATAGAACTGGAACTCGCCAGCCAACATTGTCGAAAGTTCCATGCCACTTTCCACTTGACCTCATAAAAATAGAGTCTAGTACTTTTTTAAGTATTGTATTGTAGGTACCTAAGGTAAGCCAAGGCCATTTCCCAAGTCCAGATTTCCTGCCCGTGATTGGCAGAAACATGTACCTAAGCATTGGCGAAAACGAAAGGAAAAATAACGTCTAGCTGTCTCTCGCCTGACACCATACATCCTCGTCATTGAACACTCACACGCCTTTTCTTTTTTTTTTCCTCCTTACGTCTCTTAATTCTTTCACCTCTCCACCGTTCGTTCGCTCATCCCAGCCGCTTTTCGAATACGTTCACCTGCTCTAAAGCTGTGGTGCTACTAAACCTTGGCTTACGAGTTTGGAAATTAATATTTGTTTTATTGTAGGATCCCTCTCGTTGAGTACATTCTCGATAACAACGGCGCCCATCGATCTTTTTTATTTTTTTATTTTTATTTTTTCCCCTGTTCGCTCGGTCGCTTCCCATCAGCGTCAAATCGTGTTTCGGAAGGTCAATATATCCCGATCGTAATCTATAACGTGCCCTCTTCACGTTGTCGTCCGTTCCCTCGTTTTCAGTTGGATTTTATTTTATCATTTCTGTTCGACCTAGCTCATCGATCCGCAGCTTCTCCCATCGCATCTTCTACAATTTTACGTACTCTATTAATAAATAAGGTTTATACCTGTGCTCACGACTCGGCAAGCGACCGTTACTAGCAAGCCGCGCTTGTCCGCCCTACTTAAATTGTCACCTCCGTGTGTGTAAGTGACACCTGCTTATCTACTTGGTTCGACATAAAATCGAGGAAGAAGAACAAAAGTCGAATATACAAATAATACGAATACTTGTCTGAAGTGGGAGAATTTGTTTTCCAGTGGTTCGACATTTCAGTCTCGCCACGGGGGTTGCTTGAAGTTTTGAAATTGGCACAAGGCGGAGCAACAAAACCCATCTTTTGCCATAAGCTTCAGCCAGTCATCCCATTCTTCCCGGCTTTCCACAAGTGTCCATCAATACACGTTTCGGGCTTTTAAGACTAGTGTTTCCCGATTGTTCCATCGCGGCAAGACCCAGGACAACGGTCGGTTACATATACACAGAACACAGCTAACTTAAACTTTTTTTATCGTTATGCAGTATTCCGCCTGTTCGCGTCATATTTAGACATTTAACAGGGCGTAAATCTACGACTTGAGCGTCGAGAACGACAACCCGATTCGACATTGTAAATCCCCTTTATCGTGACGTAATACACCAAAAAAAAGAGTCTTCACGCCAGTTAGCCGATATTTGCATTTATCCCATCTTTATCAGTTTATGGGTTCGTGGTAACCCGAGGAATTTGAGGCGAGTCAATCTATATGCCTAGATTTCCGGTCACCTTTCGGCGGAAATCTACCGCGGCAGAAGATCCAAATGGACCGGTAGCAGAGCATTCTTTCCGGGTCCTGGAGCGGAGTGAAGTAGGCAATGGGAAATCCTTCGACGGTGGTGTCAGATTGGCCAGGATGACGGGGTCCGCGCCCAGATCCAGTGTTCCAGATCTCGCTGCGGAGGATAATTTATTCACAGGCTTGAAAAATAATCGGTACGTGCAAGTTGGGTCATATTCCACCTTTTTTTTTCTGTCTTTTTCTATTTTTGCTGCGGCTTCATCGCCAAGAAATGGCCCCCCTACCCCCCCTGGTCAGTACGTGGTAGGCTACTTTACGAATTGGACCACGAATTGGACCTCGAATTACTCAGATTTTAGCACGCTATTGTCTCAGACCTTCGTACATTTATATTACCAGGCTGGTCCTAGCGTTGTGCAATTTTACTGATTTCTCCCTAGTGGTAGTGGAAGTTCCAACACTACCAAAACAGCTTCCGATAACTCTTCTCGTCACAGCAACGCCTCCACAGCTCCTTCATCAACCGACATACCACCACAGGACGACTGGCGTAGTGCTAATAGAAAGTCTGTGTCGACGGCCGATGTTCCTGTTCCTGCTCCATTAGCACCTAAGAATCACGGCAACTTTCTTAAACAAGCAGGTCGAACTTTCTCTTTCGGTAGCAGAAAGAGTACACTGCCGACTATACCGGCAGAAGACACAGTCCCTGCTGTCCCGGTGATGCCTGATGAATATTATAGCCCTGATATTCCCCGTGGCCGTTCACGAGCTGAGACCACTTCGACGGTCAGCACAGCGACACCTCCCAAGGTCGAAGACCAGGATTTCATGTTGGATCTAGGTAGTGATCTTAGCAGTGTTCTCAAATTTGACAAACGTGCGAGTGTCGCTACTATAAAAGAACGCAGCTTGATGGCGAACCGAACGAGCCAACCTACACCGCTTCACCTTGATAACACCGCTCCTGTTGAGCCTCCACAGCATTCGTGGGCTAGCCAGCATTCGAATGATGGGTTGTTAACGTCTGGGCGAACGTTGACATCCCCTGCCGCTCATGAAACGCGGCCACCGCCCAATCCGAAACTATACGATAGCCCAATAGACCAGCGCCGATCAGACGACGACGATGAGGACACAATACTATTAAGGGACTCTCTCGTTGCTACAGAGTACCTGGCCAGCGAAGAACCGACCAATTCCGGCCGGTACAGAAGAGACGAAGATAGTACTCTAAGCTTTAGATCTGGTGCCACCGAGTCGTATTCCAGATCGGCCAGATATGACAACCAGCCCAACGACGAGAATCTCTTTGATAGATCCGCCAATCGCCCTAAGCTAGCGCCACGAATGGGCTCTCGCTCGCATACTCTGTCGCAAAATAAGGTTATGACTCCCGCAGAATTTGAGAAGTACCGCCGAGATAAAGCTCGAGATGAGATCATGGGGATAGCCGACGATGTGGAGTCAGATAAGGAGGAAGAGGATAATTACGATGATGATGAGGATGAGCGGGAGAAAACAAAGCAGCTTGCGAAGCAGAGACGAAAGCAGGAGGCCCACATGACGGTTTATCGGCAGCAAATGATGAAGGTAACAGGCGAATCTTCTAACACACATGCTTCCCACCCCAGCATCTCGATATCGATGAGCACGCCAAATTTAACATTAACCGACGGTCCTGGCAAAGCTGTTTCCCCGGTTCCCCCTTCAGACGTCTCTGATTCCGACGAAGAGGTGCCTCTAGCGATTCTTGCGGCGCATGGGTTCCCTAACAAGAACAGGCCGCCAACGCGTCTCAATAACATGTCGTCAAACCCCAATTTACGAGCCTCTGTTGTACAGCCCTCTTATGTTGGTGGGCCAGGCTCAGTAATGGGTGATAACGCCCCCCAGAGAATCAGTAACGGTGGCAATCTACCACCGTTTGCTAAGAAACTACCTCAGGATCCATACCTCGGCGCAGGCTTAATCAACCAACCTACCAGGGAATCATTTGCCCTTGGCGGAGGATCTGTTCCCTCGAGCAGAGGGGTGCCCACCGGTGGTTTGGTTGGCGTGATTGCTAACGAAGAGCGATCAAGGGCAATGCGACGAGGTAGTCCAGCACACGATGGCTCAAGGAATTCTTTCCCCCTTCCCCTAAACGTACAATCGAACGGACCAATGCCAAATGGAGGTTTTGATCCTATAGGTGGCATCCCTCCTCAGGCGATGTACCCAATGGGTATGCCTCAAATGCCTGGTCCGATGCTAACTCCCGGAGACCAAGCACAAATCCAGATGACGCAGCAGATGCAGCAGTTTATGCAGATGCAGATGCAATTTATGCAAATGATGACTGCGCGTGGTCAAGGACAAGAACAAATGCAACCGCCGTTTCGCCCTCTAGGACATATGCCAACGCAATCTATGGGATCTCTAGCGGACGCACCGCGCAATTCATTCATGGGAGATCTAATGGTGAATCAGCTGGGCCAGGGGTCGAATCTGGATCTACCAAGGGGCGATGCACAAATGCGGACAATGAGCATGGTTCAGCCGAGTTCAGCCTCGTGGCTTCAGCCTCCCCAACCCGGCTACACTCCATCCATACGCGCCCCTTCCATACACGCTCAGGGCATGGGCTATGCTCCTTCGATCGCTCCCTCAGAGCGCAGCAATATCGGATTACCCGGACGCTACCGGCCAGTCTCTAGTGTTATGACGGGCGACCATAGCAGAACCGCCACCATGTCCGGTGCCATTCCCGCCCTCCACTCGAAGCTTCAAGCCGAGACGAGAGTAACTCCTGTGGATAATAAAGAAGAGGACGACGACGACGAGCAGGGATGGGAAGCCATGAAAGCAAAGCGAGAGAAGAAGAGGGGTATCTGGCGATCTAAGAAGAGTTTTGGAGATGATATCGGAGCACTTATCAGTTAAGGACGGATATACATTCCAATAGTTTATATCATTATGGTCCTGGTCTAAAAATTACATAGGAGCATATGCGAAGGACGCAGCCATACTAAATCGATTGGATTCTCAAAAACATCAGCTTCCGGTATCTCCTGTTAAGTAGGAGGTCGTCTGGAACAGAGAGCGGGTCTGGATCCTTGTATATTTCGAGTTCACAAGTGGAAACATGTCCCGCGAGGTAGGACGGAGGCGTATGGCTTAAAGAAGATTTGGTTTTTTTGGTATAAGAGAAAAACCTGTCATTTAGAATAAAGAGAACCTTTGGATGGATCAAGGGTATGTCTGAAGTTCATGGTGGGACGATTCAGGATAGAACACCCTATATATCGGTAATCTAATACTTTATCCACCCAGCCCCATTCGTTTACCTCGACAAGTAATTCTTGATCATGAATATATCTATCTAGCCGGAAGTGATGTTTTTTTTTTTTTCGTTGGTGGTGGGGAAAAGGGGGGGAGAGAGGAAAAGGAGGCATAGGCAGGCATTATTTACTACTTGATACATTCATGTCAATAGCTGGTGTTATAGCGTTCATTTAAACATCTTTTTTGGAAATTTAGGTATCCTATGAGCCAAGGTAGTTTGTTGGAACCTATCGTGATTTGGTTTATGACTCGCTTTATGGTATTGTTTCAGCCCGTTAGGTCAATAGTCGAGACTTATACACTTTCGTCCAACAAGCCTCTACAGGTACTGTACCTACCAACTCTTTCTCATTTCATCTCCTTTTTTTCCCTCTTTTTTTTTAAAAAAAAAACCCCCCGCTTCTCAGTGAAAATAAAGCCTACTCCAGCTTACCCCTAGCCCAGGCCCCACGCTTGACGCCTAGCTCGACGGCCGCGAGGCCCCAGTCCTCGCCGTGGTTATGCCCTCCGGGGGTGAGACCGGCGCGGGCCTGGGCCTGGGCGTCGTCGAGGACGGTGAGGACGCCGAAGACGACGGGGACGCCGAGGTCGAGGCCGACCCGCATGAGGCCGTGGGACACGGCGTCCGCGATGTACTCGAAGTGCATGGTCTCGCCCTTGATCAGGACGCCGATGGCGACGATGGCGTCGAAGGGTTGGGTCGCGGAGGAGGAAGAGGAAGAGGCTAGGAGGTCGCTCGTGGAGCCCCCGAGTAAGTCGCCGGCTGAGGCGCTGCCGCTGCTGGATTGTTGGATTTGGGAGGCCGCGTACATCCTGTTGAGGGTGGGAGAGGACATCCGCGCGGGTTAGCTTTTGGGAATCGCATGGTTCAATGGCACGAGGGGAGACGGTAATCAAGACAAGTCAAGTCAAGTCAGGGAGAGGGGGAGAGGAGAGAGGTGAGAGGAGAGAAGGGGAATGCTAACCGCTGGACGGCGATGGGCAACTCCCACGACCCAGGCACGGATTGCACGACAATGTTAGACTCCTTGACGCCGCAGCTCAGGAGCTTGTCCTTGGTGCCTTTGACCAGGGGCTCGATGATGGTGGTGTTCCAGCGCGCGTGCACGATACCGATGCGCAGGCCGCTGCCGTTGTGCTCCTGGGGAGAAGGGCCTTTAAGTGAGTGCGCCATATTTTCTCTCTTATCTCGTTCCTGTTTTACTGTGGTGGGATAGCTGTCAGGACATAGGTATGTCGGTCTGTTAAATTTTTAAGGCAGTTAGTTGAAAGGTACCTATTATTTTGAATATGGGAATTTGGAAATGCCAATGAAGAAAAGAATGGGTGTGAGACGACGGGAAGCTCCTCGTAGGTACCTATGTACATACCTAGGTATGCATTGTTACTATTCCATGTACCTTCCCTGGATAGGATACCTCTGGAATACCTATATAAGGTGTGGTGGTGGTGGGCTGTATACTGTGTACGAACGCCCATTCGGAGGGGCAGGGCAGCATGACGCACTTTCTGGACAGGGGTATACCCTACCCTGCACAGCCCGTATTAACCCTTTGCGGGACTTTAGATGGAATGCGTTCGTCACCTGATGTTACAGCAAGTACGGTTGTACCCGAAGTACATCGATTACCACAATAGCGGATGGAAAGAGTTACACAAAATCCACACAGAGTTGCAACTTCTCGTCATGACTTCGGAGGGGCTATCTGCTAACGGGTTGGATAGGCAGGTACGATGGAAGTAAGAATGATTTTGCTCCTAGTTCCTAATTGACTCACTCTACTGAGCTCTTGGGGCTTTTCAAGCATTTCTGCTCCTTTAGGCTTTATTCAAGTTGGCCATATCTACCTCCTACGTTAGGTACCTGGTATACTCCCCTTTACAATTTCTAGTAGGGATGAATAGATATCGTTGATCTATATTTACCTACCTAAGAACGAGTAAAATATAATTCAACTAATCATTTTTATGATTTTAACTGGCGTGGTTCAGTCTTCTCCATGCCTTCAATTTCCCCCTTACCAGAATCTACTGCTCGACTCCTGTGCTCACCCCTTGCCATTACAACGCCCGTTGCTTTAGTCAAGGAACTTGTAGACAATGCGATAGATGCTAAAGCTACATCGATTGAGGTTGTTATCTCTACAGACACGGTAAAGAGAATTGAAGTCCGAGATAATGGAATCGGTATTCATCCAGATGACCACGATGTACTTGGAAGACGAGGCCATACGAGTAAGCTTAGGAGCTTTGAGGAACTGAGAACTCAGTTTGGTAAAACACTTGGTTTTCGTGGAGAAGCACTAGCCAGCGCAAACTCCTTAGCCCAAGTCACCGTCACCACCAAGTACGCTTCAGAGCCCGTCGCAGCTATCCTCCACATCAAACCAGGTACGGGAGGTATACTAAAGCAGCAGCCAGCATCGGCACCAATTGGAACTACTGTAAGTATAGCCGAACTATTCCATCAACTACCGGTTCGTGAGCAGGTGGCTATCAAGAACTCGTCAAAAACGATAGACAAGATCCGTGAACTGCTACGCTCCTATGCAATGGCAAGGCCCAAACTCAGATATTCACTTAGGGTCTTGCAAGCTCCTAAGCAGAATTGGACTTTCTCGTCGAATCCTAGCTTCAGCGTGAAAGAAGCAGCTGTTCAGTTATTTGGCCCAGAGATTACGACTTATTGTTTCGAAAAGACGCTTGAGATAAGTGGTTTGACTGATAGCAACGACGCTTCTGTAAAACAGCAGGGAGATTTGCCGAATTGCAAATATGTCTTCGAGGCCTTTATACTAAAGAAAGACTCACGGCCTTCCAAATGTTCAAAGCAGCGCTATTTCTCTGTTGATGGCCGTCCCGTCACAGCCAAAAGGGGTACCCTGAAGAAATTGTTAGACATCTATGTCGAGCACATCGGTGTCCTCTCTTCGCAGGGTACTTCGACCGCAAGGCCCAAAGAGTACTTTATTCGCTTAAATATCAAGTGCCCCCCTGGGAGCTACGATGCTAACATAGAAGCGTCCAAAGATGACGTAGTATTCTCGGACGAGAAGACAATACTTGACGGATTTAAGGATTTGTGTAAGGAGGTATATAGAGTATCACCACCTAGCCGGCTGCATTCACAGTCACCAACCGAACAGAATTCTTTTCCAGCCAGCAGTGATAACCCAGGAGCCCGAAAGCCATTGCCCAGGAAATCTGGGGTTAAGTCTAGCCTAAATGAGCCTCACTGTCTTAGTCCTTCGGCACAAACAACAGACCAACCCATAATACAGCCAATTCCTCAAAGACATCAGTCCCCTATTACCTCACAGTCACGATCTACACAACTGCAAGATGCTGACCAACATTCGCAAAGCCCTGGATCTACCGGAGTTCAGAGTCGAGGACACCAATCACCCAATGCCGGACTTACACAATGCAGAGTTGATATGTCTACAGATTTCAATGAGTATAGCTACGACCGTCTCCAGAAGACATCTTCACGCCCTCCTCAGGCATCTCATATTATTCATGAGAAACCAGATGTAACCATAACCTCGGCTCCACGAGACGTAAACCCGTGGATTATTTCAAAGATGAATGCACCAAATCGTAGTCGGACTGTAGGAAAGCAGCTCAGGAACGAACCAACCCAAAGGTACAGCTCACCACCGTCAGAATTTGAATCTGTAATGACTCCAGAACCTCCTATACTTCGCCATACAGGAGCAGCACCACGAGACCTTGACGTCCCCCCAAGCCAGCGATACTTGGAACCACAAAGTCCTTTAAGTCAACTGCAGCCTAAAGTACCAGGTGGCCCCTATCGTAGCCCAATATCAAGCCCGTCTGGAGTGACCCCACGGAATACAATGGGCAATACTGCAATACCTTCCACTATAAAGCCGCGACGGCACCGCAATACTCTTCCCTGGTCGCCACCCTCATCTATCGAAGCACCTGTGATAAGCAAAAATCGACTATCAACTACTAGTAACGAGCCCATAGCGGACAACACGAAGCAGACCACAATATCCTTCCCCAGTGCTGGAAGAAACCGCAAACGCCAACTACAAGACGACAGTATTCCCAATTATCAGAGCTCACAAGGTCCAGAAGATCAAAGGGAGGACTGGTTTCAATATATACCAATCCTAGCGAAGGATAACTCCAGTTATAACTTTTCGTTGCAGAAAATGCCCCACGTCCTAGAGCAGAGGCAACGTCAGATCTGTGTCAATCCAAAGGCAACCGAAGATCAACCACGCGTTGAATTGCGTAATATTGGTCTCGAAGATGGAGCTAATTCATCTGAAGTGGTTGAGCCTATCAGAACAACACTCGCTAGCGATGACCCTCGAGCATACCTCTTACGCCGACAAAAGTCGATGACTATAGAAGGGACAGATACCAAGCCAAAGAAACTTCGAAGATTAAACAGCTCGCTTCTACCCCTGGAGAACATTCCCCTCAACGAACAAACGCATTTTCTAGCCGTAGTCGAAGTGTGGAATACTGACACCTTGCGCGTTTACGTGAGGAAGTATGCAACATACGATGGATATATCACAAAGGGGTTTGTGAAGAACGGCATTGAGATGAGTTTAGACGAAGGCCGCAATGTTGAGAAGCGACTCAAGTCATTCTTTCTCAGACAGCCAGGCGTGGCCGATGGCGAAGAGGTTGTCCCTGAAATTAATATTTGTTCCTTGTTGAAAGGCAAAGGAGTTAAGACCACCTGTTTGTAGCCCGATTGAGACGGTATATGATGTTGATACACGATAGGTCAAGTAGGGGATCTAATTTGCTGAGGTGGTGGCTTTTTAATGGAGAGATGTAAGCCGCGTCTGGGAAAAGTAAGAAACTATGGGGATAATATGGCAGTGGTGATATACATTGCTTTCCAGCCGAGCTACAGTTGAGGGCGCTTGCATAATTGCTTCATGTAGGAGACACTTCTACTAATTCATAATATCAGTTACAGCTATCTAGGTAGCTTGAGGTCCTAATAGCTTTACTATTAAATCGTAAACTATTCTTAAGCAAGAGTCCCAAAGACCGGGCTAGTTTTACACTCTAGGTGTTACCCCAATTAACTCGCCATATCTACTTCTATTTTCCCGGTAATATCGACTACCAAGAGTTAGGTGTATATATGGATTGTATCTTGAAAACCCACAATGCCTTAGGTAACCTCTGGTAGACACCGTGCTGACTTATTTAGACTATACGAACAATACGAGCCATTGTAGAATCAGCAGAGAGCAAACAGTATTGAAGGTGTTAGTGGCTTTTGGTAAATCCTTGGGCTATCTAAGGCGTTAGAAATCACTCTGCCCTTTATACGGGATAGTGTCGTTTGACCAGTGCGATAAGAGGGCGTTGTTATTGTTTCCGTTTCTTCACATTTGCATCGAACGGTCAATGATATATACCTCACATAGTAGGTGGGTACCTAGCTGTGCGAGAGAGGCAAGGCAAGGCATGGCAGGATTAGGCACTGATGTGGTAAAGGCTAATGTACCCAAGAGATAGCTAGGATACATACCTACCTGACTTATGCTTTTGACTGGGCCAAGTGTGTCGGGCGGTAATTGGTGGTATACTACTATGTACCTAGCTCGCGTCGGCTCGAGGCTGCCGAGCACGTCGTCTTAGGGGAGCAAAGTATGCCTGTTAGGTAGGTAGGTATCTTGGTATGTACTGTGGGACCGAGGGCGGAGGAGGTATACCATCTCAAAGTCCCAGTCAGGGGATGATTGTCTGGCGCGTTATGCATGCTTTTGCTTAACGGTACCCCAGTGGATGTTGGGAAATAGAGCGTGTATAGTGGGAGAGGTAGAGACGCACGGTTTTCTTTCAGCATGGGCGTCAAGTTCTGAATAGGGGTCGGTTCTTCGCCGCGGTGATAAACTACCTAGTTTTCCTTTGAAGCGAAATACGGGTTAGTCGACAGTTTACACTTAGAGATGACCTGCCTATAGTATAGCAAAGAAGCCTACCCCAAGCGTGACTACTCGATGCCGTCGTTTTAAGTCATACAGTTTTGCTCGTGTAGATTTTTCCTGACAATAAGGATGTGGAAGCCCTAATGAAGGGCCGGCAATAGGTCTTCGATAGTCGAAAGCTTGACATCACATACATAGTTTGCGAGAGATACTGAAAACCATGAATTTACAAATTTTTTTTTTTCATCGGCGTGCATATCCAACCCCCTTTCACTCTAGTCTGGTTTATACGGCTTACAAACTGCAGTAATGAACACAGCCCATCTCACTCTTCAGGGAGTCTGGCCATTGTATACGGCCCTTCTAGCAAGCGAATACGAAGTCGACTCTGGTAATAGGCTGACAGAACTTAGCTGAATGGAGCGAGAGCGTGTGCCTAATGGTTAGATACTGTTAGGAAGTTAAGCTTAGGGTAGTTGCCCTACCGCCACGTAAGATGTCAATGAGCCTTCAGCATTAGATAAAAGCCTATTGGCATGCTGTTATAGACAGGAGTGGCATGCAGTAAGGATCAAGCATGCGAGTCAGGGGATTCAGAGTGAACCTCTCTTAGCCGAGGAAAATGATGAGTATCTCCTGAGGATAGTGCTCACATAGAACAACGAGGAAGACGGCCGAATTCCCGGGGTGGGCAGGCAACTTGTATATATGGTTGATAAGTGTTGTGATGTGCATTTATCCTTACCGTTGTAGTACTTTGACGGTCCTATCGTGACGAAGAAGCCCGTAGTAGCCGGTTACGACGAGGTGAAGTCGGGATACAGTGGGAAGGACTTGCTTTTTCTAGGGCGCTAACGCCGTGCCACGTTAGAACGTTAGAACCCCAGTCGTCGATCTCGATGTCCCCAAACCTCAGACAAGCTTCCGGCTCGTATTTGCATTGAGACTGGCACGCAATGACGCGTTTCGAATTATATACCTCTATATAGATAGCTAGCAGGTGGTACTTAAGATCAGCGGTTTCGTCGCCGTAGAGTATACATAGTTGTTAAATTTGCCGGAATCATGGTGTTGTCGTGAGCAAATGAATCAATGGGTGAATACCTTAGTTATCTAGTATGTCTTCTAGATACCTCTTGAACACGAGAAACATTTAACGCAGGAGTAGTGTACATACCTTTATAGGTACTTAAAGGTAGAAATGCAAATATCGCGTCTAGGATCCATGTCAGTTACATGAGCATGAAAGCCAAGAAGTGAACCAACTGGGTCGCGCAAGTTCAGCCACTCCTGTATGTATGGCACCCCCCCCACCGTCAGATCCGTATTAGCCTGGGCCCAAAGAGAGAGAGGCTCACGTTTTGGATTCTTTCGGAGTATTTTTCCTCGACGGCTGATGGCAGCGCATTTACTATGTAAGCTAGATGCTTTAGCCCCGCGACGGAGGGCGGTTAATACGAGCGGCGCCACACATCACATCTCGCTAAGCTGTCATGCGGCTGTCATGCGGAGACGTTGCTAGAAATAGATTTTTGTAAATTGCTATGTTTCGAAAGTGACCGTCCGCAATAGAAACGGAGACGGAAACGTTCGTGTTGCGGGAGATTGGATCTTCGGGTTCGGAGCGGGCGAACCAGGGCAAAAATTGGGTCAGAGACGAGCGAACGGGAGCTAATGGACATAACCATAACACCGTCATACCGTTCATTTTACAATTGGTACTAGTAGAGGTTGCTACCCTAATTCATGTTATCGCGTAGTACCCGATGCTTGGAAGTTGAAGACGGAATGAAAATAAATGAGAATGCTAAGGTCTAGATTCAATTTTAGAGTTGATTAGTAGGACGAGACTAGGTACCAAGTGCCGCCGTCTGCATCTCGGTATCACGGCTCAGGTATTATAAATTTATAAGGTAAGTGCATAGGTACCTATTAAGTACCTTGTCTTAGGTACCTACAGCACACATACATACATCTAAAGCTTTAGGGTATTGGTGACTTCACGTTGAGGACCGAGGTACACCTACCTCCTGCCCCCTAAAGTGGGTACCTAGTTCCTTCTTAACCTCAGATGTTATTCTCTATAGCAGTAATACCTATCAGTCAGCTCATAACTACTTGTAATAACTTTATAGCAGGAAGGCACGGAAAAGAAGGTTTATCTAGCAAATGACCTTGTGTTACTGTCTATATTATTATGGAAGGTACTTGGACATAGAAGTTGGTATTCAAGGTAGTACTGCTTCAACCATTATGACTTCATCATTATAGCCTTCGTTTTTGATTGGTCAGAAATACCAAATCCCATTAGGTGTAGTACACATATCCATCATTCGATCCTATAGCCTGAACCATTACATACCATCATATTGCACAGCAGCCTTGGATATATTTTATTGGCAGAGGTGTCGCTCATAATTATGGTTGAAGCAAAATAAAATAAAAATACTCCAGCTTTAGTTGTAAAAACGGGGTGAAATCCTTTAACTTTCACAAGTTAGGTAATGATATGTTGTCTTGTACGATGTCCAAGGTACGTAGCTTTTATTAGCATTGGGCGCTAATGTATCAAAAAATGAGTTGGCTTCAAGACGGCTTTCAAGGGTCCCTGGAGTTACAGTACCATGTATCTTTCTGCCTTACCGATTTTTTTTTCTTTCCTTTGTTCTTTTACTTCTCGTCCCACAACTCACCTTAAAACAAATAACCTAACATAGTAGTAATAATAATTTTGTTAATACTCATCGCTCTCATTGTCGTCACTCCCACTCTTTGAGTCTCACCGCTATCGTTTAGTATTTTTGAAGTAACTATTCTTTTATATCATCACGAAACAATTATTAAGTAACATAACATAACATAGGTAGCCAGCAAAACCCACCAGCAAATCATAGCTCGCAGCAGTAAGCAAGCAAGTTAGGAAAGCAGGGATTTTTGTTTTTGGGTCGTCACCCAGAGCATAGGCACGGACGATAGGCTGGCAATAAGCTAGCTAGCTGGCTGGCTGGTGGGCATCCCGAGCAGCGTGGGCTAGATTTGGTAACATCATTATCACTACAAACCAAACCGAACGACGCACTGCCACAACAAAGGCCCCAAAGCGACCCGATATCCGAATCTCCTTTCCTAAATCCTCCCTCGTTTTTTCATAATCTTTTTTTTTTCTCGTTTCTCGTATTATATTCTATCTTCACAAAATAATTCTAGCTATTTCCAATATCTCTCTGGTGTATTTGAAACATTCTTACCTCGGCGCGCGTCCAATCAATTGCAAGGTCCAGCGCACCGAGACTCTGTCCTTCTTATCACGATGCGGCCCTAGTGGTCCTAGATCCTTCTGCGTTAAGCCTTGGGCGACACCATCTTGCTACCTCTCCCCGACGACGAACGATGCGAAATCATACTTTAAGGCTTCTCAATACGCCTACCACCTATCTAGGGTTCGCTGACGCCGAGTTTGACGAGAATCAAGATGTGTATGCGGCAGATGATGTTTCGCCCGTCAAGATGATAGGCACTTATAAATCAGAGCAAGATAGATGCTTACCCTCACTGTCTTCACCGACTTCTACTCCTACGGCACGAAATAGCAGGATATCGTCCCTCTCCAGTGTTATAGTGGGTTCTTTGGTAGCGTCTACCTGGATTTGCACTGCATCCGCTGTGAATGTTACGTTCAACAACTGTCTAGATAGCAACTATATCTATTCCAACCAGCCGGCGGAACAAGTTCAACTCCAATGGGTTCCCCTGTATGCCGATGCCAAATTTGATACCCAGAACCCAAACCATAACCTGATCGTTACGGTATGGGGAAATGTGACGGGTCGCGTCGGCGTCGATACGCTGCCGCCGTGGGATTCTCCGCGTTGGAATGAGCCGGACCAAGTACTGAATGGGAAGATACAAAACGAACCCGAACCGAATTTGCCAGCCGCTCAGCGCAAAGTTACAACTCTGTATTACAAAGTTGGCGTCGCCACGTACGAGCCTTATCATAATACCGTGAACTTCTGTAACAATATCATAAACGGGTCGTGTCCGCTCGGTCCCGTGTTTAAGGATCATATTCCCGAGTAGGTGGCTCCCATAGAATTAAAGGGAAGAGGAGAGAGAAGGTCTTCAACTAAGGATTATGGCGAGCTAACGTTGAATCTATGCAGTAACTCTCCACCCTACGACTTTCCCTCTTTTAACCTCTCTAGGGATATGTCTTCGTCCTATGCTTTTACGTCATTCGCTCCCACTTTCATTGTCTGGTATGGCGACTCTGGGAAGACCACCATCGGATGTGTTTCTACGATTCTCACTCCAGATCTTGGTGGAATCGCTTGGTCCCTGAAGTTTGTACCGTTATTCGTATTGATCTTGGTGGGGTTTGCAACAGCCTTCGCGGGTATCTTTAGCCCATGGGGTACGAGTGATGTGTTCCATTGGACGTCAAATTACGGCAGAGATCCCGATCTTTTGCGCCTGGTCACTCCTGGCTTTGGTGATTGTCTCCAGTACATCCAGTATATTCTTCTGACCGGCAGCCTCACCCTGGAGTACCCTGGATTTTATCAGCCAGTTACGAGTCAGGTCTCGTGGTCTACCTTGATGTTCAACCAAAGTTTCGTCTCCAACGCCGAGCCTTGGCAGAGTCTAGTCGACGGACTCTACACGATGAATGGCACCTATGGTCTTGAGAAGATTGCGCAATTAGATGGTATGGCTCAGGTCGAAGATATTTGGGCTGGTATGATGGTATGGTTACTGGTCATCATTGCTGCCGTTCTCGTCTTGTTACAAATTTGGTTCTTTGGACGGTGGCTATTGCGATATATCAACCACATCCCGGAGGAGGATCTTCGATCAAAGAATATCCCTTTCTCATTAGGCAATATCATTCGCCTCGTCTTCAGCTATTTTCTACTTCCTATTGTTGCCTTGACCACCTTCCAACTGGTGGTTGCAACCCGTTCCCCGAGCTACCTTGTAGGGCTGGCTGTTCTCACTTTGGTCGTGATCATCGGATTTGCGATATGGCTTATATACCTCATTATAAGTACCAAACCTCGGGCGCACCTGTTTGACGATCTCCCGACCGTACTTCTTTATGGACCCCTCTACAATACATACTCTGACCAAGCCGCTGCTTTCGCTTTAATTCCAATCCTACTAACAATATCGCGAGGCATTGCCGTGGGCGCCGTGCAGCCCTCGGGTACCGCACAGATAGTAATATTAGCTGTGTGCGAAGTAATTCAAATGCTAACGCTCCACGCATTTCGACCTTTCCATTCTCCTACTTCGATGAATGCTTATCACACAGGGTTTTCGATTGTCCGTTTCGTATCCGTAATTCTCATGGTTGCGTTCACGCCAAGCTTAGGGGTTTCAGAGGGCCAGAAGAGTTGGATCGGCTACGTGATCCTGCTAATACACGGATCTGTACTAATTTTCGGCTTCCTCCTAAATGCGCTACAGACAATCATTGAGGTTATTGCACGGTTATTAGGTGCCGGAGGGGATGATATTGATGGACAGAGAAGAGGGGGGCTTTCCAAGATTTTCGGCGCTCGCCAACTATCGAGACGCGTGGACCGGCGCGGCGGTCCATCCCGTCAAAGCCAACTTAGTACGACGGCTATGTTAACGTCCGAAACTGCAACAAAGCGCGGGTACGGACGCGTAAGAAGCGAATCAGCTGGTAGCATCGGGATGCTCGCCAATCACAACCTGAGAAGCTCGAGCGCCCTGGATGCTCGGAGTATAGATGCGTACTCAATCCCGCTTGGTAGTGGTGGTGCTTTCACCCCGACGACGACAACCCCTGGAGACGCTAGTACACTCTCCTTCCTGCCATCTCCAGGGCAAGCTACTCGTCCTCAACCCACGGCTGATCCCTACTACCGTCCCCCACGCGCTCGGCGAGGTACTATTGGCGAGGTAGGATCCTCATCACCACATCGGGCGCGTAGCTCTTTAGCTAGTATTGACCTATCGAGTCACCGGTTGAGTGAACCTGCTGGAGCCACGACTGGCGGAGACGATGATCTACTACCCGCAGGGAAGATGAATCCAGCTCCGGCACCTGCATCTTATATACCAGTCTTCGCGCCGAGAGCAGATTATTCGACCCGTGAAGTCGACTTCTACTATGGTGTGCGTGGCCCTGCATTGAATTCGGAGGGACCTGGCCGTAAGTTAGGTACCGGCCCGGCAGATCCTACCAGTCCAGTTGCAACAGCTACGGGATGGCTCAAACGTCTTTTTGGTGGTAAAACTAAAGAGAAGGGCAAGGGCTTCGAGGTAGTTAGGAGTGCCCGGATGCCTCCTGCGATGAGGGCCAGAAATGGTGAGCTTGCCGAAGAGCCACCGGAGGGCATACCTGTAGCAATGGGTGTACTTCGAAATGGTCCAATAGAAAGCGACGATGAGGATGATACGCCAAAGTCGAAGAAAACTAAGGGCGTTATTGAAGATAGTGCTCAAGGTGAATTGCTTAACGAAGACGGTGATCCTCGGTCTGATGGTGAACATCAATCGGATGATGAGGTGAACACAGAGGTACCCAAGGTCGACGAAGAACCACCTCTTTTGCCCGACCTTGACGCAGGTGAAAGCTTTAGGGTCCCTAGTAGAATACATTCCAAGGCAAGCAGGCGTCCATCGCAAAGGACGGCGAGAGCCTCATCAGCGACCGAGGAAGTGCCAGTTCCCGAAGTTCCCAGGAAGAGCTCGAAACGAAATTCTAGTGTAAACCCGTTAGAAAACAGGCAACTTATTGATCTTGCGCCGCCCTTGGGGGCACCACTAACTCCGACGCAATCGAATAATACAGGACCGGCCGGAAGCACTTCGACAAGATTGCCATTTGACCGTACTAATTCTCAGAAGCGTCTTTCATTATCGTCGGTAGCGGGAACGGAAGCGTCCAGCCACGTACCTTCTGCCGACGGGACAGAAGACAGACCTACAAGCTACGGCTACGTCCATCAACATAATATCAGTCAAATCGACCCAGAGCAAGGAGTGGATCTACTTGGAAGCTCGGCAGAGGTAGTAGACGTATCAAGGAAGCCAAGCCCAGGCTCGTCGGTGTCTAGGCGATCTAATCGCTAAGCATACACGGATTACTCACAGGCACACCTCAATATTACCATATTTACGTGTAACGAATTTTCTTGAATCGCTGTATAGGAGGAATGTATAGAGTCGATTGGGCCCTTTGGCAAGGGCTGTAATAGGAATTTTAGTGAGGTGTTTTTGAATTTTTTGCGGTTGGGAACCAGCAAGGCGCTTAAGGATATGATCAGTCACATCTTACGGCAACGATATTTCGATGCCTTTTTTTATTTTTTATTTTTTATTTTTTATTTTTTATTTTTTATTTTTTATTTTTTATTTTTTATTTTTTATTTTTTATTTTTTTATCCATCCCTTGTTTATAAACTCGTACGCGGCGAGCAGTCTTGTGTTGAGCGATGGCGAATTAAAAACAAAAATGGCGAGGGTACCTATAGTATTAGGTTGGAAATAGGTACATGTCAAAGAAAGGGCGTAGGTAGCATATATATAATTGCATGTGGAAAAGAGGAGGGGCAGAAAGGGGAGAAAGAAGTGGGGAGGGGAGCTTCAAGAGGAGTGGGAATGGGAAGAGATAATAATATATACAATTCAAAGTAGTGTACTGCTCAAGCCTCTTATCCTTTTTTTACCTTTTTTTTTTCTTTTCTTTTCTTATTTCTTATTTTCCCTTTCTCGAATTTCGGTGATGTTGCTGATACGTTGTTATCCTCTTAGCTATAATACGCTTCCTCGGTATTCCGGGTTATACACGACAACGGATTCCCGATAACGGAGCGGGAATGGACTTCGGGGGCTATTATTTTCCCCATTCTAAAAGCCCCCATACAAGCCGCCCAGAATCCATATGGCGTAACGTTGGCGTATCGTTCAGTCTATAGTGGAGAAAACAAGGTTGTTGCTAGTATTTCTAGTATTCGTCTTCGGGTGATAGCTATGCGACCGAATTTATAAACCGGTACTACCCTTTTTGACTCTTTAACTACCTCACTCATACCTTTGAATATATATTTCACCTAGTATATAGTCTATATTTCATATCTGTTATTGCTACATCTACAATCTACATAGCCAACTTGAAACTATCTAGGTAGATATTCACCATTTACAGTTCTACTAGCTTGAGATCCGTTCTCCAAGTAGATCGGACAAAGGGATATACCTTAGGAACCTAGGTGTCGAAGCTAGAGTGATCTGAAGAAGACAAAACCATGGCGGCAGAGGAGAGTACCGCACATGGGGTAGCCGTGCAAGATGCTTCTAAGCCGGAGCTCGTCGAGGGTGTTGCCCACGAGAAACCGGTCGTCGGCATAGACGAGGCGGATGCACCCGTGACGGCGACGGCCCTGGCTTCGAGATTGCAGCACCTCTCTCTGTCGGCCCAGACTATCCACGCCGACGACTTCCTCAACTCCCACCAGTCCGTCGCTCCGCCCATGCACGTCTCGACCACGTTCCGGTATAGCGACGACCCGGACGAGCTTGAGCCGTGGACTAACATCAACGTATGCTTTTTCTCGTCACCATCAATCCCCTTAAATAATAATAAGTGGGAAAAAAAGAAGACTAACGAGTTCCATTATTACTAGCCCAACAACCCCTACGACTCGCACGTCTACTCCCGCGACTCCGCCCCCAACACCACGCGCCTCGAAGCCGTGCTCACCTCCATCCTGCACGGCCCCGCCCTGACCTACTCCTCGGGCCTCTCCGCCTTCCACGCCCTGCTCGTCTTCCTCAACCCCAAGCGCGTCGCCATCACCGACGGCTACCACGGCTGCCACGGCGTCATCAAGGTCCTCGCCAAGCTCTCCGGCCTGGCCACCGTCCCCCTCGACGAGGACGGCCTGGCCCGCCTGCAGCCCGGCGACCTCGTGCACGTCGAAACCCCCCTGAACCCCACCGGCGAGGCCCGGAACCTCAAATGGTTCGCCGAGCGGGCCCGCGCCAAAGGCGCCTGGCTCAGCGTCGACGCGACCCTCGCGCCGCCCCCGCTGCAGGACCCGCTCGCCTGCGGCGCCGACGTGGTTATGCACAGCGGTACCAAGTACTTCGGCGGCCACAGCGACATGCTGTGCGGCGTGCTCGCGGTGCACCCGCGGCACGCGGGCACGTGGGTCCCCGGGCTGCGGGAGGAGCGGCTGGTGCTGGGGTCGGTGATGGGGAGCTTCGAGGGGTGGTTGGGCGTGCGGAGCCTGCGCACGCTGGAGGTGCGGGTGCGGAAGCAGAGCGCGGACGCGGAGAAGCTAGTGGCTTGGCTGGCGGGGGAAGCGAGCAAGGGAGGAGAAAGCGAAAGCGTAGTCGGGGCCGCGGTAGCCGAGGTGCGGCACGCGAGCCTGCAGAAATCCGCGGGGGAGCAGGAGGAGGGGGGGTGGCTGAGGGAGCAGATGCCGCGGGGCTACGGCGCGGTGTTCGCGGTGTACCTGCGGTCGGCGGACGACGCGCGGCGGCTGCCGAGCAAGCTGACGCTGTTCCACCACGCGACGAGCCTCGGGGGCGTGGAGTCGCTGGTGGAGTGGCGGGCGATGACGGACGCCGGGGTCGACAAGAGGCTCCTGCGGTTCAGCATCGGGCTCGAGGGGTTCGAGGACCTGCGGGACGACCTGGTGCGCGGGTTCGAGGCGCTGAGGGCCGAGAGGGCGAAGAGGGACGCGGCTGGGAAAGTCGCGGCTGGTGGTGCGAATTTGATTGGTGGGGTGTGAAGTATGATGATGCTGCTATTGGGATTCTCGGATGGGAAGGGGGGCTGAAAATGCATAGATAGATAGATGTATGGGTATATAAACACCTACATTGAATAACTTTATTTTGGTATGAGCGTGGGAGAAGCAGTATATTAGAACTTGTAAGCTCTCGAGGGTACGTTGGAGTCAGGTAACTAACTGCCTGTCCAAGTTGGAGGGAAGGTTTAGGTAGGTACCAGGTAGACAAAGGATTTATCCATCTACTATTTCACATCGCACGGCGTGACCTACTGTAGGTGAGAATAAGAGTATCAATAGTATCAATGGTATCAGTAGTATATCGTATTGAGATGCCTAAGCACCTGCTTCTAAGAGGCAACTATCCTTGGTTGATTTTAGAAAGGAGTGACCCCTGAACATCAGCTTTCTTAAGAATACCACACACTAACTACATGACTTATATAGAACAAATTCCAAACAGGTTTGATATGATAGGTGCCTAGGGAAGCATTATACACAGTTATAGCCAACTCAGAATATCACGCACGTATTTAGCTTATAAAAGGAGCTCATGCCTTAGAATCGAGTCTAGGCCAGCACTGCAGCGATAAGATAATTTTGGGTGTGCTTTAAGCCTCAAGGGCCCATTACATTAGATTTATTAACAGCCTGAACTTCGTCAATCATACCCTATTTCCTGGTTTCCTATTCCACAAGTTCTAAATTAATACCCTGTGTTCCCTCTAAGCTATTAAACCAAGAAGCTTAGGTCCTAACACCAAGCTCTCCTTATAGAGCATCTAGCTCGTAAATAGGAATTAAGTAATGCCTTATATACAACGACTTTTATGGGCAGGTAGGTACATATAATACCCATGGTCGACTTTTCTTTTTATGTGCAATTTTTATGTGCAATTTTTATACACAATTTTGTATATAGACCCTTCTGATACGTCAACTCATGCATCATTATTATTAACGTATCGAAAAATGTTAAGGGGTTTTGTCCATCCTGAAGTTGGGTAGCGCCTATCCTGACATATGGTATGTGGCGCTAAACGAAGTGGAGAAGCGACAATATGTTGCTTTCTGGGATGAGGCAAGCTCCATTGGATGCCAACGGATATGATATCTATCATCGGGAGTTGCCATCACACTGGATAGCACCACCCTTTCTGTGATATCTGAGTGGTGTACATTCGCCGCTCACAACAACCTGGCTGGTAGTGCTGTCGAACCTTCTGCCATTGCGCGGCCCTCATCGCTGCCCCGTTATCTCGAGCATCTCCGTCAAGCTGACGACGCGGTACCCGTCCTTCTTCAACTTCTTCAGCACCTTGCGCAGCATAGGCGCGGTCCAGCTCCGGCGGTCGTGGCACACGATCACGGCGCCGGGGCGCACCATGCTCAGGACGTGGCGGGCGTTGAGCCAGGCCCAGCCGATCTGCGCGTCGTGCGGGTACACGCTGCCGAGCACGATCCCGTAGCCGAGCTTGTCGACGAGCGCGCGCATCCGGTCGCTGAAGAAGCCGGACCCGGGCCGGAAGTACTGCGGCGGCATGCGCGGGTGCTCGGCGCCGCTGGCCGTCGCGTACGCGTCCCGGATGCGCTCGCGCACGGCCTCGATCTGCGCGGCGAGCTCCTCGTCCGGCAGGGCGCGCGAGGGCTCGTCGTGCATCGCGTGGTTGCCGAGCTCGCTGCCGCTGCGCACGATGTCCGCGAGGGTCTCTTCGCGGCCGGGGACCTGGCCGCCTATGACGAAAAACGTGGCGGTGGCCTCGTGGCCGTTGAGCACGCCGAGGATCTCCTGGGTGTGCTCGGAGGGGGCGTCGTCGATGGTCAGGGCGACGACCTTCTGGTCGGTGGGGACCTCCCACAGCACGTCGGGCCACCGCCGCGAGAAGTACCGGATCAGCGCGCGCGGCGGCTTGTACACGACGTAGAAGGGCAGCAGGAGCAGGGCCAGGATGGCGAGTAGTGAGACGAGGGTGGTCATCCTCCGGCGCCGGGCCCGCCGCCGTAGCTTAGAGGGGAGGCGGAGGAGCGCGGGCAGGCGCAGCATTTGCTTTTTGAGGGGAAGGAGAAGAGGAGAAGGAGGAGGAGGAGGAGGAGAAGGGTGGATCAGGAAGGTAGCATTCGACGGGACGGTTCGGGAGAGAAAGGAATGTTTTAGGAGTTATTTTCAGGATTTAGGATGGCGGCTCCGGGATGGATGGATTGTCGAGGACCTCGGCATTCAGCGTTCAGACACCGTGCAACTACTACTCAAGTTCGGGCTCGGGCTTGGACTTGGACTTGGACTTGTATCGTCGCTCGTGTATCGTCGGACAAGGAGGGGAGCATTTCTCGAAAAAGGGGGTGATTTTGTGTGCGTTTGTGTTTTCCGCAAAAAAAAAAAGAGAAACAAGGCACGAAACAAAAAGCCAAGAAAGGAAAAGAGGGAAAAAAGAGTGCATACGTCACCCAGGTTTGATTTAGGAGCTTCAGCCTTCAGGGGCTTTAGTTTTTAGTTACCTGTTTAGTGGTTGATCAATTCAATCGATACCTTCCCCGGTGTGCTAATTTTAGTGGTTGCATCGCAAAGCAATGCCGGTTCTCCACTGTAATACGTACACCTGCCGTGCTAATCAGATGCTATGTTTCAATGATGGGCCTTTCTGGTAGCCGAAGCTGGGTTATGAATGCATACCTAGGTTAGGTACCTACCTCCTAGGGACATAACTGGCATGAAGGAAACTTTACATAAGTGAATCATCAAGGTCAAATGTTAAGTATAGCAGGGGTGGCATTTTAATGATCCCCCAATGTCTTTACATAGTACATTAGGTATTTAGGTACCTGCTAGTATAAAATGCACTATGAATATTAGGTACCTGAGGCAATGCTTCATCCTATGTAAAAGCATTCCTTAAAAAGCAAAAAGGAGATATGCTTCAGTTACTAGTTTAGTTCCGTCCCTTCTTTTAGCATCTTATATACCTTGGTACAGATGAAACCGCGGATCGCACTAACTAACATTCTACTATCCGGTAGAGACCCAAACTAGGGTCCGGCTACTAACGTATTTTTTAAACCATGGATGTACTTAATCTCGCTATCAAGCTACTGTCCTTTTATATGTGTTTTTACGTGTGTTTTAACGCGTTTATACTTAATTTTAGATATTTTCATGTTAGGGCTAAGTATTTACTTGGCAATGCGCTATTCCACGTTGGTTCCGGACCCTAGTTTGGGACCCTACCGGATACAAGCCGCATTGATTTCCACCGGAACCGCCCACAATCTTCAAACGCGGCTGCGGAGATCTCGTGATTAGGATATGCATAAACGTATTTCGAGGTATGACCTTGGGTTAGCTAAGCTAGGTATGTATTATGAAGCTAAATATACGAATGTGCTGCTTTACCCGTGACAAGATCGTGGTGGCTGTGATATAGCATTATTACAACAACTCGAAACAAATCAATTAAGGTCGAACGTGTATGTGCCGTGACATTCTTTATCAGAATCGGGAAGGCGATAATATGGTTCTTATCTCTATATTTATAACAACATATTCGCTACCGTGGAATGGCATTGGATGGAGACAACTATTTTCAGAATCGTCACAAAGTAAATACTTCCCTAATTTAGCATTAGCTGACTAAATAACATAACTACTAAATAAACGTAACATGGGTCTTTTTCTTAACTCACAGCTGCGGGTCGATCTGCTGAGATAAGGTTCTGATGAATTGTCTTAAACTATCATCCGTTATTCAATCCTTACATACAGGTACCTAACCTAATGCTATCCTATCTTATCCTCTTACCTTTAATCCAACCGATGTTGGTTGGTAAGAACTTAGGTACCTCTTACATTTCCCTTACGACCTCAAGCTCCCATCGGTACCTAAGGTACACACATCTGTGTATACATCTGTGTATACATCTGTGTGTAGTCTAGGTAGATCACCAGACAATACGTCAAGTCATCCTACCTTTCCATAGTACTGCATCACGTCTTTATCTCTAGTCGCCCACTTTGAAGTCATGCGGGTCATGTTCGCACGTGTGCATACCTAACCTACCTAACCTACATAACATCGTGCGCCGTTCGGCCGTATTTCCGTCGAGACCTTCTTGAACAATGCAAACGCCGATAACTATACCACAAGAAGGAGGAGGAGAGACTCTTATCGCGAACTAGTAGGTCAATTAGGTTAGGTAGCTAGTCAGAAGATGGTTGTCCAATCGGGGATACTCTTTTTTTCTTCTTCTTCTCAACTGCGTAGAAAAGAGCGCTATTGTGCGGGGAATGCGTCATGTTACTGGATACCAGGTAGGTTAGGTTGGGTAGATACCTTGACTTATAAGGTCACCTCTACCTTACCTATGTAACATCACCTGCAGAAATAAGTATAGATTAGCCTAATCACTGATGAGAGACTGCTCTGGAACAATGCTATATTATTATAATGGTTAATATAGAGAGTCGATGCTGTACAGGCCAAGTCACTTTGTAACCTATCACGAATTATTACTGTCTGAGAAACCCTCAAGTAAAATGTCTATGGACTCATTCGCATGCAATTTTTAGTTATCGTTTGACACTACGTAAAAAAAATAAAAATAAAAACAAGAATTCATAAACGGGCATTACGTCCACATCAATTCTTAATAACTGTCTATGCCTTTATTATAGGCTTTTCGTAAACAGTGTATTCGCATCTCAACCTTGTAAACTTTGACAATAAAACAGAAGAAAATGACCGGTATGGGTCTAGTGCTAAGTGCCCGGGTATTAAAACCACAAAAATTCAAGCCACGTCTCGAACGCCTTGGTCACTTTGAACCTTAAACCGGCGCGCAATATCATCCCAAACTCCACAACTTAATCCCGTAAATCTGATCGCTAAGACCCCGTATGTAAGAGACCTATGTGCTAGGTTAGGTACCTTTGTGCGCAGACCCCTAGTCGACTTGTCCAAATATATACATTGAAATGCCGCATATAATCCTATCTCCGAACCTCCGGCAGCGAGACTCGGACGGAACGTAGCTTGCATGCTTCTTTTAAATCCATGCCTGTTGTATTTCGGCAGGCTCAGGCTGGAAGAAGGTCGCGAAGAGTCCCTGGACCTCGGCCAAGTAATCTTCGGGTCGGAACCTGCAAAGGCCTCGTGCGAGAAGCTCTTTCTCTTCTTCGTCGATAACCTGCATCTTGTCTTTGATGCCTAGTTCCTCTGCCAGTTCCGTCACCTGCGCCAACTCGTTACCGAAAGGATGTTGAGCGTCGGAATAGTCTCGTCGAAAGGCCGGACGAGCTGGGGGTGGCGATGTGATTACGGGAGGCATGGGAGGTGCCGTAGCGAATGAAACAGATGGTTTGCGCGAGAAAGAACCTGACGAGACGGAAGTAGCGGCCGTCGAGGTTGATGACGAGCGAGAAAGCGAAAAGCTTGCCTTGGTGGAGATAGACTTGCTAGATTGGTTAGAAAGACGCGAGAACTTGTTTGCCAAGTTGTCGATCGACGCCTTCTTGGTGTGTGATGGCGATCGCTTTGGGATAATGGGCGCCTGGTTGGTAGCTGCAGGCGTCTTAGGTTGACCTGGAGCGACGAAATAGCAGGAAAGGTGGTTGTGTTCCGGCGTGGTAGATCGATCCGTAGCCGACGGAATGTCAGGACTCGTCGGCGGTGATGATGCGCTAGTACGGGGACTATCAGAAGAAGAGTCTTCGGATTTGGACTCAGTTGGCGAGATTTCTGGTTGAGGATATAAATCTGGTGCGTTGTATGCAAGCATATTAGTTGTGTGGGTAAGGGCCATAGGACCAGATATCTTGTTGCGAATTGCCGCAGAGCTATTCTTGGCTGTGGTATTGCTCCGCTGAGGCAATATCCCCAGATCCTGCGACGACTGCTTTCGCCTAGTTGTAAAGGCGCGCGCAAGAGACATATTGGCTGACGGTTTCAAAGAGCCTTTAGTGAGAAAAGACTAAGAACTAGTTTGCTATAATCCCTGGAAGACTTCCAGAATATGAAGCGAAACCAGGAGGAGGCTAGGTACGGCGTTGGATTTTATGTCGTGCCACCCAGCCGCGGGAGTCCAGCTTAGAAGATATCCTTAAACGTGAGCTGATACGGACTTGTAAAGATCACGCCCTATAAGCTTCTCTTCGGCTTGCGTAAATTCAACTCCGAAGACGAAGTTTTTTTTTCTCTTCACGGAAGGACGTTAGGGTTGATGCGATACCCAAAGCCCAAAGTTGATATTGTCGAAGTTGGGTAATGTGACAACTCCGGGTTGAAGGAAAGGATATGGCGACAGTAAGTACACTGCGACCTGTTTCCGGCGGGTGATGGATACCACTCTGGGACGCGCTTAAGAGACACTTGTGCAGGAGACAATGTTACCCTAATTAGGCAGGTGGACACAGTGGTTGGGTCCCGGCGAAACGACCTGATATGATCCTATGAGATCGCGGGGTCTTCCCTCTGAGACTAGATGTATCGTTACTTTGAATGACAGGAGTCCAATATGACCGAATCAAGTAGTTGCGAACCTAAGGTTGACGTTGCGGAACACTTAACCGTTAAGTTCGTAGAAATAAGAAATGCGCTAGCTGCGGGAGAAGACACTGAGGCGTAGAAATCTGCCGGAGTTCTTCGTTGACGCCTCTTCGGGAATCCCTTAAATGAAATGTTGAGAAGAATATCGGGTGATCTAAACTTGCTGTAGCCACCGCGCCGAAGTGAAATGTGTGCCTAGCAAATCGTAGTCTAACCTGTCCAAGGTTTGTCGAGCTGTGAGATACCAAACTCTTAACTCTCACCAGTTCCCTTAAATTGGTAGCATGTGGAGCTCTTGTCTTGGTATTCTGTGGATGGGTATTCACACAAACTTGTCGCCAAATCCGAAATGAGATGGGTTGACTATTTGAAAAGAGAGCTGACGTTTTTTCTTCTTATGATGTCCACCAACTGGTGAGAAAAATGAGTTTGTATGTACTAGAACGAAACTGTGAAACAACCAGGTTCCCGATAAAAATCAAGGGTATTGACAAATAGTTGCCGTAATTAATACCTTGTATTGTAAAAGGAAGGACAATGATTTTTTTTTGAAGCCTCAAAAGACTTGTTAAATCGTAACCGGCGACGAGTCTTAGGAGAGGGTCCGGAGAGAAGTGGAATGAATGAATAGGAAGAAGAATGCCAACAAAACGGGCAAGTGGTTAGAATGAGTGGAAAGAGAAGGACGGGAGTGCATGCACTTGGGATGAAAAAGGAACCGCGAAAATAATACTAATAAAGCGCATCCAGGGGTTCGTGGTCCGGACCGGGGGAGAAGAAGAGAGGAAGAAAAAAGAAAAAAAAAAAAAAAAAAAAAAAAAAAAAAAAAAAAAAAAGAGAAAAGAAAAGAAAAAAGAAAGACATGGGGAAAGAAACCCTAAACAAGCCTATCCCATCTAAAAGTCCCCACTTTCAGGCACTTGCAGGGAGTCCAGGAACTTAGGGCGAAAGTATTTAAGAGGTTTCGGTACTAGGACGGGATTTTGAAATTCAATACAAAATTATGCCAACTTAACCTTTCATCGGTGTATTAGTTACAAACGGTACATCATCGTCGCATGTTCTTTCTTCTTATGCTTGCTCTTTCTGTACCTATGGTAATATACATAGTGCACTTACACGCAGCAGCATGACTTCCAAGGTTCTTTCTCCGTACGTAGTACATGCATTAGTAAAATACATTGGTAAAATACATTGGTCGGGTAGTAGGCCAATAAGCAATAAGCCATCTTCAACTTCTTTTGATCTTCCAACCACATGCACTTCTTTGTCCATTTTCAAGTGACAGATCGTATCCCCCTTTTTCTTTATCTGCTTCAGTTGCTCATCCTCATCCTCCCTCACTAAAGTTTTTTTTCTCCCTCTAGTAAGCCGCTCTAACATTCAAGCTAAAAGAAAGACTTGATCGATCGACGGTGGTACCAAAGATTTCAGAGACGAAGACGCCGACCTACATAGTAGAGACTAGAGTTCAAAAAAAATCCCTGCAACACGCTCTAATGATTTTTCGTGCTTCCACTTGCAAGTTAGCGCAGCACGCAGAGCACGGGATTCCCCAGTTAACCGAATCTGACGACAGGGACCAAAGATTGGTTGACTGAACCCATTGCCCCTGGTCCCTTAAAAGCTCGGCATGCGGTGGGTTGACGAATCAAGTCTCAATTTTGCCAGGGGTTCTCTTTAAGCGGTTGATTTCTCGATTCTCATTAGTTGGGTTCACTTAGGCATCCCGGCCAATGTCTCCCGACTGCCACCCCAGCGCCACGTTAAGCAAAGATTATCAACCGCTAAATGCAGGTACCAGTTCGATACCAGCCAGTAGGATGAAGGTAAACGTGAGAGCTTCCAATAAGTAATGCTCAAATCATCCTTTGGGTCTTCAACCTTCCGTTGCCAATGCTACACTACCTACATAGTAGGTACACGATGACATACATTCTCTTTTACATAGTAGCTGCGAAAACTCATCCCGTTCCTGCAGCATAATATTGCGCCGTTACGTGGCCGTTCCTTTGACGACGTCTATGCTTCTTACATCACATTCATCGCATCCATCACATTACGAAGATGGCCACGCCACGTCTTCAGCTTATATGTACAGAATTTCGCATAACTATCCGTACTATGTACACAAACTTCAAAGGCCTCAGTTTTATTGTTCAATGCACTTGCGTAAAAGGTCTAACGGTGCAATTTACCATGCCCATGTCCCAGGACTAAACCCCCCTCGCGGTGGGCTTGGATCTGATCAATCATCATTGATCCACCGAGAGAATCGGTGGGAGTGGATATCCCCTTTATAATCCTTGCCCTGGGACTCGTTAACCTGATTGCATGGCTTAACTGGGGCCTCCGAAAAGGCTTTCCCCCTTTAGGAGGAGGTCGAGAAAGAAGAGAGGAAACAAGCTGATCGGTTCGAGCAGGGGTTCTGAAGTTTGAAACTGACGAAGCCATGCAGGGCGTTGATTGCGGAGAAAATCTGATTGGATGTTTGTTCCCGTTCACCATTGGCTTTGGCTGCTCAAGCGTTTCATCTTCAGGTGCTCTCCTCCAAACATCTTCTGATCTCACCCAATTCTGTCGCCGAGAAGGCGATTGTTAGAGACGATGCCGCCTCCGCCGCCGCCGTCGCACAAGCGCGAGCTCGGTAGATGAAGAAAACCGAATCGGACTCAGCCTCAGACGGGTCAAGCGTCTCTTTATTAAGATGTTGGTAATAGAGTCCATCATAGACATCCCGGTGCGAGATGGCTCAATATTCCTCCCTGCATAGTGAAAAGTTGAGCATGTCCGAGCTCTGTGCCATCCCGAGCACCCGATCTGACAGCAGCAAACATTTGACTTTGTTTTGCGTTGCTTTCCATAACCTCAATTTCAATACCTAGGTAATCAATAGGGGCAGTCACACGTATCACATGCTAAGCCGTCAACTGTACGAACAGATGCTATCGAAGGTTTCCATGGCTGACATAAGTTTGGTAAGTTTGGTTTTGTATAATTTTATATGCCGAGCTGCGTATTATCTTGGGTTATCCGTTATGATCTACGAATTAAATCTCTTATGGAGAACTACACTACCTAGTTGCACCCCATAAAGATGATATGAAGGATCCAGATGTTCGGATTCCGACCATGACGCACGGACACTTACACGTATTTCGAGTTAATTCGGATTGAGACGATCTCAAAAACAACGGCGACTCAACCAACTGACATCCGGTTCGAGTTTCTGGTGTGACTAGAACTGCGTGTGATGGGTTCACCAAACTTATGATCTGACAAGACAGTTACTGCACAACGTGATCTTGGTGATGTCTTTTCAGTAATTGGATTACAGTGGTAGTGAAGAGCTGAGCCAAACAGGTAGATTATTACTAATTCCTTCTTGTTTCAGCCGTCAGCCAAGGTGAATATAAATAAACCCTCCCTGTTCAACCGAACTCTCGAAACTAGAAACGAATTCTGGGTCATGCAACGACGGAGCTAGCCTATCTACGTTGTACCAAGATGTATCTACCCGTGAAACATCACGGTCCAGACCCGACCGGCCGCATCTAATCCTCATCCATAGATTCGGGCTCGCCGTTTTCATCCTCACCGTCCTCGCCCTCCGAGGAGCTCTCATCCTCTTCGACACCAATAAGCCTCTCCCTGATTTCCCCATCTGACTTGTTGGAGATCTTGTGTGCGAACGCTTGTCGCACAGCCCCGTTTGTGCTGGTGTCCCACACGTTCATCGTTCCTTTGCTTCCCGCCACGGCAAGACGGAACGCCACCTCGGCATCGGGGGCAAAGTTTGTCGAGAATACCTTGCCAACGTCTAGGTTGCGGGCCACGACCATGGAGGGCCCTGTAGGCTGGATGTTCCAGAGCTTAACAGTCTTGTCAGTTGAGCCGGTGGCCATGAATCCCGGTATGTGCGCGTTGATGTCGAAAGACGATAAGGACTCATCGTGAGCTTGTAACGTCCACACCGGCTTGGTAGCAGAAGGATTTGCCGGTGCGTTCCGGATATCGTGGTAATGTATAATTCCGTTCTCGGTAGACACGTAGAAGAAGTTGGGGTCATGGGGATCCCATCTAACGTTCTCAACGTCACTCTCTACTCCCCATCGCGGAACTTTGGCCTCGGGAGCTCGCATATCCGCCGCAACAATAGTTCGATCGTAGCTTCCACTTAACAACACCGTGGATTCAACAGAATGCCACGCCAGCGAACAAACTTTGTCTGTGTGGTATGTGTAGGACTTCGCGCATTTCGTCGTGTGCAAATCCCATAGCTTAACGGTCTTATCGGCCGAAGCAGAAGCTAAGAGATTCCGGTGTTTCCTGTTGGCAGCGAGAGACAGAACTGCGTCAACGTGGTATTCATCGTTGGCCTTCTTGGATTTCTTCTTCTTCTTTTTCTTCTTTTCCTCTTCCTGCGGATTGCTTCCTTGGCCCAAGATTGCGTTCGGGTAGATGCAATCTATAGTATCCAGATCCCAGATTTCGATATCGGGATCCATTGTTCCTATGGCGACGAAGTTGGCTACCGAATCCTTCTCCACGTTCTTCTTCGACACAGGAATGTTCAGCCATTCTACACAAAGGGGTATCGCAGGAAGCATGATGTCGTGATGGACGTAGAGGTTGTCGGCTTCGTCTTCGTATACATACACCTCGAGCTGCGCAAGCTCGTCTTCTACCTTGGCGGCCAGTAACAGATTGTCCGTGGCTAGGATTTGTAGCTCTTCCCTGTCTTCGTCATCCTCGTCTTGTCCGTCGGGTAATGTGATATAAGGATCGTCTTTATTCGATTCGTAATACGCCAGAGATTTGATGTTTCCAAACATGTCCATTCTCTGGCCCTCGGCGTCCTCCTCGTCATCGTCATAGTGTTCCAAGTCGTATTCCTTAAGGTCCGCATCATCTATGTCAATGCTTTGGCGGAATTAGTACCTAGTTGCACATAACATAACATAACGTAACGTAACATAACGGTAGACTTACTCCTCTACCTCTGCTTCTTCCTTAGGCGCCGAAGACTTGTGATTTTGGTCAGTTGTATTTTTTTCATCTTCGCCGCCGTCGCTTGCCTCATCGTCATCATCATCATCATTTCCTTCTTCTTGCGCCTCCAGGACGTCCTCATCCGCGTCGTCTAATTGTAGCTTCGCGAGGTTGGCGATCCTCTCAAATTCGGCCTCGTCGAAGTCGTACTTGGCGGGGAACGGCGCCGCGAAGCCTCGCGGCACCCACGTAGACGTCGTTATCATAGATGACATGGCTGATTGTTGGCGACTCGTATCCGCCCTAAGAAAATCTTCCTAACAGAAAAATCTTAGTACGGCGGAACAATTCCGTTCTGTTGAAAAAGCCCTGCGAAACTTTTAAAACTTACAAAATTCGAAATAAAACTTTAGCGGGGCAGTTCCGATAAAAAGGTACGATAAGAAAATTTAGGTAGCGCTACGAAGTAGATAGCGTTAAGTAGCGTTAGGTAGCTTTAGTGGTTTAGCGCCAACACACCGAGGCTTAGGAGGTACCTAGGTAGTTATTTGTTTTCCTTCCGCGCGACTCAACGAACGTTAATAAATTTACTTAATTCCACTTACACCGCTCCGGACCATTTCGCCTTGTTCAACTCATTCTATAACAACGAATACTCAGGATGGATAGAGAGGACGGGAATCACAGCCCCAAGAGGCGAAAAATCGATTTTAATCCACTACGCTCCGATGACCGCTATACTTCTCTTCCAAACCGGAGTTACTCATCTCGACCACACGGCCGCTTCCAACATGCCTCCAGCTCGCGCGCTTCCACTCCTCGCGCCCAATCGAATTACGCCTCCACCCCGAAGCAGCACGAGTTCGATGGCCCGGAGCCGCTCGTCAGTACAGATGAACAGAATGCCCTTGACCGCGACTGGTATACCGGCGACGAGACTGGCGGACATACGTTTGGCGATGACTCCCATAACCCTTTCGGATCGTACGACACCTCTTGGGTCGAGCAGCAACAGCGAGAGGCCGAGTTGATCGAGAAGAAATCTGGACGACATATGAACGCGCGCCAACTTCAGAGGCAAAAGGACAACGACGCCTGGGAAACTAATCGTATGCTTACCTCTGGTGTCGCTCAGAGACGTGCGCTCGGAGATGATTTTGAAGACGAAGACGAGGGCACTCGTGTCCATCTACTAGTCCACGACCTGAAGCCGCCATTCTTAGATGGACGGACTGTATTTACCAAACAGTTGGAGCCGGTCCCGGCTGTTAGGGATTACCAGAGCGATATGGCCGTGTTCAGTCGGAAAGGAAGTCGTGTGGTGAGAGAAAGGAGGCAGCAGAGGGAACGCCAACGGCATGCTAAAGAGGCTACGAATATGGCTGGTACCGCTCTTGGAAACGTATTGGGTGTGAAGGAGGATGAGGGCGACAGCGCCCTCCCAATAGCAACGGAAGAAGACGCACCGAAGTCCGGCGACAACAAGTTCAGCGAGCACATGAAAAAGAACGACGCTGCGAGCGCGTTCAGCCAGAGCAAGACCCTGAAGGAGCAAAGAGAGTTTTTGCCTGCCTTTGCGGTCCGAGAGGATTTGTTAAGGGTTATTCGAGACAACCAAGTTGTTATCGTTGTTGGCGAGACGGGTTCGGGGAAAACGACACAGCTTACACAGTTTCTATACGAAGACGGGTATGGTAAGCTGGGCATGATAGGGTGCACTCAACCTCGACGAGTGGCGGCGATGAGTGTAGCGAAGCGTGTGGCCGAGGAGATGGAGGTCAAATTAGGCAGCACGGTTGGCTACGCTATTCGATTTGAAGACTGTACCAGTAAAGACACAGTCATCAAGTATATGACCGACGGTGTCTTACTACGAGAATCGCTCAACGAGAGGGACCTGGATCGTTACTCGTGTATTATTATGGACGAAGCTCACGAAAGAGCGCTTAATACGGACGTGTTGATGGGGCTTTTCAACAAGATCTTACAACGCCGACGAGATCTCAAGCTGATTGTTACCTCTGCCACCATGAACTCGAAGCGATTTTCGGATTTCTTTGGCGGCGCCCCCGAGTTTACCATCCCTGGTCGAACTTTCCCTGTTGATATTATGTTCCATCGTTCGCCCGTCGAAGACTACGTCGATCAAGCCGTCCAGCAGGTACTTGCGATCCACGTTTCGATGGGCGCTGGTGACATTCTAGTGTTCATGACGGGACAGGAGGATATCGAGTGCACGTGCGAACTAGTGCGAGAACGCTTAGACGCTTTAAATGATCCACCAGAGCTAAGCATCCTCCCAATTTACAGTCAGATGCCAGCAGATTTGCAAGCCAAAATTTTCGATCGGGCACCTCGGGGGGTGCGGAAATGTATTGTGGCTACTAATATTGCAGAGACGAGTTTGACAGTCGATGGTATCATGTACGTGGTGGACGCAGGGTACTCGAAATTAAAGGTATATAACCCTCGGATGGGTATGGACACGCTCCAGATTACACCGATATCACAAGCGAATGCTGGTCAACGTGCAGGCCGTGCCGGTCGAACAGGGCCTGGTAAAGCGTTCCGCTTATACACGGAGAAGGCGTTCAAAGACGAGCTTTACATTCAGACGATACCTGAAATCCAAAGGACGAACCTCAGCAATACAGTGCTTTTACTAAAGTCATTGGGCGTTCGGGACTTGCTCGACTTTGATTTTATGGATCCGCCACCACAGGATACCATTACCACATCCCTTTTCGACCTCTGGGCCTTAGGTGCGCTAGATAACCTGGGAGAGTTGACGGATCTTGGTTCCAAGATGAATGCTTTCCCTATGGACCCATCTCTGGCTAAACTCCTCATCATGTCGGAGGAATATGGCTGTAGCGAGGAAATGGTCACTATCGTCTCTATGCTCTCCGTTCCTAACGTCTTCTACCGTCCGAAAGAACGACAAGAGGAGTCGGACGCTGCGCGCGAGAAATTCTTCGTGCCTGAGTCCGACCATCTGACTTATCTCCACGTGTATTCGCAATGGAAGACCAATGGCTATTCGGACGGTTGGTGTACGCGACATTTCTTACATCCGAAGTCGCTGCGTAGGGCAAAGGAGATCAGAGACCAGCTCCTTGATATCATGAAGATGCAAAAGATGCAGATGATCAGCTGCGGTACAGATTGGGATATCATCCGCAAGTGCATTTGCTCCGGTTACTACCATCAAGCAGCGAAAGTCAAGGGTATAGGGGAGTATATCAATCTACGCACGTCGGTTACCGTTCAGCTCCACCCTACGAGCGCTCTGTACGGTCTCGGCTTTCTACCCGACTACGTTGTCTACCACGAGCTTATCCTCACCTCGAAAGAGTACATGTCCACGGTAACGTCTGTCGATCCCCACTGGCTTGCGGAGCTGGGCGGCGTATTCTACTCTGTGAAGGAGAAAGGGTACTCGGCGCGAGAAAAGCGCATCACGGAGACCGAGTTCAACCGCAAGATGGAGATCGAGGCGAAGATGGCGGAGGACAAGCGCAGATACGAGGAGCAGAAGAAACTAGAGGAAGAGAGAGCGGCGAAGAAGCCGACAGCTAACAAGGAGGTTAAGAAGATTATTACGTCGGGCGCGGTGAAGAAACCCGTAGCCAAGAGGAAAGGTAGGGGGTTTTAGAAGGGGGCTAGGTTAACGATGTTTGGAATAATTATGATATCTGCATAGCATAGCATAACATAGGTAACCATTTGAATAAGGTAATTAACTTATACATTTAGTCTACCTGTTACGTAACCTCTTGACCCTTATCCTCGTACCTCGAAGCGCGCTTCCCCTTCTTGCACATCTCGGGGTTCCCTATCTAGCTTCACGACATGAGCTGGCGTTGGGCCTTTGTCAAGTTCCTTTAGGAACAAGTGGATGGAGTCCTCGGGTCCTTGAGCCTCGCCCTCGACCTTAATAATGAAGATAATTCGTATAAGTTATAGTGAAATGCAGCTAGTAAAAATTATTGCTTACTTTTCCATGCTCCGTATTTCGACACCATCCGGTGATGCCGTGTTCGGCGGCTTTCTTCTGCGCGAAATAGCGGTAGTTTACGCCTGTCGCGCTGTGACGTCAGTAGTTACCCTAACCTATTGGAACTCGTTATCGTGGCGGAATCGGTACCTTGGACTCGGCCGTGGGCGAGGAAGTAAACCTGATATTCTAGCTTAGTTTATCCTCGGTTTGGGATATAACTAGGTAGAGAACAATATATCACTTACTCTTTGTGTCATTTTGAACATTCGACTGTGGTTGTGGCAAATCGCATGCAGGATAAGGTTAGGTAGGTTAGGTAGGTAGGTAGGTAACTTTAGACAAAGTCCTATGTACAATGACGACGACGACGGGGGGGAGGAGCTTTATCGACAAGGTTATTAGTGGAGAAAGACGATAAGCGGTAGAATTTCGGAGAATTATACGTCTGATGTTATCAATCTTTCGCCTTTCCCTTCCAAGGTCTATTTACCTTTGGCTTCCGCTTTCAATGCGGTGTACGTACCTCAGCCTTACATCCATAACTTCAAACATCGGCGACATACCAAACCGTCCAATTCCATCCGATCTCATCTGCCGTAGTTCGCCGCAGGAAATTATTCATTATAAACATTATCATCATGGATAGTACTGCTTCGGAGTCGACGCCCGTACCCCCGGTAATATTCCGAGGGAAGAAACGGAAGACATATAGACAACGAACAGAATCCACCGCCACCGACGACCATAATGAACGATCAAAGTCCATCGAAACACCGCAATTAGAAGAAGGAACACCGACCACACCAGACGCTCCCGCGAAGGCTGAAGCCACTACTACATCAACAACGACTCAAAGCTCGAACGCGGAGGAAGAGGAAGAGGAAGAAGAAGAAAAGGGCCTCTCGGTAGCCGAAGTCCTACGTCTGCGCAACGCACGCAAAGCCCGACTAGGCGGCGTCAAGTTCGGCGCGGGCAGCAGCACCCACGCCTCCAACGGCGACACAGCGACTACTAACACTTTTGGCGACGGCCTGGACGACCTCAGCCTCATGATCCGGGAGGAAGAGAACAAGGCGCTGGACATCGTCGCGGGCGTGAAGAAGCGGTTCGCGCCGCAGACGGGCATGGCGGCGGAGCTCGTGAACAAGCACATGTGAGTTAAGAACCCGCAACCTCCCTTTTTTTTTTGCTTTCCTTTGCGCAGGCTGCTGATGGAGCAAGGGAGGAATACATAGAGGCCGAATTAGCCAGGCGCCACAACGCAGCTGCAGCCGTAGCCGCTGCTGCGACAGCTGCGCAAAACTCGTCGTCGGCAACCTCGTCCTGGCAGTCGGTTAATAACAATAGTCGGGAGCAACAACAACATCAACAACAGCATCAGGCGGTAGCAGTGACCGGCATACCGACAATAGTCACCGCGCGCCCGCGCCCCGAGCAGCGCAACCGCGCCCTGCAGGGCCAGCTCCTGGAGATCGACCTGGGCGAGGAGGCGCGCAGTCGCAACGAGGCGCTGACGGAGCGCGCGACGCGCAAGCTGCAGGGACAGCTTGTCGACGACGAGGATGACGACGAGGACGACGAGCAATTGCGCAATGGTGACGGTAGCGCTCGGCCGAAGAAGAAAGTGCGGCTCGGTCGCGACGGCAAACCCTGGCGTCCGCGGAATAGGCGCAATAGCGATGATATCAAGAGGGACCAGATCGTGGAGGAGATTCTTAGGGAGAGTAGACGTAAGCCTTTTCCTCTCATTCCCCTCCCTTTCCTTCCATCTCTGTCTTTTCCCTTCACTTCCCTAATACTACTATACATTCAAACCCCAATTCCCAACTTCTAACGCCGATGCTAATGTCTCTATACCGTAGTCGACGTATACGAAACCCCCACCCCTCCACCCCTCACCTCAGGCCCTGGCGCAAACGCCAACGTCAACGCCAAGGACGGCGACAACGACGACGGCCAAGCGGCCGACGACCGGATCGCGGAGGAGTTCCGGCGGGAGTTCATGGACGCGATGGCGGAGCGGAGGAAGCGGCGCAAGAAGGCCTCGAACGCGCCCGCCGGACCTAGTGGTAGCGGCGGGAAAGGCGGCGCCGGCAAGGGCAAGGGAGGCGGCGCAGCCGACGACGAGGTGCTCAGGGGCCCGAAGCTCGGTGGCAGTCGGAATGTCCGCGCTGCTATGCGCAACTTGCTGCTGGAGAAGGCGAAGGAGGCGAAGGGGACGAAGGGAGCGACGGGGGTGAAGGGGAGGACTCGCTAAGGGGGTTTGTTGGGAGAGGGGAGAGGGGAGGGATGGGATGAAGAGACGGTTTCGTCGATTTGGGTTTGGGTAAAAGACATCACATAATAACATGGTATAGCATTAGGTACCTACCTCCTACCTAACCTAAACTTGCCGTGGCGTTAGGGTATGGGTGGATATGCGTATATTTGCAGTGCAATCACGGTGGATTTAGAGTACATTGAATAACATATCGTACCTCTTAATACGTTATCTTTTTTTCTTTTCTATTTTAAACCTCCATATCCTACTACCGGATAACAAAATGACTGCTTCGTTAAGTTATCAGTTGTCAGCCAGCCCCTTTTCGCGGTTTACATATTTTCATAGTTTACAATTATCTAATGCGATCCCAACCATATAACCTACCTGGTACTCAGATGCATTCTTAGGTATGGTCCGAGTATCATGTGTATAAGGTAACTACCTACCTTAGACATGCAGGGCCCTCTATAATCACAGAGGCTACAAGATTGCTAGCAACATATATAAAACTCGGAGCTCTACTCTTCATTCGTATATACCTAAGTATAGGTAGGTAAGTATACATAGGTACCTAGGTAAATATATATATACTTTATAACCTACTATAACTGGGCTATATAAGCGGATATAACGTAATGTTTTCGTGATCACATTGCTATTTGTAACGTCGAACGTCGGTCTCTCATACCATAAACGCCCCCCATTCTCTTGTCTCTTCCCTCTTCCATATTTCCTCCTAAAGATCGTTTTGTAAGGTTGGTTCTCTTTCCCAGATATCCTAAATCAAAAGAGCCGGCCCAGATTGCGTTTTGGTGCGCATCTTGCAGCTGTTAAAATAAACTCCCCCAAAAGCAACCCTAAATCATACCATAGCAAGGCGTTTTGCCCTTCCACAGAAGAGATCAAAGTCGACTGTAAATATCAAAAAAAAATAAATCAAATCTCCCATTTGAAACGCCAGGGGAATCAATCCTCTCACTATAACCCAAGAAAATGTCCGGTATATAAAGCGGCCAGCAGCATGTATCGTCCCTCATTGTAAGGATAGAAGCGAGTTAAGCCAATTGGAATGACCTTCGCTAGATGCAATCGCTCTCTATACCTCTTCCCAAGTACGCCAATCTTATACACCGTAGGAGTTCGTGGTAGCTTACGAGCCCCTTACGTTCCATTTCATCAGAAGGGAGCTAGCTACTCGGCTAATGGAACGTCATATCGTAAAATGTGGCAATTGACCTGAAACGAGCGTAAATAGCCCGTTCGGTAATCATGCCTTCTCTTATAACCATATCTAGGCCTTGTACTAGATTCAAGCACTGGGATGCTGAGAACCACGGGCCTTTTATCCAGCTCGGTTCTAAAGAACTAGCCCAGGAACCTGGTGATCTACCCCCTTCCTGATGAGCACACCACCGTCAATAACCGTCACTAGCCAACCGGTATATAAAATGGCATGCTGTTAAGTGGCGGGATGCTTCATCGGATATCCAACTGGAAGGGTTTAAACCTGCCACCAATAGTGGCACAGCGAGGACATTTTCGTCGGGCTCCTTGCTCCTCCACCAAGATATTGACACAATCTCGACACAGGCCGCAAATGCATTCCGTACATGCATAAGACTCCCGGAGTTTCGACGTCCTCTGACAAGCCGCACAATATATGTGTACGTCCTGAGACGAATAACCAGGCGATGAATCTGAAAGTCCGGAGGCTCCTATGCGGAAATGCTCTCCGCTCTCGCCGCTCTCGACGGAGGGGAATGGTTCTGGAATCTCTTGGGCAAAGGAAGGTGGAGTAAGAGCTTGTTGTAGAGGTGAAGCTTGGTAGCCTTGAAAATGCTGATGTGGGAATGGGGGTAAGGAAGCTCGATGCACTGATATAGGAGATTGGGGGACCTGGGAGGTTAGAGAAGGAAATTGACTGTGCCGGGCACGACTTACAGGAGTCCTGTCTTCATCGATATCTTCCGTAGCCGAAGCTGCGGCATCGATGAGGTCTTCCCACCTTTTGCCGTAGGAGGCTGAGGGCTCAAGGGAATGAGCTTTACGGTCAATTCCGCCCGGCTTAAGACGTTCATCATTCTGAATTCTCCGGAGCCAATCATTCGTGGTACCTCTAGATTTCTGCTTCTTATGGCCGCGCTTGGTAATAGATTGCTTCCTGGGTCGATTGGGGCCAAGCGACCTTTGAAGCGGAGGAAGAGTCGAAGAACGACCCGGTGGCGAATTGGAAAGAATTGACGGAAGTAAACCCTTACGTGACGCAGAGCTCAGGGAAGGTAATGGTTCACTAGTTGGCGTTGACTCGTTCCCGAAATGTATTGGAGGTAATTCAATTGTACTCCTCGGTATTCTCCGGCCGTCGTTGTCAGATTGCCAACCCTTCGTAATTAAGATTAGCATTGCTGCTGCTATAAATGATCATAGCGGTGCTAGGTAAGTAGGTAATTACTGGTTCATTATCCCAATCCGTCTCAAATTTGTGCTGGCCACCCAATTGTGCCAAAGCAGCGGCGGCACTCGCGGCTGGTAATAGCGAACCTCCAGTATATTCGTCATGATTCCTAGGGGTCCCGGGAGCGCTGGACGCGTCTCGGGAGTATGCATGACGATCGTGCGGATACTCTTGGGTCGGGTCAAGACTTGTTGTTGGCGGCTGGCTAGCAGAGTTCTGGACTTGAGATCGATCCGAAGGAGGTGTGTTAATCATAAGCAAGAAGCTCTCCTCGGTCGCGGGGAGCTTAGAAATATAATGTTCTGGATGCGCTCGCCGAATGTGTTCTTGCATTGATCGATATCGTTTTTCCTATTTGTTTGAAAAATGAACTTGGTTAGTTACCTGACATTGTTTTCCCTGAGCTTTTGGTAATCCAGATCCTTTCGCGGAGGCGAATTCGGTGGAGATTTGCAACTTACACCGATGCAACGCTTGCGACAACTCGAGCCATCTTGGTTTCGCAGCGGACATACGACTTCATTGTTGGAGTCGGTAATAGAAAATGAAGACGTTAAAGAAGATCGAGGCGGCATCTTGACCTAATCGACCCCGCCATTTACTGGTCGGGAATCCAAAGGCGGGGAGGGGGAAACCGGAAAGTTCGCAAGATCGATAGGGATGGCGACGATAAGAAGTTACAGCTGATAATGATCAATTGATGGATAGACCTGGTCTATGAAGCTTGTACATGCAACGTTGAATAGTTCAATGCTGAATTCGGTATGGAGTAAAAAAAAATAAAAATAAAACAGCTCTGCCGAGGTAGCTCTAAGCTTTCCTATACGGGTGTTACATGAGGTGTTTCGAAGAACTTCTCTTGGAGTATGGTAAAGAAAAGAGAAAAAGACTGGAAGGATGAACCTTATTGGGAGGGAAGGGGGAAGGAAAGGTAGCTGAAAGCAGCGGTACTGGAATTTTCTAAGCTTACCTACCTTGACTACCTAGGTAGATAGGTCGGTAGGAGGGAAGGTAGTGTAAGAAGACAAGGAATAGGTATTAAACACTGGAACAACACAAGGACCTCAATACAAGGAATTAGGTACTGGGTACCTAACTTAACCTTACCAACCAGGTCCAACCTTACCTTACCTTACCTAAGGTACCTTTTACCTTTTAAGTTAGGTACTGTAGGAACGGAGCTGTACAGTACGATACGATACCTACCTAAGGTAGCAAAGCCTTATAAAGCTTGTCGTTGTCGTCCAAAAGTAGCCAAAGATAGATTATCCAACCAAAGCGGGTGAAAGACGGGCGACGACTCGGGCATCCCGTCGTGGTAGAGCAGACATTGTATCATACATGCATGCGTCTGATGCGTGCACATACATAAGGTACAAAATTCAACCCTCCCAAGCTTGTTCCCTTAGGTACCTCTTGGGTTCAAATCGGTGCAGAATAAAGAGAAAAAGAACTAGTTTTTATTGGTTCCGTCCCACTCCGTCTCATTTCTTGACTCGATTTAAAACAACCGACCAGCTTCCTCTCTGACTCGATCGAGGATCGACTGGGATGGAGTGGCTATTTGGGAGAAAAAAAAAACTTACGAGTGGGGTTGTCTTCTGCGATGGATGGACGTAAAAAGAGCACCTAGGTTATAAAGGCAAATATTAAAAAATAAAACGTAAAAAGCCGAAGACACAATCGCTTTGAGTACCTAGTAATATAACTTCGGAGGGCTTAAATTATTCCTTTTCGAGTAGAGAGCTATCGTCAGAGCTTCAGATTTGGTTATTCGGAACTTGGCGACGCAAAAGCTTCTTAGCTTCTTAAGCTTCGGATAGAGTAAGCTAATCATAAAAGAGGAAGAGGGAGAAAAAAAAAAAAAAAAAAAGAGAGGTAACTTGCTGCGTCTAGTTAAGCGTACCTCTGTCGGAGAGGAGTATCACAAAAGGAACTGTACAAGCACATAATACCTCCTGCAGCATTGGGAGGTTTGAATGTGACCTTGTACCTCGTGGTGTATAACGAATAGAGCCAGCTGCTTCCCACGAGACATGAATGCATTATTACATACCTACCTAGGTACTAGCTTAGGCGATGAACCCCCTCCCCCCCGGCTTGCAGTACCGCCCCAGCAGCAAGCAGCATCAAGCAGCAGCACCGAGAAAGCCAGGAAGCTCGAGGGGCGAGGGGTACTGCAGGTGGGTAAGGTGGATGTCACTGACCGAATCCATCCATCTACTGACGAAGGGAGCTCCGTGATTGGCAAAAAAGAGCTTGCGGAGGTGTTACGATAGGTGGAGGTTCGAGTGGAGGCCCTTGAGAAAAATGGCGGGGCATCAGGGCATAAAAGAAAGACTCTGATCGGGTAGCGCATGGGCGGGCCTTATTATTAGCGGGCTCTCGTCTCATTATCAAAGCTCTCCATCTCACGCTTCCCTCACATGCAACATGCATGCTGCCTACTACCTATGTAGGTAGTGTAATTCGTTCCACACTTCTTCCCTCACCAGTCGAAATGCGAAGAAAAGTGAAAGAAAACCCGTGGTTGAGCTCGTCAGCTTATGACATCAGATGTGGAACATCAGCTTCCACTGTTGCCATCGCTTCTCTGATTGTCTGATTCCGGATGTGGCTTTTTTGACACATTTTCATTCCAGACGAAGCCGGATTACCTACCCTGGTTAGGTGACAGTCGAGCATGGGTACGATATAGCTACTTACCCAACTACTATGTATCTCTTCTTTGTCAATGCGACTAGCAAAACTTGTGGTGGAAAAGCTCTTATCCTGGTCAATCGTATTAGTTCTCTAGAGAGGTTTTTTTTCGTCTTCTTGCACGCGCCGCCCTCACCAAGATTTTTATTGGGGAGGGCAGCACAACAATGTTAGTTCGTATTTATACGAGTCCTTTAAAATGAGAAATGAATCATAATTAGATATTGGATCTGTGTTTTGCCATTGTTAGTTCCGTTTATTCTAATTATGCGAATAAAAACTTTTAATTGGAAATTCCTTTGAAGCTGAAAAGTTCCTTTCGTGGTGGCGCTGTACTTAGGTACTAAGCCTTGAGAGTAAGGTCCACAGGTACATGGGTACACAATGAAATGTGCCTCACATGATTTACTCGGCTTGGCGTGGAGAATACGGAAGGGAAGTATTGTACCTACCCTGCGCTACTGCAAGCTAAGTTGCAAACCCTTCTTCCTCTTTTTTATTTTATTTTTTTTTAATGCTTCTTCTACCATTTTACCCTGAGCTCTACAATGTAGGAAGGTGTCCCGCTAATCCCTTATCGCAAAGTATTAGCTCTGCGAGGAAGCTGTTATCTATCGCAGCTTCGCAGCTACCTATCCGAGTTGTGTGACTGCTGATCTAATCGCTAATCGCTGTTGGAGCTTAGGGAATTGACGAATCCCTTCTCTCACCTCGATTCTCGGCACCCTGCATGTACACTATTGTACAAGCGCTGCACACCCGCACATCATTGCCCCTCATACAAGGGTCTCATAGAGATGATGACGAAGACATACAGGAAAGTTTGAAACTACTCTTATCGATAATATAGAAAGACCCTTATTTCACTTGAGCCAAGGTAAATGTAGGTTGATCGTAACGACCGTCTACTTTGATGATTCCGCATGCTGATTTCCGATCAGATAATATAAGAGTCATGTATGAGCTACTTATTAAAATACTCTCTTTACGTTGAACCTACTAAGCATCACCGAAAGTTCGAGCTAGAGCTTCTCATCTTTTGCGAAAGGCTGGGTTAAGCTCTGTTCCATTTCATTTCGAACATCGAAGAACACGCGTTTATCAGGTTACACGATTTCTTGTGATTATATGCATTTGCCTAAGCGATGAGAGAAATGCCTCACGGGCGATAGGGAAAAGCGCGGCGAATCACACGAATATTAACAGCTGGTTGGCTCATCTTTTACGCTTGAATATTCCGAAGGCAACCAATAGCCTTTATTTTTGTTTACCCGCAAGCTTGAATCCCAAGGCCCGCAGGAATATGACCAAGCCTTCAAGTCATTATTAAATTGTCGTGTACGCTGTCCGTGTGGTCAGGTTGAGACCCAACTTGGTATCACCCAACCCTGGCGACCTTTAAAGTGGTTACTTACAGAGTATATGACTCTACAGAAAGCGTTTCGGGATAAGGTAGCTCTCATTACTAATAACTTATTAGTCCTATGTATTAAGCTTGGTCAATGTTTACTATCTTTAATGGTGTTATGTTATATCTCTTCTCCAAATATTAGTCTCTTATTAGAGTCTTTAGTAAAGAAGCTGTAAGTTGAAGACTCGGAAAAGAAAAGTTTAGTCAACATTTACATACGTAGCGAATCGCTTTATAAACCTGGTCATTCGTATGATCACTGTAACATTCCACGTACTCTCACGATGAACAAGTCTGGAATGCGTCGTATAATTATGCCAGCCTCAACTGGTTGGTCAATGGTAGATCTCATGACGGGAAGATACTGACTGGTATGGCAAGTGGAAGTCGTCCTCTAGGAGAAAAAGTTCTTAGGAAATGAGATGCGATCTTGTGATACAGGAATGGCGGGATATCGCTGTCTCTTCGAGTATCTACTATGTATAAACGACTGGAAAGAAAACATTCCTTAAGCCGTGTGACGAGGGCGCGAGGCATGTACGTGTACAGTTCATGTAATTATGATTGTCTTCATGCAGTGCTTGCTAATTCCTGACGATAGCAAGCCAGTTAAGTAAATAGTCGACTCTTATCGCATTATTTACCTACATACCTATCTAGGTAGGTAGCTTTTTTAAATAACATATACTAGGTACTTATGTAGTAAAACGCCAGTGGGTAATACCTACTCGATTGGAATATCTATTTTAGGAATTAGAAAAGACCATGAACGTTTGAAGCCCGAAGCCACATTTGTGCTATATATTGAAGGCCTGACCAATCAGTAACAGAGACCCTAAGCCACCCAAGATCTCCGACATGGGCAGTTCGGGGTATTTGGGGTAGGTACCTAGGTAGGCTAGGTTAGGTAGGTAGGCTGGTAAGTACCTAAAGGGGAGAGAAGGTACGGGGCACGGTCCAAGGCCCGGCATTAATAGTAACCGCGTCGTACAAAAAAGACTTGGTACCAAGAAAACACCGAAACATTCTTGCTCCATATGCTGATCTTCAGCTTACAAGCTTCGTAAATATATCCACTATCCATCTATCCACCTATCCGCTTATCCACTATTTTCCCCCAGCTCGATCCGACTGAAACATGGTCGACTTTATCCCGTTGTCTAAAACAAGTTCCTTGCGCTGCCGCAACAAGTGTTGGTTATGTTACGTTAAATACAATACAATACCTACAACACAGTACAACATAATACTTACAGGCATAATACTTACGGGCAGTACTTTGCAAGTTAAGCGGGAAACCAGATGGACGAGGACATTCTTATAAAGCCTAGATGGTAAGTTAGTAAGTTTATTTAGATTGAGATTGAGATTGAGATTGGATCAGCCATCAATCAAAATGCTCCATCAATGTTCAATGTCGGACGAAGGACTTACAACCAATTTAAGTTGGCGCGGGTGTCTCATTAACAAATTATTCCTCTCCTACGCGATCCTTCATACGTTTACTTTCTCTCTTCATCATCCATCCATCCATCCATCCGTTCATCCCGCAAAAGTAAGACAGTTGTTCACTTCACTTTTACCCCCTCTTCTTCAATAGGGGGAGTGAGGCTAAATCCTAGTTAATGAACTTTCTTTTCGTCATCACTTTTCTTGCTGCTTTATCCTAGGTACTCGCCTGAAGCTCTTGAAGTCTCCTCGTCTTTTATTAGGTTACTTACCACTTGGGTTTAATTGATCTCTACCTTCATTCAACCTCTTCTGGCTACAGACAGATGATAACCAAATTCTACCCCCTAAACCTCCCTTAATAGGGGGTCTTAACCAAGGTACCTAGGTGATCCCCACAGATGACATCGACGTCCGTAATGGCCTTAACCATAAAGAACCTCAACTCCGATGCCTCGTTTCTCCTATCCTTCGAACCTCTCATCCCCGAATTCGCACAGCATCTCGTGGCGCCGAAGCCGTTTACAGTTCTCTTGGATCCTTGGATAACTGGTCCCTCTAAGGTCTTTCACTCTAAGATCTCAATTACAACTCACTTACACCCCGCGTGCGTATCTTCACTCGCGGAGCTCCCCTCCCCGCCGGACCTCGTTATTATCAGTCAGCATAAAACCGACCACTGCAATGAAGCTACACTACGGCAGCTTCCCGCAAGAGGCTCAAATACCATCATCCTTGCTGAACCGGCGGCGGCACGCATAATCAAGAGTTGGAAGTATTTCGACCAGGATAAGGTCCGGACGATAGAACGATGGGAGGACCCGAGGTTAACAGGGAAGCAATCGGTCGTGAAAATTCCTGTCCCGTCCGTAATGCCCGGTGGTAAAGCAGGTGAGATCACCGTCGGTTTCATACCACAGAAACGCGACCTAGCTGGTTTGCACGGTGCCATCGGCATAACATATCGGCCCCCACCGACGCACGACTTACCACTTGGTATTCCCACCATATCGAAACCGCCTTCGCCACCTGCTACCCCGAATACGCCTTCTACGCCACGTTCAAACACGACGACACCTACGAATATCACATCAGCCTCTAGCCCGTTCCTCCTCCCGCCCTCTCCACCCGTATCGCCACACTCTCTACGCTCCGTCCAGTCCGCATCGACTCTCTTCCCCTCGTCACCGCGCTCGGGTCCAAACCCTTCTTCCCTCCCGCGATCCGTCTCCCAAAACCACCTCAGCCCCATCATCACCACCATCAGCACCATCACGTCCACGTCCACGTCCACGTCCACGTCCACGTCCACGGGTACGGTCCGTCCTATCTCGGTGCTCTTCTCGCCCCACGGCATCTCGTACGCCGACGTCGCGCCGTACGTGACGTCCCACCTCGTCGCCGAGGCGGCGCTCCCGCTCACTGCCCTCCTTCACTGCATGGACAGCGTCTCTAACCCCTGGTGGCTCGGCGGCAACATCTCCGCCGGAGTCCCCGCCGGGGCCGAGATCGCCACGCGCCTCGGCGCCCGCGTCTGGCTCAGCGCGCATGACGGCGAGAAGGAGGTCCGCGGCCTGGCGACGGGGTTGCTGAAGACGAGGCGCTGGCGACGGGAAGAGGTCGAGGGCGCTTTGGACGCGCGCGAGGAGACGAGGTCGAGCAACGGGTCGGAGAAGCTAGGTCATGCGCGCAAGTGTAGTAGCGGCAGCGGCGGCGGTATCGCGACGGAAGTCATGCGCCTCGGCAGCGGCGAGGAGGTAGTGGTTTCTGGAAATGGCTCGCTGTGGTGCTTACCGGAGAGTACGGCGGCCGCTGCGGACCAATGGGTCGTTAGGGACGCTAAGGCCCGGCAGAATGTTAGGGTCAAAAGCCAGTGTAGTCTGAGACCACCGATTCATGTGTCGGCTAGGAAAGAAGAAGTGTCTGGTGGTGGTGGTGGCGGTCTGAAGACTAAGAGGTCCTTCAGGGGCGTTTTTCCTAGGTTCAGGTCGGTGACTACTCCTACCTAAAGAAGGGAAACAAAAAAAACTCCTAACGGGTTTCTCTCTCTCTCGCTCGGTCTTTTGTTTGTTGTTTCTTATGTTAAAGGGGATATGTAGGTTCATATTGGGTTCTAGCGCGTTTTAGGTGGTGGATGTGTTTGTTTTATTTTTTCTTTCAAGTGATACCAAGGGCAAGACAAAATTGGCTGCAAGTGATATTTGTTAATCTGGCGGACAAGATTCTACAGGTTGCATCGTCATTTTGGGGGTGTGAGGGGGGCATTTTGGAGAGGATTCTTATATCTATTTTAAGGGGAAAAAGAAGCATAGGTACAAAAAAAAGAGTCAAAGGTGTTGCTATTCATAGCTCAAAATTTACCTAGGTCAGGTAGGTTAGGTGTATCTGAGGTATAGCATTGGGGGATTTGGGAAAGGGATATCAACGATATCAACAACTATCGCTATTAGATTATAACACATAATCTAACCAAGACCTTCTTTTTTATTTATTTGTAAGATGAATTGATTCGTTTAATGCATCCCCGTGACCGTGAAAAGGGTTGATGATGGTATCTACCGGAAAACAACAACAATAACAGACAGATCCGCGGACCTGCCTCGCCTTGCCTCGGCTTCTGTTTCTACTTCTTCTAAAACACCTATGAGATAGTATGATGATGACAGCTCGCATGACAGAAATTCCTCGAATACATATATCCTTCTTTTCTCCGCGCATAGAAACATAAGCCTTGGGAATCGCTTACACCATGCGCGCAATCAAGGCGCATATATTCGGCAGCGTATTCGTGAACTTGCTGCTAACGCCGCGGGTGATATGTGTCCTCCGTGTCCCTCATAAATCCGGTAGTATATACCCATTCCATCATGGGCTATGCTCTTCACCCCCACCCCGTCCCCGTCCCCATCCCCACACCCATGCTTATTATAAAACAACGCCAATTCCTCCGCGGGAAAGCTAGGTAGCTTTCCTCACTTGAGCTGCTTCAGGATCTCGACGAGGAAGTCCTCGAAGCTGAGGGTGATGTAGCCGTCGCGGTCCTCGTCGTACTTCTTGAAGACGTCGGTCATGCGCTTGAGGCTGATGCAGGCCTGGACGAAGAGGTCGAAGCTCATGACGCCCTCGTTGCGCTTGTCGTAGGTGCGGAACAGCAGGTCGACGAAGCCGGGGCTCAGGCGGTACCGGAAGGCGACGAGCGCGTTGCTGAACTCGTCCGGGCTGATGTTCCCGCTGCGGTCCGCGTCGAACCGGTCGAACAGCGCCCGCCACGACGCCAGGAACGACCACAGGCCGCAGAACTCCTCGAACCCGATCGTCCCCGACCGGTCGCTGTCGAACATGCGTATCATCATGCGCACCGTCTGCGGGTCGAACGCCGTCCAGTCGCCGTTTACGAGCGCGGCCGAGAGTTCCTTCTCCGAGAGCTGGCCGGTATCTATATTATTTGAAAAAAAGAAAAGAGGCTTAGTTTTTTGTTTCTTTTCTGCGGAAGGAGAGCAATAGTTAGGTTAACAAAAAGCATACTGTTCTTATCGACGGCTTTGAATAGCGGTAGCAGAGTAGGGTCTGCGGCGCCGTCCTGAGGGGTAGGTGAGGGCGGTGGTCGACTTGTAGGAGGTGGGCGGTTATGGGCCGTGGGTCGCGGGCCAGTCGCGGTAGGGGGCGGCGACATGGTAGATTGTAAGTTCGGCCTGTAGCCGTGGTCGAAACTGTTGCTGTGGCTAGGACTGGTGCTGTAACCGCCGCTCGGTGCGTAACCAGTTGGAGTCAGTCGTCCTCCATCTGCGCGACGAGTCGGAAGAGAGTCGTGTCGAGTGCTATGAGAAACCGGCTGGGGTCTAGCCTCGTGACGAGTGGATGGATGAGGCGCGCCACCTTTCTACGAAGGGAGGGGGATGTTTGTTAGTTATTTACGATCTAACACGTGCGGATAGAAGAGGGGTTGGCGCGGGGGGGGTTGAAGTATAGGGCAGGAAAATGGTTCAAAGGAGGTGATTGCGCGCACCGGGTCGGGCTCTGCAAATCTGCGGTTTCAAAACATAATTAGCCATCGCGCTATCACGCATGAAAATAAATTCAAATAAAGTATTATCGATCTCGATAGTGACGCCCTCGTCTCGTCTCAACATCACGCTCATCTATTACTTCAGACCGCCACGGCAGTTCTAAGCGATGACGATGGCGGGGTACGATAGCACTAAACCGACTTACCTTGGCAGTTCGTCCGGATTGTAAGGTCTGTTGTAAGCCATTGTTGCTAATAAGGTGGATAGTAAAAGAACGAAGATGGTAAAAAGAGTAGAGTAGTTGGCGACAGCGACAGTTGTTTACTATATGGGTGAAGGAGCGGACACGCGTATTTGCAACGCAATCCAGGTTCTTTTTTTTGGTATGGGATGTGGTGGCCGAAGTTGGGATAGGCAGTTAAATTAGGAAAGGTGTCGGGGACGAGCAATACAGGTATGAGGGTACCAGGTATGTTATGCGGCAGTGCAACCGGAGAAGTCGTCAGGTAGCGGACAAAGAATAAATTACATTCAGCCGCAATAAAATCGGGGTCAAGGAGGAAAGTTCAAGGATCAAGGGGTTTCAAAAAAAAGGACAGAAAAGAAGAAAGAGAATAACTAGGGTAATTAAAAAGTATTTTCTTCCTATAGAAGATACAACCTTGGAACTTCTTAGCAGTTAGGGCTGCGTTTGCGAGACCCAAGACCCAAGACTTTTTTAGAGGAGCTAAACTGATAACGATTTATGGGTTTGCCGAGAAAAACAAAAATAAAATAAAAGCAACAATAGGTCAAGTAGAAGGTATAACTAATGAAGGTATGATTTGCTTTAACAATGTCTCAAACCCCGAATTTTGTCGATTATTTGTTTAGGTACCTATCCGGCTTGTTAAACTATTTGTTAGCAAGCTGTTCTTTTTATTAGTTCTCCAGAGAAATTATCATCCGTCTCTCTATAGCCTATCTAAAGTACCCCTAACAGGTTCTAAGGCAGGATATCCGGCACCGCTAGTGTCCGTCTGACTGATACCATTGCAAAGATCCGCAGGCATTAGATTGGCGATCAAAATCAGACAACTCTGACACTCTGACACTTCACACCGATGCTGACCGGCGGGGCAAAACCACGGGGGCTGTGCCAATTACCTTATTCTACCACAAAGCTTATCCAAAGAAGAACCCCAGATGTTTGCTCCATCGGTTACGTCAATCCCGATGCTTGCTTCGCTGGAAGGCTGACTTATACGAAAAATAATAGCTTCCAGACGGTAGAGAATACGTAGATCCAGCTTCTTTAGTGAGGCTCAGGCGTGACGATCCCGTCCCGTCCCGCATCCCGAACCCATCTTGCCTGCTTAGGCTGAATGCTGAATTGACCGTGTCCTGTTTTATCGTTACTACCGACCTTGAAGTACAAGGTATGCATTGGATGACGAAGCAAATCATAAGCTCTAGGCTGCGACTAGTAGCACAGATTGAGGCGCATGCTTTCACCAACTTCTTCAGGTTATTGCGGGGTGCATACGTGCTTAGTAGTTATTCTATGCATGAGGCTTTGAGATGCCTCAGGAGGTGTGAAAAAATTATGGAAGGTCACATTTTAAGAAGCTTCTCGATTTTCAGCGCGTGCGGCCTATTAGCCTTCATTCTAGCTAAGCAGCTAGTAGAAGCTTTAAGGCATTGTAATTATACCCTGCTATAGCAAACCGTTATAGCAGGTCTACAGAGTAGTATCTTAAGGTTAGGTGCTAAAAATAATAGTTGGGAATATATAGTAATAAGGCTTAGCTTACCCAGTTTATATTATACAGTGTCAATACCTTAGGTATTATGTAGCACATGTAGCACATGCTCCGTTGGCCGGAGCCGCACCCGCAAAAGACGGTAGTCCCGGTGGCTTATGAAAGCCGCTAAAGACGAAAAGCTTGGCATTAATTGTACCATTCCGACTTCCGTCAACATTCCACATCAATGGTAACATATTCGGAGAAAAGAAGGAAGGAATCAAAGAGCCTTGCTAACCGGCTGGGTTGGTAGCTAAAATACTAGAAACCCGAACAAGCGTCCGTGAATTTAGAGAGTGAAGAACAAAACAAAGCGAGTACAGAATAGACGAGAAAACGAGACGAAGAGACCTGACACCATATATTGACCATGTCAGCCAACGGGGCACCGCCCGAAACAGACGAATTCTGGATATTTGGTTACGGGTGCGTCATGATTCTGGGTATTCTGGGTTATTAGGTATCCCTGGTTTTTGGTAACTCAACTTTGACTCATATAATTGCAGAAGTTTGATATGGAAACCCCCTCCACACTACGGTGAGGTCCTACATTAAAGCAGGTCGCTTCATATGTTCCGAGACCAAAAACTCACCGAAGCTTTTACGGCAGATCGACGGGTCCCAGGCTGGCTCACGGGCTACGTCAGGAGGTTCTGGCAGGTATGGATATCCCACCCCACCCTATCCCTTCTTTTTAGCTTTAAAGACCTTATAACTATTAGGTTATAAGGTAAGGTAAGGTATAGTTAGGCATGCAGCTAACACAGCCTCAGGCGAGGTAAGCTTAATTTGGTCCCACAAGCGAGAAGTAAATCGACGAAACCTAGTCGTGGATTGACAAGGGTCGCTATACTTCATCCAAGCGGGATAATTACCTATCTACCTACATACATACATCACGCATTCTAACACCAAAGCAACCGCCCAGCCAAGACCACCGCGGCACGCCCGAAGCCCCCGGCCGCGTCGTCACGCTGATCGAGCGGTCATTCTGGGCTTCGCTCGTGGACGCGCACGACTCGGCGCCGGAGAAGGTGTGGGGCGTCGCGTACCGGATCCAAGCGGACAAGGTCGCCGAGGTGAGGGAGCACCTGGACATCCGGGAGATCAACGGGTACACGATCCACCACGCGCCCTTCCACCCGGCGGACGGGTCGTCGCCGGCCTTCCGCACCCTCGTCTACATCGGCACCCCGGACAACGACCAGTTCACGGGGCCCCAGGACCCGCAGGCCCTCGCCGAGCACATCTACGTCAGCGAAGGCCCTAGCGGCCTGAACAGGGACTACCTGCTGGGCCTCGAGAAGGCCCTCGACGAGCTGAGCCCCGAGAGCGGCGACGCCCACGTGACGGATCTGTCGAATCGCGTGCGCGAGCTCGACCGCAAGCGCCGCGAGGGCCGGTTTCAGGTCGAAGGCTTCGAGCACCCCGTCTCGCACGAGTTTAAGAGAGTCAGCAGCGTGGACGAGCAGGAAGAAACAGAGAAGACGTGAACTGGTATACCTAAGTAGGTATCCTACAGGGGGAGAGATGCTATAAATGTCATAGAACTTAAGTGGAGAATCACACATCATTGTCAAAAGTTCAAGCCGAGAGTATTGAAAATCATGTCGATTGATCTGGGTACTATTGCTACGGTTCATTTCCCGACTTTGCCTTCGTTTTACCCTCCTCCGAGATCGACTCCATGACTCTCTGTACTTAAGAGGAATATGCCCCTAACCCTTAAGTATTCCACAGCCTCGGATGATTTTCTGCATTTTTTTTCTTCTTCTTTAGTCCTTCGTGGACTCGTAAAATGATGAGTGACATGATGATCACGTTAATCATAAGGGCCGGGGAGCCTCGAGTAAAAGTTATGGCGAACGAATGTATATACATGCATGAGTAGATCCCACAATGATCCTCCCGTCTCGAAGATAGAGACTCGACGATTGAGGATGGTTTAATGAAATGGTGGCGAATGAGATACCAATTTGCTGGTGGCGCACATAAGGAGTGTCAAGGGTGCGGAACAGCTAGACCTCCGAGTGCCGAATTCACCAATAACGAGTGTACCGTTTGTGATATTTCTCTAGTAGATGCCAATCTTCCAGGATAATATCGGCGTCAGGTTCTGAATTAGACACTTCCTGTGTTGTCCAAACCAGTTCTACTGATACGGCGGCTGTCCCTGAGGAGGATATTGTTGCTGAGGCTGAGGCTGTTGCATAGCTTGCTGCTGGTCCGGGTAGCCGTAGGGTGCGTAGCCTATAAAATTAGTTTTAGTTTAAATTCTTATGGATTCCTTAGGTTAGGTAGATATTGAAGTATTACAAGGGGGTTCATATATTTACCTTGAGGTGGGGGTGTTCCGTAGCCAGGTTGTGGGTAGCCTGCTCCACGTCCGTAGGCCGGGGCGTACATTACCGGGTTAGGTATGCCGTACGGAACCGGCTGGCCAGCAGCATAGGGCATCTGAGGCTGCTGTACGTACCCACCCCTCGGTGTGTAGGAGCCGCCTCGTCCGCTACCGCCGCGGGGGCCAGTATCGGATGCCTTATCGACACGAATAGTTCGTCCATCGAATCTAGATTATTTAGTTAGAAATATCTCCAAAAATCGCAAACTGATGTAACCATACTCTACGTTGTTCATGCCTGCAATGGCTTTCTGTGCATCTGTCTCATTTACATAGCGGACAAATCCAAAGCCTCTGCTTCGACCAGTGTCGCGATCTTTGACAACGACCTAATGAGATAAGCCGGGTTAGCTTCGAGTTAAACTCTCGGTTGGTGTTATCGTAGAAAGTATAGGGGAAATGGTAGGTCTACATACCGCTTCCTCGACAGGGCCAAATTCTTCAAACTTCTGTTTGAGTGTCGCGTCTTCAGTATGCCATGCAAGGCCGCTAAATAGATTAGAGCATTTTGATTAGCCAAGCGAATAATAAATGGGAATCTCTGTTGTATCCTACCCGATGAAGAGTTTAGACATCGCTGCTGACTGGAGAATCTGACTCGAAATGGAAGGTCTGTATTAAATTAGGTTAATAATTGATCCGCACTAATGGAATGCAGACCTGATAAGGTTATGTAGATCTAGTGTTGGAATAAAATTTTATGTAGGGGACCAAGATTTTGTATGCACTTGAAAGCTGCGGTTGATAGGTTGTTGGTAGGTTGGTACCTGATATCTGAACAAACTGGGAAGAGCAGTCCGCAAGGTAGCAAGCAGTAGTAGCAAGCAGTAAGGGAGGAAAGAACCAATAGCTCCACTGATTATATGGCGGGCAGGTGATGGACAGGGGCGGGACGGGGACGGGGACGGGGACGTGGACGTAGATGTAGAAGAAATGTACGAACATTCTTTTGGAGATTCTACCCGGCAACCTCACAAACTGCAGTTGCCTTATTTCCGACTTGCAAACTTCGATGTTGACCAGTAACCAATGCCAGTCCGTCTGCAGATGCTAGGACTTGGGGTGACGTATCTGATAGCTGACAGGTACAAGGGTAAAGAAGTGAAGAGAAAAAAAAGGTATCTTGGTATTTCGGTAGAGTCAGAACGACAGGGTTGATAATGTACGAAATGCAAGATCCAAGCGGCTGGTTAGCCAAGGATTATAGAAGTTGGTTAAAGTGAATTGAAAAATTTCTCGTAACAAATCGGCCAGTACCTGCTAGCTGGAATGAGGAATGAAAGATATCTACCTGGATATGTACTCGAGGTCGCCTGGTTTTATACAATAATCCTGTATCTATCCTAAGCAGACACTACCTAAGTATCGAGCCGCAAGAGTTCAATAAGCGTACATTCATTATCGACAAAGAGAGGAAAAAAGGGACCCAGCAGGGATAGCTTCAAAACAAGCATCAAACAGAGGAGGTGCAAGTGACCTCGAATTGCCCTGAGGACATGGTATGAGACTCCACGCGGCACGAACTACGTGCGCCAGACGAGTTGCTAGGTCGGCTCAATCCTAAAATGGAATACGAGTTATCGGCGGTATGCTTGCTTCGTGTGGTCCAGCTTGTTCGACGTGATGCGCTCAAAGCAGGTGTAGCGGCTTCGAGAACGATCTGCGAAGCATCTGCATAGTTGGTACTCTAGCTTCCCAGGTAGACTATACTCCACATCTACCTATACTAGTCGAATACGACCGATCGTGGTTGTCAAAGTCTCATGTACGGAAACCCTAGGTAGTGAATAGTGAATGCTAGAGTTTCGTGATCCTTGCTGGATGGCTAAAAAAAGAATGCTATAGTCTGTTCACCATCTCCCACTAGTCAGGGAAAAAAAGAGGCCCTATGAACATTAGTTCTTGGTTAAAACTTGCTAGGCCTGAAATAGCTGTAACGAGCTCGAAGAATATGAGGGACGGTGTGATATCCAATCACGCAAGGGTACCATTTTTGGGCCCCCCGACATCTGTGATTGACCAATCGCCGCAGGACATCAGTTCGAAACGGGAAGTCTTATTTGCTTGGTTAGATAATGCAAGAGAACATGGCGTCTCTCCATAGTTCTCCCGAGGGGCTTTACCCACAAGGCTAGACCCTGCGTTAGTGTAAAAAAAAAAAAAAACAGGTACCTAGACCTAGTATTATAACAAAAAGACAAACCACACTGCTTCCCACAATAGGGAAATGTCCATATTTGTTAAAGCCCTCAAAATACAGCAAGAGTCTGCGAAACGGTAGAGGTCTCCGAAGAGCAAACCAAGCGACACCGAGTATCCTAGTACAATTCGAGACAGACCAGGATGATATATAATGTATTGCATTTAGATGTGAGCAAAAGTGAAACGTCGAAATACTATAGTTATCCTGGGATATACGCTCTTAGAGGCCGGATGCAGAACTGTTTTTGTGCAACTTCTCTGTATAGAACGTAGTTGGCTGCCCGAAATCACATGCAATGCTCGGCCCTTAGGCGATGTTGTCATGTATTATGATATAAAGCTGTTATATGACGAGGTCATTGAAGAATACCCGCCTAGACTAACGTTTTCAGCAATATGCCGTGTACCTCTTATGCATATGTGCTTATTACCTGCGAGATGGTAAAATGTGAGATGATATGTATTGTGTGGGATGTAGGACATACCTAATACAAGAAAGAATAGCAACTGACGAGTATAACAATTGGGGACCTTCTAGAAGAGGTAGTTCGGCTCAGATTCGATACAAGATGCGTTCCGCGCACCTAAAGGTTCGTTCACAGATACACTAGCAGGCTACCTAGGTAGGTAATGGCTCATGTCATAAGGCTGCGCGAAATTGTGCATATCGTTTAGCGTAGCTCATCGATGGGACCGGCTTGCTATCCCGAATTACCATCCCTTGACTCGAGGGAAACTTGGGTAGAATACAAACACAGGGTAATGAAACATGTTGGACCTAAGCTGAAAGGAGAAGTATATCGGCAATTACACTCGGGAAGAAAGTGGGCATTTGACATACAACATCAGAATTGTCAGCTGAAAATGTGAAAAGCTTCAAGTTTTTTTCTTAGTTTTTTTTTATTGGTGTGCTGTACACCAAGTAGTCGTATCAGGTACTTAGGTACCTACCTAGGTAGGCACTTACCGATATGCAAGCTTTTGGCAAGGCGTACCTGCGCAGCGCGGGGTTCCACGAGCCAATCAGACCAATTGGATATCATTTCGAAAACCCTTAACTCCCCTAACTCAGGGGCAATCAGGGGCCTTCTTGGCATGGTTCCTCAGACGTCTTGAGACTGAAGCTTCCCTACAGGTAGGTAGCTTTAACAACGCTACTACTACCCATGAGGCTCTTGCCCGATGTCAATACTACATACCTTAGGTACCTCCTATATACGCACACGTTAACATGAATCGATCTGAGGTATGTGGCATTTTTTGCACCTGCGATAGTAGGCCGTGGAAATCTAAGCTAGATCAACGATGAAAACGCGCCAAGAGCAAGCGCCGATCCCACCCTACGCTCTAATTATAGACATATTTTTATATGTAAATAGGTTAGAATATATGCAGATTTTATATCCGGTAACTAGGTACCTAGTAAATAAAGAGTATTAGTATTAACATGTAGCAAACATTCCCACCAAGTGTCAAGCTTATCTCCTATGCATACTATTACTAGGCACCTAGGTACCTGTGTCTCCCTAAGATCAATACATATAAGAATACAACCTTTGATATATTCAGGAGGCCATGACATCAAAACCCCACATGAAGGGGTAACTCCTTCTATGTACGCATCTGAAAATTGTAGACAAGGTATACGCTTAGTAATGTCTACCTAACATAAGATATAGGTAATTAAGATAATACTGGGCCTACTTAAATCACTCGCATAAATTTGACTTGCATAAACTTGGACTTGGGCTAAGGTCTTGGGTTCCGCAGCCCTGGGATACTCTAACCGTCGTGCCGAAAACCAGAACCTACCCGTCACTACCTGGTCCCACACATCCCACCTCGTCTATACTTGCTCTTCCGTAGCTCAGAACATCACCTACCATGCTATATCCTACCTAGGCTTATACCATCTATACCTACTATCTTGATGTAATATCTTTGCTTCGCCTCAGAAGCTTCCTTTGCTGTTTCAACTTGCTCTTTGAGATAAGCCATTGGGAGGCCTCTATACCACCTCCATAACAACCTCGGCGTCATTTTTCTTCACATTATCACATTATCGGCATCGCTATATTCAGCCGCGTGACGTAAACAACCCGCAACTCATACAAAATGTCCAATAATAGGTCACGACTGAAACGTCCACGTCAACCCCACAAGGACACCTCGGCCGCAGTAGGGTTAGCCGGAGCGCCGCAGCCGCAAGGACGCTATGACATTGTTGAAGACTGGCTAAAACGGACAGCGAGGACGATTTCCTACCCTCGGCCGGGTACGTCACAAGGACATGGAAGTGAAGGCCCACGCAATAGCTTCCCGTGTGAACCACTTAATGCGACGCCCCCATACAATAAACGCCCTAGGCGTGTAGATCCGAGATGGAGTCCTCGTTACGACTTTCCTCGTAATTGTACACACCAATTAGGTTCTCCATTTAACACCCCGGCCCAGAAGAATTCGAGCAAGCCTACGCGAAGGCGGATAGCCCTTAGCGATAGTTCGTTCATAAGTGGGTTTGAAAATACCATGAAGCCTCCTAGTCCTACTCCTGACTCCACTCGAGAGGATCATATGGACAGTGCAACTTCCAAACTTCCGAAAGACGCAGCTTTGTGGCCTCTCGATGCCTCATCGGCCACATCTCATGCAGACGAACGGCGGAACTTCGAGAAGAAGCCTAGGAGAAAGACCAGGGAGGACAAATATGAAATGAAGAAAAGAGAACACAGCCATAAAGAGAGACACGCCATGCCCCGTAGTAATCATCATCACCGGGACAAAATGCGCAAGAAAACTGAGAAGAGGAAGTCCATGGCATCTAGCAAAAACGTCATGGATAATTTCACCTCCAATGCCGTTCTCAATGACCGCATTACGGTAAAGAGTCTCGTCACACATTAATGATATCATTCTAAACTACGCTTAGGTTCAGCCACATCTCAAGCCTGGCCTATTTGACAATGGAAGGACATCAACAAAACAGCCAAGTAAGGATACTTCACCTCGGAACATTCTCGACTTAGAGTAACCTAATAGCAAACAGTATCCGATTTGACCTTCTCTGGCATGCAGTTTCTAAAGAATCAGAGTAATACTGCTGGACCAAAAGCAGTATCTAAGTCCCGCTTAAGAGAAAAGCGAAGGGAAGACAGAGAAATGGAGGAAGTATCGTCCTTTTTTCTACCGCCTAAAGCTGATAGAAACACTCATAAGCTAGGACCTCGTGAGCCAGATACTGGTAGAAACTATCAACAAATGACACACGGCGTTGATCGGCTCACGTCCGCTCGTAATAAACAGCCTTCTAGTTTTTCACCTATAGGCCGCCGTGAACATGCGTATGACCGTGCATCTCAAGCTAGACATGAGACTATTAATTCTACCAGAACACACTCTCTTGGATCAATTACAGACGGAAATAACGCAGGCAGAGGTACGACATACCTAACATGGTCTAGTAGTCGCCACTCGCCACATATCAATGGAGGAGACAACCATTCAAGCCCTAGTGCATCAGGTTTAGTCCGAGCCGCGATTCCCAAATCAATGGGAAGAGATCCATTAGGAACCGGAGAATACCACAACGTTGAGTTTCCTTCAGATGATGATCGCCCAGCCAAACCGAGCAGAGGAAGGGAAATGTTTGAGACAGAAGTATCCAACGTTCGATACCCTGAATCAGAGGACGTCTGTCGCGGTTTACATCAGGAGTCTATCAGAACCCATAAGGTAAGGTATCCAGATCAAGCTGTAATGACCGAAGATCCTTTTAAATTCGCAGGATTACCGGAAGCCATTCAAGTAGCACAAGACTATCATGGGTCTAAATCTCCTGGAGAGCAGAACCTGCACGTATCGCATGCCTCTAACAGCATTGATCGTCAGCAAATTATGAGAGAAGTCCGTCTCACCCCTATCGAAAGGGGTAATTCAAAACAGCCTATCGAGTTTCCAAGTTGCTTAAATAGTATGCCTACTACAGCCCACGGTCGCCCCGAGATTACAAATACACACACAATTAAACGCTCGGAGAAGCATGAACAGCATGCGAAAGATGAAGCGTCTGTAACCTCTAGGGATGCGATGCCTCCTCCGCCTAAACCGTATGGTAGAAACACTTCTCTAGCAGCGACCCACGATAATATAGAATTTAGTGCACCAGAACAAGATGCGGCTCCGGCTAATTCAGAAGCCTCACAAGTTCCTCTTGTAAACGACTTCCGGGAACCCCTCGAAAGATATAGCCAGACTTTGTATGAATCAGTCGCCAGCAATGTATATACCCCGTCGGCTCCTAGTAGCGCTACCTGGGCACCTCAAAGCAGGCCGTCAGCCTCTACAGTAGAAAGGGGAATCCTATCGCGACCGAGTACAAACTCCCCTGCCTACGTGAATCAAGATGAAGGGAAGTTAAGCAGGGGCTCGTATCAAAGAAACTTTATTGAACCACGGGAATTTGAGACCATAGCCGAATTCATTGCCAGGATAGAAAACGAGTCGAAGTGGCAATACACCCCATGTGGAAATAGTATATCAGGTTTAGGAGAGACAGCACCGGACTCATTTCCAAACGATACAGGGCTATCTCACGAACATCCTATAGCTTGCAATATCGAAAGAGAGGCACCTCCCAACTTAACCCCTAATTTCCACTTCAATGATGTTGATATAGGGAGGCCGAGGACAAGTGAACTATGCGAAGGGGGTATATATACCGAAACGCCTTCTAACAAGCACAGGGTTAGTACTCCCAGCATCATACCTGGCGTCGTACAACCGTCGGAGGAATTCGTGGAGGAGTATTTCGAAATGTCAAACTTCTGGCGTCCAAATCGATTTTTTCGATTCTGATATATACTATACGTCAAAAGATTAGCATCCTATTCCCATGTACACTTACATTCATCCCGAGATTCATTTTCAATGGTGGTTTATTCAAATTCTTGGTCTTTCCATTTTTCTAGTAAACCATCGACATCTAGGTCACATTTTCGCGCCTTGTTAACTATATCCTTCGCCTTTCCTACAACTGGGGCATCGATCATTTTTCCGTCTAGAACCCAAGCCCCTCTTTTTGCTTTTACAGCTTTCTCGCCCGCTATGGTAACCCTGACAGCCCACTCAACCTCCTCTGCGGAGGGGGTGAACAGCCGCTGTACCGTCTTGATCTGCGAAGGGTGGATGACCTGCTTTCCAGTGAATCCCATTCTCTTGCCATCTTGGCACTCTCTTTCTAGTTGCGCCACCGCCTCCGGCCCCTGATACGACGTGCACACCAAATCTATCACGTTGGGGATGGCCCTGGCGCGGGCGGCCGTCACGATGGCGGACCGCGCGTACAAGAACTCCTTCAGGTCGGGGGTCCGCGTGAGGGACAAGTCGAGGGCGAAGTCCTCGGCGGCGAAGATCAAGCCGTTGAGGCGCGGGCCTTCGCAGATGGTGCTAAGGTTCATGACGGCGCGCGCGGTCTCGATCATGGCCATGAGCTTGATGGGCTTCTCGCGCATGATATGGTTCTCCTTGCGCCTAAGGGCGTGGGACACGGCGCGCACGTCGCCGAGGACGTTGACCTTGGGCACGATGACGGTATCGACGAAGTGCAGCTCGGGGATGAGCTTGACATCCTTCTCGAACTCGGGCGAGCCGGGGCTGTTGATGCGCACGGCGAACTCGGTGATGTTGGGCGGCTTCGACAGCAGCCCGTTCATGTGCGTCTTCAGCGCGGCGCGCGCCTCGGCCTTGGCGGTTGGCGTCACCGAGTCCTCGAGGTCATAGATTACCGTGTCGCAGGTGAGCCCGAGGGACTTGGTAAGCATGCGAGGCGACGACGACGGGACTGTTGCGCGTTATCGGTTAGAAACGGAAAAATAACTAATTAAAAAAAGGGGGGGGTTATATGTGTATTTCTTACCGTAGAGCATAGCCCTGCGAAGAAAGTTGGTCACAGGGGGATACATGATGAGCAGACTCGAGGGCTCATTCAACCCTGCTGAAGATGTAAGAACTGGTTGCGACGCGACGTCGTCGCGTTATCAGCTATACTGGTTGGTACCTTGTGTCGCAGTTCTTTTTTTTCTTCTTTTTTCTCTTATCGGCATTTGAGATAGCGGGGATCAGTGTTGGTGCACAGACCCACTTAAATGTGAATAAAGGGGGCAGGGGTCTTATATCAAACGACTTGAAGCTTCAATTACGTACATGATACGAACAGTATATGAACAGTATATATCATGGTTGCTATTAAGTTCCAATGGATTAATATGTTAACACGTATTCCATCAGGTAAATCTTCCTAACAAACCCAGTTGTGTCAATTTTATCAGTTCTCTCTAATCGATTATATATAAGTTGGAACGAGACTAATCCGTACACTTAGTTTCTAACACGTTCAAGGAAATCAAAAGACGGCAGCAAGCAAGTATATGGGAGCAGCAATTACCTATACTATGGCTAAGAGTTCTTTGTACGAAAGCTGGGACTATTACAACACCTTGGACCTCGTAAGTCTCAGGACGTCTAAGGGAGATTAGTGTGCTCTTGTTGTCACCTTCCCCATCCGTACCAGTTTCATCATGAACAACCTTATACAGAACCCAGGAACTCAACCAGGAATATTTTCATGATGTTTTAACAAAGATACAGATGCCGCAGTGTGGGATATTATCCAGCTTAGAACATGATATTGCCTTCTCTGGGATGTGGATTTCACCATCTGCCGCTTCTACGGAGAATCGAGTAGGGCCGCCACACCCACAGGGTTGAGCAATATTCCGAAACTTGAATATGTATATACGTTTCGAGATAGGCGCTCCCCTCCCGCCTGTATTCGGACCAACGGCAGTGTTACTTCTTACAGATATTCTATGGATCCCCCCTTAAGTAATCTCGATTGGGAACCGAGTGCCAAAACCTCGCGTACTTGAGACGACGCGGCACAGCATCCCCGCTGAAAGTGTCATTTCTAACGAAGGCTGCGGAACCAAGCGAGGAGACATAATAGGAGGTTAAACCAGTATCTACCGGTAGGAGCAATATATCCCCGCTTATGAGCTGACTCCTGATACTTATCCGCGCTCAGTCGTCTATGACAGATCGGATTCAACGCATGGGACTACTCAAGCTACTTGGCCATTTGCGGACTGGTTGAACAGAGAATGGCACAAGGCAAAACCCGTTTGAGAGTCTTGATACACCTTGGAACATGATTCATTTGACTCATGGTCAGATTATCAAAAGACGCAGGCAAGGCAGTGGTCAGGTAGTGACATTACAAACTCCTACGGAGCCAGCCGCTTTTCACCACTACAACGAAATTCTTGGCCACACGGTCTTTCTCCCCAAGTCAATGTTCTACGGGGTCCTGTTAAGAGCAGGTTTATTAAAGAGATTTTAAGCCGGGCACTTGGTATTTTCAACCATGATTATCCGTTGGGCCACCGTATGGGCGGGCACTGGATATCACTCCCCGAGACCAGGCCTAGCCCTACTTTACACTCATAGAGGAGGACTCATTATGGTGTTTCACTCAGACCGATCGCCAAGATGACAATATACAACCGTCACAGCTTGCTTATCATCGTAATTATAGGAAAAATAGGGATGTCCGGCAGATGAATGCCCTCCACCGCGAGGTCCTGTTCGTTCCTCTGTGGTTTGCTCACCCTATAGCGATATACCCCTTCATCCGGACAAAAGTATTCCTTGCTACATTCGCCTCCCATCAAAGAGTATCTAGCCTAAGGTAACCAAGATGATACTAATTTAGGTTAGGCGGCTGTACCCTGGGTAGGTAGACAAGAAAAAGTCCAAAGAAGGGGGTGAAGATAAGTCAGCTATACGAAGAAACAACTTGACTTCACTGGAGAAGTTGACGATGAATTTCGTCGACAACAATAAATAAGGTCAGCTCATGGTCCCTTGCTAACATTTTGCGTCTAGCAACAAGTTAGACTTGAACTTTGAACTATCAACCGTTCGTGCCATCGGCATGGCCCAAATGTTTCTGGAGAATAGGGAATTATCGTCAAACGTACCTGGCCATGAAGACGGGACTAAAATACCATGCCATTTTAACTCTTGCGATATATTATATTTCCAGTCGCCAAAGAAATTTGTAGTTACTAGAGATGGTAAGGCTTGACATTATCTCGGATTTTTAGCTTAAAAGATATACTGTTGGCTACTTTAAAAGCAGAACAGTCGACCGTCGTAATTCAATCATCTACTACAATTCTTGCTAGGTAAGAAGTATCAAGTACTTAAATTTGGTTCTAGGTCAGCCCGGAAAGGCGAACGATTGATAAATCATATAACAACATGGATCTTTGCCGTCCATATTTAGAGCAATGTTAACTCTTCTAACTCTAACTTCCTAGGGTAGTGAAGGAAAATAGAATTGTTGGAAACTCGATACAAAGCCTTTTGAGAACGCTGATAAGAAATGTTGATACTATCAATAGCTTACGGTAGCCTACTATTCTACAGTTTACAAGTACGCGTCAAGAGGACCCTCGCAACCAAGTCATGCGCAAAGCCTGGTTTGGTACCAGCGACGTGATGGATCGAAGTCTGGAAGGGGGTCGAGGTATGTGTAAGCAACCTACCGCACTGCTCGCTAGGGCTCAAGTCGGCGCTTTTACTGGGTAAGCATTGACCGGGGCGTTCCTGTAGATGTCCGTGGCGAGCTGGAACCGTCCAATGCCACATAACCCTAAGATGCTCCGAAAGGAGAAATCTATCTAAGCTCCGTCCCCAGCCGGGTGGTATGCGACGTGATCTAGATTCCCAGTCGGCCATTCACACCAACGTCGGGAGACCATGTAGGCATACCTGGGGTGCCGAGTCTGATGTCAAGCTTACGACGATCTTGCTCTAGACTGCCAGAAGCTTTGAGGAATGTCTAGCAGTAATTGGGCACCAACGCTCTAGATTTGATCTATACCGTTTGATAGGCGGCCGCTTGCTTATTCGATGGCAGCCTACGTGCTATCTATGCACAGCATCATATAGCGATCCTAGTCTCGCCATGTCACAATGCATTCGCGGTTGGAATGCGGCTCTCCGCATACCAACAACAAACTACCCTAAGAGTTGCGTCACTTGGCAAGTAGCGCCTGATTTGAAAACGAAATGGCTTTTTCACGAGCTCTGTTGGACAGCTTCAGATATCGGTTCTCCAAATCAGAGGTTTGGACCCTGAGGACAGACGATGTTACGCTAGATCTATTTCTGGCATATTGTATTTTCCCGAAGCAGAATTTTCGGGACGAACTACCAGCTCCCAATCCCAATGCGGTGGCGAGGCTTTATACCAGCTATTGATGTAATGGCGTGACCCTCGGCCATTGGGTTCAAGGAAACCAGAATCTCCTCTATCAGACCAGTCTCGAACGGCCAGTCTCCCGATTCTGCTTCTGGATAGTAATGCAGTTTTCGTTCATCCCGGTTCGAAGACCTGTCCAGAATTTTCCGGATTCTCGGTTCTGTCAATCTTGCTGGTCCCCTGCATGAAGCTAAACATATCGTGACAGCTCGACGATGCTTCCTTACATAGCGACGACTGCCTCGAGCCCACCTGCTATGCTACTACATAATACCATAGCTTGGGTCCAAGAAATTAATTATATTGCTTGACGGATAGCTTCATATAAGCGAAATAGTCTAAACCCTCGACGAGGACGAGGTTCTAGAAATTGAGGTTTCCAAAAATAAAAAATCTCGAGCCTTCGACAAGCATCATCATCTTTGGGCCCGGCTCATTCGAATAGTTGAGGGCTTCGTTGAATGTCTAAGTCTAACGCAAACCCTCGTGATGTCTACCTACCTACCTACCTTTTTGGTGGCATCGGTCTGCGCTCAAGCCGAAAGAATATGGCCACATTTCAATATTCCCCTACGATTGACGGCCTCCAGCGATATAAGCGGATGACCGGCAAAGACAGAATGAATAAAGACTAAAAAAAAGGTCTTCCCATGTGTGGTTCGTGGGTGGTTCGTTAGGTGGAAGGACTCGACCCGGTTAAAATCGCCGTCACTCCGGGTATATTATGCTATCTAAGGCCCAGCCGCACCGTAGCTCCAATATACGGATATTAACAATTAAATGAAGTCAACCTTGTTCATGGAACGACTAGGCTCTTCTTATCTCTCGCGGAAGAGGGGTGTTATGATGAATTGCCTTGGAAGACTTTCGTATAAATGTGGGTGATGACGACGACGATCAGGGCATGTTTTAAGAACAGACAAACAGACGACAACGACATCTCAACGACATCTAAATATTTAATTGTTTAGAATTTATCATAGCATATCAGCTGGGTTTACTATATACTTCAATCTTCGCTAAGAAAAAAGCAGTCCGCCATGCACCGAGTTGGCATTACCGCCTTAGCCCTCGCGGCTCTGGTCTCCGCAGCCCCCATCTCCGAGCCGTCCAAGACCGTGGATCAAAGGGATTTCATCGTACCCGACCCGAACACCTGGCTCCCGGGATCGGGTAACCCGCCGCCGCCGTTCTTCACTTTCCTACCTCCCATCACCGGTGGCTTAGAGCCGTCGACCAAGAAGCGTCAGGACACTGTCATAGTCCTCCCGCCCATCAGCGGCGGCCTCGAGCCCTCGGACAAGAAGAAGCGACAGGACACGATCGGGATCGGCGACGGCAGCAGCACAGATCCCGTAAAGGCTCACATCAAGGCCCTGGAGCTCGAGTACGAAGCTCTAATCCACAACTTCGGCGCGCACCCGCCCAAGCCCATCGCCAAGCGCATCACTGCCATCCAGGACGAGCTTCTGAGCAAGTACGGTATCAAGATCGTCCAGTCCCCCGATGGCACCACCACCATCTTCGTGCCCGGCAAGAAGCGGAGCAACGCCGTCCCCGTCGACGGCGACAGCTTTCCCGGGGGCCCCTTCTTCCCCTTCCCTGGCTTCCCCGGTCCCATCACCCCCGACCCCGTGGTTCCAGGCGGCCCCATCAAGGTCAGCGATTAGACGGGATGGTTAACCGCAGACAACTCTGCTAGCAACGCCGGAGAAGCGGAGGGAAAGGGGGTTCACTACCGAATAGGGGCGGGTGGAGGTGGAGTTTCCTTGTACGAAAAGACACGTCGCACGCAAAAAAAAAAAGAAAGACCGAAGCGAAAGGGGCGCTGGCGATATCCGGGTTGCTAACTTTCCTTCTGACGCTCTCGGATCAGATCCACTTACACAGTGGATCGTTACCGATAGTTTAGCAGTTTTATTATTTTTATTTTATTTGCTCATTATTTCTACTGAATGTTCCGGATCTACTATGTACCTGTGTATTGATGCTTAGTGGGGGGGGGGGGGGGGGGGGGGGGGGGGGGGGGGGGGGGGGGGGGGGGGGGGGGGGGGGGGGGGGGGGTGGGG